TTCCTCAGGAATGGATCAATGGGCTTATTGAGCAGCAGGACTTCTGGGTACACGACTTAATTAAGCGATGTGGCTGGTCTACAGCTAATTAATTAATAAAATTCATGATTCTGATGCCCTGAACGCACGGACTTTTGTCCCCATGTTCGTTAGCAAACATTTACATCACCAAATGGCAAGTATTGCAATGCAGCTGAACGTAGAATATCTTTCGTATCAGGTTTGAAACCCATTGGTTCAAGTATCCTTTCGTCAGCAGAGGCTTGTGGACTATGTCTTTACTGCACATGCAACATAGAGCCATGTCCTATTTTCCCAAGTGTTCCTGCATTATTCGCACCCTTCTTCTCTTCGTCCTCCGCTCAGAATACTCTTTTTCCCACCCCTCGATGATATCGAATTCTTACACTGGTGCCGCGCGAAGATCATATACATCAATTGAAGGCGGCAGAGATATCAGCATCCTCCTTGTCTGAAGCTCAACAGCAGCAACATGAGCAACCGTGTTGTTCAGTCCAGTCAAGTACATTCCCACTAGGTCATATAGCTACTTTCTCAAGAGCCTGGGAATGCAAGAGGACTACGGGAGGCAAGTGCTATTGTCAGCATGTCTGCAAGAGGCTTTAATATTCAAAGCTATCTGGAAACCATTCAACGCTGTGTTGGATAGCCTCCAGATATCTATTACGCAAGTGTTCCCCCCTTTTCCATCCTCAGCGTTCTGAATTTTGGCTGCCAAAGCGGGATCTATCTCGACGAGGAAGAGCCCGTCAGGGGAAAAACTGAGTAAACAGATCCAGAATCTGCTAAATCTGCAAGTTGTCGTATTTTCTGGATCTACTGTCACTTGGTCGTTGTGTGGCATGGTGTCTGGAATCTCTTCCTGCCCATTGATATTTCTTATCACCTGTGACTTGCTTCCAAGCGGTACAGAGCACAGCGAACAAATAAATGCATTTCTTGGCTCGAAACCCATTCTTGAAAAGATAAGTTCAGTTACTCGCTATCTTTCGATGTTCAAGATCTGTATAGAGATTGATTCAGCGCTTTCAGCGCTGTCCGCGCGTTTTGCGCTAATCGCGCCCACGCTGCCAACCCCCTGACGTCTCTGCCTATAAAAAGTTTCTATCCTCAAAGTTCGTTAGACGCTTAGACTTTGAACCCTTCCGAAATGTTCGAATTCCAGGTTAGACGTCGATCTCTTCTGAATGTCCATCAAGTTATGCACACTTTCTTCAATAGAGAATGTACGTAATGGCTTGGTATCTTTCAAGAGCGAGCAAGTACAAACCAGACTCGAACATGCTCCCCATAACAAGTGGAATGAGAGAAGGTATCACACTTCTAATCTCATATTGCTTAGATTTATGTACTTCAGGCTCTTTTACGCCTTTCAATCTGGTGATTCGCTAGCTTCGTGTCTTTCGGTGTCTTGCAGGGAATGCAAACATTGACTCTGTATGCTGCAGATCTGGTTGTGAATACATAAGAGATGAATAACATGCAATCGCTTGTATGTCATCCAAAGCTGCTCGCCTGAATATCAATGGGAATGCGGGAAGAGGCTATGTGCATAGGGGGCTCGGTTCGCTAAAATGCAGCCGAGAGGTGCAGTGTCCTCCTTTCCCATGTTTATCCTGCATCCTCGAGCTTAGCCAATCGTCAATTTAACCTTATTGAAGAGCCGGATGAATATTATGCGAAACTGTGATCGGATGAAACATTGCTCGAATTTTGCCACATGCCTTAAATAAGAGTCGCGATATCAAACACGAGCAGCTTCACAAACGTCATGCACAAACCTCACGGTCGACAACTCGAGACCGCACCGCTCGGATGCAATAATTTTCACGTCCGGGGCGTCTCGAAAGGTGGAAATGTTATAACTCACATTTTCCCAGAATTCTTGGCTCTCTGAATCAAACCTCTTGTCGTTCGTTATCTGAAAATGCTTTCTTATTCCAAATTGTTCGCCGTGCTAGCATGGTTTGCGTACTTCAATGCCGCGATATTGGCAGCTGGTGATAATACCACCTCGACGCCTTTCCGGATAATGGCATTGGGTGCATCTGTTACTTTCGGAACGGGTTCGACTACTGGAGATAGTTATCGCAAAGACTTGCAAGATCTCCTTGTGGCCAATGGCAACACAGTCGAGTACGTTGGGAGTAGGAAGAATGGGAACTTCAGTAATAATGCTGTTGAAGCTGTTCCTGGCTTTGTCATATCTCAAGTTGCAGCACTCGCCAATGTCTCAGTAAGTCTTTCTATATCTCTTGTCTTGGGCTATAGCAAAGGTCGATCCTAAACGCTGGTGCGGAGTGATGATCGAATATACCTTGAGAGCTCTGCTAACCACGATTTTCTACAGGTGCCAAAGTACAAACCCAACTTAGTCCTCGTCGATGCTGGTACAAATAATTGCAACAAGGGTGGAACAGTGCCGGATGCTGGAACCAACGTTACCATTTTGATCAACAATATCTTCAGACAAAGTCCTAACGCCACGGTGATACTTACAACGATTCTGGTAAATTCAGTTGCAGAACAGGACGCATGCCGTGTGACGGTCAATACCCAGGTGAGCCTTCCCCAATGAGAATGATCTGCTATTTTCTCTTGAGTAACATGGGGCTAATTTCTCAATCAGTATACAGCGCTCGCAGATGCAATGCAAGCGGCTGGTATGAAAATGGTATTGGTCGACATGCGTGGTCCTGGCGGACCATTGGTAACTGATCTCGCAGACGGCAGACACCCAAATGATGCTGGCTATGTGAAGATGTCGAATATCTGGTTCGGAGGCATCCAGCAAGTGATCAGCAAGGGATTTTTGACGACGCCATCTGCTAAGGTTAACTCGACCTCAACCACTTCCCTCAGTTCAGGGACATCGAACAATACGGGAACTTCCAGCAATTCAGGAACGTCAACCAGTTCAGTGGTTTCCTCTAATTCCCCAACAAGTACAGCTTCTTCGGCACCTATTGCTTCGGTGGCAGTTACAGGTGCAGGTATCCGAGTTAGTGGGAAAATGTCTCTTGCACCGATGTTGCATTGTATGCTCGTTGCTTTGGCCATGATATGCTCGTATTGATACAGTAAGCACCACGACGCCATGGCACGTCTCGATAGCCTTGCCAGAGAGATATTTGTCAAATGAACAACATGGAAGGGGCGGTTATGAGCGCAAAGCCCCGAAATGAGTGCTGCTGTGCCACCAACGGTTTGTGCTCCGACATGAGCTCTATGAATAATCTAACTAATATTCTACATTTAGGACTCGGTTGGATCTTGCACGAACAATGCAACTTGAGAACTTCAAGCTACTAGTCTCGCAGATTTGCAACTCCCTCCAGTTATCACCAAGTTCTCAAGCAATTCTACTGCCCGGCGTCCAAGAGCTCTGCATCGCATCCTGGAATTTTGGACCGCTAGCCTGAGCTCTCAGACTCCCTTCCTGCCTGCGAAGACATCAATAATTTCATCTCGAAATCAAACAGAGCATGAAACTTTGGGCAAATTTGGCGGAGACCATCCTGAGGACGCTCGTGACCATGCCATCATATTGCCCTCTCGCGACGCTCTTCCCAAGGATGAAAGCGCTTCGAACTTTCGAGATACACATGATGTTGAAAGCGACAGGAGCCAGGATATTCGAAGCACTGTATCTGTGTCTGTTCAAGCGAAATCTTCTCGTTTGCCGATTTTGATCGCTAGCTGGGATACGCATGTTCAAGGCAAGCTGCTAGGGGTCAAGATGCTACAAGTTCCCAGCAGCATGTCTTGTTCATAACGGATAGCATCTTCGTGTTACCCGACGAGCAAGAGAAATGTTACCAGGCTCGAAAACGATTCATGTTACTTAGCTCAAAGGACTTGACTCAACTCTGGAGTTTCCAACTTCGAGGACAGTATTGACTGGAATAGCAACTGTTGTAGTTGCCACTGCCTGAGCGTCGCTGCTTCTGGAGGAAGCTGTTTGCCGAGGAATGTCGCTCTATTGATATGGCACGATATATGAGAGCAACAAGAGTGTACATGGGCCCTTGTCCTCGAACGAAGTGCCACAATAATACATACGGTACAACATATAGACTACGATCTAGACTACCATATCTACATAGATACATTCTCTTCACAACTCTACGCCTTCTTGCCTAACATCTTTATGAGTTTGCTCTTCCGTGGCTTAGTCACCCTCCCAGTGCTAACCACCTTCCCAGTGCTCCTTTTTGGCTTTGCCCTTGATTTCCTCTCGACCTGCACCTTCTTCTTGCTCTGTGTCACTTCCTTCTCCTTTCCGTCCCTTTCCTTTGCGCCCTTCTCTTTCTTAGCTGCCTTTTCCTCCTTAACCCTCTTCCTCTCCTTATACTCCTCAGCCCCCTCCCGCAACTTCTTCAACGACTGATTTGTCAAACTATACGCACTTCCTACTCGTCAGCCCTTAACTCCCCACCAACCTCAATCCACAATACTCACTTAAGATCCTCCCCCAACCCATACTTCGCCAACGCCGAAACTTCCACCCAAAACGTCTCCTTCACATTCACATACGCACTATCCCTCTTCATCCCCTTCCCATCCCGCAAATGCAACACATCTTTCGCATGCGGTTTCGACGCCGTCACGATACGCAGATAGCCTGCTTTCTCGGCTGCTTCGACGCCCGTGCTATGTTTGATTCCTTTGGCTGCTAGGTGGGATTTGATTGTTGATCCGTGGAAGGAGGTTATCTATATTTCTTAGTCCAAAGATATGAATAGGAGGAAGAAGGGGGACGTACAATAGCAATCTCAGCCCAGGAATGATACTTAACCCTATTGGGCTCTTGGAAAGATAAGATTACAACAGGGTGGTTGAATGCACCGTCCAGGAGCAGGGGAGAGGTGTACCTATCTTCCTCGATTTGGTCTTTGGGTGGGAGCCAGAGGATTGTGCCTGGGAGGAGGAGTCTGGCTTCCTTGATTCCTACACGTTGGAAGGTAGCCATGGTGCTTTGCGTGTCCTTGGTGTGCAAGGAGGGGTTGGGTGATAGATTGATGGAGATGGACAGATACGATGGAATCCATGACTGGGTATTGTTGGGTTCTTTGTTTGGGGTTGTGTGAAAGAATGGTGTGCCTCGAAGACTACTGATGGAGTTAGGAGTGGCCTGGATAATAAAGGCTTGAAAGAGACTTTGTGCGGTGTCGACGAGTGTGAGCAACAAAGAAGATCAATGTATGTTGTGAACTCAATTATTGATTGGAATGCGATGACAACATGGCTGATCCAACGGTGCCGCAGATTGATACGGACATTGAAACACAATGTCTGAGCCTGACTCTGATCTTTTGATTTGGATTCAAAGTCCTGCTTTATGTAGGACATCAATGTGGTGATAAAGTGAAGGAATACTTATAGCGACATGTCTCTCGCTATAATGAGGCCAGAAAGATATGATGTGGTTTCGGGTTTATTAAAATAGGCTCTTCTCCGAGCCCCAGCAGTGGGTAGGTTAAGAAGAAAATAGCATTTAAGGTCTTGAGCTTGATGTACTTGCGTTTATAGATCTTCATAATGTAGGAGGAAGAGAGCATGCGGTTGTAAATCATCACTTCTCTGATGCATTATGGTCTCTAGAATACACGTGCTACGAAAAGAAGCAAGTATGCTCTAGCATCCCTATCCTTTCCTGCATGCCTACAAGTACAATCCCTCCGGCTCACCCTCGCTCTTCGTCTTAAGGACACGCTCTCTAGCAGATCTGAAATCAGCCATCTGAACACGCATTCTGCGTTCTCTCAATGCCATCAGACCTGCCTCAGAGCAGATTGCCTTGATATCAGCACCAGATAAGTCGTCCTTCTGGTTGATGAATTCCTCCAAATCAACATCTTCATTCAAGGACATCTTGGAGGTGTGAAGAGTGAAGATCTTTCGCTTGGTGACTTGATCTGGATTCTCGAAAAGAATCTTTCGGTCGATACGTCCAGGTCGGATCAAAGCAGGGTCGAGAGTGTCGATCTTGTTCGTAGCCATAATAACCTTGACGTCTCCTCTGTCATCGAAACCATCAAGTTGATTCAGAAGCTCCAACATGGTTCTTTGGACTTCTCTTTCTCCTCCTGATGTAGATTCGTAACGCTTCGTACCAATGGCATCGATTTCGTCAATGAACACAATGGATGGGGCATTCTCAGCAGCGACCTATGAATTTGTTAGCGAAGTTCCTTGGAGATAGACTTGTGCGGCATACTTGGAAAAGTTGTCTGACAAGACGAGGGCCATCACCCAAGTACTTCTGAATCAGCTCACTACCAACGATACGCAAGAATGTTGCACTCGTTTGGTTCGCAACAGCTTTGGCCAATAGTGTCTTTCCAGTACCAGGGGCACCGTAGAGGATGACACCCTTCGGAGGCTTGATACCCATCTCCTCATACAATTCAGGATGTAGCAGTGGCAGCTCCACAGATTCTCGAACCTCTTGAATCTGCGACTCCAAACCACCGATATCCGCATAGGACTCAGTTGGTGCTTTATCGAGCTTCATGACAGACACCAGAGGATCGGCATCGTCAGTTAGAACACCAACGATAGACACGGACTTATGATGAAGCAGAACACTGGCACCAGGCTCCAGGAGGTCCTTATCGACGAATGACATGATGGACACGTAGTACTCAGGTCCAGTGGTGCTGGAGACAATCGCGTGATCATCATCAATCATCTCCTCCAAAGTACCAACACCCATGGGACTGCCTCTCATATCATCAACTCGTCCCCGTTCATCAGCGTTTCGGTCCATGGCATCAGAGTCACCACCTGCAGTAGCAGGGGCACCACCCTCCTTTGCAGCCTTCGCCTTTCGTAAGCGTTCCTGATTCTCAACATATTCTTCCTCCAGTAATAGGTGATCGTGAATTCGTTGCATTCGGAGGTATCTCAACTTGCACCGAGAGGTAGGATAAACAGCCGGGAGCTTTGCAGATGCATTTGGACCAGCTGCCTTGCGCTTCTTTCGGCCGATTCGAGTTGTTGGTCGTGGAGGTGGTTCGTACTTGGGTTTATCCTTCTGTTGATTGAAACGTCAGTATCTGGTGGTCACGACAACACCATCTTTTTGGCGCCGTACCTTCTTGTCCTTCTCATCTTTGTTGTCCCCACCACCTGGGCCCGCTCCTCCCATGCCAGACTGTTGATTTCCCTACGATGCTTTGTCAATATTGCCTCCGAGCCTTTCGTGTCAGAACGAGCTTACCATCTTGTCCGCAGCGTCGTAAAGATGCTTTCAATCACGTCTGGGAGGTAACAGAGGTCAAAGACTGGTCGCTTTGACTGTCTTGATGAAGTGAAGATGTTGGATGGAAGCTGAAGCGGAGTTTGTAATGGAAGCTCCTTGCGAAGCTTGATGACTTTCAGCAGGCGACAAGAAACGCGCAGGCGACTTAGCGCCGTTCGACTTTGGCGCTAGTCTCGGCAAGTTCCATCCCAGTTCGTCAGTCGAGCTCCATCCATAATTCGAGATCACAGCCTCGACGACACAACTTACTGGAACCACGTAAATCTTCCAGCGACAAGCACATATTCTACACACGCAGGTCTATTTCGGACGCAGAGGAACTGTCACCACATAAATCTATCGTTTCCTCTATTGTTCTGCGCTCTCGAAACATTCCTCGAAACACCGAGTACCCCGCCAGCTGCAGGCCCCGCAGGTAAGGCTTTCCGTGAATGCCCTGCCAACACTATCTGTGAACGCCCAATATTCTTTCATCCTATATACGGCTCTACCATCCACCTCATAAGCTTCTACTAACTTCTGGTAGAGTCAGGGCGCTGGAAACCCACGAGTCAGTCCGCCCATTCACAGAAGTACTATCTATTATCGATCAGGAGCCAAGATTTAATCGGAGTCCTGTGCTACTCCTTTCGCACATAAATTCTCGAATAAGGTGGTAATCATATTTCAACTCTCTATTCTCCATCATGGCTTCATCCAACCGACTCCGCAGAATCGCCAAAGAGCTGGCAGACATCCAGAGCGACACAGCGTCCAAGATACTTGCAGAGGCAGCGAATGGTGGTTCCGATTTGTCACATCTCCATGCCTCATTTCCTGGACCACCAGATACACCTTACGAAGGTGGAACATATGTGGTGGACATTCAAATTCCTAATGAATACCCATTTCGGCCACCTGTGATGAAGTTTAAGACAAAGCTGTGGCACCCAAATGTCAGCAGTCAGACTGTATGCACTACCCTCGCTTATCTGCAGGCCCATTCATTAACATCTTCTAGGGAGCTATCTGTCTCGACACCTTGAGTAGTGCTTGGTCGCCTGTTCTGACGATTAAGTCTGCTCTTCTGTCCCTGCAATCTCTTCTCAGCACCCCCGAACCAAAGGACCCACAAGACGCAGAAGTTGCTAGCATGCTTATGAAGAACCCGGAGCAATTTCAAAGAGTTGCACGGGAATGGGCCATCAAGCATGCAAATGCACCAAAGACTACCAGTTGGGAGACCACTATTGCTCATTCACCTTCCAACTCGAAGCCGAAGAGCCAAAAGGTCATCTCTCGGGAGGAACAGTTGAGATTGGAGGCTGCTCGGTGAGTTAGACAAATGCAAGCTTATGCTCGAATAGTGTTAATAGGGAATGCAGATATCAAGGATACAACAAAGACCTTATCGACCGTTTCGTGAACATGGGTTTCGATATCGACCGGGTAGTAGAGGCCTTTACCTTTGTCAACATCGACAAAAACAATGGAGAGGACTATGAACTTGAAGAGGCCTATATGGGTGATATTACAGCCAGACTTCTTGGTGAACCTTGATATTTTGCAGAATAAATCGGACTGCATAAACTAAATACCTTACGGAATAGCACGAATTTCTCATGATAACGGACACAGGTTGCATGGAACGGAGTCACGAGAATATTGTTCTGTTGATGCAGGCAGCGAGGGATGGCATATGGCGTCTGGCAGAGACGTCACGGGTTAGCGTTTAGTGCATAATTCGCGCTCATGGATTTCTCATTAAGATTACTCTCATGCAATCTATATGTGAAATCGTCTGCTATCTTTACCGAGTCATACTGCCCGGACGTCGAGCACCCGAACTCCAGAGTTAGTGCTCACCATTATTCCCTCTGGTTCTACTTTATTACATCTTCTCCATTGCTGTCGATTTTCATCCCGGACTGTCTTTCTCAAGCTCCACTTCTTTGTGTATTGCGTACAAGTCGTCTTCTTTGATAGTTTTCTGTCGGGTTTGAAGTCAATTCCTTGAGTGCCTTGAGCGCGCATATTCTGTCCGGATGCTGAGAAACCAAGGATACCTTTATCCTACTGCCATCTAGTCATACGTTCATAATCATATGCCTTGAAGCTGCTTCCTTCGCCATTCAGAGTTAATCTTATTCTTCTTTGCCTCAATATCAGCCAGCTGTGCGGCAAGGATAGGTCCGCCTTCTTGAGCAACCACTGTTCTCAGATCATGTGTGAGTCGTACAATGCCCTCCGGACCCAATCTGTTCACTACCTATTAGTCAAATAGACCTGCAATAACAACTGTCCTGCTCGATGAGGATCTGACTTACGTGAATTCGGTGTTGAAATCCCAAACCTCTCTTACACATTGAATAATAGTAGCTTTGAACGGCACTGGTCGTATTTTATATCCCCCGCCGGTAACGAGTCGCCTCAAAGTCTCAAAGTCTATATCCTGCATCGATCTGGCATCTAGCCGTCCAAAGATAGCTTTAGGGAAGTCTGACCTGCGTACGATTTCCATGATGGTGTTTTTAGATTCCGCCGTGGGAACAAAGGTAGGCTCGGGTATCTTCGCGAACGCGAAAGGATCACCAGGCGGCCAACCAACTTCAAGTCGAATTACAAGACCAGGCCCTGGGTACGGCATGAATCTGATGGGAACAGTCAGCAAAGTATCACAGGAGGTATGAGAACTCACAAGAATAACTCTTCTCTTTTTGATGCCAGGCCGAGGAAATTCCACAGCTCCATTGCACTGAGAGTGATGCCGCCTCGGTCTCGAATGTATCTGTAAAATACTGTGAATGGCAATATGGTCATAGTATCAAGCGCCAATTCCAATGGAGCTCGATTGGAGCATAGATAAGCAAAGATCTCCTGATACCTTGGGCACTTCCAATCTTCAAGGGGAATTTCTTCTTCGTCTGGTAGTGTGTCCCACTTGTTGGCAGTGATCATCGCTTGTCTTTGCCCTAGAGTTGGCTCCGACGAGGCTTGGCTCGCTCTCAATTGGCTTCTGGCACTAGCCGACATGCCAAGTCTACTGTATATCTCCTCGACTTGTTTAACACGATCCAGTCCATACATCTTACCTAACTGAGGATCCACCTTCATCAGTCCGAGTGCTGCTGCGACTTGATTTGGATTTTCAGATGTCAAATAAGTATACCAGTCTGGTGTCTGTCCGAACATAGGAAAGATTCTTGTCCCCACGGTACAAGGTCCCATGTGCGACGCAGTGCCGAGATTTTTCATGACTACATTCCAGGTAGCAGGCTGAAAAAGACTCTTCACCCAAGAAAAAGGAACTGGATAAGTGTCGAAGCTGGGCTTGGACTGGACCGGCTCAGTGATGGAACTTGAAGCCATGGTTGTGTCCGGAGCCTCTCTATTCGCCCTATCGATACGCCTTGCATGTTCTCTTTCGAAGTAAGACTGTTTGAACACGGCGTAACCGGCAAGTCCAGGTCCTCCTCGGTGATAAGCGGGACCGTGGGCATGTTCAGCCTCACCCCCGAAGACCTACAAGGGCTTGTCAGCTCTATTCACCATGCGAGAGGAATAGGTAGAAATTAGATAGGCTTACACTTTGTACAAATGAGAAACCTAGTTCCATGACAGTTTCTGGAGCAAAATTTGGCTCTATTGAACGCATTTTATTTCTCATCCCTCTCTTGTCGGCCACCAACTGCCACGCAGAGTGCTAGAAAGGTCAGTCTTTCATCCTATAACAGTCGAGAGCATAAGGAAATCTTACGCCAAATTCGTGTATGGCGATTTGCGCAACACGGTGCTGTGCCATCAGCCTGCCAGTATCAGTTCAAAGGAGACAACTAGAACTGCATAGAACAACCAACCTTTCTGCATCCGTCAAATCATCTCTCAGAAGCACCTGTATCGGTTCAACAGAAAACGCCACTACAATTTCAGGCATCCAGTTTCTCCCGGTCATCGTCAAGCCCAAGATACCTGAGAGTTGCTCTATGCTACTGACCCAGTGCGTATGGGAGTTCTGGAATGTAAATCTTATTCGTCCTGCGCATGCTATGAGCTGTTCCTGGAGATCTTGATATTCGGCATCGGTGTTCCTCTCAGCGGGTGTTCTCTCGTTGACGCTCCAAACGTCGTCTTTTCCTCCTTCGCCGGGAGTGCGTGTGAGTGGACCTTTGAAAATAGCATCTAACCTGAGGTCAAAGTTAATATTCTGCTGCATATGGCTTAGGGAGAAAGCTTTACCACGGATATGTCGATGAGCAAGTAAGCATAACAGTGGCCAATCTCAGACATGGTTCCATCACAGCCCAGACCATGTCATTTGATCCCTACATTTCCTAGTCAGCCGCAGGCCGTCTTATACCGATTTCCATTCCAAAGAACATACAACCCAAAACCCCTCATAATCACCCAGCAAAGGGATCAACCCTTGATGTTTCGGCAAATCCTTCTCCTCCATCCACCACCTCCGCTCAAAAATCGGATGCACATCATTCTCCAAATTATTCCTCATAGGCTCATCAATCAACGCCGCCAATGCCTCCATATCATGCAATTCCGCAGGCGTAAAGCCATTGAGCCGTCTTCGTTGGTAAATCTCAAGTTCCTCGCGCTTTTCACGTTCGGCTTGCACTGTGTCTGTTATCATTTCTTCTGGGTCGAGACGTGGGAGGGGGGTTATGCCGCTTTTGCCCGTGTTGCGGAGGATGCGGTGGTCTGATATTGGATACCATTGTCCGATGGGGTGGCTGTACTTTTTTGCTAGCTCGGTGTAGGCGGTGACCTTTTTGGCGCGGAGATCTTGGGGTGGAAGTCAAGTTAGTTTGGTCTGTGAGAACGTTTGGGTTGGGTGCTGCTGTGGTTTTTGATGCTTACTTGCGGGCAGGAACTGAGATGTGGTGTCCCAGTATCTGTTTGCCTTTTGACGTCTTGCCTCTCTTGCAATATCAACGGCAGACATTGCTCCCGAAGCCATATTGTGTGAGTTCAACTCAATATACAAGGAATGAAGTTAGGATACTGAGGATAGATTGCATGTTTCAAGGAAACGACGTGCATCAACGAGCTTGATGCTCGACAAAGAGAACGTAGTTGTGGCTAAAAGAATGTCTCAAAGCGGCCACTTGGGACAATGTCATCAAAGGAACGATCTTAAACCAAATCAAATATCGACGTTTCTTTGTATGTCTCTGCTGTGCATCTGGCAGAAGAGCCATTGTCACCACAAAGTCTCTAGGAGAATGAGAACAAAAGGGGTTGGCGTGCCTCAATAAGACTGCGAAGCGAGTTTTTCGCTACCCCTTTTCTCAAGTGACCGGCCCGCCAGATGAGGATCACATCACTTTGTGTGCTAGAATTCTGTGCAGAATCTATTGATGCAAATCTCAGATTACAGTCTAAACAGCGCTATCTAGTACATGCAGCAAAATCAAGCTTTAATCATAATTCACTCACTGAGTCACCGGCTTCTCACCGACCATACCGCCCTTAGCCCTCTGCCCAAACCCCCACCCAATCTGATTCGCCAACCTCACCTCCACGCCCAACTCTTCAGCCCAATCCCACACCAACGCCGTATTCCTCTGAAATGCCCTCCCCGCCAATATCACATCAGCCACTCCCTCCTGCAGATATTCTTCCGCCTGCTTCCCCTTCTTAATCATCCCCACTACTCCAGTCAAGACTCCTGTGCCCTCGACGGACTCTTTAACGGCCTTCGAGAAGTGTGCCTGGTATCCTGGCCCAGACGTGATTTTCTGCTCCGCCATTAGACCTGCAGATGTGATGTCGAGAAAATCAACTCCGAGTTCTGGAGCGGATAGCGCGCGTGCGAGGGCCACGCATTGCGAGATGTCCCAGGCGGGGATGGTAGGAAGGTGTTCGCACCAGTCTGAGCCTGGGATTCGGACGAGAAGAGGCATAGAGTCGGGAATATTGGCACGGACAAGGGCAGTAAGTTCGAGGAGGAGTCGCATGCGGTTCTTCAAGGAACCGCTATAAGGGGTAAGAAGTTGGTTAGTGGCCGCGGAGAGAGTCGAGTGTAGGAGGTAGCCGTGGGCGGCGTGGACTTCAACTGCCTAAAAAGATAGTTAGCTCATTATCAATCACCGAAGTGAAGTGAGGACTTACATCAACGCCAGCTTTCAAAGCTCGCTTAACAGCTTCTATGAATGACTTCTTGAAGCTGTCGATATCGGCCAAGGTCATAGGACGAGGAATACACGTTTCCTTGCTATAAGGGATATCACTCGCACTGATCACTTTATCAGGCCATCCACCAACTTCCGCTGTGGCAGCAGCTTTCCGATCAATCCAAGGCGAAACGGTGCTTGCTTTGCGCCCAGCATGCGCTAATTGGACAGCAACGTGTTGACCTTGACTATGTGCAAAGTCACAAATCCGCTTCAGAGGTTCGATCTGAGAATCTTTCCAAAGACCAGCGTCTTCAGGGGTGATTCTGCCTTTTGCGGTCACGGCTGTGGCTTCGGTGATGATGAGACCGGGACCTCGCTGGATGATGCCGCCTAAGTGCGTCAAGTGCCAGTCGGTGAAATGGCCGTCGTCGGCAGAGTACTCGCACATAGGGGACGCCCAGATGCGGTTTTGGAGGGTGAGTCCGCGGAGGGTGATGGGCTGGAAGAGCTTTGGGAGTGTGGTGTTGATGTTGGGGTGAATGATGGCTGTTCCTGATGGAATTGCCTGGCGAGGAGTATAGTATGGGACCTATGCTGTTCAGTAGTTGGACTCTATATTCTTTGTTAATAGACTCAGCCCTGGTGCTGCGACATTCTCGAGGGGATTTGCTGGTTGCGGAAGTTGCGCAACCTTCCTTGCTGGAGTTGGATTGGGCATATCTTCACCCTTGTGTTGAGTTGTTGGGCAGTCGTGATCACCCATTTTCTCTTAGGACGGTAGTGTTGATAGAAATTTGATGTGACTGTGATAGTTATGTGGTTGTTTGCAAGATAATTGTAGCTGGTGTTTGTCTCTGGCTGAGGTAGAAGCCATGATAGCGGAAGGTACTTGAATATATAATTCACTTGTCTTCAAACACGGCGTTTCCTTGCAATGTTCCGTATTGCAACTAATGTAGAAACCATGAAGCCATTGCGGTCCAGCATGGAAAGTCGGTCATTGTGGTAGCCGCCGATCATCTGCAGGTCTTCGGCACAAGGTTCGCACCCGAAACAAGCGACATTGAGCGAACCTGGCTACGGAAGAAACACGACGGAGAAGAACAGGTTGAAAGGTATCATTGACATCATGCAAAACATGCTCTGGACTGCGCGCTCCCCGAATAGTTGATGCGTCCGAGTTGAAAGTAATGATCAACCTGCTTACGACGCACGCTTATTCCCTCAAGCTTTTGCTGAAAACCTTAAAATTACGCAGAGAAAACAGCAGAGAAGGACTAGATGACTCAAACAATCCCTAATGCGATGCAACGAAATCAAAGAAGGTTCATGACTGGAGGATTGACCGAATTTGGGACACGGCGACGCGGAGGTGCGACGACGAAGAAGTACCGTTGAAGAGCGAACACTAACTGAGCACTACAGTCCTGTACGTCAACTGAGGATCCATGCTCCGACGCATCGGCAACCTCATCCCGCTCAGCGAGCAGCGCGAGAACCGAGCCTCATCAATCTTGTATTCAACACAGACAATTATACTGTATATAAGTAGGTCTTTGTATGGAACATCCATTACTTTCTCATCTCATCCTCTCTTAATCCTCCATTTATAATCTCATTCTTTCAGTGCTTAACTTGCGCACATCAATCATCAAATCTATCTTATCATCTACTTCTTCTATTTCAGAATGGCATCAAATCCAATTGTTCTTGTCACTGGCATCAACGGATTCATTGGGTCTCATATCGTTGATCAGTTCTTAGCAGCTGGTTACAAGGTCCGTGGGACTGTGAGAGCCGTGCCGAAAGCTGATAATATCAAGAGAGTTCTAAGCGAGAAGCACGGCGAGGGAAGAATTGAAGTTGTCGCCGTACCAGATCTTGCTGCTCCTGGAGCATTCGATGACGCAGTCAAAGGTACGCAATCACATTCACTCACTTACCCACAATTAGCTGACAATATTATAGGGGTTGATGCGATTGCTCATTGTGCAACAATAATCAACTTTTCCAGGAACCCAAAGGAGGTCATCCCAGACGCCATCGCCGCAGTGACTAGCATCCTCCACTCCGCTCTGAGAGAACCAACCGTCAAGTCCTTCGTCCTAGCGAGCTCAAGCATGGCAACCACACTTCCCAAACCCAATGTGCGTTTCGCAGTCGACTCCGACACTTGGAACGAAGAAGATATCGCCAGAGCCTGGGATCCCGAGCTTGTCAACGAGGACCATCATGATTGGACAGTCTATGCCGCAAGCAAAGCAGAAGCCGAGAAAGCTCTTTGGAAATTCAGAGACGAGAAAAAACCTCATTTCACTGTGAACTCCATCCTACCAGCAACAAACTTCGGGCCGGTATTAGTCAAAGAAGAGGCATCTTCGTCTGGAGCTTGTGTAAAAGAGATCTGGAACGGCGAAATTAACAAGGTCTTGGGAGTTCGACCACAGTACTACGTTTCGGTTCAGGATGTTGCGCTTCTGCACGTCGCGGCCGTGCATTTTCCTGATGTAAATGGGAAGAGAGTCTTGGCGGGGACAAAACCATATAATTGGAACGATGTTCTCAAGATCTTGAGAGAACTGCGTCCTGGACATGATTTTCCAGAGGATGTGGAAGGTTTGGGACATGACCTGAGCACCGTTGCCAATGGCGAAGCGGAGAAGCTACTGTTGAGATTCGCTGGTTATGGCTGGATTGAGCTCAGGGAGCTTATGGAGCAGAACTTAAGCAGCCTGGGTTATTGAAGTCCTTGTGAATTGCTTTGGATAGGGCGTGTTTGGATGTTTTGAGTTCTAGATCGCCTGCTAAGCTCTTCGTTTTTAATGAGATAAAGTTGTACTATCAGAATGCCGTCTTAAAGACTGAAAAGGTTATTCAGAACCAAAATGGTCTCCGATGATGCGCAAGTCTCTTTCTCTGCCCTTATTCGTCCTTTCAAACATTTTCTGATCTATCAATAGTCTTACAACTGTAGCACGCTCGATCATGAACGCAAGACCTCCTTCCGCACATCATAAGAAATACTCGTCTCGAAGTGGCTCATTTTGTACCACAAGATCACCCACATCAACCACTCGATAATCTTCTGCATCAACCAGCTCTTATCCTTGACACTCTCCCACCTAGACACCGCCTCTTTGTATGCAGCATCAATTCGTGGCCGACGAGTCTTCTCATACACTTGGAGGGCTTCTTCCACTGATACCTCGACACAGGTTTCAAAAACACGGGCAAATAAGATGCCATCTTCAATCGCTAATCTAGTACTTTCCCCTTGTGGAGGCATCTTGGGTCTGTTAGTGCGAGTAATTATTATAGGGAGAAACATACACAATGAGCAGCATCGCCTAGGAGAAGCACTCTTCCACGAGACCAACGACCACCCGCTCTAAGTGTGTAAACGGGATAGAAGACAAAGTCATCCGCCCTCTGTACAAGCTGATTCACACACAGAATGGCAGTGTTTCTGTACCTCCTTTTGATTTCATCCAAGGTCTTTTGTCGGTCACTTCCTCGAACTTTCCAACCCTGTCTGTCATTCTGCTCTCGTACTTCCATGACTGCTCCTAGGTAGACCTTGGTTCGATCGGGATCAACGTAGGACGTGAGTAATGAACCAAATCGACCTGAATTCATGGAGGTGTGGTGAAAGTGGGGCTTGGTTCCATAATCTTCGACAACGGTATACGCAACTGCGACGTTGGTGTAGATAGGTAAGCGTTCGGGATCAACGTATTTGGAGCGTACAGCTGAGTGCACACCGTCACATCCAAGTACGAAATCGGCCTTGATTTCCTCGCCATTCTCGAACACGGCTGTCACCTCCTTTTCGAAACTCTCATCCTTCATAGCCACCAACTTATATCCATAACTCACAACAACTCCCTTCCGACTCAAAGCACGCAACAATGCCCGCAATAACTCCTCCCTCAAAATCCTCAAAGCCGGACCGAATTTCCGAAACGGAAGCTCGCCGAGTTTCTTCCCTGTATGCAAAGAGAAAATCTCAATGGAGTCAACACGACATCCATACAATTCCACATCCAGCGATTCCAGTAATCGAAGGGCGTTTGGCGTCAAGTTCACAGCTCCGCCAATGGTGGCTGGTGTTGCGCGGAGCTCGTAAATGGTGCACGAGATGCCGATTTGAGATAGTGATAGAGCGGCTGTGATACCTGCGATTCCGCCGCCGATTATGATGCACGATTTGGCCATTTTTGGGAGAAAGAGAAGAGGTTGTTTGTCAAGAGATGGGAAGAGGTTATATAGATATAATATGTAGCTGCCTTGCGCCGCGTACTCACTTAAGCGAGGCTTGGCATTAAGCCCCTGAATCTCAAAGATTTCACTTGCGTGGATCAAAGACGAACATTGGGATTATCTACGTTGAGACATATCAATTGATTTGCTCAACTCTATCTGACCGTCATGCTCGATCAAAGTATCCAAGTCCTCAACCCTGCCGTGAATCCAAACCAATAATCTCGCAGCTCCACCTCCCTTCACTTCTCTTCATCCCCCTCTCAACCCATCATCTCAATCCTTGCCACGCTCTCAGCTTTCGATAACTGCCTCTCACACTCAGTAGTCTTCAACAATTCAGAACGCTCTGCTTCTCCCGTAAGGCGGAGATCCAATTCCTTATCCCGATGCAGGCTTTCCTCGCGCTTTTCTGCTGCAGCGTGCTCTGAGTGGAGGATTTCGATCTTAGTCTTGCTTTCCTCTTCGATGGCTTTAACTTGAGCTTGGACCAAAAGTATGTGTAGAGAGATCTTGGCTCGGCTTTCTTCTTCGATGGCTTTAAGTTGCGCTTGGTGCAGGAGGTTGTTTTGGGAAATTTTGGCTTGGCTGGATTCTTGAATGGCTTTGATTTGCGCTTGAATCAGCAGAGTTTGGTTGTCGCTCGCCCCAGCGACGCTGCTGACTTGGGGAGCTGGTGGTTGAGAGCCGTAGGGCCATGAGGGGTTTTGATGGTTCGCTGGTTGACCGAACATGTTGCTTGTCGTTGACGGGCTGAAATTCCTGAAGCTTGGATGTTTCCTCTTGGAGTGGAGGTAGGATACCATGAAATATTTAGAGGTTCTTTGTTACTGAAAAGCCGCTAAGACGTACCGACAGGAAGTTTCGAGACTGTCCTGTAGTGGACTGGATCATATGTGGATAGCCCCACTTTATTCTGAAGTGTTCGATTCTGTCTCAGAAGATGACCGAACATTCCAGGATCTTTAATAGATTCATCAAGACACTCCCGGAACTGGTCTTTGACACTTTTATATTTCAGTTCGTTTTCAAGTGTGGTTCGCAGACCAACTTGATCATCTTGACTTATCTAATCTCGACGAGTACTCAAACAGAACGCAGAAGAAATGGCTACGGAAGGTCATCAAGCATCTCGAGCACGCCTCGATGCAGCCGAAACCGAAGTCGATATTGCAAAAGCCGTAGCTGCTGAAGAGATCGATACCACGGCTGCAGAGTCTCGCCAGCGGATCGAGGACGCTGCTGCTATTCGACGTGCTCAAGTGGAAGCTATCCAAGAAGAAAGTCGAGTCAAAGCTGAGATTATGCGAGATGAGAGAGAAGATCGTCGTATTCTGGAGCAGTCGAAATTTGCAGAAGAACTTAAGCAGATTAAAGAAAGTAGATCGGAAAGCAGGAGACAAATGAGGAAGAAAGGGGATCTTGAGAAGGAGTTGATGGAGAAGGATAGCAAGAGAAAAATTGATAGGATGGATGAGGAGAGTCGAGCTAAAACCAGTGCAATGTGGGATGACTTCAACCTCAGGGAAAGGAGGGGAAAGAGAGCTAGAGAGGATTAGCACTTATTGGTGGCGACTGGGTTTGCAGATAGATTGGAATGACTGGGAGTGTCTGAGTAGTTCCCTTCAGCTGCTTTGACGTATCCATCGAGCGGTCTGCACTGCGAATATGGTCTTTGCGCTTCAGAATGACTGAATAATACCACTTTGCAGTCGAAAATCCCCATTTAATACCTCGGGAGGGGACAATGATCAGTATAAAGAAGGTGCGTGATTCTGAGATCCGAATGATCTCGAAAGCTCGTCTTGTCGAAGACCTTCATCCACTCTGTATGCACTGTACAATACTAATTGTGTAATACTACGCTGGGACCAGACTAGGTAAGCTGCTCTCAAATGAAAGACTTAAGTACCTCCATTGTCATCCACTACTTTCGTGCTATCCTTGAGAATTGCTTTGTCAAGACCATTTTCTTCGTTGGCAACAGGAACATCTCTTTTCGCTTCGGACAACTTTTCACCCTCACTCTCATCTCTATCAATCTTTTCTTTCCACCTAGCCTCAAACAATCGTTTCCGCAAGCTTACCTCCTCAATTAATAAACCCACTCTCATTTGAAGAAACCGCTCTTCTCGGTCTTGTCGAACTTTGCTCTCTTCATTCAGCACTTTCTCTCTGACAGCGAAGATGGTATTTTCTTGCTTGTCACGAACTTCTCCTGCACGGGTGATGATGTCCCATCTCAGTCTGGCTTTGGATTGTATAATTACAAGTTGTGCAGACTGGAGAGTGGCTCGTGGTGGAGGTATGGACAGTTGAGGTTGGATGGATGATTTCAAAGGTTGGAGCAGAATTCGATGACATTTTGAGTGATTCTCGTGAGAATGCCTTTCGAGTGACAGTGTGAAAAGTCCGAGTGGAAGAAGAAGACTCTCGTTCAAAAAATTGCTCTGCTTATATAAATCTGGAAACCAATTAGTGGTACTCGCGATTAAGAACAAACCTGGCTGTCAGAGATCATTCTATATATAGAAGGACCTAGCTACAACTATCATCGCACATACAATGCACGGGATGGTACCCTTTCCGAAAGCATAGCAGTACAAAGTAGACTTAGAACAGCTGAGCACTTTCCGACTCACGATCAATAAAAGATTCGGTCAAGAACAATGCTTCCCAACAAAATGAGAACAAGCGATTATGCTCAATTATCACGATCCTTTCTTACACACTCCATGTAGGGAGGACAGCAAATTGTAGGCCAAGAAATTTATTTGTCTATGCTACTGAAGTCCGTCCACGATATAGTGAGTTCATGAAACACGACGCAGCAAAGCCAAAATGCTTTTCCAAGAGTCCAAGACAACATTCTAAATACCCAGCAGAGCAATGGCAAGAGCGATCGAGAAGTAGGTCCTCTAGCAGAAGAACATAGCGTTGCAAGTCCGATAAGGACGATCGCCTCCACTCCAGATGCATAAATACCCGTCATCCATGCACAAATTCCAACAGCCTGGCGACGAAAATGTTGAGTACTTGAAAGAAAACTCATCCCACCACTGATTCCATGGCCACCAAGATACCTCAACGGTCCATGGGTATCCATCTCCACTATTATCAGATCAGCATGTTGTTCGACAGAAGGCTGGAGGAGCCGATATCGGGAACCCAAAGTTTCGCCCTATGTAATAAGAATCACTAGACTTGAACATCGTGAAATCCAAAAGTCCAAAGCCTAGCTTCCAAATCTCAATGATAACTTGCGCGGGATAGCTTTGTTGTACTTAGAGACAGCTGGATCAGGGTATACAGCCGGCATTAGAGCTTAATTGTAGAGCTAGATCGAGTGCAGATGTACTTAATTCCATAGCAGAGGATCGGAGCGCAAAGCTACCTAGGTCGCTCGGGTTGAAAGTGTCAGGAGTCACGTGGTGGACAGTAATTGAACGTGTTTGTTTCAAGCCACGTTGGACTTAATGATATGTGGAGAATTAATTTGGCGGGCAATAGAATAGAATGTAAGAGGAGTGGTTTAACAATAATATTTTATTTTTAAAATTGAAAATCACGAGAGCTTTTTTGGCAGGCAATGTGTAAACCCCAGAACAATTTCCATCTGCCGGACAAGCACGTCCAGGGTCCAGGGTAAGATGCAAAGAAAAAGCTTAGAGATCTGTCACTAGAATTGATCTCCTATACCTAGGTATTCTACCAGAACATGAACATGATTTGATGTATTTGTCAGCTTCGAGACCACCACGTGTCGTGTCTAATTTCATCGAGGCAACTCCTTCGAATCGGTGCCAGCGATCTCGAAATCTTTTCCATATTCTCCAGCAAGATGCCAAGAGCAAAAGAAAGTCGGTCTCGGCACAAATGACTTGCAATAATATGTCTCAGCCCAAGCCTTGTCAACATTCGGAAGAGGAACGATGCCGGGAGAAGATTTCACTCCGCACACCACGGAGAACACTGAGTCTCAGCTGGTCCATGTCCAATCTATACATGCAATTCAATGCCGATATCTTCCTTCGGGGTCCTGATGGACCTTCAGGGAGTCATGTCGAGCTGAAAGTCAGCATGAACGATTGCGCCGTGACGCTGCTCGTCAATCAGTCCAGCCTCAACACAATTTTGTTATTAGACCGCGGTCGAGGCAAAGAGAAACACCACAAAGCCTCGTCGAAAGAAACACGGGGTAAAGCTCCCTCCGGACATGGTACTTTTGGCGGCGTAGTGGCTGCGCCATGGCGTATGACGAATGAGACATGGCGGAAAACGTGCCTGCATAGTTCGACATTCACAGCGAGGCAACCTTACGCCTTTTGAATAATCACAATCAACATGGACACGTGCGAGTCAATCTTATATGATCGACGCAGAAATGCAGTAGAAGTTTCTGCAGTGTGTATGGAAGTTTTCTGATGGTCTTGGCAGTCCTCGAAGTTCCAAAGTACGCTCATCTTTCTTCCTATTTGATTCTTACAATGTCCATATTCATTTTTCTGTCTGTCTTGCTCCTCTTTCTTTGCTCGTCAACTTTCGTTCACGGTCATGGCTCTAGAAATGGCGACAGTCCTTCGTTTTCAGGAGCGGAGGAAAATGTTCGCTTTGCAGAAACGAACCCACTGCTTCAAGAGAGAGAGGAACTCGGATTGGAAAAACGTCAAGCTTGCGGGAGCGGGATAGGATCGTGTCCAACTGAACAGTGTTGTTCTAGTGGAGGTCAGTGTGGCACTGGATCTACGTATTGCGCGGGACCTGATTGTCAGTTGGCATACGGACCTGCATGTGACGGAAAGTATGAATAATCCGAAGTGAAATAGGTGTGGAGTAAAGTCTGACGCCCTGGAAGTATTTCACCGCCAGGCGCGAGTACAGCAGATATTCCTCGACCTATCCTGGGAAGTGTACCCTACGGTCAGTCAGCAACTTTGTGTATGATTCTACATACTAACGCAGTTCTAGGTGGAGCTGGTTTGTATCATTGCACAACACCCGGTGTTATCGCCCTCACATTTGATGATGGTCCCTATAACTTCACCAAAATGGTCCTAGCAACACTTGCAAAATACAATGTCTCAGCAACATTTTTCATCAATGGCAACAGTCTGGGTAAAGGTCGAATCGATGACCCCACCACACCTTGGCCCCAGATTCTCAAGAACATGTATGCCGCAGGTCATCAACTGGCTTCTCACACATGGACTCACCAAGATCTCACTTCCCTGCCAACAGATCTGATGCAAAATCAAGTCATCTACAACGAGATGGCTTTCCGCAATATTTTCGGCTTCTTTCCCACGTATCTACGTCCACCGTATGGATACTGCTCCGGATCTTCAAACTGCTCTCCATATCTCACCAGCATGGGATACCACATCATATACTGGGATGTCGACACCAAAGACTATCTGAATGATGATCCCACCTTGATTATCAACAGCGAGAATTACTTTGCAGGCAATACCTCGAGTCCAGCAAGTGGACATAGCTACATCCCACTGGCGCACGATATACACCTTAACACCGCGTTGACATTGGTAGCATATATGTTGGATACGTTGAATGCGAGGGGTTACAAGGCGGTCACGGTGGGCGAGTGTCTGGGCGATCCAAGAGCAAATTGGTATAGAGACGCAGGAGGGGTTCGGAGCGCTTCATCTACAACGACTCAAGCGACATCACCGAAACCCACAACTGGATCAATTTCTAGTACAGGAACAGTCACAAACGTGGCGTTGAGTCAAGTGGCATCTACTAGCCATCCAGGGGTGTCATCCACAACGCTGACTCCAGTGCCAACGTCTGATGGGAATGGTCTCTTTGCCTCGTTGCGGACGGCATCGACTTTGATACTTTGGGCATCCGCTGTTATTGTGAGCGAACTGCTGTGAGAACATTTCAAGGTAGAGTCAATTGGGCGACACCGAAAATGTTGATGGTTCAAGCAGCATTTGCGGGGTACTGCAAGGAGCTCTTCGTTGGAGTTGAGGGCAAAAAGTGATAGCAGACAGAAATTTGCAGCTTCATGTTAGACTCGGAAGCGCATTGTACATACTGTTACCGTTGCATATGGTCCTTCTCCACAAGTCCCAGGGCTGGTTTTAAAATCAAACAAGATGAGTTGTCGTGCAACGGAATTCTCAAGAACATTCTGTTTACACATTCCCCAAGATCTCTTCCTCTTGAACATCTCTCCTTTCGATTACTCTTTCGAAATCTCAACGACAACTTTCTTAGCCGAGACACCCTTTCTGAGAATGTCCAATGCATCTTGAACCTTTTCAAGCCCACCCTCAACAATCAAAGGATCGGGTTTCGCCTGAAACTTCCTAACTGCCAGAGCCTCGGGGATGTATTTGCGCCAAACAGCATCACCGACCTCAACATTAACCAGGCCGACATTCAATGCAATCACTAAGATACATTAGCCTCAAGCTTCAGCGTGCCCATTGGAACAGGTAGCAACATACCAAACACAGCATCAACACCTTCAGGAAATTGAACTTGTGGAGGATTCAACAACGGAAGTCTTCCACCGCCAATCTTCCCCACAATTTTACCGCATGCAATTTGCGTCTCATTGGTACCAATACAATCCACAACGAGATCACCTGGCCCGAGAACCTTCAAGATCTCGTCGACGATCATCGAATCCTTGTGATTAAAGACATGCGAAGCCCCCAGGTCTTTGACGTACTCGAAATTCGCACTGCTAGCTGTTGTAGCAACGCTATATCCTGCAGCCACTGCAAGTTGGATCACTGAACTGCCGCATGAGGAACTCCCACCCCAGACTAGGACCGTCTTTCCGGTTGGCTTGGGGTTCAGAGTTGGAAAGGGGAGTTTGTGGTGAATGAAGAGAGCGGCGGCTGCTGTGGAGATTGAGAGCGGAAGGACGGCGGCGTTGGCGAGGGGCAAGGAGTCGGGAATGCCAGCGACGAAGATCTCGAGGCAGGTGGTGTAATGCTGGTAACCGGTATTGGTGACTTTCTTGGTGACCATACCTTCGCAGTTTCTGAGCACAATTAGCAAAGTCCTTGAGAATGGTACTGGATCTTAGGTTGTTTTACCCAATGACTCTCTGTCCAAGCCTGAATCGGGTGACTTTGGAACCTAGTTGTACGACTGTTCCTGCAACATCAACACCCCAGATGAAAGGATACTCAAGGTCGAAGTATGGGTTGAGTTGCATCTGTAAGAGAAGGTGTCAGCGTTTGGGCTAGCATGTAGTAGGTGTCTCTCACGTTGAAGTCGCATGGGTTCACAGCAGCGTATGCTACCTTGATCACAACCTCGTTCTCTCCTGGGTTTGGAGTTCGTCCTGGCCCGACTTCCAATGGTCTTGTCTTGATAGCCGTTTGCCATGCTGCTTGATTGTCCGTAATTGTCGTCATTGTTACTGTCTAGAATGTGTTGAGATGAACTGCGAAACAAATATCGGATGAGAAGGAAGTGGTTGATAAGAAAATTATCATGTGTATATATATATACCATTCTCGACCAATTCTGTTGAAGGCTAAATATCAACACGATTTCCAACGGTCTCATGGAGCACCGTTGTAAGAACGGTCCATTTTGCGACATCTCATCATCAGTGGCAAGTTCTGTCGTGAAGTCAGGACGGAATATACAACATCTCAATGTTCTCCTGGAGGCATCAAGCGAAGAATGAATTCTGCACAGAGGAAGAACAGGAAGTGCTAATGATCTGCAGCGAAGTGACACGGAAGTCCGGCAGACCATCCGATCCACTAGGTCATCCCTTTCCAGCTTACCAATCAAGCCTGCAAGGTAACGACTGCCATCCACGGATTCTTGCCAGACAGTAATAATCTCAAAATACAACCAAACATGTCCCAGTCAAGCGATACTTCCGAGCCAAGCAAGCAATTCTCATGTACCGTCTGCGGGAAGAGATTCAATAACAGTAACTCATTTTACCCCGCTAATGGTTTCCCAAGACTCAGAGGACTGACGTAAAGTAGAGAGATCACAGATTCGGCATTCTAGTTATTGTCGAAAGAGGGCCAGAAACCCTCCAAAATCCAGGAAGAGATCATGTACTCCCTGTACGAAAGCCAAATGTCATTGCGATGGCTCCTTTCCGTCTTGCTCCAGATGCGTGAAAAGGAATGTTACGTGCATCTACCAGCATTCAACGCCACATGCAAATCAACTGGAACAGCAATCTCGGGCCGAAGTCCTTTCTTCAGATAGAGATATGACTCTGGTTTGCCATTCTACGCAAGATTATAGAGAAACAGCCCCTACACGTGACTTTGACGCCACTGATGAGAACCTTTTCCAAACCGAAACTTTGTTCGACGAAATCTCCTCTACCGCAATCGTAGAAGAAGCCCTCGAAAACTATGGCTCTACCGCTTTATTCCCCCATGGTCTGGCCAACCTGGTCAGTTCTGCTTTCCTGGACCCGAGATATGGCATGGATTTCTCCAACTTGGAAGCCTGCTATAATCTGGCATTATCGCCGGCTCTTCGTGCACCAAGAGCATTCAAGCCCAAGATGGTAAAACATCGCCAACTATCACTGAATAGAAAATATGTCATCTGTACTCTCAGGTCTTATCCCCAAATGCTGCTCCCAGGCAAGGGTCCACCTCCTTTCCTGCACCCTCATTGCATGGAACAGGAATATGACCAAAGCGAGAGTGCTCAGACATCCCTTATAGACCCTCTTGCTAGATGTTCTGGCATTGTGGCTATGTGGTCGGTCAAGAATAAGGACAATAGCTCTTTTATCTGGAGGTCGATCCGGATGGAGCAAGAGAGATTATCAGAAGAGGCTGGTACTATGTCACTGTGTTGAACTGTACTATACTAACGTCACTAGTGCCACACCTACGACACCCGGACAGCTGTTGCTGCCCTCCAAGCAGTCTCTGTTTACTTTATCTTCCGTGTATCCGAGCAAGACGAAGATGTTACAGACTTCGACATCCCACTCATCCAGACGATGCTTGTAAGTTCCATGCACGGGTAGCTGTCGTCAGTCACTAAGCTGTATCAACTTGCTTAGAATATTGCCATTCGGTTCAAAGAATGCTCTACTCGATGCTTCGACCCTTCAGCTAGCAGTGCACTCACATGGGAGCTGTGGATCCTCATAGAATCTCTGCAACGGTAAGAACTCAGAGGCCACCTCCTTTCTTCATCCCTGTACTAAAACCGACAGTACCATATTCGTGACTTTCATCGTGGACATCTTGTTTGACATATCGGCGGGAACGATCAGCGACTCCAATGCTTGCATTAAAGCAGACCATCTGCTTCAGATGAGACTTCCTTGCTCCAAGAGTCTCTGGAAAACAAAGACGAAATCAGAGTGGGAAAAAGAGTATGCAACGCAGACGAACTTTCAGCTTGAAAATAATTACAGGCACCCGCGGTTCATTGATCTCATACGACATGACGCTAATGCCAATTCTTTTGGAAGCTCGCTGGATCGGTGGATGTCAGAAGTTGATGATTTTGGGATGCTTGTTATAAACGCTGCAAGCTTGGTAGATGAGTTTGATTTTGGTGCTGGATGTTAGACAGGTGTCTATATTGATTCTCTGTCTAATCCGCACCTTTAAAGCTCTATACCTTAGGTTCTGTAATTGCTGCTTTACTGCTGCGTTGTCATTCTTTCTTTCCCATTTTTCCAATTTTTGTACTTCCTGGAGAGATGAAAAGAAGGGGCGTCTATCATACCATAACCCTTCTGAACATGCATCAACCCTTCGGGATTTGCCCTGCTCATCCTCGCAACGCTAGCCATAATGGGTACCCATCAGGCTGGGATTTGCGTTCTTCATACTCGCTACGGGATTGGATTGTGTTCCTACCTTGGACGTACACCTGCCCCAATTCACTTGTCTCACTTCCGATCCTGCTTTATCTGCTTGCATCCTCCTGACCCATGGTGTCAATGTTTGGCTCGAGATTCCCAGGCACCCGACTCGCGAACTCAACGTCATGCGGGGTAAGCTTCGTGCTAAGAACTCGACATTCAGGTCCGTTCCGCGGAGCAAGTGCAAGGTTGTGGGAGCCGCATTCCTAATAATTAATAAGCGCAACAATGCGGCCTTACATGATGACTTTCTGAAGGATCGCAATTCTAGACTTGCCTTTTTGGTAAGCTGTGTGTAACATCAATTATGAGAATACTGTGTCTTCATTGTACCAGAATGATTTGGATATATTACTAGTAGTCAATCATCGTTGGTCATGGAGTCATTGCATCAAGACAGCGCAATTCCTCACAACCATGGCACCAGATCTGAAGTTCTACTACGCACCCGGTGCCTGCTCTCTAGCACCACACATCCTCCTCCACGAAGTAGGAGCAAAATATGAACCAGTCATTCTCCGAATTGGCGCAACACGCACCGAATTTCCTGCATCTTTCAAAGACGTCAATCCCAAAATGAGGGTGCCGACTATAGTTATTGATCAAGAAATAATCACCGAGATTCCGTCCGTCTGTACAGCCATCTCGCAACTTACGCCTTCCAAGAACCTCATGGGTAAACCTGGGCTTGAGAATATCCGAGTATTGGAATGGATGAACTACCTTTCTGGCACCCTTCACGGAGGTGGCTTCGGACATTTATTTCGACCTGGAAGATTCACGGCAGATGAGAGCAGCGAAGCGAAAATGGGTGTAGAGAAGAAGGCAAGAGAGGCGATTGGAGAGTCTCTGGTGTTTGTGGAAGGCAGATTAAGGGACGGGAAGTGGGCGGTTGGGGAGCAGATGACGACTGTGGATGTATTTTTGCTTGTGTTTTGGAGGTGGGGTGTTGCGTATCGGTTTGGGATGGAGAAGTATCCGAGGTATAGGGCGTTGATGGAACGGTTGAATGAAGTGGAGAGTGTGAAGGAGACGTTGGAGTTCGAGAAGATTAAAGCTATGTTGTGAAGAGGCGGGGGTATATTAAAGGCGACGCACTGAACAAGGAGGCATTGCTGAAGCTTGACTATCCTGATTTATTTTTTGGCTTATTGTATTCGCGAGCTATGATTAATCATTGTATTCTTCATCACCGAAGTGTGTGAGCTTTCTAGAGGCCAGTGCTCGACATCGACACTGCATTTAATCTGATTAAATCACAATGAAGTGTTTGAAGATCATACATAGATTGGGCATGGATTAGAGCTTCTCGCTTGGTATGCTGTTGTTGGTGCGAGAAGTCTTCTACAATCTGGGGATGATTGGCATTAGTCAATCCCAAACATGATTCACTCGAATACCCTGTACTCAGGCTTCAAGTATTCCGTTGCGCAGCTACACAAGGACCGAGCACTCTAAACTCCGAAGCTTCTTAGCTAAGGAGGAAGACATGCGGCACTTTCTTTTCCATTGCAAAGGTATCAACACTTCCGGGGAGACATGATCGAAGGAGGAGAGCGATATGGTAATCTGTCGTATATGCTAGGAGCGAGGTTTTCTTACCAGAATCCTGATGGATCCAATCCAGACGGGCCAATTGAGAAGTGGAAACTCGACTTGAAAGCAGTACGGGCGTTGATTAAGTTCGCTCTGAGAACAGGGAGACTAGGACCACAATCGTAGGCGATAATACTCAGCGCGGATTTGAAGTGTTTGTATAGGAAAGAGATTATCGGAGTTGACATGCGTGAGCTGTAGAATGATTTTGATCCCGTGATGTAAATACATATTTAGTTCAGGTCAGCTGGGAGTGGGACTATATAGGGCCAGACCCTGAAAAGCCAAATCAAGCCAAATCAATGATTGCTGCTCGTTGCACTCCACGGACGCAAGGACATGCATCAATGGATCTTTAATGTAGCTATCAGCTTATGTGGCTTTGAAACGCGGTCATCATTCCAGCGTATAATCGCTCCGTAGAATCACCATCAAAGTCCGTACCAATGAAAATCTTGCCATTCCTGACCGGAAAGAGCAACCTATGAAGAGTTGTTGCTAATGGCACGTATTTCCTGAACGGCTCTGTGAATTCCTCCAGCAGTTTTGGAAATTCTGTTAGCTGCATGTCCTTTCTCTTACTATGAAAAGAAGCCAGGAAGTCTGTGCCGCGCCACGTATGAAGACGACTGGAGTCTGGGATGTGTTCAGAAGTAGTCCCATCATGGCAAATAGCTATCCACAGGAAGACGTAGAATACAGACTCGAGATCATGTCGATATGTATGATCGTTACCACCTAGTAAACCAGCGGCCATAAATCCTTCTGAGCCCACAAGTCCTTCTTCGCTCGGCGGATTTGCAAGATCGAGAGCGAGATCCAGGTCAATAAGCATCTCTGTAGGGCTATCAGGGTCTGTATCGCCGGGGATCTTAGGAACAATGATGATATTCTGCCGGCTGATATCGCGATGAAGGATTTTGGCGTCGAGATATAGAGAGCGAAGTGCTTTGACACTATCGCGAAAGACGGTCATTAGCACTGATATTGTGGAGAAAGTATCAATTGACCGTCCGAGTGGAGATGTGATAATGCATTCAAATATGAGGTTGTCGAGTTTCGATACCTCCTTATGCGCGTGAGAAGATTCTAGCGTTTCGTGATGAGACTTGGGCGACGGTGCGACCAATGTTTTCACCCCATCGACTCCCTGATTTTCTGGGCGAGAGAGCTGAAAGCGGTACGGAGTATCAAACTGCAGTCCTTGTCGAAGTTGTGCGACGTCTCCTAAAGCCTGGTGGCCCTCGAGTTTGAGAATACCCCAGACATTCTGCTTGTTCGCGAATGCTAGTAGGTTACGTTCTCCACCTCCTCCGTCGTCCGACTCACTCCAGGCAAACTTTACTACCAGTCTTTGTACCTTGACGTCCACATCACGCGCCTTGAAGCAGGTTGTGCCGGGTCCCACGAGGCAATCTGGCTTCACGAATGCGTCGTCGTCGATGTATATTTTTCGCGCGTCATGTTGCTCGATAAACATAGCTTGGCCATCTTCTTTCAGCATCAAGTTCAAACCAGCATCGGCTGCGTCCAAGCGAGTATAGCAAGTGATGACAGCTATGAAGTAGTCCGGTTCTTCTTCGATGTTAAATGAGTCGCTACTGACTGCTCCAGCCCTGTCGAAAGTCCACATCTCCATCGTAGAATTGTAAATGTGGAAGGCAGGAAGGAAGCGGCGCTCGGATCGAGTTATAAGCAAATCTCGGGCTGTTTTGCAAAACCTCAGAACATTTGTGTCATTAGGTGATTTGCCATGACCATGTTCAAATGATCCCAGAACTAGGATGTCCGAACCAGGACAGACTCGATAGACCATTGTGTCTTCTTCTGACACGAGAGACAGATTCGCACATGCCTCCTTGTTGCTGCTGCTGCTGCCGCCGCCGCCGCCGGTGACTGGGAAGCTTCGAGACTCGAATCGACGGGGACAGTTAGCTGTCTGCTGGGAAAGGAAGCCCGAAATCCATTCGAGTGAGGTCTCCGAGGAGCCGAGGGTCGGTGGCGAGGTCCCAGTACGAGCGCTTGGCTGCGATATCGATTTCGCAGGCTTCTGTAGGGCTGCTCGATCAATACCTGGGAAATATTTCGCGGCATAGCCTGACACATTGCGATAAACCGAACCCTCGAACTCAGTAAGAATACTTTCCAACCCACTGAAGTCGTCCATTGCCACCATCTCAGCACTGTCCATGTTGCGATGTGATGGGGGCGATGAACAGGACGTCGCTGTCATGGGAACAAAGCCTCATCCTCCGGGCTCGGACTCTGCTCAAGAACTTCATGTTACATCATTTGACGGTATTTGAGATGGAAGAGGCACGATAAAGTCCACCAACATCAGAAGTCTGGTGAAAGGGAATCGGAATGAAAATCAAGCTTCCGGGACGGCATGATCGAGACAAGTCATTCTGATGTTGCGTCGAGGATCACTATCAGTATCTCAGTTGTTTGAGTAGCATCATTATTTGCTATGTTAAACATGGAGTTGTCGACCTTCACTGGCGTGGGGGTCGATTTAGTAGAATGTTTTCTGGATTATTTAAGTGAGAATCAATTCTTTGAAAAATTCTGCAATACATTCACCCAAGACATCTTCATTCTATTCACCTCATCACTTTTATAAATCTCGTGTAAGCCAGTATCTTCATCTGTATTAATAAAATGAACCTCTTCACCTTCTTAGCTGTTCAGATTGCTCTTGTCATGGCTGGTCCCATGTTCATACACAAGCAACACTTGAACGAAACCACAGCTCGCGGTAAGTAGCAACCACTCAGCTCCAGGGTAAATGCAGGTTTCGTCGTTCATATCATCTCTGATGCTCGCATAGTACACCCAGCCACAGGTCTTGAGACTGGAATCACCACTGGCTCTTGCAATGGCATTAAGCGAGGTATTTTCTTCTTCTACTGTCGATTACTTTGCTATTAAAAATTTTGACTTACTCGTCCAGGACTTCCAAGAATAGAGCCGGATGAATCTACTTTGGCAGTGCCAGAAGCTTTGGCAGGTATGTCTAACTCCCCGTCAGCATTCTTCGGCTTTTGCAGTCGGAGCAGAAAATGGTTCCTAACTATCAAAAGCCCGCCAAGATCCAAATATGATCCCCACCATCATAATCGACGCACTGGCTGAAGATGCGTGTTGATGGCTTGATAGGCACCAACGATTCCCTTGTCCAGCATTCATCTAGATTCCGGACATTACTAAGAGAAAAAAAAGCCTACCGCAACGGAAGCATTGACAAGAAGAGGCAGGACCTTGCGGGGAGGGAGTTTATGTTTGGTGATGTTGACATACTGAAGCAGAGGAAGAGATAATTAACAAGTTTGATGATCAAAGTCCGCTAGGATGAAGATACTATATACTTCTTAGGACTGCAAATTTTGACGAGGAAATTTCATTACCCCCTAACTGTGATTTTAGATAGAAAGCGTAAGTGATTAGAGATCAGTGAATGTGCTGTCCTGACTAAGATATCATTGCGTTTTCGATATCCTGCGAGTAGTAGAAGAAGCTCTCAGGTGGCACTCTTAATGTACATCTTAGAGAGGTGCCTTCAGTGACAACACCTCAAGGAAAATGGGAGGCATATCACTATTCTTGTGATTGTCTACTTTGTCTGAAACTGAACTAAGAACATGCTGTTTCTGCCCATTGATACAATGAAGGAGGGGATGAGAATAATTGATTTGTGAATGCTTATCTGACTATCCCCGGGAAATCGCGTCATAGTAGTGTCGAGATGATTCACTTGAATGGTTGTTGCGCGCTGGTCACTTCAGTCTTCGGCAAAGCTAAAACAACAGCTAGATAGCGCGAAGTGCAGAAAAGTCCAGCAAAGCTTCAAGTTTTCCTTTTACTTCCGTGATTATCGGAGAATTCGACATTCGCGATGGCAAAAGAATTTACACTTAGTTCCATTTCGTCTTCTTCTTCCGAGCACTCATTAGAAGACAGACAATCTCCAAAGGAAAATGTATATCAAAAGAATTATCCTCCAAAGGCGACTCCTCAACGATCGCCCTCTCAGGAAACTCTTCTTCCCCGACGGGCTCGACCTCGTACTCCAATTCTCCCACTCCAAGTCAAATCCCAGTCAAAACCTCAATACCCCATCGAAGACGAACATTCAGAGTCCCAATCCTCCACCAGCCTAAGCAACAATAGACCGGACGATGATCAGAAATCGCGCAACACTTCAGGCTACCAAGCGGATGATGAAGACAGTCAAATAAGCAAATCAGACAATTGGAGTAGCGTCTCTGAAAATCCGCCAGACATTTGCGAGAGGCTGAATAACACAATGTTCTGTCAGGAGGGAGAGGGACTTTGTGGATGTCAAGGAGATTGTTGTTTGCCATCTTGTGTGGTCTCATGAAGGAACTGGAGAGGAGTAATAATTCACGCCAGAGGGACAGACACTTTGAGATTTGTTGTATATGACTTGCACGGACAATGCAAGGATGAGAGTAGATGACTCAATGCCAGACATTCTGATTCGATTTTGGAGAGAAGGCTTTGTGAATTTCGTATTGACTTTGACTTCCAAATGATTCCCCTTCCTGAATCAGTGATCGTCTAGCAAACAGACATTAACAAACTTCATGTCTGTGGACTAGTCTCGAAGCGTCTATAATAATTTCGACTCTAGACAACTTGGCTTCATTCTTTCTCGAAGTGTGGTGAACGCAACACAAACAACAGATTTAGAAGAGCAAAATGGACATCTCAGCAAGTGTTGCATACACAGAAGAATACCAAAGGAGAATGCGCGAAGCAGACGATGAAGATACAGCTGCACACGAGGAATCGAGTCCACTCTCGGCAACAGAGATTGATCAGCCTAGAGGAGAACCACAAGTCACGACAGACAAACGTTTGGCCAAGAAGGTTTCATGAAGATGTGTCATTCATGATCTGGATGTCCTTCTTTCTCTAAGCTTAGGACTGTTGAGAAGGATTAGAGGAATGAAACTTGATGAGTGGTATGCTATTTGGATTTCAGGTAGAGCAAGCGAAGAGGGGAAGGGCAAGGGGAAAGGGGGGGGGAAATCGGGCTGCACTCGCATGGCTTTCAAGATGTGCAAGGTAAAACAAAAATATTTCAAAGCCAAACTGCATATTTTGTCCAGACAAAATGACAAACTCAAAGCAATTCCTTGTGATCGGGGGTATTCATCGCTTCCCTTGACTCTTTCTTCCCCTCCTTCTGCCGCTCCCTCTCCAACTTCCGCCTTTGTGCATTCCGGCAAGCAGGCTCGCCGACCTTGATATACCAACTCAGCAACGTAACTTTCCGTGTTCCCCAACCGACTTTGAGATCGAAAGAACTTGAGAACCCGCCGACGCATTCATGTTCGTCTTTCTCAGTATCGGGATTCGCCACCAGCTCCCAGTCCTCTGGGTCGCGGGCTTGCGAGGGAGAGTTGGGCTGTGGGATTATGTTGGTTTCTGTTTGGATTTAGTTGAGGAGTTTGTTGGAGATTGATTGTTATACCTGCTTTTGGAACGAGACTTTCGCTCTCCTCCGAAACAGGGTCGGTCTTCTGGTCGTTGCGAGGGGCCCCAAAGTGCGTTTCGAATGTAAATCCTAGCACTTGTGAACAGAAATCTACAGAGGATGAACTATGAAGCTTACTGGATGGTTTTCGATACGTTCCACCTTGTTGCGCCATTTTGCGATCAATTGTTTTGGATTCTTTGAGATCGAAAATAATGTGCATATATCCGTAAGTTGCAGCCTGATATTTCTTGACATAAATAACGCAGCCCCGCTATGCAGATCAGCGAGATCATCTGACCAACTGAGCGACTGATGACTGCATACGGAGCATGTATGATGACAATTATGTAGTTACTTTATTAGATAGCCCTCATTGCTTGATGATTTGATAGTCTATGCGGTTTGGCAGGGTACTGTTGCTCTTCTTATTTATCGGCGAACGCAATGTTAGGCATTGCTAAAGGCCAACACGTTCCATCAATGCCAACTTGCAGCAGCATGACAATTTCGCGAAACAATTGAATTTGCTATCATAGCTCTCAAATTCTCATTTTCGATCAAGAAATATAGTACATGAAAAGCGTCTGGTCTCGGGAAGTGAGGAAAGACCAGACAGCAGATCAATAATTCTCTGCCCACAGTTAAAACGTCTCTTGTATTAAAGCGATCTATAGTAGGATGCTTTGTTTGTGACTAGTTATATTAGGATTATTGATATACTTGAGTAGTGAGTAGGAATCCACAAATAGATCTACGTTGAAGTTATTCGAAAACTTCTCCAATACCCAGGCTCAACAATTTAAGACTATCCGTAAAGGCAAACTTGCAGGATACTTACCTGGACCTGGACACAAATATCACGTCTCATGCTCCTCTTGAACAACGACACCCTTCTCACTCGGCTCTTCAGCCGAAGTAGCAATCATGTCTTTCCCAAACAAAGCGTCAATCTCCTCCAAAGCCAAGCCTGAGGTCTAGATTTCCTTGCTTTAGCTTATACTCAATGTAGAAGGGGAGATACATACTTCGGGTAGTTTAAACCATAAATGGATGAAATGTACAATGCCGAGACAGAGGAAGACAAGATAATATTTCCAGCCAATTGTAGCTTGTGCCGTCGCAGCTAGGTCAACCCACAAGACGTCTGTGAGGAAGAAGGCGGCGAGAGAGTATGAGGATCCTTGTGAGCGCAGATGTGAGGGGAAGATCTCGGTTGCGACAGTGTATTGGTTGACGTCAATGAATGCCCCGTAACTTTCGCCAAAACTTAGCATGAATACAATACTTCGAAACAGTTACAGTGATCCTGATGTGAAGAGTACTTACAAGAATACGTAGAGGAAGAGAAACGTAACAGCGGCAGCTGCATAGGTCTTCGAAGCGTTCTCACTGAACTTGGCGATCAAACCCGTAGCTACAGTGAACATGACTATACAGCCAGCGTATCCAACCACTGCGATCAAACCATTAGTACTCTGTGATCATAGGCTGCGGGATACTGATGTAAGAATAGCCTACAAAGAGCCTTCCGTCGCCCTAGTCGATCAGACACTGTTGCCCCGCCCATATTCGCAAAGGCGGCCCAGGTGTTATAAGCAGCACTGACAACAAGAGCCTGTGTATTGGAAAGACCAAGTGATTGGTAGAGCAACGTGTTGTAATTGTTGATGACGAGAACGCCGATGTTCTGACCGCCCATCATGAGCACGAAGCCTAAGATACTCCGGCGGCGGTAAGTTGGGATAGTGAACAGCTGCCATTGACCATGTTCAGTGATCAGCGCAAAGTCTACCTCCAACTGGCTCTTGATGAATCTCAGCTCTTGGTGGGCGAAATGATCTTCAGGGTCTGCGGGATCGTGATGCAGTTTGCAAAGGATATCTAAAGCCTTCTCGTCTTGACCTTTGGATACTAGCCATCGAGGACTCTCAGGGACTTGTAGGCAAATCAGTAACATGGCAGCTATGACACCGGAGGAACAGTCTTACCGAAAAATGATCCAATCAAAAAGCAGATTCCCCATAGACCTAGGACGGCATTTGGGAAACGCCAGGCAAAGGACGAATGGGATTCGAAAAAGCAGCCGAATCTGAAGTCGGTAGATTAGAGAAGCCAAAGATTGCAGTCTCAAGACCAGTCATTGACTTACCCAATCCAACCAGCAAGAGCAAATCCTATATTGATACCAGATCCATGAGCTCCGGCCATCAAACCACGCGAATGAGGAGGAGAGACTTCGGAAAAGTATGTCGGCATGGCAGCCATGGTCTGACCAGCCGCAAGTCCTGTAATTACACGGCCAACTAGCCACTGCATATACATCAGAATTGTGAAGGAAGACAGCTCCAGATTTGACTAACCATCGCTTGATTGACGGCACCTGTTTGAATCGCGGCACCGATGATACCAACAAGCGCTGCAACCCTGAATCCGTGAACTCGACCTAGTCTATCACCAAGCCATCCGCCGAGAAGACATCCTATTGTGCCTCCTGCAAAGAAAACACCGTTCGAAGCTCCAATGATAGATGTTGTATGACTGTAACCAGGTGCTCCAGTAGTAGGCTCTAAGTGCAAGGATTTATACCATGTAGGTTGTCCGACGGTTTGAACGATGATAGCAAGCGAGTAACCAGTGAAGAGTGAACCAAATGCGGCGAAAAGCACAACCGAGACGTTATAGAAACTGTAAGTCTCCATATTGTCCTCAAAATTGCAGCAGCTAGTAGAAATGGAAATAAATGCTTTGACAGCTGTAGAATACGATTTCGAGATGATATGGATTCAAGCAGAAGACAGCTGCCAAGAACTCGGTAAGGGGTAGCATATATACAGGTAATACCCATGTCTGCAGTGATCCTTCCTGCTGGGACGACTCCGCCAATTGACAAAGTGTAGCCCAAGCTTTCATCACGATGCATACCCGTTGCAAACATCTGGGGCACCAACGAATGAAAGTTTCGCAAGAGCAATTGGGAACCTGGGGTGCATTGCGGCCCCGCTGACAATGGAGGGCTGCGGTCTGGTAAGTGGGCATAAGTCTAACCCGATGGAGTTGCTGCCGAGGCGATTTGGTTGTCGGGAATGATCGCCAAATGATCACCAGCCGAAATGTCGCTGGAAACTTATTCCTCATTGGCTTCAAAAAGATTGCAAACATACGATCTGAGAAAGGAGATAGCCGATCGCGCATGGGGGCCATAATGAAAATTCCCAGACTTGAGAAAGGGTGCAATTGAACTGATGGCTTTAAATGTCCAAAACTTCATGACACAACCAAGTGCAATGGAATGCTAAGAGAAGCAATAAGAGCCAATACATCGCTAGATGGGCTGCTATTGCTTAGGGAGTCTAGCATTGAACTTGTGCATAGAGATAAAAGGATTCTTCAACTGGAAGTGGGGCGCAAGAAAGGGACGGCCTCCCTCAAAGATGTCAAATGCTATCTCTATGTCCCCTCTCAGATGAACTCCCAGTCAAGACCTGCGCCTTCCGCCCTACTTACCCCACAGAATAGCACAAATCCAGTCAATCAGAAGTACAAGAATACTATGATCGGCTATGGCACATCACTGAACCACTTATCCTGTAACAACTGCCTCGCAGTTGGACGATCCCTCGGGTCCAACTTCATAACCTTCAACAGAAATTCCCTGTCCTCCTCTGTCTGACTGGACACTTCGCTTTCCCCGACTGTAGGGTAGGGCCCCAACAAGAGTGCCGGGCTACGCGAAGCCGACTATTATCTCTTTTGCGTTGGAATGGTCGAAAGTTTGGACATGCTTACATAAACACGCTAGAGTCGCCAAGGAACTTCCATCTTCCTCAAACTCTTGCTCTCCAATACAAGAGCGAGCCTCCACAACCATGCGACGAGATCGAGACCCTCTTTAAGGGAGAGAGATTACGGTACGATGTTTCCGATATCTATTCGAGAATACGATGTCCTATCAGTCCTATCAGAAGTGGGTTCTGCGATCTGTTTACCCCACTTGACAAGTCTATCCTTACGCGTCAAAAATCTCGGGCGCTTTTTATTCCATTTTCAGTAACCTCTGCGTCTCCATATATCCTTGGCTACAAGACAGTTTCTTGCAGAGACAAGCAGCAGATGAATTCTCTTGGCATTGCACTGCCCCAGTCAATTGGCACATCAATCATGATGGCGATGAGATTGTTGCTTCTTTTCCCTTTCTTTCACTGTCTGGACGGTGATGGGACGTCTGCGGAGTCAATATCATGAGGTTTGCTATTTTCACTGCTCTGCCTGCTGCGGTAAGAGCGCTATCTTTCAGTGCATATGATCTAGGATTTCATGGCATCTATCCCACTCAGAACTACCTTACTCTAGGTCGACCTTCTCCGTGGGTCCAAATATCGCATTGGGACTCGAGATGCGAAAGTGATGATGCGTTGATCCTCCTTACCCCTCGCGGATCCTACGTCCCAAATCCAGGCCCGGTCATTGTCGATGCGAGAGGAAACCTAGTGTGGTCAGAGAGTAAATATGGACAGGCGATGAACTTGCAGGTGCAGAGATACAGAGGACAAGAATATTTGACCTTCTGGTCAGGGACAAGTCATGGAGCACACTCGAATGGGTCGTATTATATGGTGAGTCTTGGTAATCGGCATGCTCCTATGCTAGTCTAATAAGACAACAGCTCGATTCGACATATGAGCCCATACACCGAGTCTCAGCAGTGGGAGCAGACCTTGGAGGTGACTTACACGAATTCGAGATTACAAGCGATGATACAGCGCTCATTACCATATACCAGGACGTCGAAATTGATTGCAGATCATTAGGCTTTGAGAGTACATGTTGGATCAACGACTGCTTGTTTCAAGAAATCGATATCGAAACAGGCAATCTGCTTTTCCAATGGCGAGCATCGGACAACGTTCCACTGACGGACTCATACAAGAGCAGAGGAGGCGATGGGCGAAGTCAAGATACGTCCTATGACTTCTTCCATCTGAACAGCATAGAGAAGGATTCGAATGGTAATTACTTGATCTCGTCGAGGCATATGCACGCTATCTACTATGTTGACCGGACGGGAGATATACTCTGGACATTGGGCGGAAAACATAGCAATTTCGAGGACTTGTCGAACGGTCATGCTTCGAACTTTCGCTGGCAACACCATGCACGGTGGCACGAGAACTATACCATCTCTCTTTTCGATAACAACGGGAACAACGTTTTTCACAATCGCGCCGAACTCAGTCGTGGCATGACGATCTCTCTTGATCTTGCGAGTATGACAGTGGAGCTGCAGAACACTTACGTCCATCCAGACAAGATACTTGCCATATCGCAGGGCTCCATGCAAGTCATACCTGAGTCGGGCCATGTTCTCATCGGGTGGGGAAACACACCAGCATACACCGAATTCACAGCAGATGGAGATGTCCTCTGCAACATGTACTTCGGCGCATTGTTGTTTTCTGAGATTCTTGACTTGGGATGGGTGAAATCATATCGAGCATTCAAGAGTCCTTGGGTTGGAAAGCCAAAGGCACCTCCTGACATTGCTGCCAAAGATGACAAGGTGTTCGTGAGTTGGAATGGAGCTACTGAGGTGGCCAGTTGGCGACTGCAAAGTGCCGAGTTTCCTGATGCTGCTGAAGATGAATTTGTTGTCGTCGGGGAACTCCCCAAGAACGGCTTTGAAACGGCATTTGTCTTTGATGGTGTCGAGGACCATTTCGTCCGAGCTATTGCCCTGGATGCCGCTAGCAATGTGCTAGGGACTACGAAGGTTATTGATTCCATGCCTCCACCTGTCGTAAGTATCAATCTTTTTTGTTCACATCGTTGGTGCTAACTACTCAAGGTTCCGCTTTGGTCAATCATCTTATTCCTCTCGAGCTTGATTATTTCTGGATTTCTAGTTCGGAGATACCGAGTCATGATCTGCATTCAGACGTCGAGGCTTTGGAGGTCACTCAAACGATATCGAAAAGATGAGAACCATATGTACGAGCTTCTGGAAACGCAGCCCGAAAGAACCTCTCTCGCGAATGATGTAAATCGCATAAATACGTAGCACTTGGTGTTGATAGCTACTGCTACAAGCTTGCGTGTCTACTGCTGTACATAAACACATAGAGGATGGTTGCATCGACCAGAGTAGCATTTCTTTGGCTATAAAGCTCGACAGAGTTATATGTCATTTCTCGGGCAACGTTTACATTTATACCAACCTTTTCTCTTGCGCTGATATAGCTGCATTTTGTTATTAAACTTACCACCAATGCTAATGTATACACCTGTCATGAAGACCTCACGAAGCAGAAGTTTCTGCGCTGTTGTCATGTGTTTTCTCGCTGCTTTATTGCATTTCTGATTCCAATACGAGTATTTACGCTACTGCCGTTGTGATTGGAGTTTGAGTTCATCCATAATTTATATCGCTGCTGCGACTCGCGAGGCTCGAAGGCAGCAGCACAGCACAGCCCCGACTCACTTTTTGTACATTACCCCACTCTCCCCAAATCCAAACTAAATCATCCCCACAAGTATTATATCGTCTAAGAACGCTTGTTACACATGCATAACTCTGAGAGTACCTTGATTTTCAATCGAGTCAATTGGCGCCATGGACGAAGAATTCGATCACGATAAGAAGATCAATCGCGCGACGGACTTCAAATACCCCACTATTCAGGCTAAGCGGCAAGTCCGATTATTGCGAGCTCGATTTGACGAAGAGCACAAGAATGTAGTCTACTCTCTAGAAGTTGTTCCTCTTTCTGAGCTTCCTTGGGAATGCTACAAAGCACTCTCCTATACTTGGGGTCATGCTCATACAGCAGACGACGTACGAGCGATCCAGATTGACAACCAACCATTTTCTGTCCGTCGGAATTTGTTCCAGTTCCTTGAAGCTGCTGCAGACCGAGAAGAGTATGGATTGTTCTTCATCGACGCAATATGTATCAATCAACTCGACCATGAAGAGCGGCAATCTCAGGTCCAGGAAATGGCACGTATCTATCGTAATTCCAACGAAGTCATCGGCTGGCTCGGAATACCTGAGATCAATCAAATAGATAACATTCGACCTTTGAGCGGAACCAAAAGAAATGCTCATGAGGGTTGCCCGACATGGTCATCTTCACAATGGGAGGGCTTCAGATACCTCAGCCAACACAACTTCTGGAGTCGACTCTGGATTGTACAAGAAGTATTACTAGCTGAAAGCATGACAATCTGGTGCGGTTCTTTCACATTCCCTCTCTCACTCTTCGGAAGCGCTACAAAGACCTCTCCAATACTCGATGTAAGAATCGCGCCGAATGGACGACCCCACAAGGTCATTAGCCCGACAGCACGACTACAAAGCCCTGCAACAACCATTGTAACACACAGACTTCGATCTGTTCCTCGTCCACTCAGAGGTCAAGACCCTCTGGCACAAGGGACGATTATCGGGACCTTGGAAGAGATGACAACGGGGCTAAAGAACCCAACTGAGCGAATGACAACGTACCAGTCCAAGATCGCAGACTTGTATCACGAAGTCATCAGCAAATTTGGGAGACTGGAATGCTCTGATCCAAGGGATAAATTATACGGCTTTCTAGGCATTTTGAACGAGAAGAGTCGCGCAAAAGTGGACGTCGATTACAGGAAGGACGTCAGCTACGCATTTTACCAAGCACTGAAGATTGGGATCCAGGAAATCTTCCTCGAACATGGAGGCGTGGTCTATCCTGATGATCGAAATTGCAAGAGTTCCGACTACCTGGCATTCTACTGTGATGTGAGAGATGCGTTTGGGATAGATGATAAAGAGACCTTGGTTATTCTTGGGAAGGTGTTGGAGGAGCTGAATTTTAGAAAGTGGGTGCAGGAAGCGGAGTTTGAGGTTCAGAATCAGCAGCAGTTTGTTTGGAGGGATCAGATTGTGGATGTTCATCCTGGGTTTAAATGGTTGTCGATGTTTGCTGAAATAGAGAAAGAGGGTGAGGATGGGGGGAATGGGTTATACAGGTATCATCAGAGACAGGGGAAGATGATTGAGAGGTTGTGAGTAATATCTCTCTGGAAAGTTTTCGAATTACTGACAGATGTTTAGGATGGCTTGGTTTCGAGATCGGTCACGGAGAAAGGACCACTTTCGCAGACTCGAGAAGTCTCGCCAACAGCCTTTGATTGTGAGGGAGAAGTCATGAATTATGTTCCCATTACTCTTTGTTCTGCGCCTTCAGTTTGTGTTCGTGGGCATTTAGCGTATGTTGGATATCCATCTTACACCAGATACTTTAGACATAGATCAGTATTTTACAGTATCCGGGTCTCCAAGGAGAAATAAGAGTAAGCACGGAAGTATGATTTTGCCGGACGACGTGTTCGGCTCCAAGGTGTTGCCTAGTTACTGTGGCTCAGCCTAGGCTTACCGCATATATTCTGATAAAGCAGCAATAATTCCCTAATATTGAGGTTTATACCGTTTTTGCATGCTCGCTAGTACGATTCGAAGCTTGCAATGTCATCTTGTTCTGTTGTATTTCTGGTTCTCTATAAATCACGACGGCCTTCTGCGGGGCTTCTGTGGCACAGCTTGATTTGATGAACGTTTATCTTTTGAGAACATGATTTTCATTGTGTAAGCAATGCTGAGTTCGCCTGACTGAACTTCATCAGCTTTTCCTCCTAAGAGTTTCACGACTTAGAGTCACGTGGAAAGGGCGTTGCGTCTTGATTTGCTTCATTCTTGTCCATTACATCCTCTGTACCAAATGCTTAAGTTCTCAAATTATTTTCCCGCTATATGCTCAACGCCACTCCACTTGCCCATCAAATTTTCATAATCTCCACTATCGCGTAAATCTCTTGTTTCCGAATGGAGTGAGAGGCATGCCACTTTGAATCGACGCTGCTTCTCTTGCTTTCCTCATCTTGAAGAGAGCAATGTCCAGATCGTTTTGAGTTGGACTACAGTTGTCAACGCCATGGAAAAGTCCTTTCCCTATTCCGTCATAATGCAATTACCACGCTATCGGAATCGTCAGTCTAGTGGGATTTTCATGCTAGAGTAGAAAGACGTACTCGTTGCATCATAAGTCAATGCACACCAATTCTCGCTCATATATTGTCGTTGATTATGGACCTGAACAGCTTTCAACACACCCATTTCTCCTGGTGCAGGCCGGAGGTTCTTCAATTTTGCGACTAATTTGATCATCTCCATTAAAAACATGATGCCAATCTCACGTCCAAGACAATTGTGTGGGCCCCATCCAAACTGCACATAGGCTTCTTTGGGACGGCCAGGTTTGAATGCTAGAGGATCTGGAACACTTTCAGGATCCCTGCATGCATCTCCCTGCACTTCTATTAGTCGACACGATAATGATCGAGAGAACAACAACCTACAAGGAACATTAAAACTATGTTTCCTTTCTCAAATCTTGTACCGTCGATCTCTGTGTCTTTGAGTACTATACGAGACAATAACTGTTTCGTAGTCAATCTTTGTGCCTCGATGACATACTCTCGAATGATCTTGTCAGATTCGGGGCTGTTGATGGCTGCTAGATCTTGAATATTGGCCCAATGCGTCCCATTCTCTTTTTTCAAGAAGAACTGGAGTACCTCCGCGAACTGTACAGTTAGCTTGGCTCGGGAAACAATGAGAGAAACCTACCATTCCTACAGTCACAGCGGTGCCTCCAAATGGCGTTACACCAGCAAAGATCTGAGATTTCTTGCACAGACTTGCCAGCCTTCAAGAGTTCCGAGACCACATATCGACCATACCATCGCAAAGATCCTTCTTTAGCCAGATCGCGTCTACTCTTTGCTCCAATGAAGGGCAAAAATCTAGTGAATTTGTCCCTCCAAGATAAATTATGATTGTCTCTCAAGATAGACTCCACCACTGTTGTTGTGGATTCTGTCAAAACCTTCGCTCCCTCTTGCGCTTTCTTCGATGAGTCCATTGCGTGGCGGGATCATGAGCTGCGAATTGCCATTGTCGCACATCAACGAGAGCAGTCTGAAGTTGTTTCATGGATAGTGATCCATCTGGGTTCTCCGCAGTGGTCATGTCGAGACACCAGAGGTCGGAGAGCATTCTTGCACTAACGGGAATAGCGACACTAGACTGCGTTAGAATGTCACCACGATTGCTAGAGGGCGACTTACTCTCGGAGAATGTCGACCTGGTATAAGTTTTTAATGCCCAATTCTAGGGACTCAATTTTCAGCTGGTTGGCACCATAATTGGAAAGAAAGTTTCGTAGTGAAGACTGCAGGCTCTTGGATCCATAGAGGATGTCACCAACCAAATTTCGCTGGGCCGTATTGTGGGGACCATCACCAGCGAGCATGTACTTGGAGAAGTCTCTCTTGCCGGGAAATAGACCCGCTAGGCAAACTCCATTCGGCTCCATGAACGTCTGTTTATCTGTCAAGATTTTGCGGACCAGCTCGTTTTTCTTGATATATATTGGTGTTGGTGGAGGTGCGGGGTCGGCGATCGAGTACAGTGAGATGTGGCCAAGTTTTTCCGCGATCTTTTGATTTGTTATGCGGGTGTACATGGGTTGCATGATGTGGAGCGAGTTGAATGGGAACCATCCGGGGAGAGCTCTGTGGACTAGTTTGTGGAACATTGAGCCTCCAAGGCTGTTGTGATGTTAGTTGGCGCGTCACAATCTGGCAGGAGCACTAACGTCTTCTTGTCTGCGTTTACTTCTTGATAACCCCAATTTGTTAGAGTGGCAGGAGTGTAATCCTGCAAGGGTGTTAGTGGGGCAGAAGTCTGAGAAGTTCGAGCATACAAGTGTGTTGAAGCGATCACCGCGAACAAGTGTAACAGCGTCCGACAATACAGCTCGTCCGACAGTGTATGTGATACAAATGCCATGTCCAGGCTCCATTGCGGGTTTGGAGTCTTCAATAAAGAGTCCTGGGTAGAGCTCAACCATGTCTGGGTGATTGTAAAGTTTACGCAACAAATCTGCAATTTCTGGCACCGAGTTCACGTCTTCCATGGTGGCATGGGGCTTCAGCCCGAAACTCTTCCGAAATTCGTTGAGTGACGCAACACCCCTGAGAAGTCAGTATCTTGGTCTCAAAAAAGAACAGTGCAAGTGGAGCAACATACCACTTTCGAGCTTGGAGAATACCCATGATTTCGATGACTCTCAATACTTTGGGACATGTTCGAGCACCAAAGATCCCTGCTGGATCCTCGCAACTTTCTTTAAAGATTTTGACCAAGTCAGCGTCTTTGAACTTGCCATCTGATCCTCGCTTGATACCACCAAATTCTCTTTGGCTAGGATCTTTTGACAGACTAGCTTCAAACTTCCCCATACCAGCCCATAACTCCTGCGGGGTTAGTTGCTCTAGAGGTTTCTTCAGATTAGGGAAGAAACCGCGAAAGAAGTCCTCCGCCCATTTCTCGTCTCGTTTGGAAATGGCGGAGTGAAACCGGTACAGGAGGTTGAATTCACATGAGACTTGATTGCCTACGCCTCGTGGAACGCCTTGGCTGTCAAACGTTTTGTCAATCTCTTGTCGAGGATCAAGTGACCAGTCTGTATTCGTGTGGTGAGAGTTCGTCAAAGCGCGCAAGTAGTCGCCCATGGAGATGTTCACATATAGTCCTCCGGTGACTCTGGAGTGAAGTTAGCTTTCGATCATACGAAAAAGAGCTTGCGATACTTACAATCGTGCAGTCTGGAAAAGGTCCTCGTCTAGCTTCTTTTTCGCTGCTCTCTTCTCCTCTTCGGTATCTCCTGGACCGAGAGTGAATTTTCCGTCTTCTGTATGGTTTCAACATAAGCACGATTCACACATTTTTGGGAGTAAGGAGATGCCCAAGACCTCTTCACGAAAGCTCAAGACGTACCATTAATCTTGAGGAGCATTTCTGCCACATGATTGTGAAAACGATTGTACATGACAAGAATAACGTTCACTCCGGGAGGTTGACCAAGTAGTTGCTTCTCATGGAACGTGTCTGGCTTGAGGAATCCATTCTCCATTGTCCGAATTGCATATTGATCTTCCACGCAGGAGCCATATAACGGGGCCAGGTCCAAGTAGGATGAGGTGTCCGATACATTACAGTCTTCTCGATTCGACCGAAATATATCTATCTGAATCAGCTGCATCGAAACAAACGCGAAACTTGGAGACATGCAAAGTCTTTGGTGGTGAAGGCAGACTTCCACGTGACTGCTCTCAGCAAGACGAAAGACTTACCATGAACGATGATGCTTGCGTGATAAAATAAAACCGAGGAGAGACCTGCTGGATTCTCCTTGAAGTCTTCTGGATCGCGAGCCATGAGTACTGTCTTCATTAGCTACAATCCTCCAAGTCTTTGAATAAGGCCCCCACAATCAAAGAGTAAACCAGGATCAGGCTTCACGCCCTGCAATTTCTTTTCTGGTCTTGTAGTCTTTGCATATGGCGTTCCAGCAGCGCCTAGCCTTGGATGCAATGGATTCTGTCTTCAGATGAGCTTGAAGCCATAACATTCATATCTGAAATCCTACGTTGTTACTGCCGTCCGCCGATCGGTATTGGTATTTGTCCCCAAGGTAACTCAATGGCGGATGCTGAAGACTATCCCATAATCCATTGATCATCATTTGTGTGAGCTTAATTCGACTCGCTGATGTACTTGGCAGCTTTGTTGTAATCTTGATCATTTTTTCCATCTACACCTTAGTTATTACGCGTATCTATTTTGTCAATTCAAATCCCACTTACCATGAGCTGCTTATCATCTATGTATTTTTCTTTGTGCTTCATGCCCTCGATGAGACAATGAAGGTCTCCAATGGCCTCTCTGGTGGAGCCCATGGCTCGCAGATCAGCCAGAAGACCTGTTGCAAGCGAAGTGGTGTCATCCTCGCCCGCTTGATATTTTTCTGCCATGGTGACGATGATAATCGATTATAAGAGAGAGAGATCTCGAGTCATCGAATCGGTGCTTTTCTTTTATGTTATTATATTTCGTCGTTCCCATCACGGCACCATGGGTCGGGAGACACGGCCCTCGCGCCGGAATGACAGTCGCATTCCTCCAAGTCGGCCATTACTTAGAATAGGTCTCACAAACACGGCGTTGTAGCCTAAAGAGGTATCAATAATTTTATTTTGCCATTCCTTTCCTGCTAGCATTCTAGAACCAAGAATTCAGCCTCGTCAGTATCAATAACATGATTGGAATTTGACAAATCGTTGTTATTGAGACTTCTACGACAATTCATTGAATGTACACACAGCCATTCCTTCATCGACGTACTTGTGTAGCTCGGCACCATTTCGATTCGAAAACGCAACAAATTCACTATGGCACCTCAACGTGGCCCGACGAAAAGGACAGAAAAGCGACTGGTTTTGTGTTTTGATGGCACGAGCAATAGATTCAAGGGAAATGAGACAGATACCAATATTGTGAAGATTTATGAGATGCTGGACAGGAACATACCAGATCAATTTCATTATTACCAACGTAAGTGCATCTCAAATGCCTAGTCCCTGACAGCAAGGTTGATCAAATGCTCATCTCTCCTACTACAGCTGGCATCGGCAGTTATGTGGAAGGACAAATGTCCAACTCCTCTGGTGGGAACATTTTCACGAGAGCGAGGGGTTTGATTTCAACCTCAGTGGATTCTGCCTTTGGTACATCTTTTGTACAGCACGTCATCGCAGGGTACCGGTTTCTCATGCGTTATTGGAATGAAGGGGATAAGATATACATATTTGGGTTCTCGCGTGGAGCTTACACAGCGCGTTTTCTGGCAGAGATGCTGTGCAATATTGGACTCTTGTCTTGCGGCAACGAGGAGATGATACGCTTCGCTTGGTCAACCTTTAGCGATTTTCAGACGAATCGTTCCAAGGACCCCAGTTTCAAGGCGTTCATGGAGAAGTTCAAAGAAACTTTCTGTCGTGGTGCTGTTAAACCGCACTTTCTGGGCCTCTTCGATTGCGTCAATAGTGTTGGCCAATTTGACATCCCTCTGTTCCGAACCTCTCTACCATATATGCCTATGTCACCAGCAAAGCATATTCGTCATGCTATTGCAATCCATGAAAGGAGATTGAGATTCAAGTCTGCGCACTTTTTATTCGATCTAAAAGCGCCGATCAAAGATGATATCAAAGAAGTGTATTTTGCAGGGAATCATGGCGACGTCGGTGGTGGATGGAGTTGTAATGGAGAGAAGTATCTTCTGTCAGATATCACACTTAGATGGATGGTGCAAGAGGTGCTGGATCTGCCAGACACTGTAAGCTTATCCAGTAATCTTGCGTACCGTGCGTACTAAGTCGAAATAGGAGAATCATCTTTCGTGGAAAAAGACTAAAGTGATTCATATGGAGCAGCACGAAGCACATTTGGAAGAAGCGATTGCAGGGAATCTCAATGCCACAAAACCTATCAGAGAAGGGCCATACCATTTCAGAGATTTGGTACACGATTGCTTGCCATTTGGTGGAGGCTCAGGCTGGTTTGAAGTATTGGCATGGTGGATCGTTGGTAAGTGGACATTCTTGGCCTTATCCAAGCAACTGAGCACTAATAACAATCAAGAGTGGGTCCCTTTCTCATACGGCTACATCAGTGACGGAAAATGGGTTTCACGGCAATTGCCTCCTAATCTAGGATCAAGACGTGACATTCCAGTCGGTGCAGATATTCATCCTTCAGTCATGATGATGAACCGTGCAGGCGTTCTGCCAGAAGATCAAATGCCGAGGATGGGAGGAGAGGAACTATATAACGCTCAGAAGCCTCTCTCGTTTCTTAGACCTCTGATCAAGGTGCCTAAAACTAAGAAGCCGAAACCAGATGAAATCAACGCTCTTCGCAGCGGAGAGAGTTTGGATAGTGAAGAGTCTGGAAACAGATGGTCATTTGACCGGATGATGGAAATTGGGGCCAAAACATGGGACTTGTTGTAAATAATTTTCTTAACGCCGAAATAATTTAGCTTCCGATGGCAAATCGCATCCTCGTCCTCACCTCCTAAGAGCGCTCAAGGCATATATATCGTCTAAGAAAGTGACTTTCGATTTCAAATAGCAAAAACCATGTGGCATGCAAGCTGCAATTCTTCCATAAACAGTTAGCTTTGCAAGGGCAATGGATCCCGCCCCCGCTTCCACCTCAATGAAGCGAATGCAGTCTGCGCCTTATTCAGCAAAAGCTTGCTGCAAGCTAACACCGATCGAAACGAGTATATTGTGCTGATAAATGACGCGTAACATATTATTTTCGAGGCTCACTGAAGACTCCTTTAAATATTAGTAGCACGAGACTGCAAAATCTTGAATTAAGTGAGACGCAGACTAATCACTCACGCCTTAGATCTCCCAGGAGTCGAAGGTCTTTCGTGCTATTATTGCATTTCTGCTGTTGCTATAAACCAAGGAAATTGTTACCATCAGTCAAGTCCTGTTTTGTGATCACAAGCTTCGTAATTCAATACTTTGATTGCCCCCCGATTCCAAGGAAGATGGTTTATCGGTCGCCGATATTGTCGTGGATGGCGACGACCTTCTAATGCTTGAGCACTTGTATAAATGAACGCTACATGACGTCCATTATTGAATTTCAGAATCAACAAAAGACAGGCTTCGAGGTTGACTCTTTTCCAGTTCAACTTCTTCTTCTCCTTACTCTTTGTCTAAGTCTTAATCAAACACCAAAATGAAAGCAATCAATGTCCGTGATGGAACGGGTCCGGCAGAGGCACTCTTTTTCGACGAGGTCCCTGATCCAGAACTGGAAGGCGACGACATACTTGTCCGAATCAAAGTCTTCGGTGTCAATAGAGCCGATCTCATGCAGCGAGCGGGGACGTATCCCATGTTGCCTGAGTACGGGGCCATCATGGGTCTGGAGTTTAGTGGGATTGTGGAGGCTAAGGGGCCTGAGGGTAATTAAGGCTACTAGCTATGATGAGAAAAAACTTGCTGAAAATTGATAGCATCGGATGCTTTCAAGGTCGGAGATAATGTGTTTGGGCTTGCTTTTGGTGGGACTATGAGTGCTTTTTGTCTTGTCGTTAAGTGAAATTGAGAGAGAAAGGACTGATGGAGACTTAGTACGCCGAGAAGGTTGCTACATCGGAGAAGACATTGATTCATCTCCCTAAGGAACTGTCTTGGGAACGAGCTGCAAGCTTGCCCGAGGTAAGAGGAATGCTACGATATGTACTCATTTACACTAACCGGGTCCTAGGTCTTCATGACCTCTGTTCAAGACCTTCGTCTCATAGCAAATTTCAAAGCTGGAGAAGACATCCTGATTCGTACGTGATCCTATATGGACTTTCCCATTGAACAGCTCATCCAGATTCCAATTGCTAATCATCGCTGCAGACGCTGGCGCTTCAGGAGTTGGCCTCGCAACAATCCAAATTTCCAAACTCCTCGGCGCAAACAAAATCTTTGTCACAGCCGGTAGTGACGAGAAATGCCGCCTCTGCCTTTCTCTCGAAGCCACCTCCGCTGTCAACTACCGCACCACTGATTTCACCTCCGTTGTCACTCAAGAAACTAACGGAAAAGGCGTAGACATGATCCTCGACATGGTTGAGCCTCTTATTGGTCTCGCAATATAGCAGTCGCAGCGAAAGATTGCCGGATTGTGGTTATTGCTTATATGAGTGGGAGCAAAATTCCAGATTTTGACATGGCTAAGGTGCAGAGAAGAAGGATCAGCATTTTGACGACGCAGTTGAGGAGCAGTGGAAAAGTTTATCAAGGAAAGGTGAGAGATCTGTTTAGAGAGGAAGTGTTGCCGGGGATTGTGAAGGGAGAGATCAAGACGTTTGTTGATGGGGTCTATTCTTGGAAAGAAATCGTGGAGGTTCATAAAAGGTTGGAGGATAGTAAGACTTCGGGGAAGATGGTCTGTATTGTTGACTAAGGGGTTAAACTGGGCGGTCCTCCTTTGTGGTTCGGATACTTTCGTTAACGCAAAATCTCGTTTCTATTTCTGAAGTTCTAAAGTTTGCGGGATGAATTTATACGAATTAGCTAGCTGAAAGTATATCCTCAGAGGAAGGATTGACCTCGTTCCTGCTCTTTCATCAGGACCACGTGATGATGAATAGCAGCTGCCTGTTTGGGATAGCCCTGTCAAACACTTTCTTCCGGTGGTATGTCATAAGCGAGCAGGAGATGCTCTTCTGTTGAAATGATCCCACTTTTGTGTGCTAACCATTGAGTTCCCACACCAAGCCGGGCTGTTTAAACCGTCCTTTATTTGACAGGTCCTAATGTCAATCTACCTCTCAAAACCAGAGTTAATACAGACCAGCTTCAAGTCTTCCGATTATCTCACGACGTTCGTTATACGGGTAACCGGCTAAATTGAAACGACGGAAACTAAGACAAAGTTCACGGACATCGAAAAGAGTCGGACGCCATCACCGAGGAGACATCCACCAAATTCAACAATCCTGATTTTCCCGAATATACGTATCTAATAGCTCTCGCTTTCGATTATTGTCTTGCCAGCTCCTTTATTTTTTGCGTTCTATTTGCAATAATTTCAGCATGACTCTTCCCGATTCAATGACATATCCAAAGCCCCCGGGCCAAGAACGACCATATCCAAAGCCAACCAGAACGGGGAAAATTCCATTCAAAATCCCTAACCATGACATTCAGGGTGAGACCGCCTACGAGATATACGGCGATCTCAAATCCGGCAAAACTCCCCTCATCACCTTACACGGAGGACCGGGCTTCCAACACAGTTACCTACTCCCAATGTCACTCTTGCTAATCGACTATGGTATTCCCGTCATTATGTACGACCAAATCGGTTGCGGAGAAAGTACCAGATATCCAGATCGCATGGGTGATACCGCTTTTTGGAACCCAGAACTTTTCATAGCTGAGCTGGGCAACCTCAAAGAAGCACTGGGAATCGAGGCCTTTGATCTTCTCGGCCAGAGTTGGGGCGGCATGCTCGCGGCGCAATACGTTACGACAGTCCAGCCGAAAGGGCTACGGAAGCTGATCATCTCTGACAGCTTAGCTGCCATGAGATTGTGGCAGAATTCGGCGAACAAGCTGCGTAAATCCTTACCTGCCGAGATCCAGGAGACGATGGCCAGATGTGAGAAAGAGGGCAAGATGGAAAGTCCCGAGTACGAAGCGGCTTGCAATGAATTCAACAAACGGTACTCCTGTCGTTTAGATCCTATCCCCGCAGAACTTGCTGGGCCGATAGAGGCCTTGACAACAGACGCAACCGTTGCGATGACCATGTTTGGTCCAAGCGATTTCATTGTCACTGGATCGCTCAAGGACTGGAGCATCGAAGAGGATTTGAAGAAGTTGACCCCAGAAGTGGTCCCGGGTGGAATGCTGTTGATGAATGGGTATTTTGATGTAGCTCAGGATGAAGTCATGTTCCCTTTCTTCAAGGAACCATCAACTAAGGTCAAATGGGTACGCTTTGGGCTAAGTTCACATTGTCCGCAGTTGGAAGAGACGGAGAAGTATGTCAAGGCTCTTGGTGACTTTTTGGAAAGTTGACGATTACAATGAGACGAAGCTAGGCAGCTAAAAGTTTGCACTCAAATCTCCATCTCAGAAAGAGGGACCAAATTAAAATCAAGAGCTAGGATGCTAAAAGTGTTTAAAGTTTACGGAACAGATACAATCTCAAGTTAATCAACACAAGAGAAGATCTTGAGGCTGTGATCATTTTATACTTGACGTGATAGACCTACTTCTTACCGAGCAATAGTGGATCCCACGTGTGGATCTGACACGCCTTGTCAATGACATGGGACCACCACCTTTGATCTCGTTTATTCTTAACTTCATCTCTGGCAAGAATTTTGATGATGTTCTTCTCATATTCTATTTGCTTTTATCCACGTATTCATCACGCAGCTGCTCCGTCCTCAGTCCCCAAAGATGTCGCTAAAACTTCGCGAAATCTGTTTGGAAGACTTTGAGAGCATGTCCAACCACGCCAAATTATACCCAGTCGGTGACGACCTAGTCGGACCTCCAACTCCTATTTGCTGGCTAGTATCTTCACAAGCTGAGGCACAAGAGCGACTGCGGTTTCACATGTCCAAGCAAAGAAGCAGATTTCTGGGCGATCGCTCTGCAACGTATCTCAAAGTGGTCGACGAAGACACTGATGAGATCGTCAGCATAGCTCGGTGGCACTATTACCCCAATGGATATTCCTACACAGACGGTATTCCGTGGGAGATCCACAGTCCCGTGGAGGGCCAGTCTTTCCCTCTGGGCATGAACATCGAGTTACACAATTTCATCCTTTCCGAACGGGATGCTGAAAGAAAGAATTGGATGGAAAAAGGTGCCCCTTGCTGGATTCTGATGCACTTGGTCACGCGGCCTTCTCAGAGAGGTCGAGGAGCGGCTGGCATGTTGATTGACTGGGGCGTTGAGAAAGCGAGAAAGGATGGTGTTCCAGCATACCTCGAGGCTAGTGCTATGGGTCGACCTATTTATGAGAAGCATGAATTCAGTCAAATTGGGGACCTGATTCAGTTGGATTTGAGACCATTTGGCGTTGATATGGATATTGTGATGGCCAAAATGGGAGTATTTCCAAAGAATTAGGGAAGTAGCATTTTATAGATCTAGAAGGGATGAGCTCACGTCTCAGATGGGTATAGATGAGTCCTCTAATTAGTATTAGAATTATAGTTACTTGCTGAATGTCCCATGCTTAAGTGCGTCCTAAATAAGTCGCCGGTGGTCCAGTTTCACTAGATTCAGCATGAAGTAATGATTAATAAACCAAGGAATGCTCCAAGTACTTTCAAGTCCCCTCTCAATCGAAAACTCCTCTCACTGCCACTTGTTGGCTTTGCCGCTTTGTACGTCGTGACACTACCCTGTGGCGAATTACATATCACCGTGTTGTTGGCGCTTTTCCCGACGGGCACAAGGGTATCCACCACGCTCTTAGCCAGAGATACGCAGTCCAATTTACCAGTTGAGGTGATATTGACTTCGAAAGCCGAGCTCAAGACCGGAAGATCGATACTGTATTTAAATCAGACCTGCAGATACCGAATTTCCTTCTTTCCATATAGAAAGAAAACGAGGTTGAACTTACGAATCAATATTCCCCTCCAGGATTATTCCATTTGCAGCACTCACCAAACTTGGAAAACTCAAATCGATGCTCGCCGGATTTTCCCCTCCCAAATGAAACTCCAGATCTCCCACACTCGTCAACCTAGGCACACTCAAACTCGCCAAATTATCTGCCAGTTTGAAGTAAAAGTCCCCGCCAATGGTTACCAGATCATCCAATGCCAAACTTGTCAGATTCAAGTCCTCAACTGGACCTCCCTCGAATACTGCGCTTGCAACATTGGTGATGTTTGGGATTGAGAGCGAGCCGTTGATGGATTCGTCAACCTCTATTTGGAAAGAATATGGAGTGCAGCCTGCGGCGGGAGGACCGCTTGCAGTAGCATTCCAGATGATGCGGTCGCTGCCGTTAGGGGAGCTGTATTCGGGTTGAACGCCACAGCGATAATTCAGGAGAGTACAAGGGACGAGAGAGGCGATGTTGGTGGAGTTGAAGACGAGAACTTCAGGACAGGTGCTCGCTAGTTCTGTGCCCCAGGGTCAGTACGTCCAACTAAAAGTTGGGAAGGAGGATATGATTGTTTACCTGTCGCATTTTGAGCGAGCGCTCCAAGAACAAGTGCTGTTATTGAGTAAAGTGGCGACTTCATATTTTATAGTTATGGTAAAGCTCCGTTCAACTCTCTGGCGAAGCTGAAACGATGTTGAGATAATGTATGAATCAAATCGTCTCAAGGGTATTCAAAGGCAACGAAGTGATCTCGAGAGAGACGTATCACGTGCTTCAAAGAATGCATGTCGTACATTCAAGTCAGTGCAGTCACCACTGCCAAGGCGATCGTCTACTTATCCATCGTGGAATCTCGTATTCTCTGTTTTTCTTTTCTGTTTCACAATGGGCGCAGCTGACGGGCCATAATCCCAAAATGGCCTTGAGGATAGGGCGCAGTCTCGGATCTGCCCTGGGGTCTTTATCCGTGCCTGGAAATTCAAGTGAAGCGCGTTTTTGATTTGATCATTCAAGATGAGATATCATACGAAGTATCCCAATATCAGCGCGTTTTATTTATCTGCAGCATTTTCTAAATTGATCTTTGAGTAGAATATCTCAAGGGCTCAAGAAATGGTTAATGTAGCCCCTGAAAGATTAGCGAATCGTCGCTTAAATCCGGAGATGGCTCTACTCAAGGGGGGCATATCTCTGCATTCTTTTTCAATTGAAAATATTAGGATTGATTTTGTGAAGTGATCATGCATATCGACTTCGTTACGAAGGGAACAACAGGTGAGCGATGGTAAATTGGTTCTCGTATCGGCATTGGGCTGAAAAAGGCACAGCATCGCTTAATAGGAACGTGTGTCATTTGCTTTGCTTCACGTGCCGTCGTGACAGTTGCAAACCTAGAAGCTTCTGTTAGAAGTCGACGAGTAGATCTTTTTCTTAATAGTTCTTCTTTTGTTCATCCTGAGCTAGTCCTGAAGATGCATCCGGGGGCATCCGCGGGCAACCAGGGCCATTTCGATACTTAAGTCGTTCATGCTTCTGCAACAGAAAGTCCACGAAGACTAATACTTTATGTTATTTAACCCGGAGGTTGGAAACATAGGTCAAGGAGAAGCATTTTCTTGAATTATAAACGAGATCGTATATTCTGAAAGGGAAAGAGCATGACCAAGCCAGCCTGCGCGCATGAAGGAAGAATGAAACACTTCGTATACTACTGCACGGAATTGATGTAAAGTACGACAAAGAAGAGCCGAAATATAAACAGTGCTTATGATCTGGTAGTCAGCTTCCATGTGCAAATCTCAGATACGTTACACATCAACACGAACGAGGATAACCAAGGACAGTATCGATCATCATGACTATCACGTGTGAGTTGAAAGATTCCAATTCTTGAGAATAGCTATTAGACTGACGAACTTAGTCGAGGAGACGGAATTTCAATGCAGCAGGACAAGACCGGATATTCCATACATTCTCTACGTCGGAATCGACTATCTGCTACTCGTACTTCGAGAAGTCAACGAGATCCACAGGAGTTTCCCAAATATGCCAGATCCTCCTCAACGATACAAGCTACAATTGACCGAATTCTGGGCCAGCGAGTTCAGTAAGAACTACGGTTCATCTCCTAAATTCGATGACGAAAGTGTTGGTTTCGGAATGGAAGAGAATGCAGTCATTGCCGCTGCCCTCCTCACTGGTAGTAATATTGTAGCATATTGGGAGTTCAGAGCTTTGTTCAAGGGAGAAAATAGCTACTTTTTGGACGTGTCTGAGAATGGAAAATCTACCTTTGTAGGCATGGAGATGGATCTGAGCAAGGCAGCGGAGGCACCAGTTACAGATGCGCAAACTAAGACCGGGCAGCTTAAAAGCACGATTTGGGTTGACAAGATCGGGAAGCGGGCTTGAGACTTGGTGTCAGGAGCCTAGTTCAAAGACCGGTAATAATGTAGTATGGCAAGTAGACACTCGAAAGGTTTGAAGCATCAGAACTACTTGTCAAAAAGGTGGGCTGGAAGAGGGAGCACGCTTTACTCTTACCACCAGAGTTGGATGCCCTCAAATCCTTTAGGAGCATAGGAGCATCAGCTCTTGGCATGCGTACGAAGATGATAGATTGGTGTCAACCTTGTTTCACTAGACGATATTGCTCCTTGAACAGTCTAGTGGTATTCAAAGTCAAAGAGAGGATCAGATTAACGAGAATTTGCAGGCATGATTGACAAGACCTGATTGTGTTACATAGACAAAGTTTATTGTAAGGTAGGAGACTTCGATGTAGAGACTAGGGCCATTCTAACTTTAAGCAACCACAACAGCATCTTCAACAACATGAACGCATACTCTAAGATGAACGATACTTTCTAGGAGGAGAGCTCTATATATTACGATCCTTTATGACGATATATTCTTTCACACTCTGCGAACTGCGCTACACCAAGACAACTCCAACTTAGATGTCGACCACGTCTCTGTCCCCCATGGCTCCGTCTTCGAAGGACAAATCTGCAATCAAGTCGAAGCCTGGAAGGAGGAATGGGAGAGACACGGGCCAAAATGTAATGCAGCCAACGAAGTAGTTCTGCAACATCCACAACGAAGGTCCTAGCAATGGCTCGTCGTGCATCAGAGCACTCAAAACCCCATACGCTGCGGCGTCCGCCCAATACCCGACTCTGCACGCGCAAACATCACAGCATTTGCTAGTGGTAGCCCATAACGCTGCACGATGAAGACCCACAGCGAGACGTGCTGGTCGTCCGAAGGTGCCTACCAACACGCTCGACGGAAGACCTGCTTGAGCGTGGACCTCCTCAAGCTCTTTGCTTGCCATAATCGCGTCGAACTCGACAACACATACCTCACACAATTCGGACTTGTCAACTCCCGGAGTATCGAACAGCTCGGAAGCAGACGCTGGGATGAAATACTTTACAGTTGGTCTAGAGACTAGGTCTGAAGCATTTGACTTCATTGCTCGGGCCCACTCGCCGCCACCGATATCATTCTGCGGATCGTAGTCTCTCAACATCATATCTTGGGACGAAAGCTTGAGAAGCGCTTTGGCTTCGGGGTGCTCTGATTGTTTCAGTTGTCGGATATACTTGACACATCGCTCCCAAACTCGATACCTAGTCCCGTACGGTCCCCATGGTCCAGCTGCCATACACGCTGAATACCCAAAGTGAGGAGTGCTTGCTCCGTCAGAAACGAGCAAAGAGTCAACAAAGGTCTTGGCTATTGCCTCATAGCCAGCTATGGCATAAGCAGCGTGGATTCCATATTTTGCAACACCTGCAGCTTCGACATATGCCACCGTGGCAACGCGATTCGAACATCCAGTGTCGAACAGGAGATCTTGGCATTGAAGAAGAATCATTCCAATGACCATACCGATAGAACTGATTTCGTAGTCCCTGTCATATGCGAACGGGACAAGAGCAGCACAATCGGCAATCAGATATGCTGTCCAATCTTGTGGGGAGACATCAGCAGGACCAAGATTATATGGTCCGATGTTTTCTGCTGCCCACCGGTTTTGTATAGGGCGAATATAGTTCTGAAGATCATAGTTGATCATTCCAATAAGTGCCGCTCCTTGGAGTCTAGTGCCAACAGCACGAGTATGCATTGCCGCGGATCGAAATCCGCTCTGGAACCCAGACTTGTTCTCATCAAGATGGTCAAGGTCGAAATCGATCGTACCGAGAAGTTGCATCCTCACAACTTCTTGCACGTCTTGAGTTGGAGTGACCTTCATCTGGACTCCCACCCAACCCATTGCTACGCAAGGTGGAATGCCAGTCGAATAACCCGAATCGCTCCATGCAGGATTCTTGAGAAACGCCATATATTCCTCACTCGCTCTCCAGGCCGTGCCTCCCAGAGACTTTGGGCCGAGACGGTAGATCGAGTCGTAAGCTGCCTGTGACCCAATGGACATTTTGACATCAATTGGTGCATGGCCTTTCGTCCCTTTCCTTAGTCTCTCATACACGTCTACTGCAATGCGAACATGTTCAACTACCTTAGGGTGAAGGCCCATATTTGGTGCAGCCTCTACTAAACACTTCCAACCGGATATGAATCCTGTTGTGATGCTCTGCTCATGCACCAGTGTGGCGAGGTGTTGGTTTCGTCCTTGAATAGATAATCCGTTCAAGTTAATTGACGTTCCCTTGTACTTTTTGATAGCAGCAGCCACTGTATCTTGATTTCCGATCTCGATATCCTGTGTTTCGTATATGGCTCGCGTAATGGTATCCAGACCTTTGGGAACGTTACTTTCGAGGACTCGAAGTTTCAAGTCAACAAGCTCGAGGCCCAGTGGCGTCGCAGATGGAGCAGTCTCAACAACTAAGACTGACATTTTGAAAGTATGTCAACGGTCAAGTATGGATTCTTATTGAGATTGCCAGAAGATGAATGCGGATTTTCAAGTACAGAAGCAACCTGATAAGAGATCAAATTCTTAATAAGTAAAGCTTGCGCCAGAGGCACAGTCGTGGTAAGCCCGAGGTTAAAAATACAGCATACCGTCTTATCTCACCCTAGCTGTTGGTACTTCACAAAATTCGCTTAGAAGCGATGAATAGAACTTTATGATTCGGCAGAAATCCTACGTCTAGAGTGGTCGAGATCGTACTCTCAGACCATCCTCAATAATAATGTATCGAACTTCTATTCCCACTAGTTCAGCAGTTCGCGTACTTATTAGCGATCATAGGCAAAAGCCGTGCAAAGACATGTTGATGGCAATGACAGTAGAGTCAGAATTTGGAGGTCCACGCCTTCATTCGCTCACGGGCTACTCCTCTCTCTTTCCTTACCGCGGGGAAATCCCAGGCCTCACGGATTATCGGAATTGCATCTCTTGGGATATCCCTTTCGCTATACGGAAGCATACAATCGCTTCCTGTAGGTAGGGAAACGCCATGATTAGTGTCATGTGATTCATGCGATTCGTCGGTTCGCACTTCGTACTTGAAATACGAACCATTGAACTAGATATTTGCATCCGGCTTACATTCCAAGATTACAAAGCTTAAATCTTAGAATTCGGCGACGGGTTAACATCATGACCGAAGTCTATTGTGACCGAGGTCCCCAGACCTCTGTTCGTCTGATGGAGATATCTTCATCCAAGGCTCATACTCCGTATCTCTCGAACTATCATTTCGTACGTTGAAGACCAATGGAGAACTTAGACATTATTCCACTGCCCATATGGGCAGCATGTCTCGGCCTACTGTCACATTGGCTATACTTCATTCGTGGCGAGCATCATATGCAGGCTCCACTCTATGGCTGTCTGTTCCTTGGTACCAGTGCAATAGTTTACTACTTTGAATTACAACTGCACGACCATGATATCTTCCTTGCAATCGCAGCCGAAGCCCAGCTTGAGGCCGCCTACCTGCTGGCATTGTTTACGAGCATGACCGGCTACCGATTATTCTTTCATCCTCTTCGTCACTTCCCGGGCCCACTGGGTGCTCGGATATCCAAGATCTGGCATGTCTGGCACGTAAGACATGCACAGAATCATCTTGTATTGGATAAATTGCATCATGAGTATGGTACATTCGTGAGAACAGGTTAGTGATCCGTCGATCCCTTATGGATATGCACTGACCAGCGCTGGGTAAGGTCCCCAAGAACTTACCATCTATTCCCCAGAAGCTCTTTGGGCCATCAGTGGACCTGGTAGTAGCTGCACTAGACCCGACTGGTACGATTCAGTAGCACCGTTGAAGAGTATAGCCAATGTGCGAGATCCGGCTGAACATGACAAGAGACGACGAGTATGGGATCAGGCCTTCGGCTCGAAAGGTAATCATACTATACGATGCCTTTCTCTAAGCACTTCTTCTAACCTAAGTCACAGCTGTCCGTAACTACGAAAGCCGCATCACAAAATACGGCGATCAACTAGACCAACACCTCGCATCTACAAAAGGCGCACCCGTTAACGTATACGACTACTTTAGCTTCTACACCTCAGACGTAATGAGCGATCTCGCATTCGGCAAATCGTTCGGGAATCTGCTAAACAATACGTTCCAGCCCTCAGTGCAGGGAGTCCGGGATTTTATGGGAGTGTTTGGGACTTTGAGCCCGGTTCCTTGGTTCATTCGTCTAGGGAGTGGGATACTGAGGCAGTTGAATGGGTGGAAGAGTTTTATCGATTTTACAAAGAGGAGCTTGGATGAGAGGGTTATGGTTAGTATTCTCTATACGTCAAGGAAGGTGTGCTGATATGAGATTCCTAGGTAGAGCCGTCAGTCCCAGATGTTTCGTCTTACTTGATCGGTGCCTCGATGGAAAAGGGCACCTTAGAAGAGGACCGTGATTTTCTGGAAGGTGATGCATTAGTCTTGCTTATAGTTGGAAGGTACCTTATTTTCCTCCCAAATCCACACCTTCTACTTACCCTCTGAAATAGCGACTCAATGGCAACAACCCTAATCAACACCTTCGCCAACCTAGCCCGATACCCGCGATACCAATCCCTCATTCGGAACGAACTGCAAACCCTCTCCTCACTCTCCAATTTCTCCGCGCTTCTAGATCTTCCCGTCCTGTCGAGCGTGATCATGGAGACGCTGAGACTCTGGCCTCCGATTCCCACTGGGCCGGGTAGGAAAGTGCCAGAGGGTGGTTTGATGATTGGAGGACGGTGGGTGCCGGGTGGGACGCATGTTTTTGCTCCACGGTTTACGATTGCTAGATGTGAGTGAAGCTGCTCCTTGGAGATAGAAAGAAGGGGTCACTAATTGTGCAGTGGAATCCTGCTTCGAACGTCCCACCGAATTCGTGCCAGAGCGGTGGACGACGAAAGGGGAGATGGTGAGGGATAGACATGGCTATGCACCTTTTTCTATCGGTACAAATTCCTCTCCATCTTCCTTTGGATCTGCTTGTCTTACTGTGTATTAGGGAGATATAACTGTGTAGGACAAAAACTTGCGATGAGGAACGTGTCGTATCTGGTTGCTCTATTGGTTTCTAAGTATGATATTGAGTTGGCGCCTGGGGACGATGGGACGAGGGTTGTGAGGGATTTGCAGGATAATTTTACGATGAATCCGGGGAGGTTGGATTTGGTGCTTAAGGTGAGGGGTGAGTAAATGAGTATAGGAAAGCATGCACAGCAGATATTTAACAGAGCTGTGATGACTGACTTCAATGTCGTTTGCTCAGATTGACAACAAATCTCAAGATTGATACGTCTATCATAACATCCATCTCAAGTCACTCTTCGGGACACTGAGCATAGAAACATGATGATAATGAAAGTGTTCGTATCTTACTGAAATATCCTATTCTGATCTTGTATGAAAGTTCCTAGCCCTACATGGAAAGTTGTGTGTCAAACCAGAACTTGATCGTTCAAGAATCCGAGGATCTTCTTGTTTTTGGCCAACAGGCTCTCCCCATTATTGCCATATCCGCGTTCGCAAAGAAACGGTACCCAGCAGCATTTCATGTGTATAGGAGTGGTAATCGAAGTGTTCGTCGTAAGGAATTGCACAACGTACGGCTGAGGACCTATATCTTCTTTCAAGTTAGCACAAGAACTCTAATCTTGCTAGGAAGGGAAGTGATAGAGAGATTTTGATCAGAAAAGGTATGGATTAGAGATATCAACATTGTTTGTTCGGACTAACGAGATTCTATGTTTGTTCATCATGCTAGGCGGTAGTGCGGTACAGGAATAAGAGAGAGAAGCTTACCAGAGACGGGGATGATTTGCTCGAGGTCCGAGATCGAGGACTGGAGAGAGTTCAAACTGGTATAGGGACTGGCTGATTGCGTTAGTAGCTCTGCGGCGTTAGTGAGTAGTAGGTTGCTGGTTCTGAAGCTCTCGAGAGAATTCTTCGATTAGTGGCCTAGTGCTTTGCAGAGCGACGCAGAAGACAGCATGATACGCTCCTGACCTGGATTAGAGCGTCACAAAACATTCTTTGATCTGCGAGAGTGCGTAGAGGTCTGCGGGGCCAAGGTGCGCGACTCAATGTCGTTGTGGTGAGCAACTAGAAAATCTTGGGGAAGAATTGAAGCAATAAAAGTTCAGCCACAAGCACTAGCACAAGCCACGAAGCGTGCCACAGAACAACTCGCAGAATGGGCGTCATTGCGGGGTAATTCAACCACATCTCTCTTTGGATTCATGAATAATGATCGAAACGATCGTAACGAGGGCAAAAACGCTGCAAGAAGTACAGGTAAGCATTATCGTAAGTGATCATCTCCGAATTCACGTCCTCTGTTCGGCGATACGGCATTTGCACCTCGTGGCCTGACTTGGCAGCTTGCATCATCTTCAAGCTCCCCTCTCTTCTTATTTGTGCAAAGCTTCTTTGCCTCTTACAACACCTCCTCCTCACCTCAATAGCATAAACAAACTTCACTTCTCAACACGAACAATATCTATCATGCCTCCAAAGAACATCCTCCTCCTCGGCGGCCACGGCAAAGTCTCCCTCCTCATGACGCCCAAACTCCTCTCTCGAAGCTGGAACGTCACATCCGTGATCCGAAACCCAGACCAGAAATCCGAAATACTATCCGCAGGCAAAAATGGACCCGGCAAGATCTCGGTTCTAATCGAGAGCATCGAAGACGTAAAATCGCAAGCCGACGCTCAGAAGATCCTCGACAAGGTCAAGCCCGACACCGTAATCTGGTCTGCGGGAGCTGGTGGAAAAGGAGGCGTCGAGAGAACGAATGCCATTGATAGGGATGCGTGTATACATTTTATCCGCTCGGCGATTGCGACGCAGAGCGTGGTAAGGTTTATGGTTGTTTCGGCGCTGAGTATTAGGAGGAATAGGGCGCCGTGGTTTGATGATGAGAGCTATGCGTTGATGACGAAGGTTAATACAGAGGTTATGCCGGGGTATTACAAGGCGAAGTTGGCGGCGGATGATGTGCTTGCTGTGGAGGGGATGGAGAGGAATAAGAAGGATGGGTTTGGGTGGATTAGTTTGAGGCCGGGGAGGTTGACGGATGATGCTGAGGTGGGGAAGGTTAGTTTTGGGAAGACGAGAGCGAGAGGGGAGGTTACAAGAGCGGATGTGGCGGAGGTTGGTGTCGGGTTGCTCGAGAAAGATGGAGTCAGTGGGTGGTATGATTTATTGGGTGGAGACGAAGAAGTTGGTGCTGCGGTAGACAGGGTGCTGAACGAGAAGGTGGACTGTATGGAGGGAGAAGATCTTAAAGAGATGAGAAAGAGTGCTGCCAAATTGTAAAGTACTATTATTTCAATCGACATGGCTTAAGCTTGATCAATCTTAACGAGCCTAGTGAGTTAAGTTTGTGCACTTCAGGCTCCTTTTCAGGCATCAGAAAACCAAACTCACCCACTTTACTTAAACAGCTTTAAACAATCGCAAAGTGTTATTATTTGTGCTTGAGTGATATAATTAAGAAGAAGCTAAAGTGCACTATTTAATAGTAATTTATGGAATTATTGTAAAATTTGAAAATTTGAATCTCTTTACATGGCTCTTCATGGAGCAAATGGCCCTGAAGCGCACAGACCTCACTCACCAGGCTCGTAACGTTGCTTAGCTTCCTTGTGGCGGATGTGTATACCGTATTAATTGCTTTCCAAGATATCGTTCTAAGAAAATGGAGCTAGGAACTCCGTTGGGGTACAATGTCTAGCCCCAGAAGTAATACTTTTTACCTAATTAAATACTTGATTCTTACTACATAAGAAGAAAAAGAGAAGAGAAGAATAGGTACATTTTATATAAAAAAGTGTAAAGCGCCTATATCTGCATGCTTTATTCTATGTTTTCTTCTAGCAAAGGGTTAAGAAAACTTTTTCTTATATTTCTTATAGCTTACCCATTTATACAAGAATCATACCTTGGAAAGCAATTAATACGGTACTTGTATTCTTCGACGTGCACCCCCATTGCGAGACCACGACCACCTACAGCACCGTAGTCATGGTTTTCTCTCTTTAACATTTCTCAGTTCAAAGGACATACTTAGTCATACAATCTGCCATTATTCGTCATCTCATGGGTTGCCAAGTGGCCATAAACTAAATCCTACAAGCCCCCAACATCCAGAATGCTCGATTGCCAAAAGAAATTATCATCCCTTCGTCACAGTGAGACGTCCCACCTTGGAAGCCGTCATTCTCTCCTCCTTCCCTGGCAGTGGAAGCACCAAACGACTAGCATGCTCCCAAAACCAATGCTCAGCGCTCGTAGCACTCACCGTCGACATCTTCCTCTTCACCCCAATCGCCTTATCAACCACATCCATAGCACGATCCATCTTGCCACGCTCCTCCACACCATAAATCACACTGCGAATCCAAACACCAACATACTTCAGATTCGGGAATCCCTTCAACACCTTCGCCACACGCTTTGACAGCTCCACATCCGTAGAGACCGTGAAATTCAGCCTCTCAATCTGGTTCTTTCCAAATACCGGCTTGAAGATGCCCGGCAGAATGTTGAACTTAACTTGTTGATGCGGAGTCAACGCCCTATTCCACACGTTAGCCTCACTCATCCCCTTCCATCGACAGCAAAAGGACAAACTCACACAACATCAACCCATCTCACCATCTCCAAAACCGCCGTGTTCTTTCCAAGTCTCTCCCACGTCTTCAACGTATCCCGACAAATAACAAAGACGTTCAGCCTGTAGAAAGCGCGCAGGACCTCTGCATACAGAAGCGGATGGCCGCGAAGCGCAATGATGAGATTCGGGCTTCGACGAGGATCGACGATGGAGATGCAACGGGAGAATATGTTCTCGCGGATCTCAGCCGGGAAGCGGGTTAGAGTGAGTGGTTTTCGGGTCTTGGAGAAGGTGGTGCGTAGTTTGCGGGAGGGGCGAGGAAGAGTGAGGGCACGGTTCCAGGTCTTGGAGGAGCGCGGGGCCATTGTTTCGGCGAGGATGGGTGGTGGAGGGATGGAGGATTGCTTTGTGGTGGGATTGGAGGTGGACGCCATGTTGGACAGCGTTGATGGAATGGAGAGAAAGAGTTCGTTGGTGGAGGGAGATGGGTGGTGGAGTTGCGCTGGAGGTGAATGGAACGCCGGAGTTTCGCCGCGAAGCGATCCCTTTTTTAGACGACGCGACTAATTGTGATGATGGGGAGAGGAGATGATCGTTAGAATGCAGAGGAGTCGCGCAGGTATCACGAAAGCGTCACGTTATTAATTTTAAAGTCAAAAGAGTGTCTCAAGAATTCGGCTTCAAATGACCGAGAGTGATTTTGACGTACTACCATAAAAGCCCAGCATTTCGTCTCTGATCATCTAGCCTTGAAGACGATCTAGACTAACTAACGAGTCATGACCCTGTTACCCTACAAAGAGCGTCGTCTAACCGCCAATCGCTCCTGGTACTCCCTCAGAGTCTTCTCGATCATTCGGTCAACCGCCAACTCCTCCTTGTCCAGCACCTCAGGCGTACGAGTATGAACGTCAGGACAGCCATCAGTAACCCAGCCGAGAGTGTATTTAGCCACGATCAAGGAACCCGCCAAAGGATTATTATGAGCCATAGAAGCTGGAAAGAAGAAGCCTCTCATGAGTCCTTTGACGCCTTGTTCCTCAGCAGCCTTAATCCTAGCAGTCTTTTCCTCAGCAGCCTTTTCCTCGGCAGCTTTAGCTTCAGCCTTTTGACATTCATAGATCTCGTCTTTCCATTCGTGGAAGTCGAGGATATCGACTGCGCGGATCAAGTCTTCAATATTGCCGCTGTGGATCAATTTTTGAAGGGCTTCGTTGTCAAGACTCTCTCTCTTGTTCACAGTGGTTACTTTACCGTCAGCAGTAGCAAAAGCTCCGCCGATCCTAGTGACAGCAGATGAGTTTGGATTGAGAACTGGGAGAGTGTTCGAGACTTCGATTTCGTCGTCGTTGGGTGCGAAATCTGGCTCACTCAACTCTCTACCCTCAGTAATGTCTCCAGTGGGCATGATACTCTCCTCGACATCAGCGGTAGCAGCAGCTCCTCCATCGATAGACTCTTTATCAATAAGAACTGGCATAGAGATTGAAATTGGGCGGCTGTTCGAGACCTCAATTTCTTCATCGTCCCAAGAGAATCCTAGCTCGCTCAGCTCTGCTTCATCAAGATCCCCTCCAGCAGCCATGATACTCTCATCGATTCCAGAGGTGATGAAAGCAGCTTCATTGATAGACGCGATGCCAAAATGAGACGATGGGTCTGGGGTAAGAACCGGAAGGCTGTTCAAGGCTTCAAATTGTTCGCGGGTGAGAGCAAACTCTGGCTCACTCAGCTCTAGCACATTTAGCTCTCCTCCATTGAGATCAATTCCACCGCTCATGATATCCTCATTGACATTGTCATAGTTGGACTCGATACTAGTAAGAGACGATGAGTCAGGAGTAAGAGCCGGAACGCTATTCAACGCTTCAATTTCTTCGTGGGTGAGAGCTAACTCTGGCTCACTCAGCTCCGCTTCATCGAGATCATTGCCGCTGCCCAGGGAATTCTGATTGTTATTGTCGTGGTCGGACTCAATATCTGTAACAGAGGAGGAGTTTGGGGTAAGAACTCGAGGGCTGGAGACGTCAACTTCTTCATCATTGAGAGCGAGCTCCTCTACACCGAGATCATTTTCGTCGCCTTTGGGATTCTCATTGACATCGGCATCGTGAGCAGCAGTAGCTTCATTAGCGGACTCGGTATCAGTGGCAAACGACAGGCTTGAGGTAAGAACTGGAAGAGTGTTCAAGACCTCAGCTTGTTCATCGCTAGGGACCAATTCTGCTTCGTTCAAATCTGCTTCACGGAGATCATTTCCACTGGCCGTGACATTTTCTTCCACGCTGCGAGCAGAATTGACGTCATGGACTGACTCGACACCAGTTTTGACAGCAGTAGACGATGGCTTTGTGTCGGGAACCGCAAAGTTGTTCAAGGACTCAATCTCCTCCTCATTCTTGAAAATGGGCATTTGGTCGCCGCTCTTTGGTTCACTGAGCTTTGTTTGGCCAAGATCATCAACCCTCTTGACACCGTCCCTGAGTTTTTGTCTCTGGAAACAGGGGCCGTTAAAATCAATGCGAATGGGTACCTGGTTGTCGCTCTTTGGTTCACTGAGCTCTGTTTGGCTAAACCCATGAATCTTCTTGACACCGTCCCTGAACTTGCGTCTCTGCCAAATGGAGCCTCTATTAACATCCTTGAGAATAACAGGCTTGCCTCTGTAGCGTCTCTTACCCTTCTCCAAGTTAACAGCAGAAGAAACGCTTTCAACCGAGCCGACAACAACAGAAGGCAGCTTTGCATCTACAGCGGGGTGATTGTCCGCGAAGCGAACTTTATTTTCGAGATTGAGAGAAGAAGAGCCATTATCAGACTTGTTATTGGCAGTAGAAGTTGGCTTGAAGCTCGGAGCAGAAAGCTTGCTCAAGAACTCGGCTTCATCAACACTTAAATTGACCAGATAAAAGCGGTTGATGGGATCTGTACGGAGGAGGTTGTATTCGCGGACATGGCAGATGAAGCGCTTGCGATGAGTATTGATATCTTCGACGGGATGCTTGAGGGCGAAGTTTTTCATGTAAGTGGCGAGCTTGTGGTAATTGTTGAGGCTGTGGACCACTATATAAGGTTAGCTATGTTTGGAAAGTTAAGAATTGCCCAGTCTTATTTCCTCGAGGTGATGAAGTGATGCTGGCAGTGTTGCAAAGTCTCTCTATGGAAATGCTTTGCAAAATGGCCAAAAGTCGCGCCGCACACGGACTGTGAGAGACCCAGAGCCCAAAGAAAGAAATACAACTTACTATTGCGGGTGCGATTGTAATACTCTACATCAGCATCATTGAGATTGACCAGATCGAGGCAAGTCTCGGGATGCTTTCGGGCGAAGACGCGATATGCGTAGAAGTGATACAGAACGTCGGAGCGAAGACCCCAGATCTCGATCTGCTCGGGAGTAAAGCCAGCCAAGTGAGCATTTACCTTCGGCGACTTTGGTGAGGCAGGGGCAAAGAGGTCTTGATAAGCTGGGCGATCTGGATCGTGCGCCATGGTGCCTTTCGTTTGTCGTGGCACTTGGACTTGAGGGTGAAGGTGGTTGTAAAAGAAGGGTGGTCGAGATCAGAAAACAAAGAGCTGTAGCTTGAACGAATTTTTTTGCGGCCCAAACGGGAAAGGGCTCTTTTCCGTCACTGTGACGTCTAGATGATAGGTCGAACAAGGGTGGTACCCTTTTAGTCCCGTCAGCTTGCGATACACGAGCTTGAAGGCACTTTGCGGTCACCGACCATAGCGGCAATAAGCAAACTCGCACTTGATATGCCTAAAGGCCCCGCACCGAGACTTATTAGCTCAAATTTACTGTTGCTGTCTTAAGTCTTATGTTTCTATAGTGGTCTTGTGTTACATTAATGTGACTGAGGTGCAGAGTTAGAAAGCCATCCGTCTTCTCAATGGCGCAAAAACGAGATGACTTAAACTATTAAGCATGTAGTTGCGAATGCCTGCTAGAATAGCTTACGGACCAGACTTTGAATATAGCAATTGACGCTCTCTTAGCCCTCATGTTCCGACTTGTTCAATTTAAGTATCTACAGTTTTCACTAAATTGAAACTTAGAGACACTACTTCCCTTTGGCGTCTCCCCTTTGTTCAACCATCAAGCTTTTCGAAAGTTTTCAACAACATCATCGTTCATAGCACATCACAGCCTTCATTCGCGCTCTGAATCCAATATATCCGCCGCCGCAGACTCCACCACGCCAAGACCGCCGAGGAGAAAAGTAGCCCCAAGGTCCGCAATACAAGCAAGTGATGTTAAGACCTGAGCTGACCCCTAAGCATAGTATTCCCCTCAGACAATCCCCAGTTACCCTCCACTGCTCATCGCTATTTTTTAAGCTGGACTCTCTCAAGGACTTTGCTTCTGTTGCGACTTTTGCTCTTGCAGTGTCATGTCTCCACTTCACAGTGTTGTCATTGACTCACGTACTTCTTCAGACAAGCATGTTAGAAGATGCATAGGAGCAGACATTGGTGGAGCATCAAGTCGAGAAACCAATATATCTCCTTTCTCAACTCAAAAGTAGTGCTGTGAAGGTTGACCGAGGACCGCAAGACACCACCACCATGGCTGTACGAATCGCTACTGTTGGCCACCTGAAGATTGCCCTACGTTCAAGGCTGGATATTACCTAAGACCTGCTGTCTTGAAGCTCACCAACCTCGACCAGTTGATGAATATGCTTTGCAGCTACGGCTACCTCCTCCCTGCTACCATCGATGCCAACCAGCGCAAGATGGATATGAACACCCACGCCGGAGTGACACAACTGTCAGCCCAGGGCCCTGCTAGTAGCCAAGTATTGTCAAGTGGCATACCTTTCGTTCCTCTTTAACTTTTATCGCCTTGCCACTGCAGTGGAGTAAATTACTACTCCTCCCAATTTAATATCCCTCGTTATCAGGCACTATCCTAACTCATAAAGTTCCTCCTGGAGTCCGACATCCAAGTTGGTATAATCCAACACCGCATCCTTCAGCTCTTGCTCTTCCGTAAACCACTCATCGTCCTTGATTCTTGTACTACTATACCAATTTTCGAAATTGGTGGCCACATGTGCAGCCACATCGTCGCGGCCCCCTTCTTCGGTGCTCAACTTTTCCGTCAATCGCTGCCAGAGCATTGCGCCTTTTGTAAGGGATTCGTGCCAATTTGAGCCCGCTTCTGCTGCCATAGTGTCCGCCTTATCTCGACAAGAGAAACATCATCCTGGGTCCCGAAGTTTAAGTATCATAAGCTGACAGGGAGAGTGGTGACACCAAAGCAACATGGAAGGCGATGCCGACAGCTACGATACTTACCAAAGCTGTCACTACGAGCTCTGCTTGAGGTGCAGTATTTACCTGGGGCAATCAGCCCGAAAGTAGTGTCTCCCGTTATAGCTACGTAAGAGGGAGAATTGTCAGCAACTTTTGGGACTTTGTATTCTCGGTAATAATGATGAACAGAAGAGATAGTCATGATTCCCGAGATTCTACTAAGTGTTGCCTGGGTTAGAGTTAGTTTCAGTGTCCGCGACATCCAGAATATCCAAAAGGCTCGAACTTTTTAAACTAGTCAAATTGTACATGAACTCTACGAATCTTATGCAACACACGCCTATGCTTATCCAGAACTCCGGTCCTCAACCAACCCATACATACATCACGATCCGCTAGGACCAGCCTCTTCATCCTCCCCAGCCGTATTCGGCCTATCCAATTTCTGCCTTTTCCCCCTGCCGAATAAATCTCCCAGAGTATTGCTTAGACTCCTCGCTCGCGTCAAGCGTGACCATTCTGTCTGTCGCTCTGTGCCGAGCGATTTGCTGTAATCTGGCTCTCCATCGTCGTCCTTTGTTGGCGTTTCTACGGCTTCGTCATCTTCGCCATCGGTGGCTTGGGAGTACCTATGCGATCCTGACTTCGTTCTTCGCAGACCCAGGCGGGGCCGTCGGAAACTCCTTCGTATAGAAGAGTCTCGACGGATCGAGTCTGCCACTACCGCTGCTAGGCCGCCTGAAAGGGGAGACAACAATGGCCCAGGCAGCATTCGTGCTATCGAATGCCGTGCTGGGGTCATTGGCCTGTCTCCTTGAGGTGGTGTAGGTCCTGTTTGATGATTCGGATGGGTGTGGACCGGACCTTGTGATATCGTTCTCGACGGACCCGATGGTGGCCTGAGAGATTCTGTCGAGGTCTGAGCCTCTGTTGGTAACACGGGAGATGATGTCGTGGTAGGTAACCCCGGATGTCGTGCTGCGTAGAGGAAGTCGTCTGAAGAGTTCAACCAAGGATTGCTAAGAAGTGGTGCGTTCTCGGGAGCACCCTCTGGCGGCACGACCCGAGCCGAGGGCTGAGCGGATGAGTTTGAAAATCGTTGAGGTGTTTTCGGTCTGGACGTTGTGTCCGCGAAACTGACTCGAGATGACCTTCGAGTGCTGATAGACTCTTCGTCGTTCGCCGCATCGCCTCCGTTCTGAACGAGTGGTCTTGCAGAACTATATCTCCGTAATGTACCTTGGGGATCGTTCTCCTCGGCATTGTGCTCCTGGTTGAGCAAGCCAATCCGCTCCTCCCCTTCTTCATCAGATTCCTCGTCCTCCTCATCTCGATTGGGTCGCCCACTGGTGATTAAAAATACCCCAAAGAACGTTAGAAGACAGCCTCCAATGAACTTCACCACTCTCTCGGGTGTAGTCTTCTCGAAGTCGCGATACAATATCGCACTTCCAATGATAACCGACAAAGTAAACATAACGAATTGTACAGGAATGACCTGGGTAGAGTCGAATCGCTGGAGCGACTTGTTGACGTATCTGACCTGCATCACGGCGGTACCAACAAGGACAAGCAGAAGAGCATATGTAACAGGTGTTGTTAAAGCTCTCCAAAGTGTTGAAGAAAGCATCGAGGCAACACCTTTCGTCGAGAGGGCTGTATAACCTCCTATTGTAGGTCAGTAATGATTCGAGGTCTTCATAGCAGGACATACCAAATAGTCCCACTAGTCCAAGGTCGATCAATATTGTTCTATTGCCGTACTTTGGACTAGCCCACATCAACACGACGATCAAAAATATAGTAACAGCAAGATAAACTTCGAATTCCAACGTCGTTATGGCACCCCATATCTCGTGGGGTCCAAGTTTCTTCTCCTCCTGCTTCGCACTCAACACCACTGTAACAGCACCAGCCACCGCAACTACTACCCCCCAGAAGTCTCGCATCCGGAATTGCTCCTTCAGCATGATAGGAGCAATGACACAGTTCGATATCAGAGCTACCACTCCCAAAGGAGAGACAATCGAAGCTGGAGCAAATCCATATGCCAGAAAATTCCCAGCTTCTCCAATCGTCATCAACACAATCCCTCCCCACCAATACGGCGACCGCAGATATGTCACTTCTTCCTTATGGTCCTCATCACCACAGCCAGTACTTCTGGAACTGAATGAGGATTGCAGAGTATTATCTGCCTCCTCTCCATTCTGACCATTGACCTCTGTAACATGGCCATTCGTCCCCGTTGTCCCATACCCGCCCGCGCTTTTTGGTATGCTCTTCAACTTTTCCCTCCTATGACTCTGCTCTTCGTGTAATCTTATATGTGCATAGCGCTGGATATTGAGGGCGAAGGATATTAATATGTTGCCGATAATCGCTGTAATGATGCCGATCAACGAGCTCCATCTCTGCAACTGCGAATCTCCGTCCTCCAACTCGTACACTGGACTCCCAAAGTTTGCAAATGGAGTAGCTGATATCAGACTCGGTGGAGTGAGGACTGTCGTCGTCGCAGCATCGAGGATTGAGGTTGAGAGAAACATAGCAGGGAACCGAAGCGTTGTCGCAAAGGTACTATACCATCCCACTTGATCCGCCCGTTGGGCCAACCCTTAGATGTAATTGTACCAGATTACAAGGACATTGATATCTGTGCGACCTGAGAATATTCATCCAATACTCGCAGCCGCGAGTTGTGTTATTGTCGGAAAATTCGTTTTGTCTTGTTCAGGAAATTGTGGTGCTCGCATGAAATCATCGGGCAGCGGAGGCGTCATCCAAGATTTCTCGGATAGCGCAACCTCACATGCAGAACCTGGAGATCTCTCCGCGAATCGGACACGCCATTCGACACAATGAGCGACGACGAGGATTTCGACGTCGAAGTTCCTGAGTTGGAGGGAGATTTTGCTGCCTTTGCGCCGCAAGCCTTTGGGAAGAAATCGAGAGAGGCAGATGTCGCAGCGCAGATAGGCAGGACAAAGAGAACGACAGGAGATGCGCCGGGTCCAACGAAGCAAGATGGAGAACAGCAGAGGCTGGCGCAAGAACCGGCATCAAAAGACGGTGACTCGGACGACGACGACGATTCCGACGACTCTGATCAGTCTGACGACGACGAGTTCCCAGTCTCCCATGAGCTGGTCCTCAAGACCCACGAGCGCGCGGTAACGACAACTGCATTGGATCCCTCAGGTGGAAGATTGGTTACAGGCTCGACAGACTGTTCGTTGAAGCTCCATGATTTTGCTTCTATGACTCCTACGACTCTGCGAGCGTTCAAAAGCGTGGATCCCAGTGCCTCAAAGACCTCCGCGAACTCGGAAACACACCCTATAAACCATGTCGAATTTAACCCATTGTCAGGAGGCACATTTCTTTGCGTGTCGGCACATCCACAGGCAAAGATTATGAACAGGGATGGAGAGGTTCTGGCAGAGTTCGTGAAGGGAGATATGTATCTAAGGGATATGAACAACACCAAGGGACATGTCTCGGAGGTCACAACTGCTACATGGAATCCAGTGGACAAAAATCTGTGCGTCACAGCAGGAACAGACAGTACGCTGCGAATATGGGATGTCACACATAGGAGAGAGCAGAAAGGGGTCATAGTCCATAAATCGAGAGCTGCTGGGTCTGCGGGAAGAACAAGAATGACTGCTGTTGCATGGGGAAGTCCTCTACAAGGCGGTCCCAATGTCCTTGTCGCGGCAGCTCTTGATGGAAGCCTGGTGATGTGGAGCGGAGATGGTCCTTATGCTCGACCGGCAGCAGAAATTAGAGAAGCACATAAACCAAATACCTGGACCGGAGGCATCGACATCAGTTCTGATGGACGGATGGTGGTAACGAGGGGTGGTGATGATTTGATTAAGCTTTGGGATACGAGAAAATTCAAGACGCCTGTTGTCACCGTCTCACATCCCTCGACGTCGGATCATTACGCCATGACCAACATCAAGTACTCACCCAACTCATCCAGTATCATCACAGGTTCAGCTTCTGGACATCTCCACATCCTAAACCCTGGCAACCTCAAGGCTGAGCTTGTTACCCCCGTCACTCCTGGGTCGTCTCTCATCACTGTCCAGTGGCATCCCAAAATCAATCAAATCGTGACAGGCTCTGCAAATGCAGAAGTCCACGTTCTATACAATCCAAACACCTCAGTCCGTGGGGCCGTTGATGTAATGTCGCGAGCACCTAAGAAGCGCCACGTCGACGACGATCCAAACTTCACCACTGATCAATCGACTGGCATATCAGGAGACAGCATCGTCACCCCTGGCGGTGTTCTTACTAGCAATACCGGAACGTCATACTCAGCTCGCCACCCTACCGTCGGCCTGACAGCTTCAGGCCGTTCTCGAGATCCTCGAAGACCACAGATCCCCATGGTCACTCCTTTTATGAAGAGTCAGCCAGACGAAGAGCATATCAACCAAAGTATTCCTCTTAGTAGCATGCGAGATGAGGATCCGAGAGAAGCACTATTGAAATATGCAGAATTGGCGAAGAAGGATCCGCTGTTCACAAATGCATGGAAGGATACCCAGCCTGTTACTCAATATAGAGATTTGAGCGACGAGGAAGAGGACGATGGACCGGATAAGAAAAAAGTGAAAAGATAGCAAGACCTTAGAGACATGATGACATCAAAATTGGGAATGGCGTTGGCCTTTGCGGAGCAATCTTTGATCATAGCGAACTCGAGATATCCAACAAATGTGAGTGCGTACAACAAAACTAGAAATATCAAGTCTCACAGTTCTTTCCAGCGTGTGACCTCCCTTGCCTCACCTATGTGTATGCGAAGAAGCCTCGATGTCCGGAAACGAGCGTATAATGCATGAAGACAAGTGTTTACCGATATCTCAGGTTCTATTTTAGTACTCGATAGTATCGCCCTTCAGCCCTTCCAACATAATTGGCAACAACTCCAGAATAGATGCATATACTCCTAACTTCTGATTCACGCTCTTCTCGTTTCCATATCTATAGACTCCAACCAATGTCTTCTCCATCTTGGACCCAGGAACCGCTCAGTAGTGGGTCCAGAGCCCAAATGGGAATGACCAAACTCAATGCAATACCTACATTTATTATCTCCACCATCTTCGAGCTTCTGGAAGTACTCAGGATGTTAATAATGTAAGACTGCGAAATATACATTGGTGTTCCAGTGAGCCCAATCATATGAGTATTAGAGACGTTCCTGGGAATTCCCTGATAAACTCAGATCTTCGACCACCACCCGAACTTTGTCAGGAAAACGTGCCAACGAAGGCACCGCAAACACACTAGGAAGACGGCATCATCCATCAAACGGCTGCAACCTCTGCCGGGCTCGTCTTCCCGCCACCTGTGCCGCTAAGGAAGCTTGAAATGAGTGACTGTGCAACAGAACATACACCGAACGGATCCAGCTCAATGTCTGTGCATTTTTTTTTGAGATTTGGGACTTGAACTTATGGTAAGTCTAAATTGAGACATGTCGACGGCACGAGCCACCAGTGAAGTATCGGTACTCGGTCAGCTTTCGTACCTCATTTTCGAAGAGATACGGTTCAACTTCGGTGTCACTGTCAATCTCCTCTGGAGGCATGTCCGAAGTGCTATCACTTGCCAAAGTCTCTCTGTGGATATTATTCAAGTATCTTTCTAGCACAAAGCAGTCAGCATACATGGTGGCTTCGAAATAGGATATCTGGAGATCCCCTCTCGAGTGTTGCTAACGAGCCAACTGTTTTCTTGTATCATAGCGTATACGTATACCATGTTCAAAGAATGGGGCATCCTCAGGTAGTCCACCACCATGAGTAATCTGAGACTTACGGAACATTCACACTAATTGATATAAATTCCAAAAATTGATGCACGCATAATTCTCCATCGAACATATTGTTTTAAGTCAGCCTTGTGTGAGATATTCCACTACAAGCACATCTCAATCTTGATCTCACACCTTGCAAAGCTAACTCCCACCGCAACAATGAAGCACTCCAATCTCTCCCGACACGAAATTCTTGCCCTGGTCCTCCAACACAACCGCAGTCAGGGCGTGGGCCCAAAGGATAGAATCCTCGTCGACCAAGTATCACGAGAGGAGATGGCTATTGTGGAATCCATATGCGTTCGCAACAATCAAAGGAAAGAAAAGTACGGCCTCATTCAGAAAGCTGCAGTAGCGTTGATGAGAGATCTGGAGCAGATCGAGAAGATTAATTGTCAGGCAGATGGAGAGGCTGTGGACTGGAAGGCAGCGATGAAGAGGTGTAGAGAGATGCAAGTGCTTATGGATGATGGGAGGAAATATGTGGAGAGAGTGAGGAGTGACGAGTTGAGGAGGGCGGCAAAGGGGAAGGGGCTTGAGGGAAAGGTGCGGAAGCAGCCGGAACAACTGCAGAAATATGAGGAGAAGACGAAGGAAAAGCATGGCAAGGATCCACAGCACGTAGTCCAGCCACATAGGCCTGGTCCTGCTAAGTTAAAGACTGTAGAAGGCAAGAGAGTCATGTATGCCGATTCTATGAGTCCACCTGGACCATTGAAAAAGAAGCCCCAAGGAGACCAACAGCAGCATACCTCGAGCGAACATGAAAGGAGGATGCTGACGAAGATTACCATGTCTGAGAAAGGCAGGAGGGCGGATGATGCATATCTAGAAGGGTTGAGGCTGGCCTCAGAAGTCAGGAAGTTTGATTTGGAAGATATCTGAATTGAGTCACAGTCACTTCATGACTTGACCGAAAATGAATGAAATGAATGTAAGCCGTGATTATTCAAACATTAACTAATTGTTCTCTCTTATTATCTACTTGAGCCACGAGCTGTTATGCACATCGAAATCGAAAATCTCATGAAGCTCTTGCCTGCTTGGATAACTTCCATTCTCGACGTTGTAGTAAAGGAAATCGCAGCTGCAGAGAAGGACTCTTTCATCATGTCCAGGATACCATCAAGAATGGAGATCCTCTTTCTCATCAAGAAATACAACCAATACAGCGATGACCATGGTATGACAGACAAGATCAAAGTATCTAATATGAGCGATGATGATCGTCGCCGAGTTGCTGCACTTGACGCAAGAGTGGCAGCACTTCAAAATTCCCACGACAGACTCCCCATCTTCAAGTCTGGAGAGCGTGCAAAGACCTGGCTAGATGATATGATGAAGATGGAAATGAAAGATCAGAGTATGCTAAACTTCCCATGGGATGGAGCAGAGAACATTTTTAGGGAACTCTATGAGAGCTCGAAATCTCAGCGAAAAACGGTGGACAAAGAGAAACTGAAAAGGATTGCAGCTACTGAAGAAGCCAAAAGAGCTGAAGACAAGAAAGCGCGAGAGAAGGCAGATACAAATGTTGCGGACAGTGCAAAACGGGAGGAAAAGAGAAAGCACGGAGCGAAAGCCAACCCGATGGAAAACATGTTGAAATGGATGAGAAAAGATGGGGAGGCGAAGCTCGTCAAGCCCGAGAAACAAAAAGGTCAACAAGAGAGTCGCGGGTGTACCTCGGGTCATGTAGCCAGCCCACTGTTGATGAGATTCGACATGCGTACTCGACGTCTATCGCTGACTTCGACTCAGGAAAATCTTCACAAGCTCCACTGGCGCTAGATAATGTTAAAGACGACCGACGGTACCTAGCACCAAGTCCACCTCGACATGCTTCACCTAGGCGTGCTTCACCAAGACTTTCTACTCCCCAGAATGATCGCCATCATCACGGTGAGCGGAAATCACCGCAAAAGATACCAATTACACCTGCACGTACCCCACCACGACCTTCTACACCTCAAAATACTCGTCCTAAACACGATGAAGCAAGAATCCCGCAGAAAGTTAGGCAATCCGAAACACAGCAGACAAAGCAAACCACACCTCCGAGTCCCGCTACGCCAAAAGCGGTCGCAAGTCCAAAGGGCATACTTAAGAAACGATCTGAGGAGTCGGTACTCAAGACTTATATGCCGGGTGTGACTCATGCCGAAGGGAAGAAAGGAGAGGTTGTCAATAACTATGGTTCAAAGGATGGAGTGCTACAGGATGCCTTCAATAGAGCACAAGGTGAGATGTATTTTTCTATCCCTTTGCCATTCGATTTTTTGAGTTCGGAGTTGTGAGTTTCAGAAAGTGCTAGAGGCTACATTTGCGGTTGTTTGCTGAACTTGGGGATGCATGATGCTAATTGGACCGCAGAGCTTCACTCAGAGGTAAGGAAGTATTGATGTGCTGTGCTGGGTCGCACAATAGACGCGAGTTTGACACTTTGGGTTTATGACAAATAGACAACGAATGCGTGTTTCATCGTTGAAACAACTGCCAGTCTGCTCCCAATAGTGATTGAGGTTCCGCTCATCTGTGTGGTCGAAATGACTCCAACTTGGAAGACATGGAGATGAATTGCTCGGAATTCCCCTGCTCCGGTAATACTGATACATATACGATCGACATGAAAGCTGTGAATGACAAAAATATGCACTTGAGATGGATACAGCTGCCCTGTGTCTGACTCGTTGATTGATATTCATGGTATACAACTATGAACTCGAGATTTACCTGTAAAGTTTGTTTTCCGATGGCCAGAGCTGGCTAAGTTTGGGTCAACAATCCAAAACCACAACTAGTAGCAGCTCATTCTGAATACAGCATGCGTGAAGAATAGTCAGACACATCAAACCGCTTCTGTGACACTTGAATAATGAGAAATGATATGTCTGGGACTAAAGGAGGCAATATATATACTTCCGTCGACTCCTTTCCGAAAGAAAATCGTGTTTATCCAAGCAATCTCGTGGAATTTCATCAACATTCGAAGCTTCAAGAGATCTAAAATTTCATACCCAGTATTTGACAATGGTAAGTTCAAATTGGAGATTGAATCCCCTCCTGTCCCCTCCCGTGTTTTGGAATCATTGGATAGGATTCGTTTAAAATCTCGAAGACTTAGCTAATGTCAACAAGACCCAGTGCTGCTTACAATGCGGGGTCGTTCTGTGGCCTAATCTTCACTCCCCATATACAATACGCGAGCAAGAGATATTAGCACAAAAATATCCTTATTGTGACCAGTACCACCACGCTCTATGGGCGCAGAGACAAGTGAGTAGTAGTAACAATTGCACTTGAGTGTTCACTGACAGTGATCTAGGCCCCTTACGCATATTGCAAGCTTCCGGGCACGCCCATATCTAGATCTGAACCAGCAGCAGAAGGAATTAAAAAGCCAGAGGAAAAGCGCCACAGGGTTCAGAAGGGAGTCAAAGAGAACGAGGGTACAGATGGGAGAAAGGGGAAAGAACACAAGCCGCAAGCGCCAAAACCGAAGGAACAGCCCAAAAAGAATGCTACACCCAGTCAGGGGGGAAAGCATAGGAAGAATAAAGAGCCTGAATCTGAACAACAGGCCAACAAGGGAGCTGTACCTACTCAAAGAAATGAGGCCAACAAGAAAGCAGCAGCAGAGTCTAAGCAGAGGCAAAATGATGGAAATAAACCAGAGGATAAACTGAAAGGGGCCATCAAACAGCAGGTTGAGTTTAAGTTGGATAGGAGGGATGAGGGCAACAAGAAAGCGACTGCAGCTCAGCAAAATGCAAAGGCAGAAGAGATGAAGGGAAAGGCGCATCTTGAGAAGAAGAAAGTGGAGAATGGAAGGCCAGTACCCGGCACACAGACGAAAATTGCTGCCGCGGAAAAAGCTGCGGAGAAGGCACGAAGGCTTCACTCTGAAGTTGAGAAGTTCACAAAATGATAATCGGTCCGAAAGATCTTTGAAAGAACTTATTTGCATAGCTAGATACATCAATGATTTAAAATTAACTTGAGTTTGAAAGATAGGTTGTAACGAAGATTTTAGTTTCAGCTGTGAGTATTGGTAGACATGTTAATACTGTACCTTGTGGAGAAGAGCAGGAGAACGGCCTGACTTCCTCGTGTACACACAATATGTAAATCATGGTGATCAGATCAAGATCATGATAGCATGAGCGGATACACATCTGCTGAGTGAGTGCTCGGGTGAACTAGGTAGGCGCGAACTCGTCATTCGTTCTTGCCACGCTTGTCGACTTGCTGATGCGCATTCTATCCAACCACAAGTTGATCTTAGCTTCATCCATCTACATTCCAATCATCATTACCAATATCTATAACCACAAAGATGGCTACTTGGTGGCTTCGGATACCAACTCGGCTCGAGATACTTCTCCTCATCCAGCAACACAACAAGCTCCGCCCTGCGACGAATCAGCAAATCGCAGTCACAATGACCGGCGAGGAGACTTTCAAGCTGAAGATACTTCAGCAAGAACTTAATGCAACTAGGAAAGGCTACAATGCTGTTCAGCGCCAAGCCCATCGTCTCTCAGAATCTATCGAGAAAGTCTTGGCATTCAACCCAAGTTCCGGAAGGGGCAAATACGATATCGATTCCTGCATTGAGGCTGCACGAAAATACTTGACAAAATTGGAGGCTGAGAAGAGGATTTCAGACGCATTAGAAGATGCGGTGCGGGGGGCAAAACAACTGGAGCAGGAGGCGAATGATATCCAAGAAGAGCAAGAACAAGGAAGATACATTGAAGATAGCAAGCGAAACACATGTGCCAGGGATGGGAACAATGTCAGCGACCGAATAACTTTTCATACGAGAATGCTAGGTTGCGAGACAGCTCAGGAAACTCCCAGAGCAATTGCCAACGAGTCGTTCAGCTCTGACGACCAAGAAGTATCCCAAGACATCGGAATTGCAGATACGCCAACAGTCTTGCCGCAATCATCTTTCGACATGGAGATTTCTACCGACACGCTTCCATTTCGACAAAATGGGAACTTCAAGGCGAGCCAAGCCATTCTTCGAAACCCCATCGAGAACCTCGCATCAGGAAATACAACTTGGCAGGCTAGGAAGGGAATCCTGCGCAAGGCGACGAGGGAGCCCAAAAGTATCATTTCTAAGGAAGTCGACTCCTCTATTTTGACCTGGAATCCTGGAAAACAGCAAACAGAACAATGTTGCACGGAATTAAAAGAAAGAGAAGGAAAGACAGGAAGCTCTTTGAGAGAGGCCCAGGAGAGAGCAATGGCGTTATATTCGGAGGTGAAACATTACACTTGATGAGAAAATTCAAGAATTAGAATCAAGTTGTCATTATGAAAAGCATGGGCTCGAAAGTGTGCGTAGCGTGTCAGCCTTGAAAGCAACTTTTCACATTCGTTTCATGTCTACTGATGCTGCTCTAGTTCTGTGACTCGAAAGAAGTTACATTATCATAGTCTGAGATATTATGTCCTCTTGAATCACTTATAGCATCCATTTCATTGAATAATCGTAGTTAGATACACGCCTAAACCATACTCTGATGAATCAGAAGACTTATTATATAGAACTCCGAAGAATCTTGGTTTGAATGACCCACTTAGTTCTATCTTAAACTACAAATACTGCTTGAGGCATCCTTCCAAAAGCTCTGAAGGTCCAGTGATAACCTAAGAATAGGCGACTTCTGAAGAGATACTAGCTATCTGAAGCTTAGAGTGCTCGAGAATCCAACTCCAACACAAATAACAACCTCTGCCCTTCCAGGAGTATGGCACATAATACGAACCCTTCTGGTCAAGAAGAGGCCCAGTCCCCTGTTCAGAGTAAGGATGATATCAGCGAAAATAACGCCCGCAAGATACGTTTCCTCGATGCAGAGGCGTCATCAGACTCAGGAGCAGCAGACTCGAATGCTCAGAATTCCGACGCCGCTTCTAATGCAGCACAGAAGAAAAACAAGAGTCATCTTCTTGCAAAGCACGACAGGATCATGGAAGATCTTTTAAAGCAGCTGTACGAGCTTCCAATACTCCTACAAAATACAAAGAAAATCATGGAAGACCCAAGAGTCGAAGTTGAACTAAAGAAAGTCATCGATCTGGCTGCTACTGCGAATTCTTGGTCAAGCGACGTCGAGGATGTTCGTGAGAAAGTTCGAAGGGACGAAAAGAGATCCATGTCAGATTTTGACCTGCTGGTGTACAACTTGCGTAGGTATAGAGTCCTTCTTCATGAACTTGATGGAACACTGGCTGTGAATATGGAGATTCTAGAGAAGTCCGCGGATCTTCTGGAGAAAGTCCAGGAGCACAAGCTGAGGCGACATCGTGAGCTGCACCGTCAGGACCATGACGATATAAGGATTTCAAAGAAGCAGAAAAATGAGGCACAAAAGAATATTCGGGGATCTGACAACAAGCCACCAGGTAGTAGACCCGATAGAGATGGAGAAGATGATATTCAAATGAAATCGACTCCAGGAAATGATGACCCAAAGACTCAGGCTTTAGCTCCAGAAACTGGCAGCGAGCGGGTTGGGGTTCAGGAACTTCCTGAAATAATCATAACTCCCCCGGCTTCTGTGGACGATTCCGAAGTAGCCATGCAGGCAACTACGTGGGAAGACGAGGCCACAGATACAGGATTGGCAGAAGCAGACGAGATGATGGACTCGATCTATGATCTCTACGGTATGTCTTGCGATAAGGATACGATAGAGGATGAGGTAGAGGACTACGAGAAACTCATCAACCAGATTCTGGAAACCTTGACTGCTTTTGCTGTCCAATTGAGACCAGAAGGCGAGTTCGACACCAAGATAGCATATCAAATGGACCGCATCCTCCAACTGTCGAGAGGTGACGTTGAAAAAGAATGGGAGATAAGCCAACTTCGACTGGATCTCTTGCAGGGTGGAGGAGAAAGTGTTGAAGAACGGGTCTTGTATCTCCTGAAGTCATATCGTATTCTCTTGCATGCTTTGGTAAGCTACGGACTTCAGATGGAAGGTCGGGTTACCGAAAAGATCATTGAAGTGCACGAACTCATGTCACAATATCAAAACTCTCTGCCGGATATTGAGGAAGAAACTTCTAGCCAAGAATGGGATGGAGATGTCAAGTCGGAATTCGCGGAAAGTCTGGAGAGCCTTGAGGTTGAGCATGTGTTTCAAGATGGTAACTGCTCCTGTGGTACCTTTTGCCATTTCGCGCGAGCCCGACCCGTTACGCCGGAAGGGGAGCTCGATGCCACAGAACGTGGAATTCGCGACTGGTACGAAAAAACTCAAGCAGCCATCAAAGAACACGCTTATTCGATAGCAGTCTTCTTGAAGTTGCACACTGAGCAAGTCAAGGCTGGAGACACTGTTGATCCAATTATCCTCTGGCATGCTAAGAAACTGCGAGACTTGAATGTAGGGAAACAGAGAGAAGGATTGGAACCTCAACAATATGACCAATCGCTAGAGGAGACAAGGGTCGAGTTGAAGGTTTTCAGACAGCAGTTAATCAACTATTTCTACGAATGTCAGGATTCGGGTTCTCTCATGGAGCTGGATCCCGAAGTCGTCGCAGCTTGTATTGAACTGTTGAAAGCAAATTTTCAGCAACACTGGGACATTGAGAAAAAGAGAGTACTTGGTAGTGTGTCCGAGACTAAAGAGTAGATAATGGTAGAGGGAATGCTGCAGCCTGTAAGGGAAGTGAGGCAAGGTCTGTTTTCAGACTTTTGACAATAGCTGTACGTCTAGAAGCATGGCTTTGATGGATATATTCCAAAACCAATTCGCTTTCCATCAGATTACTTGATTGCCTCAGCCGTGTAATTGCGTCCAGGAAAAGGTAAATGTTTTGACAGAATTTAGGGGCTTAGCCATCATACTGCTGACAGTGAATCACGCTTTCGTGATGACTGGATTGCTACTGACCATTCTCGAGCTTCCAAAACTCTATAACAACGAGAATTACTTCCACTCTGAATTCGGTCACAGAGATCAGCAAACCACGACCATTACTAAAGCAAATAACAAGACCAGCTCGCAACCATCCCGATGGATCAATCGATTTCAACCGAACTCGAAGATGAGATCACCGTGCCTTCAAAAGACATCGCACAGTTCGAGATAGAGATCTTGCAATCACCAGCGCCATTCAGCAGAGCAATAGCTGCAACAAGAGTACTTGACCTTGGGCGATTCCGGCGGGCGGAGAATTCATTTTCGAAGTTGAACGAGATGCACGAGTCTAAAGGCGATATCCTTGAAGTCGCGGAAAGTCCAAGTTCTTCCGTTGAAATCAGTAATCACCCCAGTTATGGAGGCAATCGAAGTCAGAACCAGCAGAGATAATGAGCATACGAGCCAGGATGATGTCCGTGCAAATTACGGCGAAGGTAGAGAAACCCGTACGGCTCAAAGCAAGTATAGTCTGTTGTCGGAGTCCAAAGACAGCATTTCAGCAGCAGAACATGCCAGAATGGCCATTCTAGCAATACTGCAATCCTACTTGCACAACTTGCGCAACGGCAATCTTACAACTGGAGAAGAACTTGATCCAGACGTGGCAGCTGCATTGGAGGACTTACTTAGCATCACAGCCGATAACGTATCAGGTCTTTGTGTCCTTGATCGATGCGGATCCGACTTGGGAAACAGCGTAGAGCTATGCGAGCTGAGCGACGAGGCAGGTGTCGTTCAAGAAATCAAGAGGTATAGCAGGGCGTTGATGGAAAGCGGAGGTGAGATTCCAGATAGCGTACACGATGCTGCGCAGTCTATTATTTGCTGGACTATGTTGTGATACGCGTGGTATGGGGGCATGGATTTATGATTGCTTGACATTACAGCAATGGATTCAAACAATTGGACAAAAATATGACTTAATCTTGATAAGCTATAAGTTCTAGTGAAAACGGGAGGTTTTCGTTAAAATTTGAACCATCAGGAAAATGTGAAGATGCTGCGCAGCCATGAGTCGTGTCCAGCGTCGTTACTTTCCCAGATGCGGATCGTTGAATCTTTGCCTGACAAAGAGCGTGTCGGACTTGTGCAGGGAGATCATCCTCTTACGTTACTGGAGTGACTTGTCAACAGCACCATCCTTCAGGCCCGATGCTGACTGTATGAAACAGTGGTCAAAAACCACAGATACTGGGGATATTGAGCTTCCAGTCATTGTTTATACTCACCATACAATCCGAGTTGGTATAATCAACTGGTGAAGACAGAATAGCGGTTTGGGAGGAGCAGAGTAGATTTTTAACAGTACGAGTACAGGCATCTATCTGAACGAGAGCCAACTTCGCTCTCGATCACAAAGAAAACTTCAGCCGACAAAGGCCGTTACCGCTTCCGATATGAAATCCGCAGTCTCTTTTGGCTTACTCAACATTGGTGAGTGGCCGCTCTCAACTTCTCGTACTGTTATGTTTCCTCCCGCATCTTTAACAGTCTGGACAAAGTACTGTTGCGCTTGAAATGGTAACGCCCTGTCCTCAGTAGTAGCCAGATACCACACGGGCACATCCATCCACTACGCTTGATTAGCATCAAGACTTCTTTGTTTTATTACCATAGACAGAAATATCACCCGTCAGGCAACAAAGCAAGATTGACAACTAACGAGAGTGAAGAACGAAAGAGATTGCTGCTTACACCTGCATAAGTGTCCTCTGCTCCTTCAGTGAGAGCTTTCAATGATTGGTCCAAGAGTTTGCTGACCCAGTACTTGCGTTCTTCTTCCGGCAAGTCGTGATAGAAAGACTCGCTAGGATCTCCCACTAGAACAGCAAAACCACTCTCATAGTCGAGCTTCCATGAGTTTGGCGGCGCTCCACCAAGCGCATCCATAAAGGTCTTCCCGGCGGGGCCAAATCCAGAGGCCATTGAGCAAATGCCAATTACGTGACCGGTCGGATCAGAAGTAATCGTCGAAGTGTTTCCTTTGGCTGCCGTGAGATCTTTGACTGCACTCACGCCTACTGCTCCTCCATAGCTGTGCACCACAACCACAACGTTACGTCCTTGGGCTGTCTCCGTCTTGATGGCGTTTCGGACAGCCTGGAAGTCATCCGAGAACGTCTTTGAAGGATCTGAAGTGGTTGTCGGCAGAGTAATAGCAATGCAGTTGTACCCCTGTGCTTTTAATAGCGAACTCACTTTGTCCCAGATACTGGCGGGGTGCCTATGCACATACAATGTTAGCACATTTACATCTTCAATTGTATAAGACCATATGACTTATATCACGACAACCCTCCAAGTTCTGAGGTTTAAGTAAAATCATAGAAAATATCGACTCACCATGCTCCTGGGACAAAAATAAGTGTTGGCTTGGGAGACATTATCAACAAATCTAGGTTCGAAAAAGACAATGATTGCTTTTAGAATAAAAAGTTCTGAATAATCGATGGATTGAGAATGAGCCTGAGTGACGATCAAATGCAGACTTGTGGAGAGGAAATAACGTTCTTAAATATAAACTCAGAAAAAAGCAAACACTGAGTCAAATGTCTCTGATATCGGACTCGGAGCTTTGAAGCATTGTAGGGTCCGATCTCCGTGTCACCGCTCCAACCCGTGACACAGAAAATAATGCAATGCCGGAATCTTTTCGCATATGGCTGAATTATCCTGGGCTCGAAAAATTGCTGACGGGTGCTTGCGCTCGGGGCCGGCTTATATTCGTGCGATGGTAGGGCAGTCGGCCGCCAGTTGGCCAGGGCTTACCAAGTTTGGCTTGTTTCCCGTTGCGGGATAAGTTAATAACACTTCAGTGCATCGAAAGTTCGAAGACACGATTATACCACTAAGTAACACAAAATGGGATGATTCAGAATCAGATTTGTGTCGTTGGAAGACATGGCTTCCATCTAAACCCAAAATTCAGCCCCAAATTGCCAAATTCTTCCGATCCAAGACCTGCCACCCCTCTTGTATCTTCTTGCAACCCTGAAACAACCTTTCTTTCATACTGAACATGCTACCATGATACCCATGGACAAGACTCAGATGCCATCCAATGCGTCGCGCGTTCAAGAATGTGATCTTTCTTCCCAGATGACGATTATACACTTAGGTGCTTCTGATTCCATTGGAGGAAGTGAACTCGCAGACTGGTCCATAAAGTAGTACGGAGGTGGATCCAACTGCACGGATTGCGTAAAGGAAGTCTTCCCACAATATCTCACCTCGCAGATCGATTTGACCAGGGTTGAAGAACAAAGTCCTGAACGCCGTATATGCAAGACAGTACAGCCTAGAAGTTGGTTTTGTATCGCAACAAGGAGTTGGTCTGCGGGATGCTCCGCAGCGGCAAGTGCATTGTTGCCTTTCTTATTTTGAACTCCGCCTCTTCTTGTCTTCAAATTGAGTTTCGGCTCGACGGGAACAAATTTGGCAGTGACTAGTCCAGATTCCAAGTGGAGAGATGAAAGACAGTCTTCGATATCAATACTGGCAGTATGTGTACTCTCGGTTCTCGAGACTTTGATTGACTCTATCCGTGCTGGATCTCGCTGCAATTGTAAAGGCCGCTGGATTTGCCAACATAAGTTCTCATGGGTTGTCTTTCCGATTCTTGCACCATAAATATCGAGGCTGATTGTGTTGAGCACCCGATCCAACTCATGGAGACTTGGGAGATATTGTTTATGCTCCTAGATGAATCTGATACATAACATCCTTTGTGTCTCGACAGATTCCTTATCAAGCCCCCAGATTCTGGAAAGTCCGTCGAAATTTGGGTCTTCGAAAGATTGAAGCAACACTTTAAACCTACGATGGGGCTACAACATCCAGTATTGAGCCCACGGTCTACAGAAGTCGAGAAAATATCCACTCGTTCCCCTACCATAACCGTCCAACAAGGGGCTGACGAGGATGCTCGTAGGATCATATGTTTTGAAGAATGGGTCACGATATTGAAACAAATGACCGAAGACAAACGACCCACACAAATTTGAGGCTATCAAGGGTGGTGGGTGGTTAAGGATTCAGTCAGCCAATACACAACACGCAGCAAAAGAACATGGATGCGGACATACAGGACGGAACAGTGGAGGTGAAGATCAATCGCATCAAAGCCCTCTTGCAACAACAAATTACAACGACAGAGGGGGCTAGAAGTATTAGTGGCAAGTGTTATATGGAGTAATTCAAACGGCCTTACGATAGCTCTCACCCATGACCGTTTGGTCACTTCTAAGGTGGTGGAAGGTCTGCATCTATCTATGAGCTCCGCAAGGTGGGTCCCAGAGAGAAGAATCTGAAGCTCGATCTCAGGGGCTTCTCTGCGTTGGTTTGGGCTGTAGCACTGTCGACGACCCAACCAGTGGGGTGGTCATGTACATGTTTCCTCTGCTCTCTTTTTTGAAGTTATGGACTTCATAGTATTTTACCGACATCTATGGCTGTGGATTGAATCCTGTTATGAGTTTAAGCGGCGGAAGTTTACTGTTCGAGCCTCGCGCGTCAGTTGCGCAAGACTTCAAGGGTTGTTGGATTGGAGAAGTTGGTAGATATTTAGAATGAAGTGTTTAGCCGCTTGAGCGTTTATGTGACCTTCTGAGTGCTAATGGAAAGTTTTGATTTGGCTTATCATTTAGCGGTGCGTCTTACGCTTGGCTGGCAAGGAGTTTGAAGACGCCTGGTGAAGCTCTGTCGAGTGCGGTCAAGATTAAATTGAGAATTCAGGGAGAACGTCCAAGAGGGCCAATACGCCTGCCAATCCGGGGCCGGGGAAGATCTCTGACGCTGAGCCTCGAATGTGCTTGCAAGGTGAGGGTCGACTATTGGCTCGCTAAATTAAGCGAAATGTCTAGCGTAGAACGACAAATATCCAATCCCTAGGTACCTACCAGGTACCTACCTACCTACCTGGGCAGTAGACTTAAGAAATCGGTGTTTGGAAAGACTCAAACTTTTGGAACACCTTGAAGTTGTCTCATGTCACCAATGAAATCATAGTCATTTACTGAAGTGTTGCATTATTCATGATCAGAAACCATTTGTAATCTCCCAGTCCATACTCGTTGTCACACCTCACGCCCTGCTACCATGACTTATCCACCACGAGCCAAAGAACCTCGCAACTTTATCATAACCCAGTGAAACTAGTACCTCGAGAAAAATCTACTAGGCATAACTCGCTTCTTTGGAGGCTTACGATTTGCTGCAGGACCCTACCGAGATTTTCAGTCAGTGAACAATAGACATTGAAGTGCAAGCATACCTTAGCAACGGGCTTCTCAGCTTCAGGCATATCGTCATGAGATGCAAGTCCCTTCATGAGCTTCTTCTTCTTCCCCTTCGAAAAATCATTAGCGGGGTAATAAAGAAATAGTTTTGGAGCAATACCGATGTAGCATTTTGATTCTTGTGCTCATCCTCGGAGAATTTGACTACAGCTCTCTTGCGCTTCCTAGGCAGGATCGGCTGCAACACTGTTAGGTTTTACCGCCCCTAAACAAAGATAGAAGCGTACCTCCTCGTCAGAGTGCTCGTCATTCTTGACTTTAGATTGTCGGTCCTTGGCCACGTCACTCTTCTTCTCGACTGCACTGTCTTCTGTAACCTCGGTGCTTGCATGAGTCTTGACAGCCTTGTCAACATCAGAACTGTCGAACTCGACGGCGCCGCTGCTCTTGTCACCTTCGAGAGTATTGGTATCCTTGATCGATGCTGCCGCGCTGAGCTTAGGCTCTTCCTTGATGGACTTGATCCGGGAATCAATAGCCTTCATCAAATGTTCGGCTCTCAACAATCGATCTTCGTAACCTTAAGCATCTTTGGGAGTAGGGGAGTGCCTGTAGCAGATCGATCAATCATGCCACGAAATTTTTCGCAATCGCTGCTGAGCAAACTATGCGCAAGTTGCCAATCTTCGACATTGAAAGGCCGACCGTGGTCCTTGAACGCATTCGGAAATTCACAGGACAGCTTTGACCAATCACCGAACTTGTAGTTTTGTTCGTAATTGCAAAGTTTCTTGAAGGGTCGGAGTGCCCTGCGCACTAGAGTCAGTTTCGATCTCCATAGGACCTGTTGAGTGTGGACAAACTTTTCAAGGTTCTTTGTTGACATAATGTCGGACTGCAGCTTGGGATTGTCTTTGAACTTCGAAGGATGAACTTCGCTGCAAGTTACAGTCAACCTCGAATTCTTCAAGCCTGGTTGATTATATACTAACCTTGAAAGGGTGGAAGATGGCTTAGTGGTTGTCTCCATGTTGGGGGTTGGGGATGTTGTTAAGAAGAAGTGGGAAAGTGGCGAAGGGTAAAGTTGCGAAAGAATAGATCGAGGTTGTTTCTATAGTACGGGTCTGCGGCCTTAGCGCCTTAAGAGGTACGCGAGCAACTTGAACTCGAAAAGTAGTCAAAAGGGCCGCTAGTCAAGGCTTCAATGATCATGATATCTAGGACATTAGACAGGCGGAGAAGGAAAAGTGTCAAGCCACGGAAAGTGACACTTATTTCTACGAAGCGGAGATCTACGAAGTACCCCACTACTTGGTAATGCGTTTGATCATGGTTCAACAACCTGTCTAGCCATTACTAGATAGACTCTTCCTGTTAGCCTCTCTGGCCAACCACCATTTCGAGGTCGCCCAGATGCTCTTCCTTGCCCATCCTTATCAGCTATTCATCATGGCCGCAGTTCTTCAAAGCCATCGGCCATTGGCGGCTGGTGTTCTCTCTACCTTATTCAACAGATCATGATAGACCTACATCCTGATCCGAAGGCCTTTTCTTCTATCCCTGTTTTCTCTTCTCAGATAGATGATAGAAAGGAATTTTGAACGCCTTCAAATTGAGTGCTCCGAATATTGATGCAAGGCTTCATCTTTGATCTTGAAACGAGTTTGAGCTGATAGCTGCAACTCTTGCTTTAGCTGGCCTTGAGATGTGAGATCTTTTGCTAGTATTAATGCAGCATTTCCCAAAACAGTACTTCATACTCCAGTCGTGATGTTATGGTTAATAATTTAGGAGTTTATGCTCAACAATTACCCCAGAAACTCCAGAGGAATGGTGGCAAGAATGGAATGGCTTGCACTGGAAATGAACATTAATTTGTTTTATGGATGTGCATGATTTTCTGGGAAAATGCAGTCACAACGAGTTGTAAACTCGATCGAATATTGAATCAGACGTAATAGCCAGGATCGGCTTCACTAGTATTACTGAATAGCAGTGAGTGTGCATCATTCTATTTTGTTTCGCCTTCTATTTCACCAGAATCTGCATGGTCCTCTTTCACCCCTACGCCAACTCCGCTTTAGTTATCGACCTCTTGGTAACAGACTACAAAAAAGATTCACTCCTCAATGCAGGTTTGTGAGTGTGCATTTGGAGCAGACCAGAGGTTGCCCTCGAGCTTCATGATGTTTGTGGCATTTGTTCATACTGAGATATTTGACTTTGGTTGCGTTTTCGGGCGTAAAGGCACGAGACTTCCTGTGGGCGTAGACATGGGTTGCAATGCATACCAATTCCTTGAATCTGATGGTTTCATCACCAGTCGCAGAATTAGTAGGCTGTTCATTGCATATGAGGGGAGCAAGCCTGTTTGACTGACCTGTAGGTGCGAGCTTTTCTTTCTTGGGTGAAGCAAGTGAATAAATTGAGAATCCTCAAGACGTAAAGAAAAAGCTCTTCGATGAAGTTTGGTTCCAAAAATTAGATGCCTTGACCTCCAGCTACAGTCTCAACTCCAGTGGAAAGACATCCAAAAGGAAAGGCGAGCACATGAGAAAGGTATGAGAAAAATATCAGATTGGTTGACAAAAGAATAATACGCTGCGTTGCTTTGACACCCACTCAAGCCTCAACCCTGCCTTGTTGGAAAGAGGTCAAAGCTTAGCCACCTAGTGCCCCACTACGTGGAGAAGCTAGTCAACAGGTTCGACCTGGTGCAGAATATCAGTACGAGTATTTTGCAGTGCTGAAAGCATGTACCATGTGGTAAAGCCATACCTGAACCAGCCTGAAGTGAACAGTATCGACTTTTCATGTTCGCTGCGTTCACCACCTCCGATCTCGAACCATAGAAGAGCCTTGTTAGCACAATTTTCTTTAAAGCAATCCTCGTCAATTGGAACGCACCTGATGGGATTTCACCTGCTGGCTGTAACAGTGATGGCAGGATTAAGTGACATAAAGTCAGATTGGGTTCCAAAAGGTTATGACAGCTGTCTGATGAGACGCGAATCATCCCCAGCTTGCCAAGAAGGAGATAAGTCGACGAAACAGAGAATATTAAAGCTGGGGCTATGCTGTGCGAGTATCTTGAATCTTGGATTCAGCGCTTCTCAATTCCCCAACAGGTCATATCTGCAATCTCCCCAGTGAATGCAGATCAAATAGCCGTTTGCTAATTTGGGTTCCAAAAAGTATTGTTGCGCTGCCCTGATCTCCACCCCGGGGATTCGACCCTGTATTGTTGGAAAGAGGGGTTACCCCCAGCTTATGATCTCGGGCATTAAGGCTGGAGCCTACGGCTATACGAGTGTTTCCGACGCACCTGCCACCTAGACCGTATCTCGAAGAAAAAACGAGAAGTTATCAATAGGTTCGACCTAGGAGTCATTTAGTGAGAATTTTATCAAGTATTCGAGCTGTGCAACCATACCTAACCCAGCTTGAAGTTCAAAGAGTGTCAATCTTAATGAACCGCCTTGGTCTGTGAGAATCATATCCACCGATTAGTACTTCTACTACTTCTTCTTCGCAAAGCAATGATATTCCATTTTTGGGACATACCTGATGGGAACAAGTCTGTCACCCCCTATCCCAGCGGTGAGAGACCAATGGCATTGAATCATGTCTGGTTGTAAAAAGTGTGCTGCGCTGCCCCGATTATAATATTGATCCAATGGAAACAAGATATACAATACAAGGGCATTAGAGCCTAAGCTCGACTATGCGAGTCTCCGAATGTTGAATTCAGAACGGAGCATTTGGATGTTGAATCAAATGCTCGATCCACCTAGGTTAATCCTAACTCCCCCGAGCAGAGTTAATCTTGCTTACGACAAAACAACCCACCGAAGTGCGTGAACTACCTAGGTGGATTCGACTATGGAGAAACGCCTCGAGAATTGGGGTTCTCGAAACGTTTAAAGGTGAGGAGCTGCCATGGCAGGTCCTTGACATTGTGCGCATGTACAAGACAATTGCGACACGGATCTAGGAGAAGGGTCAAGAGTCATCTTTGAAGAAGGGGTTCCAACTTCTCTAGTAGTTATTGCGCGTTGGTGATAATGATGTCGTTGAGGGACGCGCAAGTTCGAGTCTGTTCGACTTCGGTCGGACAAAGATAAAAAAGAAGTCGCAAAAAGAAGTAAGAATAAGGAGATCGAATAAGTATGGCAAAAGGCAGTGCGTAACAGAGTACTGAGCGCGCGAACAATGTGGTGGAGGTTGGTTGAGGATGGATTTGTGGATGGAAAATTTGAAAGATCGAGGTTCAGCAAGAGGGATATAGGGCAGTTTCTACTAGCGTACAACGAAGCGAGTAGTTTTCACGTGATAGAATAGCACACTAGTTTTCCAACGGGCGTTGACTGCATGTCCAGCACCGTGGTGGATAACAAAATGACCTTCGATGGGCTCGTTATTCCAATCGCCATACGCTTAAATCTGTGTCAGTAAATCGCATATTGGACGACGCCACTGACACGAGAGTGTCATGTTCATGCCAGAACTTTGCTATCTAGCTACGGGACGTTTTATAGCACATTTTGGCTCAAGAGACTATAGGAGGAACCATGCTAACCATCGTAAAGGATTTACAGACACATCGAACTAGTTGGACAAGTCCAGTGCCGCGCCGACACCGAATACACACTCTTCAGGATTCGCAGATAGAGGAACGCAGCTTGGAGTCAATACTATTCTATTTACTATCGAAATCAAGAGTTGCTCTACATGAATTATCAACCCCATATCTCCGCAATTGTCATAGTCTAATGCTATGAGTGGCTCGATCAATGACAAAGTTCAGTTTCCAGAAGAAGAGGAGAGACGAACTGCAGCGTTCCAAACGACTTCGAATATTTATTGAGCTGTCGAGTACTTATATCGACGTTGGCATATATTCCAAAGCAACCGGTCCCTTCCAACAAAGAAGCGTCCGTTATCCAACAGATTCCATTATCAACTTTCAACTTCTACCATGCTCAGTGCCCGGTTTCCCACTCGCGAACTCGTCTATGACGCTAGAACGATGGTCCGGTCTAGACGTACGGATACTTTGAGAGCATTCTCGGCATACTTCGAAACCACTACAAATCATACATGGAAAGTAGGCTGCTCATTAATGCTTCTGGGTGAAGCTACACTGTTTCTTTCAATTCTTGCGCGAGTGTTAAGGGATACAGGATATGGTATAAGAAGGATTACAAGAAAGCTCCGGATTCCGCCGGAAATTCCAGCTAGACTGATGGTCGTCTGCGATACAAATCAATGCATAATCTGGTGGAGTTGGAAGATGATTCTGTATTACCTAGTCTTCGAACTGTGCTGGACATCTAGGGTTGGGCATGCAAGGGAAAAATTCGGTGCCGTTGACTTGTTGTAAGTGGCTTTCACCTTCTTCAGCCGTCTCTGTCCAGGTCAATCCCCGAAATCAAAAAAAACAGTAGCACCATCCTGAGCATTGTATCCCGGATCGCGAGATGAGCAGTCTCAGCTCCAACCACGACCTACAGCGATACCGAGTACACATAATATGGTGAACTAGATGAACATGGATTCATGCGGCAGACTTTCTCAGTTTGGCACGGGTTCTGGGCAAATAGAGATAAGGTTAAGAGGGCTGAGGATGAATTTACCAAGGCTGCTACCAGGCCTTGGGGGCGAAATTATTGACATCGCCGACTATCACTACAAAATCCCGCAACTTGCTGCAAGTTGCGGGTCTATCCATCATAGCCCCTGTATGGTAGAAAGAACTCTGGGGACGTGTATAAGCGGTAGGGCGTAGGCCTGCGGCACAGAAGCTTCAGCTCCGAGAGATATTGCCAAAATGGGACCAGATCCGTTCACAACGAACTTTTGTGGCTTGAGACCCTTGAGTGATCCTTGGAGGACTTGCAAGCTGTCAACATCAATTTTTATATATGGCGTGAGGCTGCTGTAAGAACCAAGCTGACATTACTTCTAGATAAAACTTTGCTGTTTTTGGAGTTAGCATCACTACTTCTTTGCTCAGAAACTCGAATCAGTCTGCCTCCGATCACCAATTCGTACAATGTCCGACTTCCAGCTCACGGCCACCGATGGATCCATGGTCCGCAGCCTCACCATCTGCCGACAAAATGGCAACATCTGCGGTGCAAAACTGGTCTCCACCGACGGCGCATCGGATCAAACCGGGACTCAGACTCCAGATCGACAAACAATCGGCTTTGGCAGCAATGAGACCATCACTGCTATGAATGTCTTTCAGAACGATTTCGCCTTTGGGTCGAGTCTGGTTTACGACTTCTGCAGGGCAGATTTTTAACTTTGGGAACCAGACAGATGATATAGAGCAGACGGAGGTAGATTTGTTATTGGGATACTTCTTTGATATTACGGGAGATACGTGAGATGATGGAGTGATGAGTAATTCGTCTGTGTGGTTCCTGGAGGAGGTTAATGGTGGATATGCTAGCAATGTTGGTGGTGGTATGGTTCTTTCCAAATTAAAAGCATGAGGAGATTGCTGATTCATTTCCTAGCTGGCTATTCCGCGGTCATAACGTACGACACTATTGAGGTAATTGACTTCGAGTCAGTTAGCTATGAGGTCGATACCGTGGAGACTAAGGACGACTTACAAGTCGACGAGGATGATGAGGGGAGTTACGTGGATGAGAACGTGGAAACCGTAGAAGTTGATGTCGAAGAGGACTATTGAGTAAGACAATTATAAGGGCGAGATAAGATGGAAATGGAGAGCCTTCGTCGACTAACATGATAGAGAAGTAAGATGGGCCTAGTAATTCACTTTACATTTTCCAGAGTCACAGTCAAGGTTTGATGCAAAGGCATGGGGATGCAGAATCTCTTCCATTGTGTATCTCAGCAAGGCTATTAGTAATAGAAGGAGTGCCTATTTATTTGCTTCTCAGACTTGATCAAGGACTTGATCAAAGCCTTTTCGCATCACCGCGCTTTCCTGCCTGCTGCCCGTCCTAGATTTGCGCCATAATCCATCCACAGCTTGCGCCACAAGAGCTGTTCTGTAATTAAGAGTGACATTCTCGACTCTTATCTATGCTCGAATCTTTGGCTTGGTGTATTTGCTGCACAGGTGTTTTCGCTTGTCCACCTCAGACCACTCCTCCTTCTGACAATCCTTGTAGTCATACGTCTCATCGTTTTTGTCTTTGAGTACTTGGCAGAGGGTGATCGTAGTCTTTGTATCTTGGCATTCGATACATTTGAGATGATTTACTTCGCACATGGTTGCGCTTGATTGGAGTTGGAAATTTCGGCTGACGGTGGAGACTTGATGGTCGTCTTTGGAAGGGGGGAAGGTTTGTAGTGGCGGAAGAAGAAGATGTATTCTGGGTAAGAAACTTTGGGGCGCAAGATGTATATATGCTCAGAAAATGGACATAGATTCACCCGAGACCGTTTCGCTCCTAGTGCGCAACATGAGCGAAAATAAAAGATGTAATACTATATATGATGGCATGGGGCGCTAGTTGCTGCAAAGCTCTGATATCGAAAAACTACGGAGTACACCTCTTGTGTAGCGTCAGAATCTCCCAGCAGAAGCTTATGTCCAATGACCTCACGAACATTCTCCCTTTGTCTGAAAAGGGGAGCGAATCGCTAAGCGAGTTGACCTTGGCCAATGGAAGTTCAAGCTTAATTTTAGGTTTGCTACCTGAAATATTACGTCATCTTGCAACCAACACGTGCATCTACAATAGTCGTTTGAATCACATCGAGCATCAACCGTGGTCCTTTGGAAATCACATTTAATCGGAGCAAGGTGCGGAGCGGCTCCTACGAGCATACATCTATCAATACTTGCCCAAAATGGCATCACGAGCATCCTCCGCCCGCTCCTCACGGTCATCCAAACCTCGCCCAGCTCACCACGCCAACAATTCCGCTACCTTATTCAGAAATCCATGGCCTTCAGCAGAGAAGCCAACTTGGAGCGAGCTCCTGACGATATCGAATCCTTTGAGTTGGTATAACAATCACGATCTCCACAAGGACGAGCGAGCACGTGAGATCAAGGTCGTGCAACCGGACTGGGGAATCTCAAGCCCGAAGAACAGGGGGCTGAAGCAAGAGAATTGTATAGTTGGGACTTGGTTAGGCCATGCTGGTGTTATGGTCGAGTTGCCGCTCGAGGGCGTTCGGAATGCGAGTATGTCACGAGCTTCGACGGGATCTTGGCCATCTCTTCCAACACAGAGGAAACCTAGCCTTTGGGTACTGTTCGACCCTATCTTTTCAATGAGAGCTGGCCCCACGCAGTATACAGGACCAAGCAGGATGAAGCCAAGCCCGGTTCAAGCTGCCGACTTACCCGCCTGTGACGCTGTGGTCATCTCACACAATCACTACGATCACCTTGACCTTGTCTCGATTAAAGCCATACTTCTGAGGTTTCCCAAATGCAAATTCTTTGTTCCTTTGGGAAACAAAACCTGGCTTACGGCGACTGGTGTCCCTTCCGAACAGATTAATGAGATGGACTGGTGGTCTGATCTTGAGTTCAGCCCTCGAGATTTTGGTTTCGAGGTTGAGGAAAATGATATGGATAGTACTGTGCTGAAATTCACTTGCGTACCAGCTCAGCATAACTCAGGAAGAGGAACTTTGGATCAAGGAAGCACTTTGTGGAGTGGATGGGTCATCGAACAATTCTTGCATCCAAAGATCGAAGAATCCGATAAGTTGGTGGTGCGAAGGACGAGAAAGGGAGGCATCTATCACGCAGGAGATACAGGTTATCGCAGAACGGCAAAGTCAGAGGAAGTCTGCCCCATATTCGAGGAGATAGGAAAAAAGCTTGGCCCATTCGACCTCTCATTTATACCAATCTGGAGAGGCGGGACCCTAAGCTTCATCTCGTATATCGGACTGCGATTATCTCACCAAGAAATACCTTCGGCATTTCACGCATCACCAGCAGACGCTATCGATATACACAAAGTTGTCAAGTCGAAGAACACCGTTGGCGTTCATTTTGGAACTTTCATTGGCTCAGTGAACGAGTCGTATGAGGCGACGATTGAATTTGATGAAGCCCGTGAGAAGCAGGGAGTGGCGAAGCTAGAGGACTCGTCACAAGCTGAGCATGGCCGAGCTGGTCTGATAGATATTGGCGAGAGCATAGCGATTGAGATTGAGACTAGATAGAACAGTGATACCATGTGCTTGTCGAATCTTTGTGTTTCTGATTATCTGTACATAGAATCGTTCGGCTGCTTCCGCGAAATCAATGCCTTCCTCTACCCTAATATCAAGACTCGAGTGTCTAATTCCGTACGCTCATATATGTATTTATAATTGAGCATGACAGAGAATAGCTGCTACCTAGGTAGTTATTGGACTCGCTTCCCGTCCAATTGCCAACAACGGAGGAGCGTGACCACAAAAGTGCAAATTCCAACTGTGATTTGAACTTTGCACAAAACCAACCACAAACACTTGAACATAGCTTCCACTTTTCAAAGGATCTCACCTCAAAGCCTCCAATAACAACCCTCCTCAAGGGTACATTCGTGCAAGCCACATGCGTGTGTCCATGTAGACTTGCAACAAACGAGTTTCTGCACTTTTGTTGCGATGTGCAACAACAGGATTCGGGCCAATGAGCAGGGCTTCTGCAAAAAGAAACCAAACCTCATGCGGCTGTGGAACATCCGGATTCGGAGAGATGCAGGAAACGAGTCTATACATAGATACACGCAAGTGAGTGAAAAGTATGTGCCAATCAAATGTCACAAATTAACATGTTCGTGTAGGTGACTTTCTAGAAACTTTACACCCCTCCACCGCGGCGTGGGTAACTTGGCCTCCAATCTCAACACCCAGGACCAAACGCCCTGGAAAACTGCACGTTATCGACGTGCAACAGAATTGCCAGCCTCGTTCTTCGACCGTTCATTTTTTGAGAGTGCTAGTTGTGTTACCTTTCTAACACACAGGCTGAGCGCATTTCTTCGACCAATAAGTACTCTCGTATGCTTCACTTCTTGGCAGTGCCTGTTGTAAAATTTTAACCCCAATGAGTTCAGACGAAAGCAAATGGCCAAGTCAGCCTCGCCTCCAATCCTGTGAAACTTTTCCAGGAGCCATGGAATGTCTCAACTAGGTACATGAAGGCTCGCTGGTTTCGGGTGAAAATGACATGCATGTGGAAAGCCTTGTCCGCCAAGATATGCAGATTTCAATCAGCACCATCTTGGCCTGCAAATTGCATTTTTTCTTGCGACATGCAACAAACGCCACTCTGGGCGAACCCCTGAGTGTTCCGGTTGTGGCTTCCTGCATGGCTTCTGGCCTATGGCTTCGAGGCGACCCCGCATTGTCATCAGCCGTGCTCACCGCTCAAAACGAGAACGACAACACAGCTATCTCTGAAGCTTTCTAAAGCCTGTAGCACTCCAACGAAGTTGACAAAGTGTAGAAACCCTACTTCAGCAATTATAAGACAGTGACATATCCAACAAAAGTTGCCTAGAGACAAGACACATCACCGTCTCCATGGCCTCGTCAACCCTGCTCGGCTTGCCGCTCGAGCTCCGCATCCAGATTTACTCTTACCTATTTACAGCCCCACGAAGTCGAATTGAGCTCAAGAAGGGGTCTTATCGAGCATTGAATGAAGATGGAGGAGAAGAAATCCAAATGTGTTTATTACGCACCTGCAAGCAGATCTACAACGAAACAAGAGATATTTGGTGGAAATACAATACCCTCCACCTACGGTCGATTCTTAATGCACATGCACCTGCGCCTGAAGGCATAATTGCACCTAATGTCGCCATGAGGATCAAAAGCCAAGTCCGGTCTGTTCAGATGAACATCGATACCCTTTTCTACAAAACAATAGCAGATCGTCTAGTCTTCGGCCACAACCTTTCGATACTCGCCGGATGGGCTCAGGAAGGTCAACTATCTTCGATCACTTTGAATATTAAAAGCGTAGCAGGACGCATTCTTTACACACACCGGCAATGGATGAGAGTCCTAGGCCGCCACAGGGATTCAGAGAAGGATCGCACCCACAAACAATATCTCGAAGAACTTCGATTTGCCTCAACCGCACCAAACCCTCTATCCACGATCAAAAGACGAATAGTTCTCGAAACGCGCTCATCGACATTTGAGCCCGATACTTGGCGTCCGCGACATTCCCTTCGCGTACCAAAACAAGGTCACAATCCCATTGACATGCTGCAGGAATTGGCAAGTGCTTGGGGTGGTCGTCTGGAAGTGAATGGAATGCTTGCGTACGAAGATGGCAATCCTGTTGGAGGGGACATACTTCTCGAACAATCTGAGCCCCGTTTGTTTTACTACAAAGATGATGTTCATCTCTGGTTGATGACTGAGATTGTCAAGGAGCCAGTTCAAGGGAAACATATCGGACAATTCCTGCTGGATATGGATCGGTCGAGTCGAGCTGCGTTTTATGGAAAATATGAGACTGAATTGCAGGCGCTGAAGCAGAAGTATGGCATTCATCGGGTTGGGGAGTCAAGCGTCGCGAAACCTGCTGCCGGGGAAGACATACACCGCCCTTGAGTTGGTATAACACACGAGCTCAATGCAGTCCTCAGTTCCTGCTACCGCCAGAGCAGCAACATATCAACACAAACTGCACGCTATTTGCGGTACTGATTATCTAGATTGGGAGCATACTGTGGGGAGCTCATCAGTACACTTGCATTTGGAGACGTGCCAAGGAACACGAAGAGCAGCTTCACGAGAAGTATTTGAGCATCCAAGACAATTCGTGGTGAACTCTATCTAAGGAGAGCAGCGATTGCGGCGAACTCCATGGCGTTCAAGTTCTTGTACATTTACATTGTGATAGCACATCCACTAGCAGTTTTTACAATTGCCTTGAGTCACATAGCTGGCTCATCTGTCCCGCAAGGAACTATACGCGAATGAAAGTACCAGTGTCTTCAAGCTCTCCAGGATCTACTGCCTGTAGTTATAGCACTTGCGCAACTGGGCGGCTGCATGAAAAATGGCTTCTAATTCCTGCTGTGGAGCAGCTTTGGTTGTGCAATGGCATTTCTCCGCCAATGAACATCCAAGTTTGATCCAACTCTGAAGGGTTTGTTCGCTACATTTCGAGCACTTACACAGCAGGAAAGTCGGCCAGACTCCCTAGTATGGCCTCGTAGATCCGCAAGCAGACACCCGACGAAGCTGGCATATTGAGAGCACATATTTGGTGAGCCAATGAGCGTTCCGGGTTTCGTAGGCTCCTGAAGGTGTGGTCCTTGAATTTCCAACTCCTTATCGCTTTTCCATCGATCGAAGAGTTACGTCTAGCCTCCAATCCCGCAAGCCACCCGCTCGCTCGCAAGCCTCAGCACACCAGAACGCAACCAATGAACAGTCAAGGTTTGCTGAGTTCTCGAAGGTATGCACTGCGGATTTTCATGCCGATGGCATCGTTGTCGCTCAGATCGAAGTTTGTCTTGGCCTCCAAGATCAGGTCACACGTGGATCCGGACAAGTAACATCCAGTCGAACAAGCCACGCGGAATCCCTGGCTGTGAAAGTGATGCATCACAAAAGTGCAATTTTGCGACGTGCAACAGGATTTGAAAAGTGCAAAAATGAGAATCAGGTGATTTCTGTCAAGATTGATCAGTGTGAGGGAGATGGGATAGAGGGGATGCTGATTGGATGTGGGAATTGGTATGTGAAAGAGGAAGATGGGAGATTGTATCGAGTTGGAAGTCAAGACGCGTTGCACGTGATTGGAGAACAAAAAGTTAAGGTATGAAGTTTGGACAAACTTTGGGGGACAGGAGACTAGAACTGGGATAGCACTTACAACTAAGTAGACGAAGCTATTGGGTTAAAACGAGGAAGTTTGAGACGAAAACAAGCAGCACAAGCAACGCGGGTAGCGCGAATGACGCGAATGGCGCGAATAGCGCAAAAAGTGTGCCAAGTGAAAGATGACGATGGCTTTGGCTCTAAATATTCTCCCAGGGACACTTCACTAATAACATGGAGTTAGACAATACTCCATCGTCAAAACTTCACATGCCGTCGGGCTTTCACACCAACTCTTTCACTTCCTCGCCCTGATTCTCACTCCCTTCGTCCCATTCCAAACCTTCGTCAAAACCATTGCACCAACTAACTCTACATCCCACGTTTCCGTCTCCCACAACTTGAGCACACCCTTATCGCTCTCAAATCTACACTCTTTACTCCCCCAACTTCTAAATATCCTCGCAACAGCGATAGTCAGTTCTGCATACGCAATTTAATCCCCGCACAGCCTCTCGAGCCCTTGCCGAACGCAAAGAGATGCTTATCCAATCTTGGATTCTCGATCCAGCGCTCGGGATTGAAGGTGTAAGACGAGGGAAAGATGGATTCGACGTGATGCATCAAATACACTGTCATACATGTCGGTGTTGCTGGCAGAATGGCTAGATCTCGAGAGCTAGAGACGAGCATCGTTTCATCTGGCGCAATATGGCATACTCGACCCGGAGCTCCATATCCTAGTCTGATCGATTCTTGAATAACGGCTCTGAGATAAGGACGTGTGTCAAGTGTCGCCAAAGGTGTATGTTGAGAAGGATCTGGAATAGCAGCTTCGAGTTCAAGCTTTTGTTTCTTGAGGAGGAGAGGGTTCGCCAGCATGTAGTAAATTGCTACGGCGAGGACCCAAGCTGTGGTCAGAGTCCCAGCTGACAGCGTTACAGCTGCTTCATCGGCGAGACGGTCAAGAAATTTCTCTTCTGGTAGGAGTTTGCTGTCGAGGATGTCGTGGAAAATGGTTCTGTGTTGGCGGTCTTCGAATGAGGCTTTGGGTGAGGAGATTACATTTTTGGCTTCTGCGAAGATATCCTATTTCAATCACCAGTAGTTGTTGGTGGGAAAAGGTCGGGAGAAGGACAAACATTCTTCTCGGCTAAGAATTGTTCGTAGTCTAAACTCAGTCTTGAAGTTAGACTTTGAGGTAGAGCTTCCAAGATTCGCATGATCCAGGGAAAGAAGGCTAGGAACGGTATCATATCTGCACCACCTCTGGCATTATCGTGAAATGAAGGATCGAATCTCGGATCTCCTAGACGATTGTAGCACTTTCCAAAGGAGAATTCGGTGACAACATCTGAATCGTGTTAAGCACGAGAGAACTCGACGCAGCTTGGATTCAAGATAGCAAATTTTCGATTCTTCGACAAAAAAGATCATCAAGATCTACCGCCCACGGTAAAGGAGAGGATGCGCAAAAGGCTAGTTTGAGCGATCGTCTGAGTGGCGTGAAGTCACTATCAGATGCGAAGGCTGTCATCTGCGAGGCTATCATCAGCAAGCTGGCCAACAATCTGATGGTTTCAGATGCTGATATTGACCCCGAGCAATCGATCACAGCTTGTGGAGTTGATTCTCTCGTTGCAGTCGAATTGCGCCATTGGCTACTTGGTCAGACCAGTGCCGAGATTTCTGTAGTGGATTTGCTGCAAAGCAGGAGTATCCTTGTCTTGAGCGAGAACATCGCGAAGAAGAGTAAAGTAGTTGCCAAGCGGCTGAGCTCAGAAGGGATTGTTTGAGCTTGTTGCGCACAAATTATTAATGAATCCATCTGAAAAAAGAAGCAGGAACAAGAAGGAAAACGCGAAGTTAGGGAATGTACGACTACAGATGATGATGGATGCGAGTTAGAGACAAGGGCTTGGCATACTAGAAAGGTCGAAACACATACAGACACTCTTGACAGCTAGATGGAGATCTTAAGAAATCGACGCCTCCAATTTGGAATCAGCATTAGGAAAAGAAGACTTTCTCCATATTGAAAAGGACCTGACACTGTGAAAAATAGATCACCACGTGACATGGACTTCGATTTGAACAGAAGTAGAGAACATAATCGTAGCGTACAGCAGAGCATCAATTAAGACCTGATCCAATAGTAAAGTATCTTCTCGAAATCTCTGGACCTAGATATCCTTTCGCTAAGTATGGCAATCCAAGTGCCCAAGCCCAATCACCAAGGCAAGTGGCAGATATATGTAGGTGTTTTCTGAACTCAGCTTCTTCGCAATTTTAACACTAACGCAGGGTACATACGGACCATTAAGACAGTGAACATGAGCCGCAGAGCACGTCCAACTCGATGGGTCCAAGACAAGAGACAAAGACAACAAAAACGCTTCGGACAATCACAGGCGGTCCCCAGTCGCTCGACGAAGTCAGAAATTGATCCATTGCTAGGACCGTCGCAGGATCAAAATCAGTAAGGGCGTATTGGAAATAATCGCACATTGTCTCGATAACGATGTTACCGCCGCAAAGGTCCTCACAACCAATTCAGGGAGTCGTACGCCGTGTGAATGCCTGAGGCACACTTGCATAAAAAGGATCCACGAGGAGGTCTTATATAAACCTCAAGCTGACATCAAAAATTGAAAAGAATCTACATTCAAAAATGTATTCTAGCTGACACATGCTCTCCAAATCCTCACTCACTCAAGATGTCCTGTCCCGACTGCTTCCGTGGAGGAATAACAACCACTCACCCCACCGGAACCGAGACCACCATCCACGGTCTCCGAACCTACGTTGCTCAACCCTCAGACGGAGTGACACCAAAAGGCATCATAGTCATCATCACCGATGCCTTCGGATGGGAATTCCCCAACAACAGAGTTCTCTCCGATCACTACGCCCAGAACGGCGGATTTCTAGTCTACTGCCCCGATTTCATGAACGGTTCTCATCCCCCCTCCTCTTTCCCACCTATTCTAACTATGAGCACCAGGGAACTCCTTAGACCCAGCCGCCATCCCATTAACAGATAAAATCATGAACCCCGCACCATCCTGGTTCTCCGCCATAGTCTACAAACCAATCTACGTCTTCCAAGTCCTGACTTATGCCATCCCCTGGAAATCCAAATCCAGCATCGAGAAGACCCACCCTAGGGTGCTCTCCTTCTTTCAAGCGCTCCGGAAATCTGACCCTCCGTTCCCTACCCAGAATCTCAAAATCGGGGCAGCAGGTTTCTGCTGGGGCGGTAAACACACTATGATGCTCGCTGCCGACTCCTCATCTTCACGAGTCCAGCGACCCGGTTCTTCCACTCCAGAAGCATTGCTAGATTGTGCATTCGCGGCTCATCCGTCGTATATTGAGATCCCGGGCGATCTCGAGAAGCTTAGTGTCCCAACATCGGTGGCGGTGGGAGATGAGGATACGGTGATGAAAGCTCCACAGGCGAGGAAGATGAAGGAGATTCTGGATGCGAAGAAGGGTGATTTTGAGGTTGTGATTTTCCCGGGTGCGAAGCATGGGTTTGCAATTAGGACGCATCCAGAGGATAGGAATGAGGTGGAGTGTGCAGAGAAGGCGGAAAGGCAGGCGATTGAGTGGTTTACGAAGTGGTTGGCTTGAATTTTGGCATGCAACACTCGTGCAAATCCGAGTTCATTTGAGCCCAAAAACAATAGACTAATGACTTTTGCATTTCATACACAACAAAAACAATTAACTTTTCATCAACCAAACTCTTCGGACCCTAATCACAAACCCTTCGCCCTCCTCGTAGGATAAGGATACAACCAACTGCCCCCCGCCGTGAACGGCACATCATCATAACAAAAATCACTCCCATCCGCCGGATACTTCATCGAGAAAAAGACTCCCGTGCCCTCCAAACTCTGAACATTGCCTCCAAGACCAGCATTATACATAGTACAATTCGACGACGCGGTAGCGAAAGAGTAAGCCTCGCAAGCAGTTGTGAAGCGGCAGCCGGCTTGGCAGCTCAGAATGTCGGTTGCGGGGCCGCCTTGGCCGAGTACTCTGATGGAGGTAGCTGCGGTGCCTTCTTGGTTGCAGCCTGAGATGCCGGTTTTGACGTAGATTGTTCGGCCGGATTTGGAGATTTCGGTGGTGAATGGAATGGTGGGTGTTGTGGTTGAGGTTGATAGGGAGGATGTAAAAGTGGAAGATGTTTGAGTCGAGGTGGTTCTAGTTGCACTTGGTATATATAACGTGGTCTTGGGCGAGATTCGCGGAATTAGGAGGTGACCAATCGATGCAATATGGTCAGGATTCAACGGTGTCTGCGACGAAAAGGGCATCGCTACCAGAAGGAGAAGGAAGATTGACAAAACTTTGGTCAACATCTTGATAATATTTGGATATCCAGTTCAATGACAGCGCAAGTAGAACAAAATATATAGTCGGAACGCAAAGCACCTAACTACAAGCATGGCAGGGTGGCCTGATTACGGAGCTCAGAAAAAGACCTGAATCTAGTGGAAGGATCACCAGATTGTAACTTCAATATGGAAAATATATATATCCGGATGCAGGCTGTTGAACCTCGAACTCTGATTCGCGGACACCCACCAAATTGGTTCACCCAAGCCGAATACCGACGCGAGGATTTTATTTCGGATTCAAAAGTAACTAGTGAAGGAATGTTACTTTCTTGGGTCGCGCTTGCTGGAGATCTGTGTTTCGTTACATCGCAGACGCCAAAGTATGCAGCAGAAAAGCTTCAATATAGATTTAGATCTCAAAAGGTGCATCCATTGACTGTCATGGTAAAGGTAACTAAGAAAGGTAGTCTAGTTCTTGGAATAGTGACACTGGCCAATGAATGTGTAGAGCAAATGTGTACAGAAAAAGTCAAATACGAATATAACGTAAAAGTGATTCATAATGCGTAAAGCATCGCTCACAGCTCTCTGAGCAGCCAGAGTGTATATAACACATTTATATTAGGAGAAAAGCTTATTAGTACAAGTACCCATCAGAAGACCTGTATGTCCTGACATACTATGCATCTCTTGCGCCGACAAGTGTTTCGTACAATGCGCTTAAGCATCCTTCATCGTTTGTGCCTTCAACGCCATATCCTAGTCCCAAACGCCTTGTTTAACGTTGCCTCAATCATAGGAAGTATACCGGATACGAACGATTGTATGATTCTCGCGGGTAATATGTAGTGTACATGTTCGCAGACAGACTCCGTCGACGTGGCTCACTGGTTGCACCAGCTATTGTTCGTCTTGAGTCCAACTGCTCAAAAAGCTATTGCTTGGCAGGGATCGAGATGGAATCTCATACTGCTCAGGGCTTGGTCCGGCCAAGATTCGATATAGATGAAGTCGTAGGAGGAGAGGAGGTATCGTTTCGTACTTGGTCTTCGTGGGCGGAGGTATATCATCGATCGCGGTCGAGATAAAGTAGAGTCTTTCGAGCTGCAGATTTTATAGTCCCAGCTTCATGAGCAGACCTCCCAGACCAGTGAGCACGGCATCCCAGAGCTCGTAAGTCTCGTACCAGATAGCGTGGAAGAGTCCGCACATTGTGTATGCTTGCGTTCGATGGTAGATTTCGAAAGGCTTGTAAAGGAAGTGTTGTAATGTAACGTCAAAGTCGTCTTGTAGGCTTTGGTCGATGATGAAAGAGATATCACTTACCTTCATAAAGAAGTGGAGGCACTTCTTATATATCCATGATGCCTACGAAGTACTTTGTAGTCATTCGGGGCGTCGAGGCTCAGACACGGCTTCACTTGCCTAGCTCCTTGGCCAAAGGCGATCGCACAGTCATATGGTCAGAAAGTCCGGGGCGGAGAGAACATGGCTATGCTGGTTGGATCATGGTGCTGACCAGTCGAATGTTCGTTGCCTGATAGAAAAGGATACGGGTGGGAAACACAACAGAGCAGATCATGGCTCTTAGGGGGCGGAGAAAAGTGGCCGAATTTTTGGGTGGTTTTCGCCTACAAAAACGGCCACTTTTTTCCGCCCTTGAGAGCATGGCATGGGGAAGCTGAGAATGGCGGTGCAGGCGCTAGTGCTGTATTGGGCTTAGAGGCCGTCGAGCCAAAGTTCAGCCTTACCGAAAAAACACCAGGCTGTCCTCAATTATTCTCATCGACCAGACAAACCACTCACTCAAAGTCGCAACGTCTCCAAACTTGCACACCGACATTACTCGGTGTAACCCATCCGTTCCTACCATCTCGAGCAGGGCGCATATCATTTCGACCAAGGCGCAGACGATCGGCATTTCAAGCATCCTTCCACAGTCCATTTCGAATCAGGAACCACTTCCATCATGGACGACACAGAGACCTTCGACCTTCTCCCAATCAGACTTGATCCGCAATCCAAAGCGATCAGTACAACTTCCAGCTCACGAATCCTCAATCAAGAACTCAAGACTCTAAATGAGCTCCACAAGACGCTCCTGAGCCTCGAATCTCCTGCCCCACCACCTCCTATTCCCGTCAACCCTAAACGCTCTGCACAAATCACGAAGCTTCGCGAAACTGGTAATGATTCATTTCGCAAAGGGAAGCATGCTGAAGCCATCCAATACTATTCTCTCGGCCTCAAAATGGCACTTTCGCGACCGCTCTGGGAACCTTCTGGACTGGTGAGAGACGAAGTTGCTGGATTATACGCAAATCGAGCACAGGCACATATGGCGATGCAGAGTTGGGCTGAGGGCTCTGTTGATGCAGAGTCGAGTGTTGAAGCTAAGAAAGCTGGTAATGCAAAGGCGTGGTGGAGAAAAGCCAAGTGCTTAATGGAGATGGGTAGATTAGAGGAGGCAGAAGAGTGGATTGGGAGAGGCTTGGAAATGGAGGGTAACGAGAGCGATCTCGTCGCTTTGTTGAAGGACGTCCAGGAGAAGTCGAAAAAAGCATGAGGCGAATATGGATTGCATGATGGAGTCTGGAGTTGTTGTACAATATAAGGGCAGGACTGTGTTTTCCACAGCACAATGAAGACGCTTTTTTTTTCTTAACCGTAGTACGGTATACCGTGTGACAGCCAAAACGAGCCACTGGTAGAGATCCCATGCTGCTTTAGACATCTTGATCTCTGTATTTCTTCAACTGCACTGTCATTTGACGTACCGTTACAAACTATTTGAAGGTAAAGAGCATTCCCCAACGAAATCCAAAGGGGTCGAATGGTATATCCGCGTGCTTTACATCATGTTCGGGAAAACAAATACACTCTATCACTGTCTCCTTGCCGTGCACCTCGAATTGACCGATGGTCATTGATAATTCGTTCCTCCCTAATGATCCTTTCCAGCCTGTCTAGCCGAAGCTCGGCTCTTGAGAAGTGCTCTTCAGAGGGAAGCCTCGTATCATCTACGGTAACCTCATAGGCTGCCCAATTCTCAAAAAGCCGATGGATTCTGACCAAAGGAATTATCGATTCGAGAAGCAGGAATCTCTCTTTTTCCTCATTGGGTAGTATGGTCTGTTCAACAAGTTCCGATATCGTTGATATCTGCCCTGCTCGTCTTGGAGTAGGAGGAGCATGATCCACACCCGTAATATGATTCAAGAATCCGCGCATGGAGGCCAGCATGCTGTCGCTAGGTCTCCATGCGCCCCAACCCCGACGAAGAGCCACCCAGAAGTTTACAACAGGAAGGCTGAGAAACGTTTGGATGGCTGGGTAGGTCTGCAAGAGGGCCGGAATCTGCTCCTCAAAGTCTGTCCATACCGATAAGAAACCAACTCGCTCACGAATCTCCATACCATCATGCGCAGCCACTCGGATCATGGTCGCAAGGAGTGCTCTTTCTGGCACAGGAAGACCCGCACCAATACCTTCCAACTGCAGTACGTACTGTCCTAAAATTCAGAGACTCAACATTAGTTGACGGGTCTCATACATTTAGATGAGATGCTCCAAGCTAGCGTGAATCATCGTGCCTACAGCTCCAAGCTGTGGAAGAAGCAATTGCAAGTAATCAAATAGTCAGAAGGATCACTTACTTTGGGCTTCGTCTTGGTCGCTCGGCGCTTTGGTCGCTACTGTGCACCTGTATTCAGGGTTGACAATGTCCCAGCGTCTTTCATCGAAACGGGAACCAGTTTCTACGAAACTATCCAGTTCTTCGTAGCATAGAAACTTGAGAAATGCTGATCCGGGATCTTGTTCTTGCCATACTGGGCGATGAGACCATCGAATTTGCGACCGAACTTGCATTACAAGTTGTCCCCCCGGTGATATTTCTTCTCGAGAAGTCACGTAATGTTTCAGGTCAATGCCATCCGCATTTATCGCTCGTTCTTCCCTTACCAGTCTAGCCAGGCGATCCATACGGAGTTGATTTCTCGAGAAGTGTTGCTCTGACTCCAGTCTCATTGTATCATCAATTGTCGGCGCGAACATGGCCCAATCTCGAAATACTATTGCAACGGACACGAGCTTGTTTGAGCGCTGCTCGATCAACTCCTCGAAGAAGGCTTTCTCCTCTGGTGGCAATGCGCTTAACCTTACATTGGAGAGCAGTCCATTTCTTTCCAAGCTGGTGGGGTCAACGTCAATCCTATAGTCGAAGACCGTATATCCCTGCAAGATGTCCTTAACTTCCTCTAAAAATGAAGCGTCTGGGCTCCAGGATCCCCATCCCCGGCGCACTGCAGTCCACAATGCCAAAACTGGAGGTGGAAGCATGTATGGAAGATTATGATACAGCTGTGCTGCGTGTAGTCCAGACATGTACAGCGACCATTGAAGTAAGATGTGACTCGCGTCTCGGCGATCCATACCGTCCAGTATCACGGCGTCCAACATCCTTACAACAATCTCCATGCCAAGAGCTACACTCTCTAGCCTCGTCCGCAAATCGAAACGAAGATCTTGGAAATCATCTTCTTGCTGTTGAGTCATCGGGATACTCGGGTCTGCAAACCCGTATCTGAACGCCCTTTGCGTTTCTGTCAACATGGTATCTTCATCATGTGCTTCCATCTCGTAGCTGTATGGTGGATGACTCGCAATCAACATCCTCAGAAACTCATCTGAAGGATCCGGTTGATCCATTGCGAGCCTCTGAAGAGGCTGTCTCGAGTCCGCTTGCTCGCCATTCCCGAAACCCTCCGCCAAGCCAGCTCTGACATTCCGGATTCGCTGCTGGCGCTGTCTCTCGTTGACTGTTGATCCCTCTAGTACAGGCAGACTTGCTAAGGTAGCAACAGCCCCGAGGTCCCCCTCGTCTCCTCCCAAATCCCACCGGCCACGAGGCGCCATACTTCTCACAGCTTGTCGGATCGCAACGCTGGAAGATCTCAGCGTATACCTCTCCGGCGAGCTTTCAGGCGACCATCTGCTATACCCATATTCGCGTTCAAGCTCGCTCTCGCGCTGCCTATCATATCGTTGTATATCGGCAACCATCTCTCTCATCAACTGCTCTTGACCTCTGGGATGTATGATATTCCCTGTAATGGGCATAACAGCATCATCAGTAGCGGCTGTACTTCCTGTCGTTGCTCCTGCTGAGCTTTGTGGTCTAGGCGTACTTTCAAGTTGCGGAATGGCCGACTCCAATCTGTCGATCCTCTCTTCTGCTCTAGCTCGTTCATCGATGAACTCGCGATCCTCGCTACCAGTAAACGAGCGATCCGACTCTTCCAAAGATCCAGGATCACGTCTCGGGGGACCACGTCTCAATCGCGCGATCTGGTTGGTTATGTAGTCCGCTTCCTCGTCTTGACTCTCAGCCCTCTCCTCACCTGAAGTGCTACCATCCTCATCGCTAGACTGATCCTCATTTGCACTCCCACCAGACTCATCGCTATCAGTCTCCCAAACAACAGCACTATCTTCTTCAGGGTTCCATCTCGTACCAGCCATTTCTTCTTGGCCGATCATGTTGAACCCAGGTGGCAAATTCCATCCTGAGAGGTGGGAGAGGAAATGGATAAGTTCTCCGTGCGCCACTGCTGGATGCACACCTGAGACTTGGGATAGGAAGCTGACCACTTCTGCGTGCGTCGCTGTTGGAAGCAGACCTCCGTTGAAGTTTCTTCTGAAGGCGTTAATTGGGTCAGTGTTTCCCACATTGAGAAAAGGTTCATGGATGGCATTTCCTGATGCATTATTGCCCCTTTCAATGTGTGGACCTGGCTCGGTACTTGCGGCCTCGATATTTTCTGTCGTAGCAGCAGCTACTCTGGCCCGCCTTCCCCTCGGAAAGGTAACTCGAGCTACTCGACCTCTTCTCCGTCCTCGACTTGCGCTCCTGCTTGGTCCCGAGCGTCGGACTGCCGATTCAAGATTTTGCGCTGTTTCATTGTTGGAGTGGTCCTGATGGGAAATTGGATCATTCGTCAAAGATTCCTCGAGGTCGGAGGGTGTTGGGGCTGGTGTTGGATTGTCTGGTGTAAGCGAGATAGGGGTAGCGGGTTCGTTGTCAGGGTTTCGTTCGGACATTCTGTTGCTTGTTTGCATTGTTGAGAATGAGATGTTTCTTTCTTTGGAGGGTCTTGAAGAAGATGAAGACTCCATGGGGAAGATTATTATCTGTAGTTTAGTTGGCTGGCTTGAATAGAACGAGGTTTATGAATGCTTGTTGGTTATCTGAATGAGCGGTAGTGGTGTCGTGGGTCATGGAAGTTTCTTGACTCCTGTTTTGATTCCAATTTGGAGGAAGGTTATTATACGATGCATGTTGTTATTGATCAGGCTATGATAGAGTCAGACCGTAGTAAGGTTGGACCGTTTTCAGATCTCATTATGCATTGTCAGATTTCCTCACTTCTCTGTCAGTAAGAGTTATGTTGATGTTCGGTATCAGGATCAAGTACGAAATTCTTAGTCTGCATGTTGTATCATATCTGTTGCCCAAATCTGTCATTACTATCCAAGCATAGCCGGTCTTCTATCATTTCGTCTCTTCACAAGTAAGGTTTAAGAACCTCCTGCGCCTTGGCCCAAGCCTTCTCCTCTAATTCTTGTCTCTGCTCTTCAGTCAAAAACGTCTCCCAGAAAACACTCTCAACTTTCCACGTAACACAAAACAAGCCTCCCTCTTCAGCCTTCTTCATCGTTAGTGCGCGACTCACCTCCTCAGCCCCTTTCCTCCCAAACCTCGCACTGGTCAACAAATACAAGCACCGCTCCCCAGCATCTTCAGCCGGCACAGCAAACATCCTCATCAAAGGCTTAATCAAACCAACAAACATCCGAAGATAAATCCTCCCGCCCCAACCGTGATTATAAATATCCGTCACCACGAGCCCAGGATTAGCAAACACGAAGACGACATCAGGATTCTCATCAGCTAGATGCGAGAGCGTGAATGTGCTGCATGTAGCTACATGATCTATCGTGTTGCGCATCGTGTAGTGGTCTAGTTGATCGAGATCGAGGTCTTCGAGGAAGAGATTGGGGTTTATTAAGCCGGCGCCGCCTAAGGCGACGATTCGAGGGCTGTGGGGTGAGGCTTTGAGGAGGGGGAGGAGGTTGAGGATGAAGAGGATTCGGCCGTAGTAGGCTAGTGCGCTGAACGTGTCTATTCTTTCGCTTGTTTCTGCGGTTATGTTAGTTGGTAATGCATGGTCATAAGAAGGGCAGATACACTTTCACGTCCTCCCCAGGGTATGTAGCCTGCTGACAGGAAGAGCGCATCTATGCTACGCTCTTTCGATTTGATCTCATTGTATATCCGCTTTGTGTCCGCCATCAACGATATCTCGCCTTCGATGAAAATGATTTGAGCTTTTTCGTTAGACTGTTGGAGCTGGTTGATGAAAGATTTCTGCTTTTCGGCATTGCGTCCCACGACGTAGACTTTGAGGGCAGTCTGCTGGGCGACGAGTCGAGTAAGGGTCGCTTTGCCGATACCAGATGTGGCACCAACAAATACAGCTATCCGAGGTGCTGTGTCGGAAGTGAGTCTGGAGTTCGAGGCTTTCATGTCTGAAAGTTTGACGGTTGATAATATATTCATGATGACTGCGGTTGCGAGAGATTGATAAAGAGATGATGTGGAGACAAAAGATTGGGGTGCAGTGGTAAGGTCGACTTCGGAATATTTATAGGAGCAAGAACCAGAGATCAATCTGTAATGTCACCTATATTAGTAGAGTACTACTGATCTGTAGATGTCTAATTGAGACAACACTCGGACTTAGCACTATCCCCTTTCTCCAGAACTGTTATCGGTGGACTTATGAAGTGCCGAAATCTACAAGATAGCATCGATATTCTTCGATTGGTGTTGAGTATACGGAAGTGGGTTAGCGCAATTCGCATAATACGAACTATGGCTAGCTCTCTTCCCTGGTAGCAACGTTGGACGAATCGTTCTCCCATATCATGTTGCATTGTAACATTCTGAGATCTGATGTATGCGTAGATTCGTTTGAACTCTGGCTTAATTTGGCATTGTTACTTATGATGATGTTTTGGGTCTCGCGCAACGAGACACCCATTCCGGCATATGCTGCTTGAGGTTTCCTAATGATTTCCGACATTCGCGTCCCCGTTCACTGTTCATTTGAAGACAATCACTACTCGCCATAAGTTGGCCTACGGGCTTAATAAAAGTTCGCATTACTTGCCAATACTGGAACAAACACATTCTGAACAAGCTTGCAATATCATCCTCAGCGTATACCAACATTCAATGTATAAAACTCCGAAGATGGTGTATTGATGATTGGAAACACCAAAAGAAACATAAAGTCTTTCAAATCCTCCCCGATACGTGTTTCAGTCCCCTTCGCTCATTGCTGCTGCTCCTCAGTAGCAAGATGTGAAATCTGCAAATCTCGCGAAACAAATGAGCTCTCTAGTTTCTCTTGGATCTTTCAAAAACAATCCATCTGTAGTTGAAATATACTCTGATTGAAGATATGTACTTTCTCGACGTAGATATTAACCCGTGTTCTGGTAAGCTTATCCTCAGCTTGAGATAAGCCAGCCCTAGTCGACAAGAATGATGTCTGGGAATGTCCAACTCCACATTGTCCCAGCATGAATTGTTGAAACCAAGGTTTCAGAGAGACTTCTTTCGGCTTCTGGAAGAATTTGGCTGTAAACATAGGATTAGAGCACGTTTGAACAGTAACTGCCACGACCAGATCCGTTGATATATTATTTTTCTCGTTCCGATATTCGAATGCAGCTTGAGTAACGTGTTTCAACCTGGATTCGTCATCTTGTATCAAAGCCATCGTAGCTGTTTCCCAGTTGAAAGTACATTCCGGTGGCTCAAAATCCGTGATCTTATATCCGTGATCCATGAGCGACTGCGAAGGCACTTGACAGATATGCAGTAAAGGTTCTGGTATATACACATCTGAGGTCTTCCTTGCAATGTAAATGGTTTGAACAATTGCCTTGTCTATGTCATCAGTTTTGCAAGTTTTGTGAGTCTTGGCAATGATTGAAGGCGAAGAATCCGGGTATCTTAGGAAGGTTGTAGAGCTGTCGGTTGAAAGCAAAGGGATGCCAATACGACCGGAAAAGTCCAATGCGTGATGACAATCGAGGACACCAATAAACATTGCGCACCATTCGTCCTCTAAATACTGGAGAATTGGAAGGCGAATGTGCAATCCCCTATTACTCATCGTATATGGAGGAGTATCCGTCTCTGCATTGCTCTGAATTGTTACAATATCACCCGCATTTCGAAAATCTGCTGGTGATCGAGCAAAGACTCCGTTATTCAAGAATCCCTCAGCATCCCACGCAAATATTGACTGGTCGTCAGACTCCTTGATCAGTTCTTCCTGTAGTCTTTGGAAAGCTCTTTCGCCTTCACCATACAACAGTGGCATATTAATTTCAAATATCCCAAGTAGGCAATATGCTGTGTCTTCCATCCGCGTTGTTTGTCTCTCTGATGCCCATGACATTCTTTTCGCAATACTTTGCCTTCTGATCTCATGCGAAGACACTAGGACTCCTCGTGGAATCTTGGTAATTTGAAAGATAGTCTCGCACATGGTCGTTTTACTTCCAAGGTATTTCCAGTTCAGGCCAAAGAACTCGACCCACTTTGGAGCGAGGAGTTCCTGCAATGTCCAGCCTCGAGTGAACCATCTGGAGGGTTTCTTGTCCGGATCGTAATTCAGTTCTTCCACGTCCTCTAGATATGCGTAGCAAACTTGCGACTTCGCGTACCACTGATACATTGAATTGATGGCCTCAGACAACTCAGCGCTGCTGCTTTTATCTATGCAGCAAGTGTCGACCCAGAGATAGGAGAGCCTGTTTTTTATTGTGTAGGTAATAGCGTCTTTGATTTTGAGATAGCCTGATTTCAACTTCCAGTCTGGAGTGCTGACATCCTGAAAGCTGACCTCGTCGTCGCCCCAGCAGTGGAGAGAATGGCATAAGTAGGAATCTTGTCGCCGAAGAACTCCTCAAGTTTTTTTGTGTGGACATTGATGAGACGCATCGTAATCGTAACGCTGAGTGCTAGCCGCCTGCTCTTTTGTGATGGCAAAGAGAATGCGACACGAGGCTGAGGAGATGACCGGGAGCTGCATGCGCACCCAATGGCACATGATTGAGCCGGGCAACCCGTGCCCTTCATCATCTTTTGTCTAGTCAACTCATCGAGGAACCTAGTCCATGCGTCGAGATACATTCTCCCACTTATAGTGACAGTCAGCCCGCTTACTGCACAAGGCTCTAGTCACGTGATAGTAAACTCACTGAATGGTAAAAGTTATCCCAGGCAGCAATAGTCTTACTTCAGGAATACAGCCACATGGCAACTTTTGACCTCGAGTTGGGGATCAGGTTCCCTATCGTGAGAAGCTCACATTCAAAAGATCCTTCAAAAGCATTCACCTTCGTTCCTGCTCTCCTAATTCACCTCGCTTACTGGCGTTACTTCACGCTAGTGCGCCTTCTTGAACTATCTCGAATCTTTTTTTTGCCGGATCTCAAACACTTCTTCCCTACTACAACACAGGAGTTCGTCTTTGCACATCATCATAGAGTATCGATACTTTGCTATCTTGTACCACCTCGTCAACAATGGCAACCAACAGCGAGATCGACATCATCATGGAGGAGGAACACTCATACGACCGCTCCTACAGCATTGCAGAGTACCACGCTTTTGCGCACACCAATACGTACGACACGAGCTTCCCTCGATCCCACGGTCTTGAGCTCAGCGCGTGGCACATCCAGGACATCAAAACCCCATGGGATTGGCTCTGCGCTTCCATGCCCGGCTTTTGGCTTGTTAAGCTTCCTGTCGAGCTCCGGCAAATGATCTTCAAGCTTGTCTTCGATGACCAGGTCTGGAACGGAAAGCCGGTACCGCTTGTTGTCGCTCTCCGCGGTCACAAAGATTTGTATCGGGAGGCTTTGGCCCTTTTCTTCAAGCATCCAACCAACACCTTTCGACTCTGGCTTTCTAATATCAACAGAGCTATGAACATGTCTAAGACTGCTGCGAGAGGAATCAACAAGTTGGAGATTAGGTAGGTTCAAGTTCATTCAGGCACCCGAGACATGCTGACCATAGAAGCGTTTCTTCGTTGACTCCGACCTTTGTCAGGGAAGTGTTTACCAGTGGCGCAACATTCACTGATGTCCACCTTAAATTCTCCTACACGACATCCGAGCTCGAGTACGTATATTCATCTCTGATTTCCTACGTTTGATTCCCCGACTGACCATCATGTTACCCAGAGAGAAGATGATTCCCTGGATCAAATTCATGCTCCAACTTAGCCCTAAGATCCATACTCTCTCCGTCACCTACCCCACCTGTCTTGGGTTCCCCGAGTTTCCAGAGATCCGCAAGGACTACTTATTCAAGCGGCAGCAGGCGCTATACTATGGCCAGACCCTTCCCGACAGACCTGATAATATCATTCAATACATCGGCAACGCATTTGATATAGATCCCGCGATCGAAGACAACGAAGTCGAACCGTGCCCAAAATGGACATATGCGAATGGCATGGGGTATAGTAGTCCAAAGTTCCCTGATAAGCCTGTGGCTGCCTGCACTTACGAAGAGACAACCTATACTGTAACTGCCCCTTTCTTTTTTCTTCACTTCGTTTGCTTTCATATATACCATCTTTGAGTCGGCGGAGATTCATTGCGAACTTCTCTCATAGAAATGAGTTCTAACTTCTTGTAGTGGAAAGCTGCCAAGGAAAAGATATTGGTTTGGCGTTTCGAAGATGAGGAGTAGTTTGCGTTGAAATGGAGACTGAGGACTCAAACGACGAGGTGCTTGTCAAAGTACAGATACATGAATATTTGTAAGAGCTCTGGTAACTGTCTGGATAAGAGTGGCGAAAAATTCTTGAAGAGCAAGAGCACGACGAGTTGTGTTTGAGCATGCTGGACAACATCATGGAGGACTCGACACTTCTCACATATCAAGAACACAAGGTGTTTAACAAGCAGCTCCACTAGTTCCCCCGCAATAAAGAATAAGAAAAGAACTGGAAACAGATGCTTCGTCACACAACAATGAACCATGGCTTGCGTGAACGTTCAAACTTGTGCCAATCAACGCTTTCCCACCATCGAGCCTACCCTTGATAAACCAACTGTTCACACTTCGCCCAAAGCCCCATAACATTCGGATCTACACACAATTAGCCCATACCCCCCCCTCTTCCCTAAGACAAAACCACTCACCAGCAAACGGCAAAATCTGACTCGCAACCATACCCCCCACGCCCCTCTCCCTATCCGCCCACCAAAAAAGATTCGCCAACCCGGCCCACCACGCCGTATTCCTTCCCCTCCCCGTCGCCCCCTCATGCACCGTCAACATAAACGTCAGTCCCCAGCCTTGCTCCTGCTCTCGCGGCTGCGGATACAGTTCCGGGATCGGGTTCGTGAGTTCGGGTGTCGCGGCGGCGATGGGTTCCCGCGCGAAGTTGGGCATGGAGGGGATTTGGTTGGTGAACATTTCGGCGATTGTTGATGGCTTTAGGACTTTTTTGGGTTAGTTGGGTTTGGGGAAAAGGGAAGGGAAGGAAAGTTACTCTGAGCCCTGGTCTTCGGACACGTCCCATCATTCAACAGCATCGCGATAATTTTCACATACTCCCTGGGCTGCGCAAACAATCCCGCTCCGGCACTATTCAGAATCCCCTTCTTCTGCTCGTCAGTATGTTCATAAAGCGGTTTCCGGAGCAGATGCTCTCTTTCCGTTAAATGGCCGTCGGGGTACCGTTGGTTCATGTGCGCGAGGTGCTGCTTCATTTCGTCGGGGGGGAAGAAGGACATGTTGGTTATTTTGAGGGGGGAGAAGATGTTGGTTTGGATGTAGGTGGAGAGGGAGTCGCCTGTGGCGCGCTCGAGGAGGATGCAGGCCCAGTCGATGGAGGTGCCGTAGTTCCATTTTGTGCCGGGTTCGAAGAGGCTGGTGAGGGGTTAGTGGGTTGTTTGGGGAGTTGGAATAAATGGATATTGTCTTTGATGAGTGGGTCTCGATGATGAGCTCGGCTCTGAGAAAGAGTGCGGAAAAGAGAAGGATTGGACTTACAGCGGGTGTTCGATATCTTTTATATCACCAGAAAATTCATCAAGTCCTTTAGGGAGTCCGAATTTACGGATTTCGGGGTTGAAGAACGTGTAGCCGAAACCAGCTTTCTCTTGTCAGCTCTCTCTCTTCCTTCACCTTTCAAACACATTCTCAAGATGTCTTGAAGAAAGGTGTAAGAATGGGATCAAAGAAAATGATACTCACCAGTATGACTCAACAACATCCTTAAGGTAATCTTATTCTTCTTCTCCACCAAAATCGGCCTATCATTCTCATCAAAGCCCTTCAAAATCTTCGCCCTTTTCAGCTCCGGACATAGTTTCTCTACTTGCTGTTCTCAAATCAGCCTTATCTCTCTCTCCATCCCCATTGCCTTTTCCAATCCCTTCCCCTTTTCCCTCCTCTTCCCCTCCCCCCAAGGAACAAAGAAAACAAAACAAACCTCCCCATCATCCAACCCCAACACCCCCCTCTCAACAGCCTGCAAACACGCAATCCCACCAACCATCTTCGTACAACTGGCGATCCAGAACACACTCTCGAGATCCATCGCCTGCTTCGAGTCGGCGCCGCGGTGGCCCGAGGCGTGGGCGATGAGTTCGTCGCCTTGGTTGTTGATTGAGACCTTTTTTTGGATGTTAGTTTTTGGGTGAGGGGAGAAGGGAAATAAGGGCAAGGGAGGAGGAACGAACAAAGACGAAGCCTGGGATTTGGGTCTTGGGATCTGAGGTTACTGAGTCGATTGCTACAGTTTTGGATGGTTAGTGTATAGATCTAAGGAGTATTGTTGTGGGTGTGAGTGAGGTGTGAGTGAAGTGTGTAGCTTACCTTCCCGGATCTTGGAAGCTCCTTCGGAACTTAGTGTATGAGGTGCCATTTTGCTTATCTCAGTTCTCACTTGCTAATTATTTTGTTCAAAGTATTTTCATTCATAAATGATAGTGCTGCAATATTTGCAGGGAGATGAGGTTCATATAGCAGCTATTTCATGTACTGATGCCGGGCCGCGGGGTAATGCATGCGGGGTAACTAGCCTGACACCATCAACCACGAACCGAACTTTAGGTTTCCAAGAGAAGGATGGGTTGGTGGGTTTTACTCCATCCGTTCGTTGGGTGTAGTGCAATCCATGATGTCGGGAAGGGAACTGCTGGTCGGGGAAGCGGATGTGCGGATGGGTAGGCACTGTTCGGAGATGCTTCCGTTTTGTTAGTTGCCGAGGCGAAATGACGATAGCTAGCGACGATGATATATATCTGTAGGGAAGTCGACTGATTAAAGAAATGCTCTATATTGGTATCTTCGTGCTTCTATCTATCTGTCTATGCTAATCTTCTATGTCTATGTCATGTCCGACTCTGACCTTCTATCGTCTTTCCATGCAATCCCGAACACCGTCTTTTTTCTTCAACGATAGTCTGCATCTTGCGACGACGTGATGTTGCATCATTCGATGCATTGCCCTAAGGCAAATAGCTCAAGAGCTGGTCAGGGAACAATAACGAGGAGGCGAACCCTCATTAGTCGTTCCTGAACCCGTGATCTTGAGTATCACTCATATGCAGCGTCCTATCACTGTTACTCCTCTCCACCCTCGCCTTCTCACCACTACTCGCCCTCGTCTCATCTCCATTCCCAGTCGCAGGTACAGCAGCATCAACACCCTTATCCGCCTTCTCACCAACCTTCTCCTCCTCATCGCTATCAATAAACCCATACTCTCTCGCCATAGCCTCGATTTCCCGGTCCGACAGGAACGGCATATCGAAGGACGCTTTGACGTAGGAGATGTTCTCCAAGTAGCCTTTGGCGAAGATTAGGTCGATTTCCTCGAGGGAGCGCTTCTTGGTTTCCGGGTAGAAGATGTAGATGATGGGGATGAAGCAGGCGTTCACGACGGCGAAGAAGAGGTATGTGCCCCAGGAGATGGAGGAGATCATTACTGGTGTTACCATGCTATTGTTCTCGTCAGTTTTTGTTTCTTTTTACAGAGAGGGGAGAGGGGGAGTAGCTTACACGATGAGGAAGTTGAAAAGCCAGTTCGAGCAGGTGGATACGGCATTAGCTCTTGCACGAGTCCGTAGAGGGTTAATCTCTGCAGGGTACAGCCAAGGAAGTGGCAGCCAGGTAGCACCGAAGAATGCAATGTAGGTGAAGAGACCAACACCCGCTCCCTTGGCCGAGGGACCCTTTCCACTTTGCGGGATCAAGCACGCGAACACTAAAACCATGGAAAGACATTGGCCGACGGTGCCCCAGAGGAATAATTGACGACGACCAGCTCGCTCGATGATGAACCAGGAGACAGTAGCGAAGATGGAGTAGACGATCATGTTTACGCCTCCTAGCAACAAAGCGAGGTTGTGCGTCGTACCGATGGAGGTTTGGAAGAGAATGGGAAAGTAGTAGATGACTGCATTGCAACCACCTAATTGTTGGAAGAATTGAGATGAGGCGCCGAGGAGCATACGACGGAAGTGTTGGGTCTTGCCACCTGTGAACAGAGCAGAGAATGGTGTCTTTCCGTTGACGCCCCCACTGGCTTTGATACCGTCGACAATGAGGGTGTGCTGGAGGTGGACTTCAGGGTCGGTAGTCTCGAGACCGTTGAGGGCTGCGATGACATCGATTGCGTCTTCGTGACGATCTTTGGTCAAGAGCCATCGGGGAGATTCTGGTAGGAACCAGGTTCCGATGATAAGGATTAGACCGAAGATGATTTGGAAAGAGATTGGAAATCTCCATGTCAAGTTATCTGGTCCGTATGAAGCGCCATAGTCGATCCAGTATGCAATCATCGTGCCGAAAGCAATGATTCCTCCTTCGATACAGATGAGAAGACCACGATTTGAAGTGCGACTACATTCTGCTTGGTATGTGGGGATCGTCGATGTATTCATTCCATTTCCAATACCAGTAATGGTTCGTCCAATGATGAATTGTGCAGTAGCGTTGCTGCCTTTGATCGCAGTGATTTGGATGACAACGCCAATAATCATGATAAGACCTCCGAGCATCATCTATTGTCATTAGCAAAATTCAGTTCAAATTGGCAGGTCAACAAACAGCTCTTCTTCGACCAGTCCTATCACCGAACGTAAGGACGAAGATGGCTCCAAGTAAACATCCGACTTCGTAGATAGCAGTAACGAATCCTTGGTATACGGAATCATTGTCGGTCTCTGGGAAGTAGGAGTTGAACGGAGTTGCAGAAATGATGCCAGACATAACACCTTGATCATAACCAAAGAGTAAGAAACCCGTTGTTGCAATCGTCGAGATTAGCAATCCAAGTGGTCTCCCCATGAGGCCTGCATAGGTCCTCGTGGTGGAGACACTTCCACCTCTTTCACGAGTCATATTGCCGTTATCGTAAATGATAATATTCTGGAAATTGTTTCTGGCCCGGCCAGATTGTCAACGCAACACTGTTGCGGGTGGAAAGCTGAGGAGTAGAGGATGGACAGACAGAAGAACGAGAGAAAATAAACAGATGAGAAAAAATCAAGCAGATAGTCATGTATATAGGTCCCAATCTCTGGGTTCCCAGTTTGTGGCATCCACTATCTCATAGCATACCCACATGTCTTCGACGTCGGAAAGCTCGAATTGGGTAATCCTGCAATCGTCTTTGCCGCAACTTACCGATTCCCAACATGTGCTCCGTCGTCTTCTAAATATCTAGTCATGTTAACCATGTTAGCGAGGAAGGATCTGTACTCGGTCCCTGAAGTTCTGCGTGGATCGACAAGATATCCGATCGATGGAGATAGTCCAGCACGGTAGTGAGAGCGGTGACCGAGGCTACAATTTCCAAGCGCAACATGATTGGGCGTGGTTCTCGTCCGCATTCAAACTCTTATTTTTGACGAGGACGACGGCGGCATGGCAAAAGATCCACTTCAACGTCATTGCGAGGAGTGCGGGGACTCCAATTGGAGAGGATGAAACAGAAGCAGGAATGCCGAGCGATAGGGTTGAAGAGTTCCTCAGCGAAGGCAGGAACCAGGTTGCTTGTTTGAGCCGCAAGTGAAGCCTCCGTTGAAAGGTTTTTTTTTCGCCGGCAAATGTCAAAAGCAAGTGACAGCTGCAATCGCCGATTTGATATTGCATTTCGTACCGTTTGTGTGCGCCGCACAACCAACGTACGAGATGAAAACCAGGGTCCTTGTGATTGCAGCGGGACATATTCGGTGGAGTCGTGTGAGCCCTTCTCCCCCATCCTCGCCATCTCTACCTCGCATCCCTCATCTCTTCCCACTTCTCCATGCACCAGCTACGTCAAGCATGTCCCTTGCCAAGAATCACCGAAGCAGTTCCGAAGCCTTGCAGATGCGTTCTCGTCGAGTTCGCCCTATCGTATTATCTCAGCGGCGTTATTTGTGGACATCGTGGGTCGGAGGAGAAGGCTGGTGAGCAGCCTTTTCCCGAGAACTGTGGGCTTCGTGGAGTATAGAGACCTAGTGTTCCTCCACCCTCTGTAATCGTGCGTACGCGATATGAAGGATTATGGAGACACTGGTAGACAATTGGCGGCTTTATCTTTTGCCATTCTGACGGATCGTTGCAGATGGATCGGAGATTGCTTGTTTAAAAGGTGGAAGGAGGAAGAGAGGAAACATTGCTGATGTGAGTCCGAATAATTTTGCGAGTAAACGAGAAGCACGTGAAGAAAGCTTTTCGGATGGCGAATGAAAATAACTATAGTCCCTTTCCTTGGACATGTTAATGTCATATATTTTCCTTGTTCTTGCAAAATTGTGTTCATTCTGCTATCAAATCCAGAAATTGAGAGGTTCTTACACATCAGTCATGTGATCAGCAGCAATTCTTATTTTTCAAGGTTGTGTTCTCCGCCTTCTTCCTTTCAATCCTCGATGTAATGATCCTTATATTCAATGTTTTGTTCTACATCAGTCTTGCTTCAGTTCTACTCGCTCATGATTTCTCTCATCACGTGCATCATACCTCATCTGCAGGTGGTTCTGAAACCTTAGCATGATCGCCAAAATCGAAATGCCCAAACCAAACTCCAACAAATCAATCGTCTTCAGGAGCATCACTCCGAACAGGAGCTTCTCTCCGTCAGGAGATTCTTCTCCGGGTCATCGCGACATGCAACAGAAATCCTTCTCTTTTACCTCGTCATAGTTCTGAGATGTGGAAGAACTGGATTGGTCTTGGGAGTGAGACCAGAAGAATTCCATCTGGGAAAAAGAGACAAAGACGAAGTCGTTGAGGAGGAGACTGGGATCACCAACTCGGAGTGATCTCTCGCGGGTTGATGCATGTTCGTTGAGTGTTTGGCCGGGTGTGAGTGGGCAGCGATGTCCTCGTGGCCAAAGACAGCACGTGAGTTTTAGGTCACATGTTCAGAGTTTCATTCCCATCTGGACACCTGGAACATTTTGCTCCAGCTTTCCAACAAAGTCCCGTTTCCCTTTCAGTGGTCTTGAAGCCAACTTTGCATCAACCTTCGAACCATATTCTCAGTCATCCTTCCTCGTCTGTACACATTCCTATTGGCCAAAAGTTTACAGGCAAATCTCACTGGACAAGTAAGCTAAGTTCTTAAGCCTGAAGCATGTTTGTTGTAACTTCGTAAGCCCAACAGTTAGTTGGTTCAGCTACCTACCTAAGCATAAAATACCCCTCTCAACATCCATCGCGCTATCTTTCAAACTAAACGATCACCTCAAGGAAGTGTGCCTCGAATCTCCGCTCAGCAGAATCTTAAACTATGACTTCGGATTCGGAACGTGGGAAAAGGCTCCTGTCTACCACAATCGACAGTCTTGCTCTCACAGAGCCCGACAGACCTTGGATTTCCGTACCACGAAATGACGACGATTTAAGCAAAGGCTTCACCGACATCTCTTTCAAACAATTCAGCAATGCAATAAATCATGCAGCACACTGGTTGGACTCGAGCCTTGGTAAGGTCGCTTCCAAATTCAAAGCATTTGCATATGAAGGGCCGGCAGATGCTCGTTTAGCAATTATTACAGTTGCGGCTGCGAAGGTTGGACGGAAAGTACGTCGCAGCTTCTGGTACATTACCCTCCTCCCAAACTAAGAGGCGAAACAGATACTTTTGCCGTTTCCATTGGCGCCGGCGCAAATAAAAGGTTACTTGCTGGATAAGACCGAGTGCACGGCTTTCATCTATGCAGAAACCTCTCGGCATTCCATCCAAAGCATACTCGACGAGCAGCCCCACTTACGTGCAATCGTTGCTCCGCCGCTTCTAGAATGGATGACAGAGGCACAAGCAGAGCCATATGGCTTTGACAAATCATGGGATGAAGCTGCGGACGACCCGTGGATTATATTCCATACTTCTGGCACAACAGGTTCTCAACCCACGCCAGAACTTCAAATTCTGAATCCTAACCACAGCTGCAGGACTACCGAAACCAATCATCTACACAAATCGTATGATGACCATATCAGATACAGCAGAATTTCTACCGGGTTCGAATCAGGAGTCGCAAGCAAGCCATTTCGCCAATAGAAGGGTCTACTCAACCATTCCTATGAATCACGTGGGTATTCCTTACACCCCAACCCTGACACAACTCACCATCGCATAGCTTGTCGGCATGGTAGTTGCACTACAAGGAACGGTATGGTTAGGAACAACCGTCGTCCTCGGACCAACAAAATCCACCACTCCACCACTCGCCGCCCAAGTAATCCAACACGGCCGAGTCGAAGGCCTCATAGCACCTCCCATCCTCATCAAAGCCTTATCCCTCCAACCCGCCTCCCTCCACCACCTCCGCGCCTTACAATTCATCGACTTCGCCGGCGCCCCTCTCGACCACGTAACCGGCGACCTCCTCAAAGGCCACACGAAACTAAGCCCCGCCTTCGGCACCACAGAAGGCGGCCCCTACCTCACGCTCCCCTGCGCCGATCCCAACGACTGGGCGTACCTGCGCTTCCGTCCGAGTCAAGGCATCACGTTCCAGCAGCGCTCTGAGCAATTCTATGAACTCGTGTTCAAGAAAGAGAAGGATGCTCACTGGCAGCAGATCTTCCTCCTCTATCCCGAGCTAGACGAATATCCGACCAAGGACCTCTTCCAGAAACACCCGAGTAAGGAAGGTCTATGGCTTTATTCGGGGAGAGCAGATGATATGGTTGTGCTTGCTAACGGGAATGGGTTGCATGCTTCGAGTATGGAGGACATTATTGAGCGGCATTCGAGCGTGAAAGCTGCGTTGGTAGGTGGTGATGGGAGGGATCGGCCTTTTCTTTTACTTCAAGCCTCGGATGAGGTTTTGGAGGTTGCGAAGGAGAGAGATGATGTGTTAGAGGTTGTCTGGTCAGCGGTCGAAGATGCGAATTCGGTGAGTTCTGAGATGGTGAGGATTGACCGGGAGCATGTGGTACTTTCGGAGCCAGCGAGGCCGTTTTTGAGGAGTGGGAAGGATACGCTGTTGAGAAGGGAGACGGTGGCGCTTTATAAGGATGAGATTGAGGCGATATATGAGAGGTCAGAATAGGAAAGTGAGAGAAATGAATAATCTTGCTTTTGTCTTTGTGAATATCTTGACTGCCTATGGGTTCAAGATCATGGAAAACGTGACTTATTGATCAGCCAAAGAGATACACTCATACGTCTTAGGGCGCACTGTGGTTTTCTGAATTTCGAACTCTCAAAAATGGCGCTTTGCCTATTCCGCCTGCATAAAGCGCGACTCAGTTGCACTTGGCCTCCAATCCCGCTCAGGCTGCAGCTAAGCCTGAACGCCATCTTGCCAGGCAGATTTTCTCATGGGCAAATCCGGTAAACGGCACCTAATCAACAGCTCTCATTTCGAAGGGGAACCGTGGTGGTTTTCTTGGATTTCGAATACTTATGCACGCACGCGTGTATCTTAGTATCCGTTTTGGCCTCCAAATTCTGTAACCTTGTGTTCAGAGGGAAATTTAGTATGAACAAATAATAGGCTTTGCTGGTTACGCATCGTAGCTATTGGAGTTTTTATCGCCACGTCCTTTCGTAGCACTTCGATTTGAGGCCTCCGAAACACAAAGGAAAGAGGCTTGCATGATGGCTTGCTTTAGCGGGGAGCTGCTTTTCGTAGGTATTGCAAGAGAAGGCTGTCACTCGGCTAACAACCAATCCTGTAGACGGATCGATGACACTGGGCTATGTATGTTTCTGGATTCCTCACTCTAAGGACGATGTTTTATTGGGTGCCCTAGAAATCCGTAAACTTGGGCGTTCATTCGTTTGGCCTCCAAATATTCATGCAACTATGCGCAGAATGCTGCAGAGCCTCATTATGTTGGCACCAATCATGTATGCGGATTTGGGATAGTGGGCTATGTGTGTTTCTAGATTTCTCACTTTGGGGACGATGTCTGATTAGTCTTATTTCCGACGCAATGCATGAAAGAAAAATTTCTAGCCTCCAAATATTTAGGCACCTATGCGCAAATGCTGCAGAGCCGCATCATGTTAGCACCGTTTACATAGACGGATCAGTGGGGGTTAATGTGTGTGTCTGGGTTTCTCACTCTGGGGACGATGTTTAATTGGCTTTTGTCCTGCATGAAGCAACACGTAAAAAGTTTCTGGCATCTAAATATTCATGTGGGCAAGACAAAGAAGCCTCGCGGTGTCAGTGCCAATGATGTAGGCAGGTTTAGGATAATGGGAAAGGTGTGTTTTTGGGTTTCTCACTCTGGGAATAACGTTTAATTGGTTTTATGGAAACATGAGTGTGGCAGCCTTCGAAATTCTTGGCCTCCAAATATGTATGGGATCGAGATGCGACGGAGGGGAGCCTCGCGGTGCTGACACCAATTATGTATGCGGATTTGGCATGGTGGGCAATGTGTGTTCCTGGATTTTTCACTCTGGGAATGATGTTTGATTGGCTTTGCTTATTAACTTTCTTAAAATACTACGTCTCGGGAACATTTATCACGGCCTCCAAATTCTCATGTGATCAAGATCCAAGACCTAAAGCTAGAATAATTTGAATTTCTATATAAACTTCTTGAAAAGCGTATGAATGTTCGATCGCATTTTTGCGACGTTGGAAACTTTGGTTTATTGTTGATCGGCATTCTATTGAGTAGCCGTATTATAGCGCAGATGTTCGTCTAGTGCTCGAGAATTAGAAGAGGAGATAAATTGTAAGTAACGTTATAAAATTGTCGATTAATTAGCTATGTATATGTTGTAATTGCTTATGTGTGTGTCTGGATTTCTCACTTTCGGAACGCCGTTCTACTGGCGTTTCGAATAAGATTGCGCCAGGTTGCCTTCGATTCCGGCCTCCAAATATTCATGTGATCGAGAACATATTTGAAACGCATGACTACGATATCTGCGGAATATTGAATCTAAGCTTTATTGTTAACTAACAATCGTTTGGATAGTACTGCAATTGAAATGTTCGTTTTATAATTCAAGAATTGCAAGTGGGAATGAACTATAGCGCAAAAAATTTTGTCGGCCAATCAACTATGCGTATGTGTTGCAGTGGGCAATGTGTGTTTTCGGAATTTTGACCCCAACTTTCTCATGAGAAAGTTTTTTCGGGAAAGTTTTGGCCTCCAAATATTCATGTCGGCCAATTATATCTGCCAAAAAGCAACAGCGGGCATTATGTGTTTCTAGATTTCTTACTCCCGGAACGCCCCCTTATTGGTTTGCATCTGTCCGCATCATTAGTCTGCATGATAATCCCGCCTCCAAATATGTGGTTGAAGCGTCCGAAGCGAAGTCTAAAGACGAGGCCGCGACCTTAGCTAGCTTTGCGACACATCTAGACGTCACAAAGCTTAGACATTCGTGTATTGGAAATCGAAGGACAATGGTTTGTGAGGTTACGCTCCAGAGATTGCGACAGAATAGGTTGCATCGAGGGTTGAAAGAGGGAACCAAGCCTCCATGGTCCGATAATATACGCAACATCTTGGTCAATTACATTCCAGAGGAGAAAAGGATTCAATACTTCAGGAATGTAGACGATGTGCAACGGAATGAAGATTGAGACACGGTTCAAGCCAGACGAAGTATGCTCGTGATGAAAACATCTCCTGAACAATATTATAAATCAAATGTGAGTATGCATAGTGAACAGAGCTAAGAAATCATCAAAAACTAAAGGCTTTGAAATATGAATTGTATATCTTTTGTCAACATGTTTCCTGAGCGCTGTGTCACTTTAAACTTTAGACTGGCAACATCTAAAAGCGGTTAGAAATGACAAAAGGGGAAAGATGGGATTCGGCAGAGCTTCGGATCGAGCGAAGCGACGCTAACCCCCTCGCTTCACAGGCGATTGTGGGGTAACTCATACCTCGATGACAAAGGAAGATTGCTTTCAAATTACTATTCACCTGTCCGAGATCAAGTATATAAAGTGGCATTAAATGCTCAGAGTCCGAACCAGCTCACAAGGTATTTAACCTATTCAAATCTGACATTATCAAAGAGACAAACGGAAGAAAAAATGGCTGCTACATTCGATAAAACCAAGTCAAACTTTCCTCTCGCAGGCATTGCAAGAGACGGATGGTCCACTGAGGATGAAGCAACGGCCACTTGCTTTTGCGGCGCTGTCCAATTATCATTTGTAAGTCTACCAATTACACGCCTATCTAAAATCTACAATTTCTCTCTGCTATTACAAAGTTGCACTGCTTACGCGCTCCTATAGCCAACCCAAGGTGAAGGCCTAGTCGACACATTCATCTGCAACTGCGCCGACTGCCGCAAAATCACCGCCTCTATGTTCGTATCCAACTTCACCATCGCCGACACGCACCTCAAGCACGTGCGGGGCCAAGATAACCTAAAAGTCTTCAAGCAGACCTACACCGTAGGTGGAGGCAACACTAGCCGAACCATGGCGAATCACTTTTGTTCAACGTGTGGAACGCTTATGTATCGAGTGGGATCGGCGTTTCCTGGTATGAGTATCTTACGTATTGGGACGGTGGACGATTTTCATTTGCATGAGAGCAAGTTGTTTCCTCAGTATGAGCAGTTTACTAAGAGTCGGGTGAGCTGGTTGCATGGGGTTGAGGGCGTGAAACAAGTTGAGGGGAGTTATGGGACTTAAGATAGCTGGAGCTGATAGAGCTGTCTAGCTTGAACAATGAATCTGTCTTGGAGGTCATTCTTAGATTATATATATTGTTTCTGACAGCACACCAAACATTTCTCACGCTTCAGTTCTCTTATCTCGAATAGTGAAGAGACGAATTGAGTAAGCAAGATTATATGTGAGGACGTTTGGAGCAATGGGCTCCGCTTTGCACAATGCACAACACACCGCCAGACATACGCTCGCTTGCTAACCAATCCCCAGCGTCTAAATCCCTCGGACACCATCACCTGGCTGCGAAATTTCGAACACCCAAAATGCTGATATATGCATGCGCCCTCCCAAATCTGCAAAGTGTTGGCCTCCACGCTATAAGTACAAGGGTTTGCAGGCCAATCCTCACCGTCAAAAGCCTTCAAGCACCACCACCCAACTCTGAAATTTCGAACACTATATGCAGGTAAACGCAAGGAACCTCACACTAGCGCAAAAGACTTTGGCCTCCAAACTGCACGGATATCACAAGTTGGTGTCTGTACTCTTTCGTTCGTCCTTCACTTTTCTTACAAAAACTTGAGAATTGGGGAATCCGCCCATATTTCGTCAAGAAAGTGTCTTGTCATACTGTTTAATGTTTGTAAGGAAGCGGTATAAGAGAAAGTGCTTTCACCAGACAATGATGAAGTCGGATTATATGCGATCAATCCACCGAGAGTAGGATGGCTATAGCTTGCTGGGACGCTGCTCCATGCAGAGAGTGATAGTAGGAGTGTGATGCTTGCTTCTGCTGGGACCTGAATGATATGTGGAATCAAGATCGATGCTGCGTCATAGGAGGTCCGCATGGCGTAGAGGGTCTTAGTATTGAGAAGTTAATGATAGGGCATGAATTGCTGAGCATGGACCGTATATATCTATGGGTGAAAAGCTAATGACCACTTGATTCTGAGATGGAAGCACTTCTTCAGCCCCGCTATCGCAGTTAAGGCAGTATCAGCTACATCAATAGTTCTGGACTCCATGATTGCGCAAAAAAAGAATAGACATTGGCTGAGGGCCGATCACGCAAGGTCGGATAGCTACGCGGTAAATCAAAAATTGCTGGAATCAAGATGAACAGACAGAGAAATCAAAGTTCTGTTTTAGTGATACTTGTATAAGTGGTCTCCAACCAAGCCCGACCCAATTCAAGAAAAATCAACTACTTCAAAACGACCAACACATCAAGCTCTCCAAGGGTAACATTCCCACCAGCTTCACTCCTAATACACTTAAGTCTGCACCTCAACCTGCTCCTCATGAACAGTCTTCTTCCCAGAAAGAACCTCCTTCTCCTGATGAATAGCAATATGATTATTCAACAAATGACTCGGATCCTTCACAAACCACGCAGCCACCAACCCAATAATCCCAAACGGGATCGTCGACAGGAAAACCGTCCGGAACGCATGCGCATACGTATCCTTAAACGCCTTTGCCGTCGCCGCAACCACCGTCTCGGTAGCTCCCGGGACCTTCGCAAACGCAAACGGGACCCCGACCGCGTTCTTGATGACGGCTGGAATAAGTTCTGTTAGGTTTGATTCCGAGTAGCCGTTAGTGATGGCAGCAGCTGCGATGTTGGGGGCGAGGTTTTTGTTGATGAGCGAGTTGACGATAGTGGAGAAGATGGCGTTTCCGACGCTGCCACCAGCACTGCGGAAGGTGCCGATTAGGCCGGCAGAGACACCGAGTTCTTCTTGTGGGACGAAGAGGCCGGAAGCGACGTAGGCGAGGGAGGTCACCCAAGTGAAGCATGCTTGGCCGAAGAATTGGAGGATCATCCATGCGTATCTGTGGTTTGGTACAACTGCTGCGTAGCAGGCTGTAAAGACGGTTTGGATAACGAGAGCAAGGATGATTTGGTAGCGGACGTGTTTGATTTTGTGGACGAGGGATGGTAGGATCCAGCCGCCGAGGACTCCGGACATGTTACTGGGTATCTGGGTGACGCCAATTCTGATCCCGTCATTGGTGTACATGTAGAGTGTTCCTTGGGGTGCCAGAGTGGTCACGGCTTGCCAGATCATGCCGGCGATGAACAGGATAATCAGATGAACGGTGAATTCCCTCATCATTGCGAAGAGGTGGAACGGGAAAATTGGATTCTTGGGAATGGTGAAATCATATATGAAGCAAGCAGCGAAGACGATAGCGCCGACAGTGATGGTGGTCCCTACAAGTGCTTTCGAATACGTTGACAGTCCGAGATAAGTCAAGCCGACGAGGAAGATTGTGAGACCGGCAGCGAAAAGTCCCAGACCAATAAAGTCCAACTCAATGAATTCTTGCCAACGAGATTTGTCATAATCGTTGCGAGGACGTGAGGGTGGAAAGTAGAAGATTGCTGTTCCGGCAATACAGACGACTGAGTACATGATGGCAATGTAGTAGCACCATCTCCAGGAGGCGTGAAGGACCAACTCGTTGGCAAGGAGGACACCGAGACAATTCCATGGAATATTCATACAAAATTCGGTCCATCCAATTCCAGCACCACTGTTCAGTCAGAAAAAGTCTCTCGGGAATAACAGGGGAGTCGAACCGATATTTGTTTGGGAGCAGCTCAGTGATACCAGGATAGGAGACGAATATTACACCTGCACCAAATCCCGCAATGGTAGAGCCAGCTGCGACAATGGTAGTTTTCTGTGCTGTGGCGCCCACAATCTATCAGAGGAAATCAGAATTAGTTACCGATGCGTAGAGTAATGGATTTGAGGAGCATACAGCGCCAATCAATGTAATAACTTGTCCAGCGATCAATACATATCGCCGACCAAAGATATCACTGAACCCTCCCGCAATCGCGAAAGAGACCGCAGAAGCCACTGACCATCCTCCCGGAATCCAGACGATATTCTCCGTATCTCCGAGTGATTGCCCAATTTGTTCTAAAATTCCGGCAGGAAGAACGAGGACCATGGATATCGCAGGCACGTAAGACATTCCCATGAACTAAAGATCAAAGAATTAGCTGAATGAGGAACCCACGAGAGGGAAGCTCTGGACCTACAAAAATAGCCAAGATCGTGGATGCGGATACCCTTTCCACGGGATCATCATCAGGTTGAATAATAGCTACATTTTGATCTTGGTCACTAGAAGCCGAGACCTGTTCCATTTGGGTCTCGGCATTCTTCTCGTGGATCTTCTCGGAATCATAATTAGAGTCCGCCATCTCCGTCGAGACAGCTTGAGTAATACAGGGAAGCGGGATCTTTCAGATGTATAATGTTGGATTTGGCTGCTGCCGGCGCTTACGTTTAGCACGAAGCAGAACGCTCGAAACGCATGAAGTGAAACTAAAAGTTTCCTTCAGGATAGTTGAAGTGGGGCCGGAAACCATTTCTGAGCTGTGTCGCCTCTTATCTTATACCTTCAAGCCGCCAATTCATCGCATTCGCATTTTGAACTGAAGATTTAACCATGGCAAGGGGCTAAATTGACATGCATTCGACTGGTCCAATGGGAGCTCCATTGGTTGGCCAATATGGGTTTGTTGCGGAGAAACGGAGTCTGTAAGACGTTGGTGCTTACCAAATTTAGCCAAAAAGCTTACCTGATAGGTGTTTAGGCGAGTCGTCCAATACATCTGTGTCGAAAATTACAGGGAAATGATTGTATTGAGAGGTGTTGTATGGATGAGTTGCTTCGGTTTACCGGAATCAAAGTACAGAGATAGCGGTTGTGATAATGATTGATCGACAAACATGGGGTTGAAAACAACAAGGACTTGGCGTAAGCCTCTCGATCAAAATCTGAGACCATAGGCACAATGAGCAGTCAGCAGTAAATCTGGAAGAACGATAGGCATGAAGAACCCGAAAAAGACAAATTCAAAGACAAATGACCGAGTATGTCAGCGTGGTTTCAGGGCACTCCTTATCCAATGCCCGCCATATAGCATTTCACTTGACAGGCATCACCTCCGAAATGCTACCCCAGAAAAAGGGAGCGGCCCCACATGAACCCTGACACGCATATCAAGACTACACTTGGCGCCTAGTCGAGGGAACGAGGCCAAATTCTACTACATTAGGCGAGACGTCCTGCATATAATTGGTTTCCAGATATGTATGAAGATAGTTGAGGCCTGTTGGAAGTAACGCAACATTTGTGCTCTGGGATCGACGTGAGGCACCGAAAAGTCATCGCATGAAACCCGAGAGATCCAACAGTGGCGCGGCTATTCCCTGTGAACAATCATTCATTCGAGCCTGGATGCCGTAAGGTTTCAGTATGAAAACACAGGCTCGGTTTCTAGACTTCAGGAAATGATTCCGGAAAGCTGCCGATGCTGCAGGCCAATCTTCCCCATGTTGACAGACAATCTCAGTCGCAATCTAAACAGAACAGATAGTCTCCTCCAGAGTCTTAACATCATATCTCCCTTAGCAGGCCTCCTCTTGCACACCCTTCTGTACTTCTTTGACGTCGGTCTCCTCTGGTCCTTCAACATCCTCCGGCACTCGCACGTAAAGACTGCAAGTCCAAGTAAAATCGTGCATTTCGCATTGGATATGGAAACAAGTATTCAGCTGGAATACACCAGGAACGGCGGAGAAAGTTGTTTCGAAGTCGTCTTGCCCTCATAGAATTTCCATCAAGTAGCGGTCCTGGCATGGAACAACATAGGTGTGCATTGTGGGCCGGATATCATTTTGAGGAGTAAGTCTCATGAGCCATCCAGCAGCTTCGAGTGCTGCTATTGCAATTGATCGGTTTTCGGGAGGCGGAGGTGGACTTATGAGTCTTTGCATATTGACACATTCGAGCAAGACAGCGACTTGTGGTGGTGGTTCCTGATCGATGTTTTTTGTCAAGAATGTTGTGCAGCAGAAGGGGTGCATACTTGAAGCCATGAACTCCAGGTATTCTGGATCGACAGTTGCCCAAGGCATCACTACTTATCCCTTAGCATATTGGGGCCACAATGGGGATATTGACCTACAAGACATGGCTGCTCGTGCCACGTGAGAGGGTGACTGAAGGCAGCAAGGGTTGGAGACCGAGACGCATCTTTCTTATATGTCCACTCCATGCTTTAGCAAGCTTTTGAGAAGCTCAATGACATGCAGAATGTATTCTACAGATGAAGAATAAAAGAAGCGACAACTGAAATGGACAAAACATATCGGAAAACACATGAACTCTTGTATTACAATGAAGTGGTCCTCTGCATCTTTGACGGTCTAAGGACTTCTGAGTGCAAGAATTGAAACAAGATTCGTGCCGGCTACAATCTTTCATGAATAAGCCCCGTGAAACAAGCACAGTGGTTGGGTCCTTTATCTAGCTTGCTCATGTTCAGGATCTAAGGGACAATAAACTTCTCTTTTAAAACATCTTTGAGATCTTATTGAATGCCACATCGGTCATACTCCACTATTGGAGCTGGGATCTGCACGGTATGTAGAGTGAGACACCCCGAAACACGTGACTGAAATTAGAACTATCACCGACGTCCCAGCATCACTTGAAGTAGAGTTGAAATTGAAATCTTATTTGTGAGCTCAGTGACTATACAATTGAAACGAGTGAGGATCTTTTCCAGGTCGCATTGACGACCTTGACCGGGACCGCTCATTGCCTCGATGAGCAAGCCTCCCTCGAGAAGCATAGCAACTTGCGGTTCTTAGCTAATTGAAGCTGATAGTAAAGAGCTGACGACTTGTTTAGAGTTGCTTAGAGAAAGCTTCCTTTGAATCTTGTACTCGCTGTCGAGCCAGTGCAACATAGGGAAGGGAAAGGAAGCAATCAAGGCTTCGGTGGAGTATTGAAGTTCGTTCGAGGGTAAGCCGTCCCCTTAATCGTCAAAATTTTGGCGATATACCGAGCTCTCGAGGTCACCACGCTCAAAAAAGAAGAAATCAAATAATTCCAAAACGCGTTTTCAATATCACAATCCCTGCATAAAAAAAGTTGTTTATTCTTGAATCTGAATTCGACGCGACTCCTCTCTCGGCTGGGAGGTTACGTAAGCGAAACTCTCTTCTGCGCCAGATACATTGCTTCTCGCTGCCACCCTCTTTCCTTCTTCCTTCACCAACATCCAAAAATCATCAAATCCATCAACAACCATCGATCCTCCTCAAACTCTGCACACTTCGGAATCTCATCTTCGCGACCGCATCAAGTCAAAGTCCACCGACAATACCTCAAAAAAATCTATCGCAATGGCCGTCAACAGCACAGCAAAGGCCGCTATGCAGAAGGGACGCGTCGAGAAGGCCAAATCCAAGAAGGCAAAGAAGGAGGCTGCTCGTGCTAGAGCTGCTCATGCCCGCGAGGCGCGTACAGGAAAGAAGGCCACTACTACGAAGTCGACTCCGAAGAAGTAAAGTGAGGTCGTGACGGAAAGGGTGAAGGAACGCGACGCGACTTGTGCGATATGGATGGGACAACAACTGGCTGGAGGATGGAGATGGAGAACTTGCGCAATCATACTGGCTGAGATGGTTTTCTCGGACATTGGTGGAACGGGATACATATGTTGATGTCATGGACGGGTGGTCGGGTTCTTATGGTTTTCGCGTTGCCTTTTCCTTGGTGCTGGTCCAATTGCGTTGAGCATCGAGTTCACTGGAACGTTGCTGGGCACAAATATCGTTGCGCGATACTCGGTCGAATGCGTCTGGTCTGGCATTCGAGTATGGGATTCACTGGAAACTTGGTGGCCAAACAATGGGGGATCAGATTCTCTTTCCTCAATTGATGCCGCCTTCACGCCATTTTTATTTGCTTTGAATCATATGCACTTGAATTGAACATGCTAATGCGATTAGTGCTCTTTTATAACAATGCAAGTGCTCAGTTTCATCTGTCTTCAACCTGCGCTTGACTTAGGGATGACAAGCCTAGCAGTATCAAGCATGTGCAAGCTCTCTATGCTAGCTTACTTCAGGTGTAAAGGAGGCTTGGTCATTCTCTTGTTTTTCACCAAGGACAATATGAGATTTTCGGAAACTCTTCATCAAGTCGGACTATCATGAACAATTTCGCTGTTTCACAACCGAATCATCAGTATGAGTTCATAGAAGATAGTCGCAATCGTGACTTACAAAAGCTATTCCCTCTTCTCCTACCTGCGCGTTTCGACTTGTCTATGCAACCCTTGACTCTTACGACTTCCTCTTCAACACTAGGAGGTAGGTGTATGTCTTCGCGGTATGGGTGACATGACTAGTCTAGAACACCTCTCGGCGTCATTTGCATGCGAATGGGTTCTTCTTCGCTAGTCCCGGGTGATTTACCCAGCGGGGTTCGAAATCTCAAGTCTGCTTTATTGATCTAACAGTCATCGAATCACTCTTAGATCCAAGTAAGGAGACAATCACATTATAAAGCTCCAGATTCGTAGGAGATCACACCCCCAATGCTGCTAATGTTATCGATTTTCAGCATGACTAGAAGTCTCTCCTCCATCTAACCACACCAGTCTCTTCATAAGCCTTCCCACCTCCCTCCTCAAGTCTTCAACCTCCACTATCGCCCTCATAGAACTTCTGATCATGACCCCCCCACCCCCCCTTCTTCCACCTACACATCGCCACCTCAACCCCATACTCCTCAGAACAGCACCAAGACTCGATGTGCATCAGCTAGAACCTCACAATCTGCAACAGCCAATGATTGTTTTAGCCCTGCATATGAGTTCTGAACTAGGTTGGTTTATTCGACATGGGCGCGCTCAGCGCTGTTTGCGGGATAGCGCTTTTTGCGCATCTAGCGCTATGCGCGCATTTAGCGCTCTACGCTCCGAAACAAAATTCCCACGAGCCATTCTTCACCTTTTAACAAAATGAAAGAAAATGAAAGGCTTGATTTTAGCTCGTTGGTATATGGAAATCATTTGTTATCCACCGAAACGCAGTCATATGCTCACTATTTCTGCCCATCGCTTTGAAAGCAAGTTCTCTGCTCGTTTCTGGAGTTTGAGCCATGGGGAGTGTTGCGTGATAAACCATGGAGTTGTTAGAGTCGATTACAGCTAAAATGGTGGCAATGTTGCGCTCATTGTTTGATGTTTGTCTATCTAAAGCCCTTGAATAGATCTCATGTAGAATAGTCTGAGAGGAAACTGCTAGTTGTGGTGTCTCAGGGGCAGTCGCTTATGGCTGACAAGGATGTCTATTTCTGAGGTCGTGTACTTTGTTGCCTATAGGTTGTTCATGTTTCTAGAATTTTGGTAATCAGAGAGTGATAATTCCTTGTGAACTGTAAATGACACACCTGATGACTCGATGTTTGGCAGCGGTTTGCTACTTTGGGGCACGGGTTGAGAAGTTTAACATTGCGCCTCTGGTATTACCACGGCTTTACTGATTCCATGTCGAATAGAGACGGGACCACCAGAGACTAAGAATGGCTTGAAAACATTGTTCAATGGTGTCATTTACAGTGTGATTTGTAGAAACCAGAGTCTCTGAACAAACATGAGCGGACTGAGCTAGTAGAAAGTTACTCTTTCACGCCTCTAGCAAGCAAACCCGATCCTATGATTGTTGAAAGGGAATAAGAACACTATAGACCCCCAAACCTTTTGAGACAATTGTAGCATAACTGCAGAATGAAAATTGATCTCATAGCTTGACTTAGCTACAGATCGAAGAGTATTCTTCAGCACTAGGCTCTAAGGTAGCGTGAATATTTGCACCTCTATCCCTAAGATCCGATTCGGCACCTTTCAGTGCGGCCGCTAGTTTGCTCAGCCAGCACAATGAGTCCCAAAAGGCAGAATTGAGAGCGGTGTGTGCCGTAATCGAAAAGATAAACAACAACTTCGTCTTCGTCTTTCGATCTCATCACCACACCTTCTCCCAAGCAACAAACAGATCAGCAAATCAAGATGTTGTCCACTCGCCAGTTCTTCACTTCGAAGCCCTTTCCCTGGCCATGTGCCGTAGAACAAGCCCCATTCACAAACTACCTAACTGGCATCTCCCTCCGACAAACCGACCTCTCCCGATCCAAGATCAGAGACTGTGCCATCACAGACTGCAGCATCACAGGCCACACCCTCGCTCCCATCATCCTCGAAGATTGCTTAATCGAAAACTCGAATATCGACGCGTGTGAGCTCATCAACTGCGTCATCAAAGATTCAAAAGTCAACGAATCGGATATGAAGCGCTGTACCATCTATCAGAACTCGAGGGTCACCCAATCAACCATGGACCAATCCTTGATGCTTAACTCTTCTGCCCAGCGAGTTCATTGCGAGAATTCATATTTCTACGAATCTGAGCTCATCAAGTGCAAAATGGTGGTCTGCAAGCTAAACAATACTCACGCCGTTGGTATCGAAGCTAAATCATCGCTACTTCGCTTTTGCAACATTGCCGGAAGCCGCGCAAAGTTTACCCGTTCCACTCTCGACGATTGCAAAGTTTGTGCGAAGGATTCAACTGTGGTCGAATCTCGAACTTTATCGCATCCGCTTGCATTATACAAGTTCCCTCCGGAGATTAGGAATCTGATCTACGAATACGCGATTGATGGCAAAGGCCGTGGTTCTCCGCTTATTGCTGCGCTCCGTGGCGAGCCAAAGCTGTATCACGAGGCGTTGGCGGTTTTGAATCGGACTTGTGTCTTCGATGCAGACAAGGATATCCTGCGCAAAGCATCATCCGTGCTAAGAACAGCTCGCCCTGACGAACATGCTGACGTCTTGGGACAAGTAAGACACACGATTATCGGGTAAGGCAACTTATCCAATACCATGCATCGTTCAAGCAACTAACTCTAAACCACAGCGCCGATTTGTTGTTCGTACTCGCGACGATTACTTTTGTTCTTAACGAATACAAAGTCTTGGAAAGCATCCACATCAACGAATGGGACTATATGCAACACGGCCGCGCAAACGAGGACGGCCACTCCGATCTACTTCGATTTTGCAAGAAACTCTTCCGTGCCAAGAACCTTTCCATGAAAAAACTGACGATTACGTTCGGATCGGTTCTCGACTTGCCTTTCAAAACCGACACGCGAGATGCTTTGATGAAGGCTGTGAACCGAGACCTGGAGAATATGCTTGGGGTTCAGGGAAAGAAAATGCAGACTGAAGGAGCCAGCGACGAATTTACACCAAAAACCACTTGGACTTGGACAGCGACCCCGGGTACCAAGCTGTGGTTGGCAATGGAAGACGTAGACTCCACTTTTAAGAAGTTCGCAGAGTCGGAATCAGAGTCTAATGCAATGGATGAAGACGAATAAACAAACAGGACGGCAGAAAGGGGTAGGTTGGAGCTGTATACAAATGTACTTTTAGCAGAAGAACGCGACGAAATCAACAATTGCATTTGCAGTCAGAAGGACTAGCAGCGGTCAAGAAGGAAATGGACGTCTTCATCCTCCTGCTGGCAGAAAGTCCGGCAGACAAGACTCATTGATTTCTCACCACAAGGACGGATACCCAGTACGAGCTGTGTGAGCATGTAGTTTTAGCAGAGGAACGAAACAGGGATATCAGATTGTCTTGGGCATCAGAAAATCAAACACAGCGCAAATTCATCCTTTTGTCTCTCCTCTCATAGTGCTCCAGCAAGTTTTCCATTCTCCCCAGAAGAACTAACATGTGATAAAAGATGAAACATGTCAACAAAAAGCGGGAAAAAGGAAAATTGAGCTATCAAAACAGAGATGAGTGAAAGCGTACTATGCAAGGGCTTGCAGCCTTTTGGAAGTATATCCGCAGAGATCCAATCCAGACAAAGTGCCATTGATCAGCCAATTACCCCCGTCCTTCCCCCATTTCTCTCTCCTAATATAATTCTCCACCCAACCGTAAACCCACCCTCAATACCTGCATAATCCATATAAACATCTCACCCTCCATGAAGCTCAGAAACCAACCTCGGAGAGTGCGTTCTCTAGTGATCTACCCGAAACCTCCGGAGCAAATCCCGGTCTGGGCCCGAGTTTATCGAATTTATGCTGAAAGTCCTAGAATATTTTCGACAATCGATGGTAACGTTTGCCGCTAGACCTTTTAAGGCTTTCAGGTGGTGAATTCTTTCCAAGAACCGCGGTTATGAAGCGAGGCCAATATCGTTCGTCGCCCACCATTTGTTTACAACTCTTTTCCAACACAACTCAACCTTAACACTCCAACCCAAATTGGGACTCATCCACCCTCTTCTCTAGGCCCCATGGCGATGATCAAATGCTTCCTGTCCAAAGGCTGGGGCTGTTCCTTCAACTCAGGCGATCTCTCCGTTTCATTTCTCGAATCCTCCGCCATCCGCGGGATGATCTTCAAGTACGCCGACTTCGAAAAATGCAAACTGACTGGCGTCCGTTTAATTGGGTGCGAGATCACCGACTCAGAGCTGGATGGTTGCGATCTGACCGACTGCATGATCAAGAAGTCGGCCTCAAAAGATTCGAAGATGAGCCGGTGTACGATCTCTGAGAATGTAGATGCTATTAACACGACATTTACGAAATGTATTGTGAACAATGCAAATATGCAAAGATGCAAATTTCAGACATCAGTCTGCTTTGAGTCTACGGCGACGGATACCAACATGGATAGTTGCAGGGCTGATACAGTTGTTGTCAAGACTTCGCGGAATGTCACTTATACAAATTCCGAACTACGATTCTGTAGCATTGACGGAGGTTTCGTTACACACTCCTCACTTAGCGACTGTGAGCTTGAGAGACAATCCGGACTCTTTTTTCGTATTAAGGATTGTCAAGTAATCTCTCACCCACTCGCTCTTCGCAAGTTCATCCCCGAAATTCGAGATCTTATCTTCGAGTATGCACTAGCAGGTAACGGCAAAGACTCTTCTCTGATTGCCGCACTACGCGGAGAACCGAAGCTATACCATGAGGCACTGGAGGTTCTCCGAAAGACGTGTGTATTTCGCTTGATCGATGATTTCCACTACTATTACAAGGCCATACCTTACTGGGAAGTTGCTACCACTCGCAGCCCTCCCGAACGGCTATGGAGTCCCCATGCAATACTGATGGACACTACCTACGAATACTACAACGCATGGCAGCACATCCAGCACATATCTGTCCGGCAAGTACAACCAACATCCTATGATCGCGTTTTGCAGGCCAGTGACTAATTCGACTACAGGTCTTCGTCTATGAAGCATCTTCTTGCCGAATCCGAACCAATGGACTACCTGAAGAGCTTGCGAAGCATTCACGTCGAGACGTTTCATGACGATTGTTATGCTTCAGATGTCGAGCAGTTTGCGTCAGTGTTCCTAGGACACCATAAGCTGATCGCCAAAATATCGATCGATTTCATTACACGGAAGAGTACGCCGGCTGAAGAAAATGCACGAAGAAATAGCATGATAGTCAGCGTAGCAGGGATTTTAGACTTCTGGCTTCATATCCCGGGATCGATGATTGCAGAAGCAGTAGATGAAAGGGGACGGGGAATAGTTACATGGGCTTGGAAGGCAAAGAAGGGCAGTGTGTTGAAGTGGGGAGGCTTTGAAGGTTTTGATGAAGCATTTGAAAACTACAAGCAAGGAGAATAGAACAAGATCAATGATCTGGGTCGGGCACTTGCCATCTGGTCGGACAGGCCATGAAGGGTATCGATTGCATTAAGCATTAAAAAAGTTCATCTCGCGTCCCTTTCTGCCCAGTCTACCCATCGTCTGATAACCTCGTCCACAGCCCTAACGCCATCCCGAGAAGCATCAACCTCGAACCATTCTCTGTGTTCTTTGCCACAAGCGTTGCACTTTCCACCTCCTTGTGGTCTTTGGCCGTTGAGTTCAATGTGTATCAATCTCTCAACTTTGTGTGCATTTGGAACCTTCCTGGGTGTTTTTGGTATCTCATTCACGTTCGTTTCTGAGAGTGTAGTTGGATGATAGGGGTAATATCGGATTAGGGAAAGATCGTAGCCACATTGTCTGGTCCACTGATTGAGACGTCGTTGAACGTTTTGAGCTCGGCCTATCTTTAGCATAATCGTCTTCTTGTTTGCGGTATTTGGGACATTGGTTGCAAAAGTATTCAACACATCTGAGGTCCTTCGCCGTCCTGGCTCTGGTCGAGAGGGTGGAGCAAGCAGTGATGATGCTGTTTCTGCGGGTGGTGCAGCCGGGACAGATTCCGGAGTAAGCCAGAACATGTAGATGAAGCCTTCATTATCCAATTCAGAAACTGGCTTTGCAAGTTCTCCAAGTAAGAGAGCTGTGGTCTGTGGTGATGCTGATCTCGGTATGAGTGAGAGAAATTCGCCTGTCCTTGAGGAGGGATCTCGATTGATAGGCGGTCTGACTGGGAGGTGTGAGGATGACGATTTCGTGGTGGCTTGAGGACGAGGGACAGGTACAGATGCTGTCCTTCGCTCATGAACGGGCCTGGTCACTGGTCGAGGTGCTCTCTTCCTCTCGTCTGCTACTCCAATGCAGCACAACAGCTCGAGATTGCTGCTTTGCTTGGGTTGTGGCCTGTGTCTCTCTTCTCTCGGTCGCTGCTCCAATGGAGGTCGCACTTTCTCAACATCTGGACGAGGCCTGTGCCTGTCTTCTCGTATAGGGCTACCATCATCTCTGCTGTTCCATCCATCTGGTTGTGGTCTTGGGATTGGCTTTCGTTGTCTCCTCTCTTTCTTCCGTTCCTCAACTTCTAGCAGCCCGAGTCGATCAATCAATGTATCCACACTTGTGCGTTCCCGAATCGTAGCAGATTGTATTCCTTGTGGAAAAGCACCACCTTGTGTCACCGCCTGGTTTTTATGTTGCCAGCAGAATGCTTCTGGACTCGAGGCTCGTCTTGGACTCGGACTCGGAGACACATTTGGAGACTTCGAAAGCGATCGTCGACAGGGCTGGCCATTCGCGGTAAGACCTTTGCAAGTTGAAGCTGGGTTCTTTGAATCTGATCGTGGAAGAAGGGACTCGGGCGTGTGAGGTATGAAAGGCATTCCTGCTTGTTAGTTGATGGTAATGAGATTCTTCGACCAACCTGCGAGGTAGATATATGCTACCTAAGTCTAGGGAGACTTGGAACGTGGCAGTGATGAGGTCTATTCATCGTGGCCAGTGAATCATTGGCCGTGAAGCAACGTGTGAAGAGAAGGCTGGGTTGGACGGGACGTGGCTGGGGAGCACGTGATTGTGATTGATGAGCCACACTTCAGCCACCCTCCCAGGCTTGGAGATTGATGCTGAGGCATACTTTAGATGTACGGAGGTAGCAGACTTTGAACCAAAATTTGAAGTTGCTTCATGGAAAATTGGATGATTCAATCCAAAAGAGACTCCTGGTAGTTCTGGTACCTCTTGTGTTATCACCGCAGCCTCAACTTCTTCCGTGCAATGGAAAGCAACAAGTCGATCTCTTCGCCTGCGAGTGCAAACACATACTGAGCATTCCATCATTTTTGATCTAGGAGTTAGGTCGTACCAATATGCACGCTTGTCGGATTTGCTTGAGCGGAGATGGATAACTATATGCTCGTCTTTTTCTACAAACAAGTGTGGTGGACGCCTGAGCCAAGTTTCTGTAGGCAGACTTCCTTAAGAAGTTGATGTCTGTTCTTTCATGCAGGTAAAGAGCCCAAATTTAGAGAAGTCTCAGGCCTACTCGAGTATAGACAGGTTAGAATTCGCACTTTGATACTTGGAATAGCCTTCTCCAAAGGCAATACATGAACTGCACACCTACGGCGCGGCACCGACACTACATCGAATCCATACCTCCCGATCAAGAGGAAAGAAAGTTCTGGACAGTTGTTCCCAACTCCGTGGAACATCTGCAATATATATTGGCCGGGGAGCTATTTACCCAATGAAGACTTATCACCGACATGCATGCAATTGAGCTGCACGTCTTTAATTCGAGGCTCGGCACCCACCCATTTCGTTCAGCCCTTTTCCTCGCTTTTGAAACAGAAAAGCAAAACAAATCTGCAGGGACAGTGAAGAAAAAGCGATACTGAACGTTGAGAGAAAGGATCGTGAGATGTAGATTTTGATGATCTTCGAATAAGCGATGACAATTCAATTGAAGAAGAAGAGGAAATGATGGGAGGAGTGACAAATATATATCAGCAGCAATAATCAAAGGCTCATAATCAATATGAACATGCCTGCCACGGATCCCTAAAAATAAAGCCGAGCAAATGATTGTGGCTGGGGCGGAATTAGAAGACCACTCAAGACGTTGAAGAATGATGTACCACAACAATCCACAATCAGCAAACAAGCTCCACCATGAATGGAATCTTGTCGGAGGTCGAATGAGAAACATTGGGGAAGTGCGAAGAAAGATAAAATAGCCCTCCTAGATGTTCTAGATCTCTTGGGCCTCTAAAACTCAAATTAATACCCCTCACTGCCATCTGATATCAACTTCTTCCACACCAACAACTGGAAGAACTCGCTCCCGACGGGAACATCCCATTCCATCCCCAAAGCCTCATTCTCATCTCATTCAGTCGTCGTCATTGACCTCACTCTCGTATATGGCATTGGCTTACCACCAGTAACGCCATCCGGAAACTCTCCTGCCCGGATCCCATCACGCTCTCTAGTTCTGAAGATCAGAACTTTAAGTTGGACTTCCGACCGTACGGTCAGGACCACTAACGCACACTGAAAGTCCCGCTTATTTAGACAAACGGAGTTGATGTTCGCTGTCGTGCTAGTTACCAGTCCCGCGGCCGCCCCGCCACAGCTGAACAATGCTGCGCTCACGTCAGATAAAGCAGATATCCCTCCCGCCCTACGCCTTCACACCTCTTTTCTCCCCCAACGCTCCCATCGCAAAAATCCCCAAAGCGAAATCTACGTACCATCGCGCATCGAAGAGCGAAAATGGGGAAGACGATATTCACCACAATCACGCCGCTGCCGGCGGGCATCACGCGCGAAACGGTCTTAGACACCCTGCACGACCACCTCGAGATGATCGACCTGAATCCCGCGCATACCGAGCGTCACCGCGTTGGGCCCCCGCCCGAGGCCTCCGCTGAGGAATACCACTGCACCTGGTACCAGATCACCGACAAGATCTCGTATTTCCCCGGATACAAAGGGAAGATTAGCTTTAAGGCCTGTTTCCACGATCTGTCGACGGGAGTGCAGATCCACGTCTACGCCCCGATGGGGCTGGATATCAAGGAGAAGTGGTCGCTGGGTGGAAACATGCCAGGAGAGCCGGTACAGCCTGCAGAGATCGGGATCGGGGCGCCGATTGCGGGACTGTATTTGCGCGAGGATGTGGAGTTGAAGTGCAATTTCATGATGACGAGTTTCGTGAAGAAGCAGTTGAAGGATGCATTGGGGGTGTTGGTCGCGCGACTGATTGTCAAGAGCCAGTTGATCGAAGCCAAGGAGACGAACAGGAAGATCGCAGAGGGATGGACGCCGACGAGTCCTGTGCCGCCTGGAAGTCCGCCGTTGAGTCCGCCAAGCACGGGCGGGTTGGATATGCAGTTCCCCAGGTACAATTTCAAGCCTGAGAGGTTCAGTCAGCAGACGGCGGTCAGTGAAATGGATGGTGGATATGCGCATGGAAGTCAAAGTCCTGGATACCCACCTGCGAAGACAAGTCCTGGATATCCGCCTCAACATAGCCCTCAGTTTCCACAATACCAGCAACAGCAACAGCAATATCAACAACAGCAGCAGCACCAACAGTACCCGCAACAGCACAGTCCTGGCATCCCGCCATATAACCCTGCTGCATATGCCCCACCTGGTCAACAACAACGACAATCGATGCAAGCGCCAATGCAACCTCATCCATATCACGGACAAAATGGGTATGGACCAGTGGAACTACCATCTTGAGGGAAGAAGAGCTGGAAAGAAAGCACAACATCAAATTACCAGCGCCAAGAAGTTCAAGGAGGATGATGATACGATGGTTAAGGATTGGAGAATAGCGCGCGAGATACCTGCCTTCAAAGGCCATTTGCTTTTTTTTTGAATTCGAGGAGTTTGGCGGGTTTCGATTGGGCTTTATACCCAAAATTTGTTAGGAATGGAAGAATGCAAATGGCGCGGTTTACATGCCGGGTGTATTTCAACGACTTCTCAACTTTTAATGGCCTGCTTTATTGCGAGGCTGTGTAATGAATATTAAACTTCTGGAACATGATTTTCTCTAGTTGCAAATATATTCCGAGAACCTTGAGGCAGAAGCAATCTCACCTTCTTACATACATCTCCTTGCATGAATCCACATTCCTTCTGTCTGCACAGCGCAGCAGATACATCATGCATGTGAAAATCACTCGAGGCCAATTCTCCAAAATTCACAACAAGGTGTCGTGATAATGTTGTTCCAGAGTTTGTAGGACGATATTCGTGAGTCAAGTCCTTAGTGAATTAAAACTTGAGTAAACTTCCATGAAGTAGTGTATGGATATGACTTCTTGTCCCAAGTCAAACACTTTGCTTTCTCCATTTCCATTACCCCACAAGCAGTGGAACGTTACCATCTTACTATTTGTCTTATTCCAATTCTCAATGTATGCTTCAAGGTCGACCTAACGACGATAAAAGCTCAGTGATCATACGTTAGTCTTTTGTCGCCCAGTTATTTTACAGCAGCTTGAATACGGAATGACCCAATTGCTGCCGAACTTTATCTCTTTATACAAATTCTGTATATGCACTACTCTGTCCCATTGAAGCAGCAGCATCTCTACAATTTGTGGCAAACTAAAACATGGATGGTGACTGGGGTAAGGTGTACCTCAGCTGGCTGGACAATTTGCAACGCATTTTATAGATTTATTCTTTACTTTCTCCTAAACTAATTAAGTTTCTCTTTCCTTCAAAGAAAAAGACAACGTTAGATGTTCGTTACTGCGACGGACAATATCTGTCATACCGCTGCGTCTCAGGTCTATCCTGCAGAACAGACATCGCTTAGGTAGCACAGCACCACTTTCTTTCCCCGGACATAATCGTCAGGTTCGCTTATCCTGACTGTAATCTGTGACAGCACTGTGACGATGGTGTGAGGTGGCGACGCAACGTCGGGCTATTCATTTAGAATCTAAAGCTAAGGAGAGAAGAAAGGAGAGGAGGAGAGATCTATATACATATATATGTTAGAAGTAAGGGGATGTCATGTGAGGAGCTAAGCCCTAGTAGGCTTAAAGCTCGGGAACGCCACCATTCCCGGCCTGGCCTCTGTCGCAGGCGATTGGCTCAGGCGATTGGTAACAGCTGGCGCTGTGACAGTAGCCGTTGTAGAACTTTCTTTACGTGTAGCTAATAGTCTAAGACATTGTCCGAGTATATGAGAATATCGTCTAAGTAAGCCGTATAAAAGTCGTTTAAATAGTCAAACAAAACGTTATTTATATAGCGTTAGTATGTAGCCGGACTATTTGTTAATCCAAAAGGCAAGACTTTATATTTGTACGAACTATAGTGTGTGCGAAAAGTAGTTAGCTCTTTCGAATCGGATTAAACTCGGATCCGGTGGAAAGCTTGTCGAATGTCTAACTTAGTGTATATCTTAGCTGTAGAGATCCTAGCTAAAGTCTCGTCAATTAAGGGAAGCGAGTATCGGTCTTTCCTAGTAATAGCGTTTAGCTTTCGGTAGTCGATGCAAAAGCGAAGAGCTCTATTCGGCTTCTTAACGAATAGAATAGGGGCTGTGAAAGGAGATTAGCTAGGAGTAATAAATCCTTTATTTAAGTTGTCTACTAAATATTACTTAGTAACTTCTAACTCTTTAGCACTCATTTTATATAGTGGGCTAAACGATAATTCCAATTCATCTTTCTCTAGCTAAATCTTATGATCGTACGAGTAATAAGGAGGTAATTTGTCTGATTCACGCTAGGAGAAGACGTTATTCTATTCCTAGTATTCGAGAGGAATCTTCGACAAAAGCTCTTAGCTCGTGCTATTATTGATCTCATTTATCTCTTTGTTTAGACTTAAGAAATCAGGAAATCGTCTAAGTATGGGGAAAGGCTAGTCGGTCTCGGGATTACTTTCTTGGGGCGTACCTATAGTGTAGAGGGGGTAAGAACATGAACCAGCAGTACGCGAAAACAACCAAAACAACAACAAGTAGGCACTGCGCGAAGCAGACCACTATTCGCAGTAGTAGAATAGGTTTAAAACATCATAAAAAGCATTCGAAAGCATATCACTGTAAAAACTAAGAGTGGGAGAAGAGTTGTTGTTATTCTAAGAGTGCGCGACCACAATATATAGGAAGCGTCACATAATAAACTAGACCCAGTTGAGTATAGTGCTAGGGAAGACTAGCGTTCCCGGGCTGGCCTCCTCCTCAACCACACGTGCCGGTCAGCGCCAAAAGGACCAAAAAGAGCTAGCCCTGCCACAATAGGTACGTCTTCCTCGGCCCTCTTGTCTGAGATTAAGCGGTTTAGCTCGTATAAGCTTAGACTAAAAGCAATGTTTTCTTTCCTTTGTAAGTTTGTGGAGAACGCTGCGGCTGAGATAAGGTTTAGATCCACTCCTTAAGCTGGGTGTTGCGGTAGTACCCAAACTTTGGGGCGCTTTTTTAGGGTTAGTCCTTTGTTCGGCGCTCCTTTCAACTCGTTCTCTATCTTTAACAAAGATTCTTTGTTATTAGACTTTTGGGTGCGCCCTAAGCGAGGGACGTACGCGCGAACTTCCTTTGTACTCGACTAGTTGTTCGATGTGTACTCTACTATAGGTGGTGCTAGTGGAGCTAACTTAATAGGAGGGGGCGGAACGTCACCCTCGGGAGAGGCTGCTGTTAATCCCTCTAGATCCTCTAAGCTTACTTCCTCAACTATAACTTTTGCAACTCTCTTAAGTATAGTCGGTGGAGAACGTAAACCGGCTGTTTTTCGTTGTTCGTCCGCAGCTAGGATTATATCTCTCCGATCTATATCTAGCTAGTGTTTCGTACGATCCTAAATAGGAAGCATTTTCAAATGGAATCGTAGTATAATCCTATCTTAAGATAGAGAAATTGGGTCGGAAGGGCCGTATCCTTTTAGCTAAAGAATCGTGCGATTCGCTACATCCAACTTTATTTAGTACATTTCCATCTATGTTTTCCCTAGAATAACTTTATGCTAGCCTAGTGTAGCGACATAAAAAGGGACTAATAATTGCTTTCTTTTGTCGATAATAAAGTGCAATCGAAGAACGTGAGTAATAGAGCGAGCTTCCGCTCTATTAAACCCTCTTATAGGTATAAGGCTAGTCAAGCGTTGTATACTTGTGCCTATAAAATTGCAAACCTCTCGAGCTAACTCATACAAGATAAAGCAAAAACTATTTGCTTTAGTATCGAGTAACGTGTGAATATATAAACTTATTCTATTAAAACTGTCACAGCGCCGGCTGTTACGGATCACCTGAGCCCATCGCCTGAGCCAATCGCCTGTCCTAATCGCCTGTGACAGAGGCCAGGCCGGGAATGGTGGCGTTCCCGAGCTTTAAGCCTACTAGGGCTTAGCTCCTCACATGACATCCCCTTACTTCTAACATATATATGTATATAGATCTCTCCTCCTCTCCTTTCTTCTCTCCTTAGCTTTAGATTCTAAATGAATAGCCCGACGTTGCGTCGCCACCTCACACCATCGTCACAGTGCTGTCACACTATTATAGTTAAACATATATTAAGGAATAAAAGAATCATTACTCTTAGTTAGTGTAATACTAGTCCAAGGGTATAATCTAATGCATGATGCAACGACTTCTTGACTAATGACACCTGTCATTAGCTAGTGGGTTCGAGCATTATATATAGCATGAGGACAACCCTGTAGTTTTTAGAAATCAAGTCAGTTATCACACGCGAATAACAACAAGTCTTCTAGGGGTAATCAAGCGAGTAAAGATTATTGGAGCGCAGAGGACTATGGAATATTTTTGGTACGTCTCTTTTTGCCTAATGCAGCTTCTGAGATAACCATTACAATGATTCTATCAGGCGCGCAGAGGTGTAGAAAATCGTGCTTACAATATACAAGTAATTAGCGGCTTGCAGCTCACTGTCATAGCAAATGAGAGGCGTATGTCAAAATACTTCTTAGTTGAATTTTGGAACTCTTCTTCTACCAGAGAGGGTCTGAAATTTCTCTAGCACAACCCTCTGGAGGTAGAAACGAACTATAACCGGGGCACACAGGAGGCAAATGGGTTCCACATTGTTATGGTGCATAGGCTCCGCCCAGGCTCGCTCAGGCTTGCTCAGGCTTGCTCAGGCTAAAGCAGCAGCGGCTCACGTCCGTAGAGTAGAAGAGAAACAGCGAAAGGGGAAATTAATTCTGAGTCTCTGGGAATTCAAGCCTGAACGATGGGTTGGTCGTAAGCCTTTATGGGAGTTCGTCCCATTTTGGGGCGGGCCTCGGATCTCCCGTGACTCGATTTTGAGTATGTACAAAGAATTGCGCCATTTGAGAACCAGAACGGAGTCAAGATTGCCTTCGAGAGCTCAGGTCAATAAGAGTCCTTGATATGGTTGTCAGGGTCGTGTTCAATATCATCCTTATTGAAGATCTCTGCGCCCAGACTATCAGCTTGGACTCATGGAATCGGTGATGATACACTATAAAAGCTCAGATTGTCCGACAGTGAATTGGTAGAATGAAGCATAGATTGAAAACGCACTGCCTAACATGATTAACTTCTCTTGCATTCCGGTGCCCAATGTTGGACACAGTTGGTTGAGTTGGACGCTTGTGATTAGCCGGCTTTTATTACAACCTACATCAATTCCCGAGCACACTGTCCCCTATCATTCTATCTCTAATTTAATGGGGGTTCTGCATCGATGTAGCACATCTGTGTTGGATGGCTTCGTGCATTGAGCTACAGAAAGGCCAAGATCCGAATCCCAACATCAAAAGTATCTCCTTACCCCGAGCTTTCTCCCTATTACAACTGCGAAACTGAACTTGAGTCTTTGATTATCTTGAGACTTGAATCCAACAACATGCTTGGCATCATGTCTACCAGCAGAATAGTCGAACTGTCATGCATCATCCACGAGCACACGGCCAAAGTCGATGCTTACCTTGAATCTCAAAAGCTGCCCACCCCTTCTTTTGACACATCATACCCCGCCAAAGTTCCTCTCTCACCCAATATCCAATCCTGTCAAGACGCTGTTCTCGATGCCGCAGACGAGCTCACGGCTCTTATGCTTGGTCCAGCGGCTGGATCCATGTCTCGCTACCCAGTATGTCACTTTCATTCCGCAATTTCTAACTACATGATTTCTGACACCCTTCATCTACAGCATAGTGCATGGGCAAGCTTGCAAGCCATTCAGCGCTATGGAATCGCGAAGACGTTCTCGCCAACTACGAGCACTACCTTTGGAAACATCGCACGAGCCTGCTCTCTTTCCGAATCTGATACTCGTCGCATCGTTCGCGCTGCTATGACTTATTATATATTCCGCGAGCCCAGTCCGGGTATTGTTGCCCACACAGCCGCCTCCAAATATCTTGCAGAGATACCAGCGCTAGGACAGCTTGTTGGATTCTTGAGGAGCGAAATGTGGCCTTCTGCAGCAAGAATGGTGGGCGCCATGGAGAAGTGGCCTGGGTCCGAAGAGCCTAACGAGACGGGCTTCGCTCTGGCATATGGAACGGACATACCAATGTTTGACGTCGTGGGCAGAGATCCTGAGCGTGCTCAGCGTATGGCAGGAGCTATGGAGTTTATGCATTCATCTCCGGCGTATAATGTACGCCACCTTCTGGAGAATTTTGATTGGGGAGATACTCCTAGTGGCGTTCTGGTAGATGTTGGAGGAGGGAGAGGTGATGTCGCCTTCGAGATCGCACGGTCCTTTCCTACTATCAAGTGTATCGTGTAGGATTTGCCTGAAGTCCTTGAAGGGGACAAGATTCCAGACGATTTGAGTACGACTCATGGCGCATGATTTCTTTGAAGAGCAGCCGGTTAAGTGGGCTGATGTCTATTACCTCCGCTTGGTCTTGCACGATTGGTCGGACAAGTACGCTATCAGGATTCTAGTAAGCATTCCCATACTAGATTGAAGTGTGATTCTGCAGCTATAGTGTGTCGGTGCTCCTGAGACATCAAACACAGATCCCATTTCCAGCTCTCCTATCTCTTATGCCTCAGCATTTCACAACGCTGACTACTCTGACAGCGCAATCTCATCCCGGCCTTGAGGAAAGGTGCTCGAGTTTTAGTGTCCGAGATATGCGTTCCATCACCGTGTACCCTCTCTCCGTACAAGGAGAGGCCTATCAGGTGAGTTTGCTTCTACTAGATACTACCTCCATCTGTTGGACTTGATTAGTTTTCATAACCTTGTTTTGTCAGTTGCGAGTTCTGCTTATTCATATTTCTACAGGAACTTCGACCTTTCGATGAAGGGAGTTCAAAATGCGAAGTAGCGTGACTCTGAAGACTGGAAGAAGCTTTTCAAAGATGCAGAGCCGCAATTTGAATTTCAAGACATCATACAGCCAGTAGGCTCCGCCTTATCCATTATTTGCGCTATTTGGGACGGCGAGGAAACATGAGTGGAATTCCAATGGACCGGTTATTCCAGCATTACGTCTCGTTCAAACTCAATAAATATATATGCGATCCTATTAAGGTTGTAAGACCCAAATACAGATAAGTGACTATGTCATTAAACTATAGGGCAATCCTTCCAAGATTGTTCATGACGTACAGGAAAAAGACTCAAGTCTGTCATCCATTTGGCCAAGGTGACATGAAAAGAGAGGAAGAGAAAAAGAGCTATCTGATAGCTAGTCCAAAGCCATCCCCTACTTCGTCTTTCGATTTCATTGTCTCATTTCGACTCTGATATGGCTCCTTGCAGATCCTGGAGCATGTGTTTATCTATTCCAGCTCTGTAATAGAAGAAAGCCGTCTTGAAAATGCATCATGAGGCTGGAGCCTTCTCGCCCTCTGGTCCACCTAGTTTTGATGAGCTAGCTCGTTGACTAGGGCACGGCACCAGTTTCGGAACATTTTGCTTTCTCTTGAAGGTCCTTGCATGCGCGGTCTAGACCAAATTCGCCATCTTTGACCTTAGGACGGAGTCTTTCACATGACGACCATGAGCAGCTCACGACAATTCGTACATCAGAATTAGAAGGATAGAAGACCCATCTCTTGTTCTTGAAGTGGGGTACGATCGGATCGCAGGCCTTGCAGCGAGTCCGTGCGCCGGTGACTCGCTTCCATTCAGGGGTCTCGGCTTGGTTAAAGCTGTAAAAATTTCTCTGACGGCGGAAATGTTAAAAGCAGTATCTTCATAGGAGGGATTATAGATATTAACCTACCCCGAAGATCACCTTCCCTTTGAGCACCTGCAAAGAGTCCCTAGGCCCACGTTGGTCAGAAGTGGATAAGTATGTGCGGAGACCGGGACGACACAAACCGTGGCTGGGTAATGTTGCCACTAAAAACTTGAGAGTTAGAAGTAGGTGGCGCTGCTCTTGCAGGCTCTGTTCCAAAATCGGGCATCTCGTCCCAATCGATCGGACTGTTAAGCATGTCGTGCGGCGGACGAGAAGCGGCAGCACCGTCCCCTGCCTCTAGCAAGTTCTGAGGCGCTGGTGCCATTTCGAAAGACGTACTTTCTTTTCCCATTAACAGAAAAGGGGGGTCCCACGGATGTTTGGGATGGTCCGTTGGGGGACATACAGTGCTTGGGGTTTCTTCACCCCAGTTGCAGATAAAGTCGTCAAAATCAAAAGAAGTGCTATGGCCGGCAGAAGCAAATGGTTGAAAGGGGTCGCAATTTTCCGCACTTTGGAAGGTCATGTCGAGCTCGGAGGAAAACATATCCCACAAAATGTCTGCACCTTGAGATAGGTCAGAGGTTGATGTAGGTGTGCCCTGAATAGGTTGTGATAACTTCGCAACCTTGATGATAACACGCGTGAACATGCCAGGCGTATCTTCGTCGTCTTCTTCCTCTTCAGCATTGTTGGTGAGTCTTAGAGGAATCGAAAATCTTCTCTGGCCAGAAGACTCGGGAAATCTGGACCGTGTTTGCTGAGCAGGCTGGTCCTCTTCCTCCTCCGTGCGAAACAGCATCTTGCACGCGAAATTCTTACTGAGGATAAGTTAGGAGTGCTGTTAGCTCCAGACATCAGAAGTTCACTTACCATTCTATCATTCTTCCCTTCTCTTCGTCCGAAATTGTGTTGCACTTCGGGCACACGACGCTGCTCTTGTTCTTATCTTTGAATATCATACTCATCTCAACCTTCCGTCCAGGTGTCGAGAAAACGGACCACGCTTGGCTCCTCGAAAATGCAACTCTGGTAAAACCGTCTTCGATTGCATACTCGCGCTTCTGAACCTTTTTGGTTCCTGGACATACTTGGAAAAACGATCCCAGATGCTCCTCGAATATCTGTCAAGGTTTAGCAAGATACCTAACAATGGCGTTTGAGGTTGATCTTTACCTCCCATGAGAGCACGATATCGAGGGGAATCAATAGAAGTCTTCCCAAGGCGTCTTCCAATATCATTGGATCCTTTTCCCAGCATGCAGCAAAGCCACTTGGTGTATTTCTTCGTGCCTCGATCCCTTCAACGCCCTCGGCACATTTTTTCAATTCTTGTAATGTTTCTTCAATTTTGGCGCTGAGCCGATAAACCAGCCTGATTGGAGATTTGAAATGTACGTCCAACTCACAGTCTGCCGATAGATTGGTTGAGCTTCTCCGCTGTTGTGGAGTCGAAAGTCTGATCATTAAGCGCATGTTGTAATGCACCCAGTTCTTTCCTTTCCTGAACGGCTAGAATTGTTTGACCCTCAATGGTTTCTTTTAGATTCTTCAACTCTACTTGTAGACTGTATGAAGTCAATAAATGATGCATATCGCGACGAGCTTACAAACCAGATGGACGAAACAGCCTGCCGACAACGTCGACTCCGGAATATGAGCTTTTTGGCATATCTAGGATCTTGAGGACATTCTTTGCTATATGTTTTCCAACCCCACTCCTTGAATTTGGTTTTGTACGCTCGAATCCTGTCTTCTGGTTAGTGGATGGTTGAAAGTTACATGGTTGTGGGAGCTCGTGACTAACGAGGCTGCAAATCCGTGATCCTCCAGCATCTGATTCCGAACTTCTTCGAGTGGCATTCTTTGGACCACATACCGCCACTCAATCTCACCCTTGACATCCATCCATTTCTTGGTCATGACAGGCTGTGGCTTAGGCGGAAGTATGAAAGGATTCAACGTCTTCGAAAAGCGTTGTTGGATCGTTGAATAGCAATTTGAAGATGGTCTCGGTTTATGGTTCCGATATTTGGGATTGAGAATGGAACTATGTGCTTCGTGTTGTGGCCACTTCGAGTATTTGTTCAGATCTGCCCTGCCTCGCTCGGCTCTGAAAGTGCAGTTTTTGACGCTGAGTCATCATGTTGATTCGTGCGGCCTTCTTTTGCCAACGACACAGTCTGAAAGTGCAGAACATACAAGCAAAGTATCTCGGATACGTAGAGCAATAGCGCAATGGCGCACCAGGTGTGGTTCTTCAAATCATGACTCTATTACAAAAGATTGAGAAGCACGCACGGATTGAGCTGCACATGAACCAACTGACTTCCCACACTTTCGACCAATACAAACGATCTCCTCAGGACGTAGAGTCAGAGATTTGTTCAAGCATTTACTTACTTCAAAATTGAAGTAGATGAACAGAAGACGAAGCAGGTATCATACAAAACTTGTGTTGGTCACGTGACTATTCAGCTGGATTTCATACGTACCTGGAGACTTTATGGGTAACAAGCTACTAGCATGTTCCATGAGAGTAGGATCACTGAAAAATTCAACTCTGGCTAGATGCCTTGCTTCGATCTGGAGCAATGCTTAGTCGCATGGACTTCTGATGGAGACATGAAAACCAATCCAAGCGGAAAGGGGCTGAGTAAACCTCCGCCTCACTTCCAGGTGACTCTTTTGCCACGGTTACCCAGAGAAAATCAGATTTCAGAGAAAGCAGAACTACCCATGCTATTAGGAAGAAAGTGGTCTGTCGTAAAAACAATAGTAGATCAAGCTGGTGTCGAATTGAAAGCTCTCCAAGTACGGCGAGGTGCAACACCACCCAACGAAGCGTCTCACCTACGACATGCGATTGGCCAAATCCCCTCTTTTATTGTGTGCATTATAAAGCTAGATAAGCATTTTTGTGCCAACCGTGTTATACATCGGGCTTGTGGTTTAGGTACGATTCTATGAGCCTTTTAGAAGTTCATGTTGTTGACAATTTTCCAGTGGTATAATACTCCCTTAGCATCAGCAGACGTTTATTGTCTGGGAGTGGTCCGGGGTTCGATTCCCCGCGAGTCCAATTGCGATGGTTAGAATCCGTCATAGATCCCAACTTTTTTTCATTTCTTTTTTGGTGTATAATCGTCAGGTTCGCTTATCCTGACTGTAATCGCTAGTCAGCTCACAGTCAGTGAAAGCAAGTTGGTCCGGCAAGCGAGTTGGTCCGGTGAAATTTTGAGTGCAAAAACACACCAAAATCTAAACTTTTGATTTTCCACACCAAAATTGTACCAAAATTAGAGTGAAATTGGCTTAGAAATGTTCCTTTTAGAATGCGCATCAGCTACAATTATTAATTAAATTTAATAAAAACTTAAAAATAGTTACTTTATATACTTTAATACATAATTATAAATTTAGTTTACAATTGCATATTTTGCGCATAGAAATATTTGCAATTATATCTTCATTTTTTCTTACTTTTTAGCAAAAATCGCCAAAATTCACCGCTAAATTTGGCCGGACCAACTTGCTTGCCGGACCAACTTGCTTTCACTGACTGTGAGCTGACTAGCGATTATGTCACAGCGCCAGCTGTTACCAATCGCCTGAGCCAATCGCCTGCGACAGAGGCCAGGCCGGGAATGGTGGCGTTCCCGAGCTTTAAGCCTACTAGGGCTTAGCTCCTCACATGACATCCCCTTACTTCTAACATATATATGTATATAGATCTCTCCTCCTCTCCTTTCTTCTCTCCTTAGCTTTAGATTCTAAATGAATAGCCCGACGTTGCGTCGCCACCTCACACCATCGTCACAGTGCTGTCACAGCTACAGGACGCCAGACTACAAGCGGATATCAAAAAGTGTGAGTTCCACATTACTAGTACAAAGTATTTAGGCTTTATTATTAGTATCAACGGTATTTGTATAGATTTAAAGAAAGTTGCGGTTATAGATCAATAGAAAGAGCCTAGAACAGTCAAAGGGATACAGTCTTTCCTAGGATTTTACAACTTCTATCGGCGATTTATACCTGAGTACGGACGAGTAGTAGCTCCTCTTAATCACTTAATCTGTGACAGCACGGTGGGAAGCTTAGTACGTAGACGAAGAATCGATTCGGCTATCTCTTAGAATCTAAAGGTAAAGAAGAGAAGGGGAATGAAAGAGGAGAAGATCTAGATATATATGCCAGGGGAAAGGGATGTCATGTGAGAAGCTAAGCCCCAATAGGCTTAAAGCTAGGGAACGCCACCATTCCCGGCCTGACCTTTGTCGCGGGCGATTAGGCAGGCGATTAGGTCAGGTGACAGGCGATTAGCCAGGCGATCCAGGTGGTCCGTAACATTACCCCCCCCTTTCGAAGAACGACGCCCTCGTCGTTTGATCCATCTCTTTATCATCATCAAATTCATCGTAATTGTCACGTCCTTCGTCGTACGCTTTTTGCCAGGCACGGAGCGCCCTAGGAGGGCCACTTTGCTCTGGGTTATCGAGGTGATACGCTATAAGTTTGGCTGGAGCGTATTTAAAGTCAGACGCAGGGTACCAATCCAAATCGTCGTCCAGGTTCAACCACTTGACCCTATATTGAAGCTTCTTCCAGCGGATTCTTGACGCTATGACCTTGTCAACTTCCCATTCAATATCTCCAGTTATATTGACTTGGGGAGGAGTATCTGGCTCTTGGCCAGGCAAAGGGTCATCCGGATCACGGCGTAGCTTGTCTGCAGAGAAGACAGGATGAACTTTTATAGTAGCAGGTAAGTCCAGTTTGTACGAGTGTCCTCTTTTTTCTAGGATCTCGAACGGGCCTGCTCTAGGATTGTCGAGCTTTTGACTGGGGCGTTGAGTGTTGTACTGTGTAACAGTGATATAGACTTTATCGCCTACTTCCCAGTCGACAGCTCTCTTCTTGGCGTTACTATGTTGCTTCATTCTTATCTGGGCGTCTTCCATGCTTTTGCGAGCTAGCTTAATAGCCTCGTCCATACGATGTGCTAGCATCTGAGCTTTCTCTTTGCTTAGCTTAGTGCTAGGAGTGTCTTCCTTGACAACCCGAGAGTTCCAGTCGAAGTGTAATACTGGGGCTGTTCCATATATTACTTCGTGAGGAGACATTTCGATGCTAGCTTGCGGTAAGCTAAGTTGAGCGTAGTCCATCATGGGTAGCATCTCTGACCAGTCGTCCTGGTAGTAAGACACGAACGGGCGTAACCGGTGTAAGAGCACTTGGTTATAATTCTCAGTCTGTCCGTCCGTTTGAGGGTGGTAACTAGTGGACAAGCTATGCTTGACTCCCATGATTTGGCATAGCCTTTGCCAAAACGCAGAAATGAATTGAGGGCCTCGATCGCTCACGATCTCTTGAGGTGGTCCGTAGTACCGAAAGATGTGAGAGATGAAGAGTCTGGCTAGTTGTTCCGCATCGATATCTTTATAGCAAGGGATAGAGATCGCTTGTTTAGACAATCGATCGATTATCACACACACAGAGTCGTAACCGTGCTTGTCTTTTGGGAAAGAACAGAAATCTATAGACAAGCGTTGCCAGGGTCGTTCTGGAATTGGCAAAGGCTGTAGTAGTCCAGGGGTCTTGTCCCGGGGGATGGACGCCCTGCAGCAATCATGGCAATTTCGAACGTACTGGGCCACATCTCGTAACATGTATGGCCAGAAGTAACGCTGTCTAAGGATTTCGTACGTCTTATCCCTTCCCGGGTGCGCCGTCAGCAATTGGTTGTGAGCCTCTCTGATCAAGTGCACTCGAAGGGAGTCCTTGTCTGGTACAACTAGGCGATCATGGAAGAGCAGTAGTCCGTCTTGCAGCGTAAAGTCCGTGTTGTGAGCACTTCTAGCTTGCTTGCGTAGCGAGACTAAAGACTTGGCCTCGCGGTTGGCAATTAGGATTCGATCGACAACGTCGTGTGACTGTTCTACACTTACTCGATCGACTGGTGCAATCTCTGTAGTATAGTCCCGAAGTTCACTATAGATCTGAGGGTCTAGCTTATCGGCTGTAAGGAACGTTTGTGTACGGAGGTGCTTCTTAGCTTTGTCCTGGTTCTCCGTATCGTCTCCCTTGCGCGTAAGGGCGTCAGCTTTCAAGTTGTCTTTGCCAGAACGATACATAATAATAAAGTGGAACTCCGACATGATCTCAGCCCAGCGAGCTTGTCTAGCAGTGAGCTGTTTAGACGACATGAAATACTCCAGAGCCTTGTGATTAGTGTAAACTTTGATAGGGGTAGGCGTGAACGTAAGCTCAGCACGCCACTCTTTAGCACTTTTCACAATAGCGAGCATTTCCTTGTCGTGGATCTCGTAGTTTAGCTCGGCAGGTGCCATAGTCTTGGAAAAGTACGCCACTGGCAACCACACTTCACCATGCTTCTGGTTCAAGATTCCAGCGATTACTCCGTCCGAAGCGTCCGTCTCGATCATGCACTCTAGATTCGGGTCGTAGTGTTGCAAGATTGGAGCTGTGATCAAGGACAGTTTGAGCTTTTCAAACGCTTCGCGACATTCGTCCGTAAACTCGAATGGGATAGTCGCTTTAGTAAGATGTGTGAGTGGAGCAGCGATTCGACCGTACTCCCGGATAAACCGCCTGTAAAAGTTGCAGAATCCTAGGAAAGATTGTACACCTTTAATAGTCTTAGGTTCCCGCCATTGCTCGATTACCCTAGTCTTCTCTGGGTCTACTGAGATACTATCCGTGCTAATGATAAATCCCAGGTATTTTGTCTTGGTAACGCTAAACTCATATTTCTTTAAGTCTGCTTGGAGACCAGCGTCCTCGAGCCTTCTAAGCACTTTCTTAACGTGTTCAGTGTGCATTAGAGGATCGTCCGAATAGATGAGAATATCATCTAAGTACGCTGTACAAAAGTCGTCTAAGTAGTCGAAAAGAATGTCGTTCATATAACGCTGGAAAGTAGACGGTCCGTTGGTCAGTCCGAACGGTAGGACTTTGCACTTGTACGAGCCATATCTCGTACGAAAAGTGGTTAGTTCCTCAGAATCGGGATGCATACGAATTCGATGGAATGCTTGTCTAATATCTAGCTTCGTATAGATTTTAGCAGAAGCTAAGCGTGCTAGAGTCTCGTCGATCAGAGGCAAAGGGTATCGGTCTTTGCGAGTGATAGCATTTAGCTTCCGGAAATCGATACAAAATCTCAAGCTCCCGTTCGGCTTCTTGACAAAGAGCACTAGTGCGGCAAAAGGAGCTTGACTTGGTTCAATGAATCCTTTAGACAAATTGTCAACCAAATAGTCTTTCATCACCTGCAATTCTTCACTATTCATCTTGTATAGTGGTGAAAACTGGAGATCCGGTTCACTTGTGGTGAGAGCAATCTTATGATCGTACGGTCTGCGCGGCGGCAGGGTGTTTGACTTTGCTTTAGAGAACGCACGAGAGAAGTCTTGGTATATCTCGGGGATCTCTGGTTCGAGCTCTAATAAGTCGACTCCATTAGAGATATCTTTGACTGCGGCTTCCTGTTCCTTCTTATCCGCAATCGTACGATCAAGCTCGTATAAGCTAGTAGTAAACGCCTCATTTTCTTTCCTTCGAAGATTAACTTGGAAAGCAGGAGCAGTGATCAAGCAGATGTCGACTTCTTTTGGAGTACGAATAGGATCGAGAGGCTGACGCCTGCGACGAGGTTTGGGTGGCTCTAGAGGAGCCTCGTACGCGCCTGCCAAAGCTCGTTCCATCTTCCGGAGATTATCTCGATCATCCCACACTTGCTTCCTAAAAGCTGTCCTAGTCGAGGGTCTAAACCCTAGCGCAATTTGGGCAAGTTCGAGGAGTTTGGCCACAAATAACGATTTCTTTTATATAGGCGGTTCTGGTGCAAGGGACGGTTCTGTCCTTTGTGGTGGAATAATCGGGGAATCAATAGCCTTTGTCGGGGTGGCCTTTGTACAATGATCCTTTGATGGAAGTTCGTTCGACAAAGGGGTCTCAGTTGGTACAACCGTGGGGCGTAAGATGGAGATATTATGGTTACCTCCTTGTCTACGCTAGTAGTCGAGGTCGAGTGCCAAGTCTCGGCGGTCAGCGTCCAGCTGATGTGGACTTCTTTTCTTGACCTCTAGCTTTCGGATGTGAGATCTCGGAACATGCTTGTCAGGAAGACTAGACCAGGTGTTAGACGGTTTGTAATCCGAGGGCCACTCTAATCGTTTTCGTGCAACGTCTAGTTTGACTTGAAACATGGCTAGCCACGTACGACCGATTATCATTTCATGTTGGCCAAGGTTGGTAATAAGGAGAGGAACGGAAAGCTGTTTTCGTCCGTCTAAAGTCATGTGGAAGCGTATACAATACTTAATTTCTTCGCCGGGTTTGCCGTCGTATCCTTTGACAGGGACAGGAGAAGAGAGACGCCGAATGTGCGCGCTAGTGAAATTCGCGAAGTCTGAAGCAAGAGAAGGGCTAATAAAAACAAAACCATTCGCTCCGGTGTCGATAAGAGGGTGTATAGTAGAACAGATTCTATTAAAACTGATAGTACAAGGATAAGAGAAGTGTTTGCCACCTATAAGCGTTCGTAAGCCTAGCTTTGAACAATCGACATAACGACCTAAGAAGGAGACTTCTCTTAGGCTTCTCCATTTCCCGAATCGTCTAAAACTTCGTCTTCTTCCACATGCCCTTGCGGAGAAACTTCTACCTCATCGATCTCGTGAGCCACTTCCATCTCTCGAATATCCGAACGCTCCGCTAGAGGGCAGCTCATGGCATAGTGCCCAGGCTTACCGCACTTAAAGCACCGTTCAGATTGAGAGTTGGGTACAACTGAACGTTGTCTGTCTGGGGCAGGTGTGGACGATCCAGAGTGTCGAGGGAACCCTATAGTTGGTACGTTCGAAGCTTGACGAGGTGTCGTACGTAAAGCAATAGAAGGGTTGTTCTCTGGGGTGGGAGCAGGGAGCGTACCACGAGCTGTGGACTGCTTGTGTGGTGCTCGCGAAGGTTGACTCGGTAGAGAGTGAGCCCTGATGTGGCGTATCTCTAAGTCTGTGGCTTCGGCCGTAGCACATAGCTTTGCAAAATCACCATTGATTCCGTACATCTGATTTGCGATAGCGTAACGGATCGGAGCAGTGAGTTTGACTCGGAAGTCAGAGAAGAGTAGTCTGCTCGAGACTCCTGCTTCGGCTGCTAGGGTATTGAACCTAGTCCGGAAGTCTCGTACGGTTTCACTTGGGAGCATGACTAAGTCCTGGTAAGCGTCTTGCTTCCTTTGCTTCTCGAAGGGGTCCACATAAGCTCGAGCCAAGTATTGCAACATTTCCTCTAGAGTCTTAAAGGGGCGACGAGGAGGGTTGATTAGCTTGGGGAAGCGAGTTAGGAGCTGTGCTCGGGCTTGGCCGGTAGTTCTAGATAATGTATAATTCATACGCTGGAACTCGTTCGCAAAGGAGTCGTCATAGTACCCAGATGCTTCGAGTTTAGCATGGAGGGCGATAGACTAGTCTTCGAACGATGGATCGACACTGTCATTAAACAAAGGTGGGTCCGGGAAGCGAGAGTTGTATCGAGTGGATGGTCCACGAGAAATAGCCTCTGGTGTGAATCGTATAGGGACGTTATCACCTGGGTCTCGAGCCAGAGATCTCCTTGCATGGTACGATCCATTGTCTTCGTACGAAGAGGAACCGTCTGAATCGTCTGATGGTGGGGCTCCTGGTGGGACGCTAGACTGAGACCTAGGCAAGGGGTTGGGAATGGGCGTTCTCCCTTGCTTAGTTCTGAAACCAGATCCAAGTCTTGTAATCTCCGGACGATTTGTCCTAGCCCTTCCTAGAGCTTGTCGAAGGAGTGCAACTTCTCGTACGAACTCTGGGTCATCCTCTGGAATGAGGGCTGGTTCGCCTGAGGGGTCTGGCTGAGTAACGCCGAATCGAACGTTACGTTGGTCTTCCGTCTCGATGGACGGGCGGATAGTTGCAGCACTATTCGAAGCGGTGCTGTGGAACGAAGAAGTCGAATGGTCCCGCTGGGCCGAATGTTGGAGTATGGTGTCATGACTCCCAGTAGGACTCTGCGTAGGGAGTCGAACTGTTGGCTGGTCTTCGTACAACGTTGTATCAACGGTAACCGTTTGAGCGTCTTCGTCCGTAGAAATAATGTCGACGGGGGCCTTTTCTTTTCCTTTGGCCGACTTCCTAGCTCGAGAGCGCGAAGTGGTCCCAATAAGTGGATCGGTATCCATAGTTTGGTAAAAGGGAAAGTAAAGCTTGTCGAACAATAATAAGTAAAATATGAGGATATACTCTTGGGGTACTATTCTCCGGCCGTACGTGCCGTAGGTGCCTACTGTTCTGAAGGCTGTAGCGGGCCTCTGCTGGTGGGATATTCTTTGGAGTGCCTTCCCAGGCAGGAGGGGTTTGGTGACCTTTAGATAATGTGACAGCACGGTGGGAAGCTTAGTACGTAGACGAAGAATCGATTCGGCTATCTCTTAGAATCTAAAGGTAAAGAAGAGAAGGGGAATGAAAGAGGAGAAGATCTAGATATATATGCCAGGGGAAAGGGATGTCATGTGAGAAGCTAAGCCCCAATAGGCTTAAAGCTAGGGAACGCCACCATTCCCGGCCTGACCTTTGTCGCGGGCGATTAGGCAGGCGATTAGGTCAGGTGACAGGCGATTAGCCAGGCGATCCAGGTGGTCCGTAACATAATCCGCTCAAACGTGCCTTTTATATTCAATAATAACTATAGAGAAGCTTTCGCAAAGCTTAAACAAGCCCTTACTCACGCCCTCGTTCTACAACACTACGACGCTACCTAAGAGTATATGCTAGAGACGGACGCTTCGGACGGTGTTATCGCTAGCATCTTAAATCAGAAGCATAGTAACAAATAGTTTCCAGTCGCATACTTCTCTAAAACTATAATCCCAGCAGAACTCAACTACGAGATCCATAATAAGGAAATGCTAGCTATAGTCAAAAGCGTAAAAGAATAGAGAGCTAAGCTTACTAAAAGCCCTTATACGATTAAGGTTTACACAGATCACAAAGCCTTAGAGTACTTTATAACCTCTAAACAACTCACCGCAAAACAAGCCCGCTAGGCCGAAGTATTGGCCGATTTCGACTTCCTTATCATATACCGCGCTAGGAAAGACAACCTTAAGGCCGACGCTTTAACTAGGCGCAATAAAGAAACTACGTCTTAAGATCAAGTAAAAAAGAATATGCGTACGCAAACGTTCTTAAGTCTAAAAAAGCTAGACTCGCGGGTTTATACAGAACTTCGAGACGTCTCTTCGATTAAAGCTTCTTCTACGGATATAGACTTGTTCACTAGCTCTCTTAGTATTATCGATCGAATCCTACAAGCGAACAGGTCGGCTAACTCCCTCTCCGCACTACAAGCACAAGCTACCCACGGGGACGACGACGGCTTTACTCTTTAAAATAGCTTACTCTTGTTCTACAACCGATTAGTAGTCCCGGATGAAAACGACTTGCGTACAGACCTAATACAGGAAGCCTATAATCAGTTGCTAACAGCACACCCGGGATGAGACAAAACGTACTAGCTATTGCGCGAACGATACTACTAGGCCGGTATACTCAAACATATAACGCAGTACGTACGGAACTACCACGCTTGCAATAGAGCACATACTCCCAGAGACAAGATGCTTAGCCTACTACAATCTCTACCGATTCCTAAACAGCCCTAGCAACAAGTATCTATCGATTTATATTCCTTCCCTAAAGACAAATTCGGTTACAACAATATATGCGTTATTATCGATCGTTTAAGCAAACAAACCCTCTCTATTCCTTGTTCTAAAGACATAGACGCTAAAGGAATTGCTCGTATCCTTATAAAGCATGTCTTCCGATACTTCGGTCCTCCCCTCGAAATCGTTAGCGATCGAGGCCCCCAGTTTATCTCCGCGTTCTAGAACAAGCTGTACCAGATTATAGGTACTAAGTTAAACCTCTCTACGAGTTACTATCCTCAAACAAATAGTCAAACGGAAAACTACAATCAGGTTCTCTAAGCTAGGTTGCGTCCCTTTATCTCGTACTACTAAGACAATTAGTCCGAAATATTGCCTATAATAGACTACACACAACTTACTTTACTACAATCCAGTATAAGCATATCCCCGTACAAGCTCATAAATAGTCGACCCCCTACCCTTCACTTCGATTGGAATACGCCGAAGTCCGATTCTAGCAACGTACAAATTAGCCGGAAAAAAGCACTAGCTTTAGCTAAAAGGATGGACGAGGCAATAGGGATTACTAAGAAGAATATCCGGGAAGCATAAGACAGAATGGGCAAAGCTTATAACTCTAAGCATAGACCAGCCGACTTTAAAGTTAGGCAGCGAGTATACCTAAACGTAGGTTACTATAATACACAACGCCCTAGTAAAAAGTTGGACAACCCTCGAGCCGGACCATTCGAGATACTAAGGAAGATTGGGCATTCATACGAATTGCAACTACCCCCTAGTATAAAGATCCACCCCGTCTTCTCCTCTAATAAATTACGCCTAGCACCGGACGACCCTTTCCCTGGACAAGAACAACCTCCCCCGGAAGAGATCGTTATTACGGGAGACGTTGAGTATAAGGTACAGGCGGTGCTAGCGTTGAAGTTAAGTAGGAATCGCCTATTCTATAGGGTACGTTGGCTCAACTGCGACGAAGATCTCGACTGGTATCCAGCGTCGAATATTAAGTACGCACCTACTAAGCTACAGGACTTCCATATACACAACCCGGATCAAAAGGGGCCACCACGAGCCTTACCGATGTGGTTAAAAGCGTACGAGGAAGGAAAAGAGGACTACGATGATCTAGACGATAACAAGCCCATGAGTTTAACGACGAGGACGTCGTTCTTCAAAAAGGGGGGGTAATATCACAGCGCCAGCTGTTCTGAATCGCCTGAGCCAATCGCCTATGACAGAGGTCAGGCCGGGAATAGTGGCGTTCCCGAGCTTTAAGCCTAATAGGGCTTAGCTCCTCACCTAACATCCCCTTACTTCTGACATATACATGTATATAGATCTCTCCTCCTCTCCTTTCTTCTCTCCTTAGCTTTAGATTCTAAATAAATAGCCCGACGTTGCGTCGCCACCTCACACCATCGTCACAGTACTGTCACAATATAAGCTTAGTTTTGTTAATAATCGGATTAATATAAACTTATAGTTTTTTTAATTAAAAAACTAATTAAACTTAATAGCTTTATTTAAAATAATTAAAACTATTTAATAATTCGATTTTAAAATTACTAAAAAATAATTTAAATAATAACATAGTTAGATATTTGTTTAAAAAATATATAAATATTATTGAGAATAGAGGTACCCAATAGCTCCTGTTGTCAGGGGTTGAACCCCATAATGCTTCGGCTACGCCTCGCTTAAGCACCAGCCTCCTTATTTTCTTTACGAGTGTAATCTCCGATCTAAGACTTTAATCTTAGAACACTTAGCGTGTGTCGAGGCTTCTTCGAAGCCCCTATTCTGTGTATATAAAGCCATAGCTAGCTAGCTCTTAGTTCTTTATCGAATTCAACGACAGTTTTACCCACTGCCTACGTCTTAAGTGTTCCCTCTTGGCGTAGCCCCTTACACCTGTCACGTACGGAAGACAGGAAGGAAGGTAGGAGGACGCACACGGTGCGAACGTGTGGTCAGCGACTATATTAGTTATATTGACTACAGCAGCTCTAATTCTATCTAAGCTGCTGTAATATAAAGAGTGTGGCCAAGCACGTGCGCTATACCCGATTAGGTATAGTGCTAGGGAGACTAGCGTTCCCGGGCTGGTATTGCACGTGCCACCACAACGATCTCATCCAGTGCTAAGACCTGGTTATACCTCCATATCTACTCTATATTCCAACAAATATTAATAATTAAAATATAATATAAGAAAATAAGTATGTCGATTTATATAATAGTTTTATTCGTATGTTAAGTTCGTAGTGAAAATATTAAGCTAAAACTTAAGTATAAAACTTGTTATTTGCGTGTGTGTCACAATCACGGGGCTTGTGGGCCATAGGCCCAGCAGGCGAGGGATCGAAATAGGTTAGCGGGTCACCTGATGGATCATTGATCCTCATTGAGGCTCATTGATCTGGAGGACAGAGGTTCTATATAACAACGGGCTGTCGCCCACTAGGTAGGGGCCGTGTGCTCAACTTGATTAAGTTTTCCTAACTACAATATCATTGCCTTATCTTACTTCATTCACCATACCAACCCACGTGACCTTACCAGGGTAAGGAGAGAGTCGTGACAGTGTGATAATTGACTTAATTTCTAAAAACTATAGGATTATCTTTATGCTATATATAATGCTCGAACCTATTAGTTGATGACAAGTGTTATTAGTCAATAAGTCGTTGCATCATGCATTAGATCATACTCTTGGACTAGTACTACACTAACTAAGAGTAATGATTCTTCCATTCCTCAACATATGCTCAACCATAATAGTCTATGATGACTGCACAATGAGTGATCATTCAACAAGACTCATCCCCAGCACTCTCTCCAACTCAAATATCACAAAAACGCCCACATGCTCTATCTCGAGCAGTCTATTACTCGATTTCTCCACGAGAAGCAAGCATCACAGCCTGAGAAACACAGGTTCAGAAACCTGCTCCGGAGATTCGGGCGATGATGAACTCGGTGGTCGGGGTTTTCTGATGACCATGCACTTCCGCGGGACCGAGAGCTCTACTTCGAAACACAGGAGTATTACAACGATAAAATAATAGAATAAGGATCTCATACAACTTAGAGGCAGCGATCAGCTACTTCTTTCGAACAGCAGTAGCCTCCACGCTGCTTGATTCTCTGGAGCGGATTGCGATCACCTGGGACGAAAGCCTACATACAACTTGGGTAATAGAATTCTAAAAAAGAAGTCAAGTCGTTACATTCAGCAGCCATCACATCGACCAAGTCCAGAAGTGAAAGGTCTCTCCGGAACTCTACACAATCATGATCGACGTGCTCCCTTCACAGGAGCAAAAGCTGCTCCTTAGAGAAACATTGATCATCTCGTGTTGTCAGACAATAATGACTACCTGCGTTGTCCAATCTGTTTTATTGGTCGGTGTCTGGCGTTGGGGTTCCCAAGAAAAAATTCGGGCATCGTAAGAGAATACGCCAACTCTTCTGAACTTGCCGTCCTCGACAGGCTGCAAAATGAAACCAGATGAACCAATATGAGAAGTCCCTTTACTGCCTTTCGTGGTATGGGTGACCCTCAGGAGTATGTTCAGACTCGAGGAGCCGGACGACATATCGTCTAGTTTTGTATAATATTGAGGACCCGAGAAGTCGCCTTCCGTAGCTCGACTTTCGGGGCAGGTCTCTCCGCGGATACTTAAAACTCCCTCTTTGACTCGGCCAAACGGAACGCCAGGATCGGCAAGGACGACATAACAGCTGAGTATCTCGGCAACCCATCTCCGGTCATTATAGGGGCAAATGACTTGCTTATTGACTGAAGCCCAGGACCAACTAGGAGCGATGTATTGCTGAGAGACAGGATAGATCTCAACACCTTCATCTAAAATCTCCCACATAACATCTTGCTGCAATTTCTCTACCCACATACCAGCAACGTATGAGTATTTCCATTCCTTGTTTAGCTCCGCTGCTATACCAGCAATCGCGAGAAGACGATCTTCAATCACTGTAAGTTTGCGGCCGCTATATTCATTGATAATGTCACTCCAAACTCTTTCTCCGCGGCCCGAGATAGCTGCGTGAAGAAAGAATAGGCTGCTATTTATGGTTTTTGTTTCTTCCGAATGAGATGGAAAGAGAACAGAGTTGAAACCAGGTGTTCGCAAACAGTGCCATCGCACATCCCCGTCATGGCCAAAGACTAGTAATCTTTTGGACAAGAGAAATTCTTGAAGTGTCCATCCTCTGGATTCTAAATGCCCACGGTCCCATTCACGGGGCGGACTCTTCGACATACTGATATTTCCGAAAGTTCCATCTGCAAGAAGAATGGGGAGAAAGAATCTACCAGCCGGCTCGGGTTCTGCGGCTCCTCGCATGGTGTAGCGGTCCTCGGTAGGCCTTGCCGGTTGGTCGAAGAAGTACCTCTCCAGAAACCCATCCGCTGCGCGCATAGATCTTGTAGCGGCTATCGTCAAGGTAGAATTTGAATAAATATCCCCCATTTTGTTTATCTCTCTCGCCACGTCTGTCGGACAATCCTGAATAATACATAGTGCATCTACCCAAAGATATCGAATCCCAAGATGACGAGTAACTGTGATTGCGTCTTGCACAGACAGCGATAATATATTCATGGGCATGCAATGTCGATGCTTTTCTACTGTAGCATTGGTTGTCGTGAGTTGCGCTATATCACCCCAGCAATAGCTGAGCGTTGTGTAAGGCACTTTCTCTGTGCTATCAGAAACGTAAAGTTTGGGTTCGATGCTACCATCTTCCAACCCCACATCGATGACTCTGGATGGCAGGGTTGAAAAATGTCGACTTCCGCACTCATGATGTTCGAGACACTCCTGGAGAGCCTTTTTGTAGCGCCTAGCCACGAAGGCGCTACCAGTATCATATGACAAGGGGTCAATTTCAATATATGAAAATACTGGATCGTCTGTGAAAGGTGCCATATGAGCTCTAGAATTTGTGATAATGTAATGTTATGAGCTGAGTGAGAACTCACCCGTGTAACCATGAATGCGGATCTCGATCGTATTCCATTTGATTGACAAATGCCCCATGGAACGAATATGCGATGGATATTGTGTTGTCGCTTTGGGAACGTCTCTTGTTAATCCCTGGAGGTATAACGTCCCGACGGGACGGTCGGGAGTGAATTTATAGCGCAGGAGCCTGCACATACGACAACCCGCCTCAGCGTGCTCATCAAGCTCCTGCGGACCATAGTAAGTGAGACCTTGGCTCGAAACTAAGCTCCTGAGATTATCAGCCGTTGCGAAGATTAGATTGCATCGTTCACATAGATCTGGTCTTTCGGGCACACCTGGATGCTCTGTCTCCTTTGCTTGAGGACAGGACTGTGCTTGGATGTGCTGAGATGCTCCAGCCTTCTTCCTCCATAGTAGCGAGAGAAGATTTTTTGAAGAATTCATGGAGAACTATTTATTGTCGCGTTTCATGGTCGAAGATGAAAGGCTGAAAAGTAGAGAAGATTGAAATGGGAGAGTAGGGTATGGACTGTTGGCATGATATACGTGGCAAATTTCAGGCCTCAGGCACCAAGCCCCGTAGACCGCCCAAACCAAACATCATCGATTTCAATCATAAGTTATTACACAGCCAATTGATGAGATTCATTATTTCGAACACCGAATTGTTCTCGAAAGCATTGAGCTGGCTTGCGAAGAGTATACTGATTCTAATGGGAAACTCTCAATATGGAAGGCAGCTGATAAGAATAGGTTAAATGGGAGACTCCGCGAGATCAAAATACGGCAGGACTGCATCCAAAGAGGAAAGGCGGGCAGCGCTTGAGCCAGACCGAAATAACACCTGCCCTTGATAATTATTTTGGAAAGTGTCTACTTTGGGTTCCTTAGGAACCTTTTTAGGCTCTTTAGGCATTGTTGCTAAAACTAGACGAGAGTAATGTCGCAAAGTGAAGGACACATTAAGTGCGATTGATTAGAAGCTAGAAGTCTAAACACGTGGCAATGTGGTAGAACATCCTAAAAAAATACTTAGGCCTGCTTAGGTGAACCACTCAGGTTGCTCCAGTTACTTAGGTGAGTCGACTGAGCCGAGGGTGATCAGCGCCTGAGCAAGAGCGGCAAGCTTACTAACCTCATACAGTAGACAAGAAAGAGAAAATCGATTCATGATACCTCAACATCATCACCCCACGTCTCTTTATCATGATTCACAGCCCACGTTCCAGACCGACACCAACAATAAGCTTGCCGGAATGATAGCTCCACGCTAATTTGATTACCTGCTCTAAAGTTGCGGCGTAGTAATTCCAACATGCCGTTGCCTACGTACGGTTCCCCGAGCTTTCTTATCAGTTTCCATTCAAGACTTTGGTAACTTTATTCTCATTGTGTTAATACAAATACATATCATTGGAGGTGTAGAAATGTCGACCGAGCGTCTGGCGCAATGCCCCACAAATGACAAGCGAACGAGGCCCCTGAACCCCTGAATCAAGCGAGATAATAGGCGACGCAGACATTGATATCAAGCTCGTGGTTTCCATAAATACCACGATGGCACGGGGTCTAAGCTAGTTATCCTTTGATTTAATTCGACTTGGAGGCTCATCTAAATTCATGTATAGGCACCTATTGGTAAGAGGGATCTAATGGAATGTGTGGAATGTTTGCTCCACTACCTGGTGCACTCTCTTTTCCAAGTAGATTGGGCGTTCAAGAGATGAAAAGTGAGAAGACGGTTCTGTTCATTGATAGATTCTGACATTCATTCTTGAGAGACCTGGTAACATTTTTGTAAATAACTGTAAAGTTCAATAGATTCCTCGAAGCTAGATGTGGCACTTTGTAGGAAACTTGCTAGTTGGATCGAAGCTCTAAGATTTGCATACATCCCTTGTTCTTAGCTACGTTTACTGGAGTATTTCCGTAAATGTGTTTCACAGTCCTATCCACACTAGCCTCCCGCAAAATCTTCACTTTGTCCGTGCTGTTCAATCTCACAGCATAATACAGTGGCGTCGCGTTTGGTGATCCCATCATTGTACCGATCGCATTAATATCGACTCCTCAATCTATCAAATATTCCATCACAGGAATCCCACCCTTTCCTCGAGGAGTCATACCTGTGCACCACGTGATATTAGCGGCTCAAGGAGTGTTGTCGAGGGATGAAGAGCAGCGGTTGCTAAGATCGAGCAACCTATCGTGCCTTGAAGATTGGGATCGGCATCGTGATCTAAAAACCACCGAACAAGCTGTTCATCTCCTACAGCAAGCCTGGTCAAACATAAGTAAGCCTATGAGGATTTGAAAGTCGAGAAGGCCTACCTCAACGCTGGTTGGCCAAATTCGAGTGAATTGATATCCCAACCGTGGTCCAGGAATGCTTGAAATGAGATCACATATTTTCTTGCCGAAGCACCATAGAACACCGTTTCCGTGATCTGGGCGCCATGAGAGAGCAAATGATCTATAGCAGTATCTGGGCTGCTGCTGGAGATGGCAATCCTGAGCGCTGAGTTGAGCTCATTTTGTGACAGATTATGGCTAGACTCGAGGATCTCTACGGCTTTTGGGGTGTTGAAATCCCGAAGAGCGTCTTCGAGTCTTAGGTTCATGATTTGATAAGTTTCTGAAAGAATGTCAGGAAAGCGAGATATCTTAATTCTGAGATGGGGGAATGAAAAGCGCCCGCGAATTGAGATTAGCATGTTTCACATGAACGTACTGTATCGCCAATATCGGACCCCAGGACCAACAAGGGCGGTGCAAGAGGGTACATGTCACATTACAGTTGGTCTAGCCTCACGATTATGTTTTCTTGAAAGTATGTTATCTACACGGTGTTTTATCGTTCCAAGCACGTTTCTGCTCCTCTTTGCCAATTTTCTTTCAATTATGGATCTGTTGCGCCCCGTTCATCGGCATCCAATTCCATGGAATTTCACCATGGGATTTTTTTGACTTGAAACATTTGCAGCGGGGGGGGGGGTAGGTTTTGCCTATAAATTAAATATGTAAATTAACTATTAGGTAGAACATCAAGACTCGTCGCTTTCTCTAAGTCAGAAACTGCCAATCTAGACTCCATATCATCCCTACGATATGTGAGTGCTTCTTGATGTTCAACTATTTCACGAACATTGTGTGCACTATCGAATCCACGAGTCACTTACCGAACAAAGAAACACTAGTTATTGACAAGCAATGCATTCATGATGTTTTATTACAATGGAATCCCGGCCAAAAGTCCTTTGTTGCTCTTTTTGGCTAACCTCAAAACGGCTGATCGCAATCGCGAGAAAGAAAAGAAATCAACGCATGCATCATACCAGAACCATTAACTAGCGCTCACCCTTTCTGCTCCCAAAGCTCCACCAACACGAGTACTTGATTTCGCCCAGGGCGTTTTCAGAGGTAATTTGCCACGCAAATACGTGCCAGCTTTGAGATCATCGACCATGAAGGTTTCATCTACTACCGTCGTGCATCTGCTCGCAGCAGTGATTAATGGACTTGGTTTTTTCTGTATGTCCACTTTCGCCGCGCCAAGGAAGGAATTCGTGGCCAGAAATACTGGAAATATGGGCAAATTTGCAGTCGATGGCTAGTACTAGCACCTTCTTCTTCTCCTTGTTCTTCTTCTTCTTATGCTTCTTCTTGTTAGCCTCGATGAAGTTGGCCTTCCAAGTATTTGAGCCGCTCAATGTATCCTGGATTGGGTCTGAGGGGTGATGTATCATGCGCGGATCAGTGCATTTTTGACGCAATACAACGGTCTCCTTAGGGGGGAAGCAGAATCGGCTGCCTGATTCATGGGTGCAATAGCGTCGAAGTCTGCCCGGATGGATGTTATGCCAACCATCGTCCATTCTCTCGTTCTCAACTCGATGATAGAATTAGACATGCTTGAGACGATGGAAGAACGATAACACGGGTGTCTTTCTGCCTCCTCCCTTGATAGCGGCACCAACAAACCAGATGTTTTCGAGCTCCATCCAGTGAATAAATATTGACAGGTTCTCGATATAATCTGTGCATGTACGTCCTAGCTGGGTGATTACATTGTGGATCTGGATGCAGTCCCAAGATCTAGGAACATGGAGGGTATCCAACTCTCTGCAGAAATATGCCTTGTTTTTACATTTCCGATGGTCGAATATTGGCTTGTACAAAGCAGATTCGCCATCCACAAGCTGAGAGCGGAAGTATTTGTTGACCTGCACGAGAGAGGGAGGTGGCTGGCTGCAGAATAAACCAATTTCAGTATGGCCTGGGTGGGCAGCGTCCGCGTTCTCGGAAAAGAGCAATTCGACAGTTCGAGGCTCCAGGGATTCCAAGAGGATCTGCTTGCGAAGCTCATATGGAAGCTTTTGATACAGGGCGGCATCGAAGTTGGCCAGCGGCTCGAATCCAAAGAAGAATTCGTTAACCTCGAAAGGGTCACCACCACGACGTCCTCTATCCAATAGCGCTGACCACGTAAACCCATGGAAGCTTGGTTCGCAGGTAGATGAAATTATACCGCCAGCCTTAACGTACAGGGCTAGGCTTGATCGAGGATACTCGCGCAAGAACATGTCCGTGAACAAGAGGTCCGATTGGCCGGGATTCGATGTACCATGATCGGAGTCGATGTTGAGACTGACAAGGCTGGCCTTCATGTAGTCGAAGATCGACACGCCATAGTGGGCCGCGAGGATAGGAATTGGGAGACTAGATTGAAGGCTAGAGTACTTTAGGGTCGAAGGTTAGACAGGGTCGAAGGAGGGCTTGGTGCTAGTATCGCCCTGCACAAGTTAGTCATCTTCCAAGAGTTCATCATGCGGTCCTACTTTATTAGGGTCAGGATTGTCGGAGATCTTTACACCTTCGGATAAGGGAGTATCATCTGTGTTGCTTGAGAAAGGAGTCTCCCGTTGTCAGTAGGATCCCGGTGAGAGTGGCGTGCGTTTTACTTGAATAACACCTTCATCCTCAAATCCGAGTAACTTAAGCTTCTGCTCATTGAGAGAGTAGGGAGCCATACTGAAGACTGGGTGATCCTGATCCAAGCTGGAAAGTCAATGCGAAGTGTGATTGGTTCAAGAAGTTGCGCTCCACCCAATAAGTCCCGTTCAAAGTATTGCGCACTGGGTATGTTGAAAGAGACTGAAGGAAAAGTACAACTTGTTATCAAGAATTGCAAATCGAAAGGATATTGATGTGTTTCTAAAAGAAGAAGAAGAATAGCTTATGATCCAGAGGTGGGTACTTTATATAGATTTAGCAACCGGGATTAGCTTAATGGGAGTTAAATCACATGATATGACTCTATTTTGGTTTCAAGAGTTGTGCAGTAGCCCAATACGGGAATTGCATCTCATATTTGGTACAAACGACTGCAAAGTAGATGACGACTTGGGACTCATCGACTTGTACATCGTCTACTTCTATATCTTTCAAAAATCAAAAAAATGTTCAAGTCTACATCAAACTCACGTAGAAAATGAAGCTATTTACAGCTACTCGCTGACGTAAGTCTCCTTTATGCGCATAGTCTTTCAAGAAAAAGGAGTTCGAAAAAGACGTGGAAGTCCTCAGGCACACTTCATTGTCTCCAGTGCTGGTGGCTTGATTAACCCCCCATTCTCCGACACTTGACCCCTATTTTAAGCGAATCTGAATTCGTTTACCTCAAAGAGGTCACTTGAGCATCGCGTCTAGTGCAACTTGCACATTTCGAACCGGTGCCATTACTTCCCACAACCCTCGATGTGATACTTGGTGAATACTTCGTAGCGGCAGTAATCGGCCGGCCGAAGTTGAATGTTAAAGCGGATGAGGCCCCCATCTGATTATGTTCTTTCCTGATTTATAATCGCATGTAAGACTTTTCCGAAGTGACACGATCTATCAAAATTTAGAATCAACTCAACTTTCTTCTGCATGTCCATAGCGTAGCTTCTTTGGTGCCCGTCCAACCACAGGTGGGCTTGACTCGATTAGTGAGACTCGCACATTTCATGTGCGCCTATGAATTCAGAGACCCTCGAAACACCAATAGTGAGTTACAATACAAATGAGCTCAACGTTTGATGTTAATAGGGTACAGTGAGAAAGTTTCGATGACATACCCGAAACAAACTTGCAGTGCCTGCGCGAAGATACTTTTCTTTGATTAAAAATACTGAAAATAAGCATGCAAAAGCAGTTGACCGTATTTGGATAGCTAATACCAAATTTTACTCTGGTACAAGACCCTCTGAGAAAGGGCAAAGTATCCCGTGTTCTCCGTAGTTTGCTTAGCTATCAACATGTATTTCAGACTCAGCTGACATTCAGCTCGCAGCCATTGTAGCCTTACTTCGGGAAGCATACACCTTGCATCACATAGCTACTGCCTGTTTAAGCTGACTGCATCTGGCTGTCGTTCAAGACCTCGTTCAGGGGGAAATGTCCTGCTTTTGTTTCGCATTTTGCTGCAACAATGACATTGCGTTGCGGCTATTGTACGTACGCGGTTGAATAAATTCTTCTTACATTACATAATCACTTAAAGGGGAAATTTCGTGGACCATTGACCATATCTGGAGAGGTTGGAAGCTCGCAACTATAAAACTTCCCTCTCTCGGTCTGGCAGAAGTATTTTTTCTTCCCTCATCAATAACTCCAAGTTCTAAAAACATCCTCAATCTAAAAGTTCATTACTACCAACATGTTCAAAGTATTTACCCTCCTAGCAGCCATGGCTACTGGCATCATTGCCAACGAAATCACTGATGCAGCCGCCGACTACGTTGGATGCACCGTTAACGCCTACAACACTGCTGACTGCTCGGGCACCATTGTCAGTTCCACTCTTCATGATTGCAATGTCGCACAACCTTGTGAAGCCCAGGCAGGAGCTTCTTTGGAACTCGTCTGTTTCAATGGATGTGAAGGACAGTTGTTCGTCTCGGTCGATGATTCTTGCGCAGGTAATCTTGTCGTCCCCGCTGGAGAATGTCCGGAAGTCCAGGATGTCGGGCAGATCCAAAGCCAAGTCGTCTTCTAGATACGCCCAATGGAGGAGAGGTGGGAGCGAGCTAGCTAGCTGAGGATCATTGGAGGTCAGTACTTCGCGATAGAAGCTGAAAGCATGGCGAGAAACTGACGGCGAGCAATAGAAAGATGACTATAGTTTGAACTCGGGTATTCAACATATCATGTTCAATGAGAGCACCAGACTTGAATTGCCTCAAGATGTCTGTATTGAGGTTAAGTACTTTTGCGCTAAGCAATTTGTCGCTAGTCCTAAAGCTTAAGTTATACGAGAGAGATCACACCTACTGGAAGATATTCGAACTCTCTTTAGCTTTAATGATTGATATAATGATTGGAGACTCATTGTGAATGCCATTTTCAATTCATGTACAGCCCCAGACTAACATATCCACGGCTTAGAGGTCCTAATGTTCCATATATACACTCATCTTACCCCTATATACACTTTCTCATACTCACAAAATCTCCATACTGGTGCGAGGTCCACCACCCCTTCCTCAACTTCAGTTCAAGCATTGCGAGTACCATGCGTTGGAATACTTGCACGTGCCAACCGCGCAAACCGTGGCTCCAGCCCAACCAGTTCCACCACACTGACCATAAAGGGGTACCCCAGCTGCCGCTGTACTTGTTGTCGAGACTTTCGTACTCATGGTGGAGCTCGCGACCACGCTCGTGCTAGCTGATACCTTTGAAGAACTTGAAGAACTACCGCCCGTTGTGCCGTTTGGATTCAGGCTCGAGATGCCACTCTTGACCAATGTGGTAGGGAGCAATGGCTGGATCTCCTTAAGCCAAACGGTGGTGTACATTCCTGGAGAACCATCTGCGGCAGTACTTCCCGGTTCCAAACTCCCCCATTGCATGGAATCCGAACAGCAAGCTGAATTCGTACCCCAAAATGGACCAGCGGCCCTGCACGACAAATTAGCTCTGCATGAGTTTGAAAAAAAAAAGCAGTTTGGATATGAATATACTCACCAGGCAGTCCACCCAATATAGACGTCATTCTCAGCCATGTAGTTCACCATATCGGTAATGTATGAGTCACATTCTGTTCCATTCGCACCACCAAACTCGGTAATCATGGCCTTAAAGCCATACTGTTGAAGCCAGCTGGTGAGAGGAGCAAGATTGGTGGCCGCGGCTTGAGAACAGTTGGCATGTGTGCCAGAGAAATCACTGTCGAGGTATTCGTGGATATCGAATGCTACATTATGAATTAGCGATGGAGAGGAAAAGAGAGACCAGGTATCACAAACCGGTGTTGTTGATTGGATCGGTGATCTTGTACATAACAGTGCTTGATGCGGGCGAGTTTCCGGTGTATTCCTGAGTCCAGGAATGTCCGCCTGTGTAGCCATTTCCGGGTGCGATAATCCTGCCATATTTGTCAGTACCACACACTCAATTTTGTCAGACGCGCTCACAGTTGATTTGCCCCAACGCCTCGGATAGCGGTGATGGCCGCTTGGTCATTCGTAAGGATGAGATTGGTGTCCATGTCGTGAGGCTTCATTTTGTCAGCTCTAGTCAAAGATATGTTCAGCTCCAACAATGTACCTCGTTCATAAGTCCAAAGATAACTTTCTCGTTGGACTTGAATCGTCCTGCGAGCGTGGCCCAGAAGGTGGCAAATTGAGCCGTCGTGGCTGCTTTGGCATCAGTAGTATCGCCGATAATGCTACCCGTTGTTGGCTGCTGGCTTGGATTGTTGTATCTGTGCAACAAAATGTTAGTTTTGGTTATCTTAGTAGAATTTTCACAATATATGCATTATAGCTTTTTCCTTCATCGACGAAGATCGAGAGTTCATGCATGACGGCAAAGGAGTAGCTAGGAGCGTTAGGTTTCGGTCAACACTTGCCTCATGTAATTGTGAGGATCCAAGATGCAATAAGCTCCTTTGGTGACAGTGATGTAATTCACAGCATCAGCGAATTCTTGATAGTACTGCCGCCCGATCAGTAACTTCATCAAATTACAGGAAATCGATGTATTCTTACTGTCTCGTTGAAGGTGGATCCAAGGCCAGTTGCCAGAGGACACATACGCTCCAGCAAAAATGCAACCCGAAAGAGATTGACCTACTCATGTCAGTAAACGTTAAAAAGCACATTGTGGAAGACCTTACTTTGTTCTGGTCAACGTAAGTATCGATAGCAGCTTCGTTGATGAAATCATAGTCTACTCCAAAACGACCTGGAAGTCCAGTGCCGACAGTTGCAGTACTGCCTATTTCTCGATTAGCAATGATCCCATATTAGACGAATTATTGAGGTTACTATAGACACCGAATTCTCCACCACTTTCGGCAACACCTGCATAGTAAATAGTGGCTGCTGCTTTAGCAGCAAGCAGTGTTGCTGCTCCAATGCTTTTGAAAAACATCTTGAAATTGTTCACTTGAATTGATATGCGAGGAAGGAACAAGGGAGCTCGTGGAATTCTGCCAGATATATGTACGGCGAAATTTCCTTACTGTCTAGATCATCTGATATTTGATAGACTAAGAAAGCTAAATAAACAGAATGGGGAACCAAAAGCTCGGATTAATTCACAATATCGCCTCGGCAGCACTTCCGAAAACATATAACATACATATGCCTGCATGAATGGTGGCTTAACTCGCAACAAGAGATCTAAGTAAGGATAAATACAGTGTGGGGAGGTCGAGGGAGCATACGGCCCGGCGGATAATCCGGTCGGAGGACCTCCTTCCGCCACAACTACCGAGGTGGAAGCTGATCTTATTGGATTAAACAAAATTGTTCAGAACGATCGCTTACACTTTCAAGTCATGTTCAGGGCCGACGGAAGCTTTGTCGGAAATCCTGGTAGTAGAAAGGTCAAGGTTGCCCCGCAAATTGAAGGACCTGCTTCCGAACGACCCCTGAAATTTCCCTCCACTCAAACCAAAACGGCCACTAGCTTAGTGTGAGCATGACCTAATTCGACAGCAGTCAGAATCTGTTGGACACCAGGAATAATATGACGATTTGGGAAAGGGAGAAAGACAAGCAAATGATGGAGGCTCAAAACAGAACTTCGTTCGAGTAGAATAAATTGAAAAGAATTCAAAGACAGCTTTTGAACAACAAAATGTTGTGAACTTTCAAATCAAAAGCTCAAAGATGCTATTGTACTCCAACATCTGCGATATAAGATCACAACGCTGTTGTCAGGACTTTCGGGCAGTCTGTAGCTATTCTTGCAGTGTTCTTGGCAACCTACTTTAGCAATGCTCGGGGATTGGCCAAGTACTTTAATTCATGCCTTGATAGACTTGAACTTGTTCGCTGCATCGACCAATGCCTCTTCGATACCCGGCTCATGAGCACTATGACCATACTCGTTCAATATCTTGTACTCGACGCCACTGTTTCCCGCACCCCCAAGCGCCTTGTATAGATCCCAGCTCGTCTTGGCAGGACAAACCACATCGTAGCGACCCTGCACTATGACGATGGGTAGATGCTTGATTTTATGCGCGTCTTCGATTAACTGGCCATCCTTCATCCAACCACCATTCACGAAAAAATGAGACTCAATTCGTGCAAACGCAAGAGCCCTAAGTAGTGAATGTCAGCATTACAATAGCGCCACCGATCGATGTAATTGTACCATTGTGGATTTTCTGCTCTCTCGATATACTTTGGGTCTATAATCAGTTTCGACAGGGAGTTCTCCCATCGAGACCAGGCTTCGGCACTACAAAGATCAGTAAGGGATCTGAGAATGATCTTGGACATTTCACCATTTCAGCTTTTCCTCTTCATTGTCGCCAGTCAATCGTTTGTAGTAGGCTTGCATCAAATCTCCCTGTTCTTCTTCCGGAATGGCGGCTTTATATGGATCGTAGAAGTCTGGAAACAGCATGTCTGCACCCTTCTGGTAAAACCACAGCAACTCCTCTCTCCTCAAAGTAAATATGCCCCTCAATATCAAGCCTAGACATCTTTCGGGGTGTTTCTCGGAGTAGGCTAATGCTAGAGTCGATCCCCACGAGCCACCAAACACGATCCACTTCTCGATCTTAAGGTGTTCTCGCAGAGCTTCGATGTCTGATACGAGATGCCAGGTGGTGTTGTCCTCGAGGGACGCATGGGGAGTCGATTTACCAGATCCTCGTTGGTCGAAAAGAACACTTCGGTAATGGGAAGGATCGAAATACTGTCTGTCTACACCAACTGTCAATACTACGAACAAGTTCAACTCGGAGAGAGGGAGAATACCAGTGTCTTCGATCCCACCGCCCGGGCCTCCATGTAAGTAGACTATCGGGACTCCATTGGGGGCACCACATTCTTCGTAATAGATTGAGTGTATCGAAGACACTTCTAGGTGCCCGGAATTGAGAACGGGGAATGCTTCGTAGAGAGGTGCCATGATGAAGGTGGGGTAGGGCGCGGGGTAATCGATGAGCTCTAAACTTGCGAAGTTCGGAATTTGGCAGCTCTCAAGACTACTCAACGGTCTGAATGATAGGACAACAATAGCAGGAAGTTCCGCAAAAGCCCAATTCCTCGAGGCTGGATGTGTAGCTGCAGCTTGTCTCACCCAGCTTCAGTACGATGGAAGTTGCCGAAGTGGCAGAAAACACGTCTAAAATAGGCAGGCGGTCACCAGACCTGGTTGTCAAATCATAATGTCCGGTCATAATGTCCTTTCGTTGAGTCCATTTTCAAGAAGAACATGAATGCTTATTGTCTATTGGACCATCATCAATATGGTAAGATTGTTATCCGCATTGAACCGATGCCGAGGACCGCGATGTCGTATTTGCCGACCCGAGTAGCATGCGGGGAGTTGGAGACCCCCACTACGTATTCCTTACAAAGCAGAAGGATAGTTCTTATCTGCTTGCCTTGAAGCTCTTTCCTTCTTGCTGTATATATCTACATATTCAGTGTCCAAGTTACCCAACGAAACCATGCCTCTAACATCAGATCTTACACTCAATGCGGCCAAGTTTGACCCCGCATCTAATTCAAAGCAGACTTCGGCGCTTAATGAAGCATTGATCGCAAAGCTTGAGCAGGGCCCAAAATGGTTCGAGGTATACTACTTTTCCAATTATATAATTTCTATTAACTGAGGACATTCTTTAGGTTGGAGCCGCAAAGTATCGAGAGATGCGATGGGCTGGGGAGACTGCTCTTCCGGCACCAACAATGCTTCCTGAAGCAATTGATATCACTATTCTCTCACGCGAAAATGGTCGAGATATTCCTTGCCGTCTGTTTTTTCCTTCCGGAAGGAAAAGCGAAGCAGACCAGAAGAAGTGTAAAGGGGTGGTTATGCACATTCATGGCGGTGGATGGGTGGTAAGTTTAATACGCCTCTTTCGCTACGACATTCTGATTGGGCAATAGCTTGGAGATCAGAAATCTAATGATGACCTCCTACAATTCTACGCGGAAGTGGGAGATCTGGCTGTGGTGTCCGTAGGGTACAGGAAGGCTCCAGAAGATCCTTTTCCCAAAGGTCCACAGGATTGTTTCGATGCAGGTATACCTTCCAATCTATTCCGCCATTGCTTCAACTATTAACTTGTTCAGGTGACTACTTGGTGAAGAATTCTGAAAGTCAATATGGAGGCCCGTTGAGATTTATTGGTGGAGAGGTAAATTATCTGTTTCTTTTCAACGGCATATTCAGCCCATCCTCAACATTTCACCAAGTATGCGTAAGGCGTAAGACGTCGAATAATTGTCAAAATGTTTCTTTGGCTCTTTCTAGACTTGTTTACTCCCTTCCGTTGCATTCTACAAAATGAGTCTTAATAATTGCTGACGATTCCAACCTCCAGTCTGCTGGTGCTCACTTGTCCTTGCTTGCGACATTTCACCTCTTGAAGCTCCATGCAGATCTCAAACTTTCGGGTTTACTTCTGCATTATGGATGCTATGATCTCTCATGGCTGCCCTCCGCAAAATTGTTCAATAAATCTCTCATCCTAGACCAGGAGATCATGCATCACTTCACGGCCGCATTTCTGCCGGGCATGTCCTTTGAACAGAAGCAGGATCCATCCGTGTCTCCGCTCTACGAAAATCTCGAGAACTTTCGCGGCAGATTACCAAGTGCCTTGTTTACAATTGGCACAGAAGATCCATTGTTGGAGGACTCTGTGTTTATGTCAACGAGGTGGCTTATGGCGGGCGGTCATGCTATCTTGAAAGTTTACAGCGGAGCTCCCCACGGATTCAACCGATTTCCCAAGCAGGCATTGAAAGAGGCAGGTGATGCAGCAGATGATACCGAAGCTTACATCAAAGAGCGACTAGAGCAAGTGTGATCATATCGACGGTAGCATACAGTGTGGTTCATGAAAGATAGGATCACCTTTATCAGTTACTCAGTAGTACGTCTCCTCTGCCGTCTTACATTGAAACTGAACCTGAAGTGGCCATGCCGGCCAGGGAACCACATGATCTAGCCATTAGAGTTTATGACATCAATTCAACCTCGATCCAGCATAGGTTGTTTCTTCTCAGATATTGTGCGTATGGTTAAACGTTTGCTATTAAACGTGATGTGCCAAGTACAAGCTACGATGATCCCCGACTCAGTTGACAACCCAACATTTCTGTGTATCATTACCCTTGCATGATGTCAGTTCTATGTCCCAGGTAGCTGGAACCGCTACAATCTCGCTTATTTGGTGGCAAGGTGTGGGTAAGGCGTGGCAAGGCTGAGTCTCGTTGTAGCCTTGTCCTCAATAGCAAGTTGTTGATGTGCGAATAGTTTCAAGCTTGGTGGTGAGTGAATCAAGATACGACAGATCTTTTTTCCATGTTCGAATTCTTGATCGCATTTCATATACACAATCTTTGTCTTTTTCCTGCGTGCGGCAAGTTGTTTCCCGGTGTAAAAAGGCTCCCGTTCGGCTCTCCTATTGAGAGCCCTTTTCGGTTCTGAATAGAACTCGGTTAGCTCAACGCCACCAACTTCCCAACCCTCAATAGCAAGAACGTCAATTTCATTCCTCAATAGTACACATAATCCTCAATTATAGCTGTAATTCTCGAGGAGATAGAATTCTTCAACTCCATCTTCTACTTTCTTTTGCCTCCACAATCGACAACGATACTTTGAGACAACTTCCTCGACCTGATCGTCACGGACTTCGGCATCTTGGCCTGCGTTCTTTGTGACCTCGGATCGCTCGTATCATTTCTTTCTTTCACTGGTTCGATCTCCGCACTTGCAATTTCCCTCAGTGGGATATCAAGGAAACGGTCCGCTCGATCACTCTCCTCGACGAGCAGATCGACACTCCCCTACCATGGACGCATCTGTTCCATACGCTGGCCAACAAGCCAACAAAATGAATGCCGTTGCTCTTCCCTTCTTCGCTTTGCTCGCCATCCTCGTTACCTACCTCCCCTGTCGCTCGTTCTGGTCTCACCGCAATGTCCCCGCCGTTAGCATTGTCGTCGCCACCAATGTCTACAACGCTATGAGTGTTGTGAACGGCGTCATGTGGCCAAACGATGACTGGGCATCATGGTGGCCGGGCTACGGACTCTGCGATCTCGAGGCTCTGCTCCGCTATCCGATCACCATGGCTCTGGCAACTTCACTCTGCGGCCTGTCCAAAGGACTTGCTGATTGCTTGGACACCAACAATGCGACGGTTCACCCAACTGCAGCTTCAAAGCGACGCGAGTTGTTGTTCAACGTTATGTTCTGCTGGGCTATTCCTGTTCTTCAGATGGCTTTACATTATGTGATTCAAAATGGTAGATACCAGATCTTTCCTGTCTTTGGCTGCTCGGATGTCATTGACGACTCATGGCCGACGATTCTCATCATCATGATCTGGTGTCCCATATTCACTTTCTCGACTCTGTACTACGCAGGTATGAAAAATTCACGCTTCTCTTTGAAAGTCGCTAACATATCTAGTGATTCTCCTTATCCGCCTTCGGAAGCACCGTCGCACCATCAGCTCTGCTCTGAAGACTTCTGGCTCCGGTTTCGCAGCACGGAAATACCTCAAGCTCGTCATCATCACCATGTCTCTCATAGTTATCTATGTTCCTGTTCAGTTCGTCTTCTTCTTCCAAGTCCTGCCCAGAAAGCTCGAACCCTACTCCTGGTCTCGAATTCACGATCCGGCTACATGGCATCTCATCGAATACCAACATACTGGAGATGCTCCGCTCATACAATACCAAGGTTGGGCCGGTATTGTCACATCATTCTTGATATGGGCTTACTTCGGATTCAATGATACTGCTGTTGATACTTATCGATCTTGGTTGGTCCAGCTTGGGCTTGGGCGCATTTGGCCAAGTCTTAAGCTTTCCAGAGAGACAAGAATGATGATGAGACGAAGCCAGGGAAGCTCAATCGCCAGAGGAAGCATTGACAGTCACTTCGATCTCGTCGGCAAGGCTATGAAGTACTTTGATACCGATATCAGACAGGAGAGTGGCGCAACTACCCTGGTTGATAGACACTCTAATCGGCAAGTCTCCTCCATCACTCCTTTAATGCATTTACTGACATAATCCTAGGACTGCATCAAGAAAAGGTTCCCAGGGTACTTTGGCAGGACTTACCAGAGCTCACACCGACTCCTCGTCTGTTCCTTCAAGCTACCTCTCCGACACCATCACTCCAGCACCACCTGCCTTCGCCTACCCCGTCTACCCAATGCAACCTCTGGACCACCCAGAGCCGACACCCGCCCCCTCCAGTCCCCGCAACCTATTCTCGTCCTTCCGCACCCACCTCAACGTCCCCATCCCACTCTTCGGTTCCCGCTCTGCTCCGTCTCAAGCCCACACCGGTAAACAGACCCAACTGTACGACCTTGAGGCCCAGCGCTTCGATATCCCAAGACGTGGTTCCGGTGTCATCATTCCCACGGTCAAGACTAGCATCAGGAGCGGTCCTGCACCATTTGTTCTTCCTCATGCCACTTCTGTCCCAGCCGCCATCCACGAGGAAGAAGATGAAGACATCGATCCCCTTGCGCCAAAGATGGGCACTCGTGCTTATCGTGAGCGAGAGAAGCGTGAGATGCAGCGCCGAAAGGACGAAGAGAAGGTTGCTAAGGTCATTGCGGATGATGTCAAGGTTGAGATGGGCGGTGGCTCCGTTGGTAAGGGCAAGGAGTTTGCTAGCGTCATCAAGATTGTGAAGAGCTTTGATCTCTCTGAGGAAAGCAAGGCTGGTCGTTCTTGAGGAGTGTGATTTGATGCTGATGACGCGTGGGGTCTTTACATACTAGCTGCTTTGGTTCTCTTGTGTATACACCAGCGCGAGGAGTTTTCATTTTAACTTTCTCGTTGGATGCACAGACTTTCGAAGTAGCATAATGGCATCCCTGTACATAGAAACGTGCAGATGCAAGACAGAACCTAATGAACACCGAACAAAACAATTCTCAATGCAATCGAACTTGTGCATTCCTGTGAAGTTAATGATACAAAGCCGAACTGAATGAACCCTTCACAAAATCTGTTAATGAAAACAGACTGGTAGGTTGCAGATATTCGCCTCATAAGTTTGTCCTACAGACTCTGGAACGATATCTGCCCTCCCATCGCGTCTCTTCCTTCATTGCTTATTCTCATCTCGTCAAAGAGTCGTCAAATCTCAGCACCATACAACTTTTTCAAAAAAGCAAAAGAACAAAAACAAAAAGGAGAGACAAGCACACCACCGCGCCAACAACGCAAGTGATTCTTGTCAAAGAAGCCGTCTGTTTAGAGGACAGGAAAATGCATATTAAGCGCCATACGACCTGTTCCTTGTAGAACTATATAGGTGGGTAGAGGTATTCATTGTCTAGTTTTGAATTTCCGTCTCAAGTGATGAACCATGTATAAAATCTACGATGTGAATTTTCCAAGCTCAGCGCATAATGAAGCTCGTCAGAGAGCAAGTAAGGAGTTCTAGATACTGCTTCTCAAGCCCGACAAAATCCCAAAGACACCCTCAGGCGAACTCTCAAATCTCTCCTCGACCTTCTTCCAGTTCACCACCTTCCAGATACCCTTAGCATAGCTTCCCTTGTCATTCAGATATTGCAAATAATAAGCATGCTCCCACATATCAATCCCCAACAATGGCTTCTTTCCCACTGGCACAATATCCTGATCCTTACTCGTCGTGAGCTCCAAGTTTCCACTCTCGATATCCCGAACGAGCCATCCCCAGCCTGAACACTTCAGTCCGAGAAGCACAGCATTGAACTTCTCCTGGAGCTTCTCAACGGAGCCGAATCGAGAGGTTAGGGCGGCAGAGAGCTTGGGTGCTGCGGATGGTGAGGTGGAGGGGGATGAGGCGGGGATCAGGTTCTCCCAGAAGAGGGTGTGGTTTACGTGGCCCCCGGCGTTGAAGTTGATGTTTTGCTGGAGGTGGAGTTGGGAGACGATGTCATTCTTTGCGACTGCTGTGGAAAGGGAGGAGAGGGCAGCGTTGAGGTTGTTGACACAGGTTTGATGGTGCTTGGTGTGGTGAAGGGTCATGATTTGGGCGCTAATGTGGGGTTCGAGGGCCTGCGTTGTTAATATGGGAGAGTGAGACAGTGGGGAGACGTACATCATGCTTGTATGGGAGATCTGGAAGGGTGTATTTTGCTTGAGCTGCCATTTTGGATGTTGATTTGTGGTACGAGGAAGTTTGGTTTGAGGAAAAGACAGCAACGAGAGGTAAGTTAGAAAGATAGTCGCTCGCAAGGTGAATTTCGTTCGGAGTTTGACTAAGATTCACCTTGATGGGTACGACACTGGAGTTCGGCAATGAGGGGTAGCTATCAATTTGTACTCAGAAGAGCCCCATGATTGGATATCATGTCGGTCGTTTGTGGAAGTTACAAAGCAAAATGATGAAGTCACGCAAAGCATCGCAAACTTGCTCACAATCGTGATCCCACGTGATTGAATGTTCCACCAGCACTCAAAGGACACTTTAAGCAATGAAAGAAGAAAGAAGCCAGAAATCTACCAGACAGTACTATTTGAAACTGCAAACACCCCTCTTCTGACACGCAGACGCGGTGGATGTACCATCGCACTAGCTATCAGATGCCGATTCCACAAACTTTCAAAGGCGTGGAAATTTCAAAGGCATGTTCATCAAGATCTTGTTCGTCAAGGAGACTTTCGCAGGGTACGGTCCCACTTTCCATGTTCAAGCTTGTTTCCAACGAAGAATTGGGACAATGCAGTGTTCGTTTTCCATGTATTTGAGATCCCATTCTTGTTGAGGGCAGATTTTGCTACCGCCAAGATCATGCACAGCCACAGATGCACCTCCACGAGTGTGGCGAGTGAACCATTACAGATTTCCCCTGAACAAGCTCTGCTTTGACATCTACTGTCCATTGATCCACATTGGAGCTTTGAACTCTTCTTTGACTTTGTTATGGAGCCTCTTGTCTCTCCTCCAATCATCATCCGGCCAAGCCTCGCGATCGATCAGATTATTTCACGCGAGGCTCCTTGGCCGACGTCAAGCTTGGAGCTCTAGACTTGAAATCACCACAAATGCATTTCTGCCTTGGTCAACAATAGCAGTGACGGTGTTTACTTACGAAGATGATCTTAAAGTACAAGTATATATCATTGTAATGGTAGGTAAAATATCTTTCCTTGCTGCCACGACCCCAAGTCGCGCTTTTCTCCTAGCATGCATTCTTCAATCCTCCTTCCAGCTGCTCTCCTAATAGCAGAAACTCTTTCCCACTCCCCTAATTCCTATAAATTCGATCCTCTTCAGCATCTTGCAGGTGTAGCACCTCCATTCGATCCACTCGACCCTCCGCTCGATCCCTCACCTCCTCAGGGCTGCAACGTAACTCGAGCAGCATACCTCATTCGCCATGCAGCCATCTATGCAAACGACTTCGACTACGAATCCTACATCGAGCCATTCGTCCAGAAACTCTCAAACACAACTGTGAACTGGTCTACGATTCCAACCTTCTCTTTCCTCTCGACATGGCAGAATCCAATCTCCGATGCAGAACAGGAGATGCTTACGAGGTCTGGCAAGCTGGAGGCTGCAAAACTAGGAGTGGATATTGCACAAAGATATCAAGGGCTAAGGACACCGGAGAAGATTTGGACAAGTACAGCGGAGAGAACAGTGAAGAGCGCTCAGTCCTTGACACAGGGCTTGGCAGACGATGCGTCTTCTATAGACATCGTTCAGGTCTCGGAGGGAGGGGAAGAAGGTGCCAATTCATTGACACCGTATGAGAGCTGCCCCGCATACAGTTCTTCAGCGGGCAGCGATCAAGCAACTGTTCGTCATATTCCCATCCTTGCATAATTATACTGACAAAAATAGGCATTCCTGAACCAATACGCCGCCCCAATAACCGCACGCTTCAACTCCATGTCTCCTGCCTTCAACTGGACCGCCTCAGATACCTACGCAATCGCCCTCCTCTGCGGCTACGAAACCGTAATTCGCGGCTCCTCACCCTTCTGCTCGACCTCGATCCTCTCTCCCAACGAATGGCTAGCATGGGAATACACCAACGACTTAATGTATTTCTATAACACTGGCTACGGCTCTGCCGTCTCAGGCGCCATTGGGTTTCCCTGGGTGAACGCTACAATGAACTCGTTAATGGGAACCCAAAACAACATGAGCAATGCTACTACTGATCAAGATCTCTACATTTCTTTCACTCACCGCGAACTCCCGCCTACCGTTATCGTGGCCTTGGGTCTATTTAACAACTCTGCTTTCTCCGGAGCGAATAACATCAACAGAACGATGCCATTAAACACCATTAATCATCGACGAGCATGGAAATCTAGCCATATCCTCCCTTTCTTGACAAATGTAGCAATCGAGAAGATGGGCTGTGATAGTTATGGGTTCGATGAAGGGACGTATTATCGCGTTCTGGTTAACAATAGTCCGCAGAGCTTGGATGGGTGTTCGGATGGACCGGGAGAGAGTTGTGAGCAGGGCAATATGACGACGTGGTTGGGTGAGAGGGCGGAGTTGGTGGGTGAGTATGGGACGAGTTGTATGGTGGATTATGGGAATAGTACTGATATTTTGAGTATCTATAGCTCGTGAGGATGAGTTAGGGGGAATAATTATATACATTTTAAATGGTCTTGATCTGGAGTAGTTTCTGAGTTTAGATGAGTACGGCAAGTGCCTTGTTCGTCAACTATCTCTTTGACCCTCTGCAAAGTCCACTGCGAATCTCTGGTTCCAAATCCTTGCATATCTTCTCAGCTTCTACGCAAGACTTTTATTGCACGTCGCATTATCGATAGTGTTTTAGGGCCAGTCTAGTTGGTCACATATTTTCTCCCGAAAGTGTTTAATTCTCCTTGACCATCGAGACTCATCTCATATACAGAACATCCAATCACATCTCACACCATCGCTGTCCAAGTGTCGGTCATGTTCTCGATCTCAAAAACTCGCCGTTCCGCTCAGATATTGAATTTATTTCGCGTTTTGATACAAGAACGACATTGCGAGCCTACTTTGCTGTTTTGAGGTAGTTATCCTGGAGGATTTCTCTGTAGAAACCTTCAAAGATTTGTCTTTATATGACGTTTCAAGGCTGTCATCAAAGAACAGCCAGCAGTTGGAAGAATGGTTTGCGATATCTGCGCAGTATGCGCTACTTGCGGGATTTGCGCAACCCGTGCACATTGCACTCGAATTACCTACAATAGAATACTTCAAAGTTTTCACTCACAGCTTCCTTTCTCAAAGACGTATATTCGGCGAAGCCCGTCCGCTCAACTTATGCTCTTCTTCAAGCTCGAATATCGCGCGAACCATGGTCCTAAAAAGGAAATAAGCCACGTGACTACGAGCCTTTGGCACATGTAAAGAGCTATTCTCGGACAGGAAAGTGACACACGGCTCGGTACAAGTGTTACCGGACAGCCCGAAGTGGAACTTCGTCCGTATAGGCAAAAGGGCCGATGTTCAAATGCATGTTTTCTGCTCATTTCGGCTTGTGATCAGCAGCTGTCAGAAGACTCTGTTCTGATCCCAGGAAGAAGTCTGGGCTATCTAGGAAGAAGTTGTCATGAAGCTCAAACCATCTTTGCAGGTTAAGAATAGGATGGTAATGAAGGCAATGTAAACCAAAAATTTATTATTTTCTCAAAATAAATACACCACAACAATGCAAACCCACCTTTCCTTTTCAAGCCCCAGCAACAGCAGCAGCTACAAAGACACAATTACATCCCTCCCTCCCTCATTACATGATCTCCATCCCCATTCCCTAAAACGCAGCCAGGACAGCAAGTCCAGCAGCCAAAACCACGCTCCCAGCTCCAGCAGCCAAGTTTCCAGCCGCGCCAGTGACCTGGATGGGCGCACTGCTCGTAGTCGAAGTCCCGTTGCTGGCAACGACAGCAGATGAAGTAGCAGTGGCCATCGCAGTGGTGGAATAGGCGCTGCTGCTAACGACCGTTGTTGAGACGGAAGCCGAGGTCGACGACGCGACGTAGGAGGACGACGAAGCGGTTGATTCAGCGGTCGATTCAGCAGTCGAGGTAGTAGTCGCGACAACGACGGACGAGGAAGAGGATGGTGCGGTGCTGGACGACGAGGCGGTGGTGCTTGTCCCCGCAGCGTTGACGGACGAGCACGCTGCTTGCGCGGCGCTGAGGACGGCTATTTCTCTTGTTAATATGTATATTTTCTCAGAGTTAAGGAGAAGGAAGGTGGAGAACGCACCAAGAGCCTCCGTAGCGCCACAGGCGGCCAAGACGCACGACGTAGCTGCGGTCTGGATGGCCGCTTCGTTGGAAGCGCTGCATTGGCAGCTGAGATCGGTCTCGGAGCACGTCGTGGCGGAGGTCACGGCGTTGGAGATGCAGGTCGTGGCACAGGCTGGGATCTGGGCTTGGGCTAGGCCGGAGAGCGCCATGAGGGCGAGGGCGGAGTATGCGTACTTCATCTTGAAGAAGGTTGGTATTTTAGTTGGGTATTGAGAGGGATTGCCGTAAACGAGTGATGGCAAAAGGCGATAGTAGGTAGGTACAGTACTTTTTTTTCAATGGATGGAGGGAAAGCAGAAGGAGAGAGAGGCAGGAAGAGAACGGAGGGAGTTATATACAAGCATGAGATGAGCACGTAACTAGTTAATTAACCCAACAGCAGCAGCGTGCAGCACAATACAGTACAGTAGTGAGTGGCACCGCGATCCGTGACCAAGGAAGGCAGGCCGATTCATTCCCGAACTGGTCCTTGTATTCCGTGCCTCGACCCAATGGGAGGGATCGATCGCCCCTACGACGTTTGCTTGCTTGCTTGCTTGACGTCGTGCGGAGAAGGAGGGAGGTAGGCTTCAATCTCGGAGTCAGCCGTCCTCTCTCATGCTTTGCTTATGAGCGAGCGATCGAGTAAATTACATGGTGTCACGGGCCTTTACCTCGAAAGTGTCTTTGGCTTGTTTGACGCTTCTCATTCGACGAGAACTGGAAGATGGAAGATGCCGTTTACTGGTAGAATTCTTCTTATTCGACAATAGCTTAGATCTGCTATTTGCGTTCGAGTACAGTACGTCTCATTCGACACCAGCCAGCGAAATGCAGGAACAAAAACCTAGCCAAGTAACGAACGAACAGCGGACCAACATTCCCATCTCGGACTCACTGACCTCTCGACCTCTCGACCTCTCGTCAATAGATGCTGCATCTGGTGGCGGAGGTCGATGACTGGACGTCAGCTTTTCGGACCGGGGAGCGTTAGGTAGGTTAGCGGGGTCTGGGGCAGACCAGGGGCAGAGTAGGGGTCGCAGCGTATGGGGAAGTGGCGCGAAGGAACGTAACTTTATTCTAGGGCCAGGGGTCAGGGTAAGGGGAAGGGGAGGCCGAGGTTTGTGTGCGTTTTGTTTTGACATCTGATCGTGGCCGAGGGCTTCGTATTGAGGGTTTATTTTTTTTCGCATGTGGATTTTTGAGATGAGATGAGATGAGATGAGATGGAACGGGAAGACGCCACTGATGATATGCATGCTGCGATGCGCCAACGAGATTCAATTTACTTACTGTGAGGTTACACCCTTCTCGACACAACAACCAAACTCCCAAAGAACAATGAACAAAGAACAACCATAAAAACAAGATCATCCAAACTCCCCAACCCCATTAATCCCACCTCATTGGCCGCTCCGCAAATTCTGCACCCAGTCCCTACCTAGTTTCCGTGACTAACACTACTTATAACAGCCAACCCAGCTAGCCCCGCAACTGCCAACCACAGATCGGTCCGTCGATCGCCATCCCCAATTTTTAAATTCTCTTCTCATTTAAATAATCCCCAGATCCAACGCACGGAGATCATGCGACTGACTGACTGTTGCTCAAGGGGCCAGGGCCAGGGATTAGGGTCTGGGGAAGGTGGCGGGTGCAGGTTCGGCGATGTGCGGGCGTTGAACTGCTTTGAGAGGCGCTCGGATCGGGCGGATGGTGCGCGGTCTTGGGTTGGGGTTGTGCGAGGGGTTGTGAGGCGGAGATGAGGGAGAGATGAGGGAGAGATGAGGGAGAGATGAGGGAGGGGGTTCCGTTTTGGGGATTGGGGGTTTAGTTGTTGGTTTTCCTTATTGGAAATGTTTGGAGTTTGCAAGGCGAATTTCTTGGGACTTTTTTGTTCAATTGTCTGCATTTAGTTGAGAGAAAGTTCTTTTGGTTTACTTATTGTCGCTGCCAACCACATACTCCTTCAATCGAGGTTTCTGTTCGATGTAATGTCATGAACTTACTCTTCCAAAGAGTTTCATTGCAAATCTCCGAATGTTACTAAACTCGAGAGTATAGCGCTTCGTGTCTTTCCTTCTGTTACTTCAAGTTGCGTCGTACAAATTTCAGCTTGTACAAGATCGTTCACTTCGGCCCGGATACATAATTTTTAGATCTGTCAATGGAGCTCGTACTTTGGAAAATGACAGGTATCACAGAGAACGTGGTCCACGTTTTGCGAATTTCGAGTGTTGGTGGGGAAGCGCATGTTCTTTGGTCGATGGATGGGTGGACTATAATTCAGACAAGCTCTTCATCTGACAGACTGCAGTTGATTCGGACTTTCACAAGCCTTTGTTTTCTGAGTTGGTCTCATTTTGTAGCATTTCCTTGTGGAGAAGAGTCTGCAGTTTCATCTAACTCCGATTCATCCTCGGTACCTTCACAAGTGTGCTGCAGATATGATGGAACTATTACTCTAAAGCTCTATTTCATTATTGCGCCTATCTTAAGCGATCTGGACTCTCTATTCTATACTCGTCTATTGAATTCATCGACAACACTATTCACATCTCAAAATCCTGCATCAAGTCTCCCCAGAACCCAAACCCTGCCGAAGTACCACCAAGCCCAGACTGCCCAACTCCCATCCCAAAATCATCAGATCCATAAACATCTCCTCCAAACCCCAACTCACTCCCCTCATCCCTCCCTTCAACACCCTCCTGTACCGTCTCCTCCCTCCTCCTCCTAATCCTCACCTCCCTCTCCTCCCTCACAACCGTAACCACACCCGGCTCCCTCATCCCATCCGCCCCTCCCCACTCAACCCCCTCCTCCCACGCCCTAACCGTCAACCCCGCCAGCGCAACATTAATCGGACTATCCCTCCCCAACCGACTCCCCCCCATCCTCTTCAAAAAGAACCCTTCGTTCAACACCCGCCACGCTCTCTCCCTCTCCTCTCCAGACGCAAACATCGGCGTGCGCAGGAACAGCAGGAGCAAGATCTGTGCTGCGAAGGGGAAGTTCTTCTGCGCGTACCAGTGGTAGGGAGAGCGTTTTATCTGAGCTGAGGGCTGCGCGAAAGCGTCGACTAGAATAGGGGAGGGAGAGGAGAGCGTGAGGATGCTGTTGAAGGACGAGAGTTGGGTGAGGAGGTGTGTGAAGAAGGTTTGGGTTTCGGCGGCTGTTGGGGCTGGGGTGGGCGTGGGCGTTTTGGGGAAATGCCGGTTGTGGTGCAGCGTCATGTAGGTCTTTGAGAGGGTTGAATGGGCCATTTGGATTGTTAGCTGGTGGAATTTGAGAGTGGGGTTTAGATGTTTGAGGTACGTTTTTTTGAGGCGAGATTCCAGCTCGGAGAGAGTCTCGTGGTGCCGGGTTGTGTGTAGGTAAGAGGCTATTTCGTAGCCGATGAGGCAGAATACCATTTCGGTGGCCCCAGCGGTGCTTGAGGGTGGCGCGGTTGTCATTTCGGGGTAGAGATCGCTGTCGTTGATGTTGAGAGGGAGTTTGGTGTCCCAGGGTTGGTGAAGGAGGGGTGAGCCTCCGCCGCTTATCTGCGCGGTTTGGAGATCGAGGAGCACGATTTGGTACCAGAGACGGCGGCGGAGTTCGGTCTGGAAAGGGGGGAGGGTGTGGGTTGAGCCGTCGCGGTCGAGGCCCATGCGATGAGTTATTCGAATTGCGAGGCCTACGAGGGAGTAGTGGGTTCTTGGATCGATGTTCATTATTGATGCGTTCTGAGTAGAGGTTAGCAGAAGAGTCTCGTTATTTCTAGGTTAGGTTCTGACTTACGAGATACAGGACAAATGCTTGAAGAGTGACAATGTCGGACGATTTGAGGAAGGATGCATTTGCAAGAGCCTGTTGGAATCCGAGCCAATACTTCTTCGTCAATGAGGTTTGATCTTGTCCGAATAAAGTCTCACTTTCTTCAGGAGTCAATGAAGTTGCTGCAAAGTAGTAAATGCTAAACATCAGTGCCTCCAAGCTTTTGGGGACATTGTCCAAATTACTACTCGCTTCGAGGATTCGTTGCTGCGTAGTTGGTGCGTGTATTATCTTCGTCAAAGGATTTATTCTATCGAGGAAGATTTGCCAAAGTCTGAAGATCTGCACGGGTGAAGGATGGAGTGAAAGGAGTCCGACATCTGAAGCGGGAGATTCCACAGCGAAGCGATCGCCACCGTTATTAAATATGGCATCGTAGGTCGCCATGATAGGATCTTTGAGAGTCTCTATATCTGACGAAGACTGGAGGATTTCTTCGCCATCATAAAACTAGATAATTGTGTTGAGTCGGATGTGGTTGGGATGTCACAATGTGGATGTCCCATACCTGGTCGGTCAATCCAGTACCATTTGTTCTGCAACTGTTAGTGTGCTACTGAAAAACAAGTATTAGGCCAATACTTTTCAAGGTATGTCGACACCTCTCCCGGACTTTGAGGACTCTTCGAAAACTCCTTCCCTCTAATCACGAGATTATCACGTGAAACGCCTTCTCCCCTCGCAATCTTCTCAACATCCGCTCCATAGCCCCTTAAAGCATCTTCAAACCGCTTCAGCCGAATCAAAAGCTCCGAGTAATGGGGCGGATTCTTCTTCCGTCTCGACGACTCAACCAAAATGCAGTCCACTCCCATTTTGGTGCAATTTATACATGGACTACCATCCTTCCTATCACATTTGACCTTTCGCTGCTGACAAACCTTGCAAGGCTGATTGCGCGGGCCATGAGCAGAACTCGCCGACATACTGTTGTTATGTGCTGTTCGTTTTGGTGATGAGATCGTGATGTGGGAGGATGGAGTGAGGAAATGCTTTGTTAGGCGAAGAATAGGGGCTCGCCGAATGGTCGGCTTTTGTATTTGCCGAGATTTGTTTATTCTTCGTCACTTCTTTCGTCTTTCGCCGAGCCTCCTGGATTTGTTGTTTGTTATTAGATGATCATTCGAGATTCGAGTAAATTGAGAACGATATAAGGTTGGTAGTAGTCAGCAGGTCAAGATGGCTATCTCGTGTCATTCTTCCAATTGCTTTCGAATTCAAGTGTCCTACAACTCCTAGTACATTGCTTGATTTTCATTGTTTTGAGTAAAAAATGACTTCTACGAGAGTCTCCTTAGACAACGGTATCAACAAAGTAGCAGATACACAACATGCCTTGCCTCAAGAGGTCAAAGACGGCGCCAAGGTCACCGAAGAGCAGAAGACAACAGCTGAAGAGGAGACAATCTTCCCGAAAGGACTACCACTTGCACTTACACTAGCCTCGTCGGCCTTGGCTATGTTTCTCATCTCCTTGGTAGATCAATGCTTCTCTTACACTTCCATGTCGAGAAACCGTAACTAAGGAACTCCTCAGGACCGAACCATCATCGCCACAGCTATCCCAACAATCACCAATGAATTCCACACCATCAACGACATAGGGTAAAAACGTCACCGCATAGAAACAAACATACTAACAAACATCAGATGGTACGCAACAGCCTACATGATCACCAACTGCGCCTTCCAACTCATGTTCGGCAAGATCTACAAATTCTACTCCACAAAATGGGTCTTCATAACCGCCTTTACCATCTTCGAAATCGGATCTGCCATCTGCGGCTCAGCACCCAATTCAGTGGCTCTCATAATCGGAAGAGCGATCGCTGGATTGGGTGCTAGTGGAGTCGTGTCGGGGAGCATGATGATCCTTGTTCACACTGTCCCTTTACATAAGCGTCCAATTTATGCTGCGATATTTGCTGCTACAGTGGGGGTAGCTTCTATACTGGGGCCCGTTTTGGGAGGTTTACTTACGTCGAATCTTTCGTGGAGGTGGTGTTTTTATATTAATCTTCCCGTTGGAGCGGTTGCTGTTCCGGTTATTGTTTTCTGTTTGAAAACACCAGGATCGGATAAGACGAAGTCTACTCTTAGCGAGCAGTTGGCAAAGCTAGATCCTCTAGGCACGACGTGTTTCGTCCCAAGTATTGTATCTCTTGTCTTAGCCTTACAATGGGGAGGGACGTCCTACAATTGGAGCGATGGGCGAGTCGTTGCCTGTCTTGTCATATTTGCTGTTTTTATGATGGCTTTCATGGGCATCCAGATCTGGTCGGGCGACAAAGGGACGGTCCCACCTCGGATCATCAAACAACGAAGCATTGCATCTGGTGCCTGGCTGCAATTCTGCGGAGCGGGTTCGGTGTATGTGCTTGCGTACTATTTACCACTTTGGTTTCAGGCTGTGAAAGGAGTCAATGCCGTTCAATCTGGTCTCCGAATCTTACCTACTGTGGTTGCGCTCATAATCGGAGCTTTTGCAGGAGGATTCATTACCAAGAAATCGGGGTACTATGTGCCAGTGGTGATAGCGAGTGCTGTTATAGCACCTGTGGGAATTGGATTGGTTACAACTTTCACGCCAGATACATCACATGAGAAGTGGATAGTATATCAGGTCATTTATGGTCTTGGTCAGGGAATGTCGATGCAAGTTGCTCCGTTACTTGCTCAAACCGTTCTCAGCAAAGCGGATGTGTCTATCGGGACTGCGATCATGTTCTTTGCACAGCAACTTGGGAGCATTGTGTTCATTGCCGTTAGTCAGAACGTGTTTCTTGATCGGCTAGTGAAGAATTTGAGCCGGATGTCGGGACTTGATGCAAGGACGATTCTCGATACTGGAGCAACGGATCTGAGATCTATTGTTCCTGCAGATCATTTTGAATCTGTGGTTAGGGCGTACAACGGTGCTGTGGTGAAGACTTTTGATATTGCTACAGCTTGTACTTGCTTGGTCCTTTTGAGCGCGATAACGATGGAGTGGAGGAGCATCAAGAAGAGAGAAATTACGAAAGCGGCAACACAAATAGAAAAATCGTAAGAGGTACCGCACTTTCTGTAAGACAGGGTATTGTACAAGAGTTACGGCGTCATCAATGATCGCACTCCTATAGATCTTTAAGATGACCTCGGGAGGCTTGTGGTGATCTTATCACGTGGGACATATGATTTCACTTACTTTTCGATGAGACCTTTTATACCCGATAGAACTATAATAAATGAAAGACTTACACATCCAACGCCATACTCTTATTAAGCTCCTTCCAAGCATGTCGATTGTGGGAAGCTTGAAGAGTATCACGTGGGGTAATATGTCTGTGCGGTGCAGGGGATTCTAGGCAACTGACGCTCACCGACTACACGTCGTGGATCTCCATTTCCTTTTCCACTTGTTCCAATACAACTCCCGCTGGAGACGAATACTTAATGGCTGCGACAAAGTTTGAACTCTTCCCGAAACTCCCGGGTGAGCTTCGCAACGAAATAGTATGGAAATACCCCACTCTGCATCTGCCATTTCCTAAAGAACCGAACTCTTGCCACATGTCTGTCGACTCGTCAGAGGGTTGTTCTTAAAGGGCTTGGTTACTGACGTGACTTATCTTAAAAATCTCATACTAACTGATACTAGTGGGTCGCAGCTCTGCCTCAACCCCGCCTCGTGAGAATCGAGGAGCAAATCACTGAAGAATTTGAGGATGCCAATTATGACGATGTCATCCAGGTTGCAGAGAAGAGATTAGCGGCGTTGGGCAAGAGTGCCTTTCACGATCCTCCCAAGTCATGTGCTATCATTCTTTCCGAGATCTTGGGTTGCGAATATGAGCAATTGCACCAACGCTTTCGACACATCTGGAACAACATGTCTCCGTACTCCTGGAGATTTATGAGGGCTCAGACGCAACTTGAAGACCATGGATTCCGTACCAATAGAGTTCAACCAAGTTTGCCGCCTCTCTTTCTTCTAGAAGCAGGTGTCAAGGAAGCTATATTCCTCGCAACTCGCAGCAGTCGTTTGTGGAGTCAATGTCCTATCCCCGCTCTGCTCCATACCTGTCGAGAATCTCGCCATGCTATGGAATTATGTGGTTATCAACTGGCATTTGCAGCCAAGAATTCCGAGCCACAAATCTGGTTCAACTTCAAGCATGATGTACTCTATCTCACGAGCGCTAGGTGGGAGAATGGCATAGATGACGAGTACTTTGTCAATGGTCCTTGGAACCTTCACCAAATCTCATCGACAGATCTCGGTCGGGTTGAGAAAGCGGCTTTGGAGGAAGCCTGGGAACCAAACATAGATGACTTTCTGGAGGCTATGTTTCTCTTTGGGAACCTCAAAGAACTGCTCTGGGTTACATGTCATGTAGTTGTCAGTTATGAGTTGGATAAAGATAAAAAACGTTTGCGCCTAGATGATTGGGGGCACCAAGAGACTGAAGCAGATCTTTGGGGCTATCTTGAGTGTGAGAACATAGACTTCATCGAAGATGATGTTCTAGGGGATATGCGAGGTGGGATGTGGGGTCACTACGCATCGATGCTACGCGCCTGGCGAAAACAAAATTCAGGAAGCAGTGAAGGATTCTTGACTTCTAAAAACGCCGAACTGGAAGAACTGCTTCAAGGGGGCAGAGATAGTGGCTCGAAAACCTGGAAAATACCAACAATAAAACATGCGTATATCGTCACAAAAAATCAAGCAAGGGCCATACTTGGGCGTCGGTATTTTTTAGAACAGAAGCTTCAAGATGCGGAAAGGTTGGAAGATGAAGAAGGACCGCGACCACAAGATAGGCTTCCACACAAGACAGCAAATTACTGGGCACCATTTGATGATGAAAATGCCGTACTCGAGGAGTGGTACTATCAATATTGGTATTGACATGAGTCATAAGATGGTCGCTCGATACAATTCATGCTCCTAGATTTCAATCCAACGAACTTTGCTATATAGTAGCATTATCCTACTCTTGCTTGTCGTTCCTAAATGGGCTCCATCAAGCAAGACCTTAGACTCTGCTTGACGTGAAGAAATCGGCTGTCAGAATCTCCATTGTAGGGCTGATATCCGAGCTCGACTCGGATGGTATTTCATTGCAATAGTCTTTAGTTCATCTGAGTTCGTCGAGACTTAGTGGCACGTCATGTAAGCAACGAGACAATGCTCCGGCGCAACTGCCCAGGTGGAGCAAAAGCAACAATGCACGTGACTGATATTCTACCTTTTCATGGTCACTTCAAAGTTCTAGTTGATGCAGCTATCTTGGAATCGGCAATTAATAAATTGTGACAGCATCTGGAATGTCTTATTTTGATTATCTTATTCCCCGTCTTCCTGAATATATGTTCCAGTATCTTGGCATGGGCTTATTTTGAATGTTCTTGCGCTTACAGAACCACCCGCTTTTCAAGACGAAAGAATAATGAAAACCAAGAGTCACGAAAGTTCAAACCTCGAAGCGCAGTCAATTTTGTAATTTATTTTGCCCTTCTTTTCTATCCTTCTCTCATCCCAATGTTCAAGATATACCCCACCACCCCACTCTTGGCGAGCGCCGAGAAGAGCTTTGTTTACCAAGATCCACTCATATTGCTCTAGCTTCTGAAAATCCACAACGGAGATCAAGACATATTTTCCAAAATCCGCCAAACGGGATATTGCCCGTGGCGTTAACCCTTTTTTGTCGTATATGCGATAAGACATACGTTCATCGCCGACTTCCTGGGTACCAAGATCACCGTTAAGCTTACCGGGATGAGAGATCTAGACGATGTCAGGCTTGAATAATGACAATTTGGTTGAGTAAAGAGTCTTTCTAAAGATACGCTTTGACCAGAAGCAGGGCCGTTAGGAGCATATAAAATGTAGGTCAATCTCTACGGTGTTTGTTGAAGCTGTCGCTCGTCCCTCTCCTTCAAGATGCAGTTCCTCAAGCCCCTTCTCGTCGTCTCGTCCCTCGCTGCTTCTATCTATGCCTCTCCGTTTTCGAAAAGGAATACGAACGAGAAAAAATATGCAATTTTGGATAATGATTGGTCTTCGGCGGGGTTTATCCCATTCTTGCTCGCAGTAGATGCTGGGATCGAAGTCTTGGCTCTCACTTCGTGTTTGTTTTTCTTTCTTGCCTCAAGATATATGCTGATGTCTGTTAGCTACTTCCAATTCGTGGCAAAAACAGTGCGCCTACCATGCTCTCGCGACTCTAGAGGCCGGTAACTTGAGCTGTATTCCGGTTTACTACGGCTCAACGTATCCTCTGATCAACACCTATGAACGTTTCCAAGCATGGGAAGCTGTCCACGGCGTCCTTCCATGGCAGGGTGTTTTCGCACCTTACAATGCCACTGCTGAAGCTTTGGGATCTGATCCAACTGCCGACGGTACCAATGCCAATCGGATCGCCGCATCCGCATTCGTGGAAGGATTTCCCAACACCACTGCAGTGACTGGCAAAACTGCAGCTCAGTTTATGGTTGAGCAGGTTCGCAAGTATCCTGGTCAAGTCAGTATTTATGCTGCAGGCGCTATGACCAATGTTGCATTGGCGGTGAGATTGGATGAGGAGTTTGCCAGCTTGGCCAAGGAGTTGGTCATTATGGGAGGTTATGTTGATGTTAATATGTATCAGGTAAGTTGGGAAGCAATATTCATCTACACGAACGCTAATATGAGATCTTAGGCAACCGGGACTACCAATCAAGCTGACATCAATTCGGACATCAATCTCATGATCGATCCTGAAGCATCCAAGATCGCACTGACGGCTGCTTTCCCGAATATCATCATTGCTGGAAATGTCGCAAATCAAGTCATCTCAAGTCAAGAGTTCCTCGATGAGATATACGAGGTGAAGAACCCGTATTCGAAGCTGATGTACGAGTATTATGGCACCATCTTTCCTTTCTGGGATGAAACTGCTATGGCTATTTTGATTGATCCTAGTATTGTCACCAATGCTACCACTGGTAAGTCGTCCGGATTTTTGATGAAACATTGAAGCTGATGGAGAGAAGTTTACCTTGATGTTGACGTTGCTTATGCAAGCCCTTCTTATGGCAATATTCACGTCTACCAGAGTGCATTGATGCCGCCAAACATCAGGAACGTCACTTATGTTAACACAATTGATACGGCGAAGTTCAAGTCAATGATCAAGCATGCTGTTCAGTACCCCAAGAGCTGTTCTGACTTCTAGATATCGAGATGGTTATAGACACATAGATGTAATGAAATACAACATAATTCTTGGCCGTCTCATCCGCCTCGAAGATGGTACTAGTGTGATGTTAGTCTGAGCCGTCTCAAGCCAAAGATAGCTCCCGTATTTAAATCCAATCAATACATTCCTAGTTCCCGAAGCTTTTCGGTAATAACATCTGAGAAATATGAGAAATCGCCCCTTTCATCATCATCATCTTAAGCGAGCTTACCCCGCATTTACCCCCCTTTAATTTTCCTTTCTCAATCTCATCTGCAAATATCCATCAAGGTACCGTTTCTATTGCATTGACCAGTATCATCCTTGAAATTAGTATCCTGATAATCATTAGCGAAGATGGAGGGCACATGTCTTTGTGGCGCGATCACTGTTCGGGTAAAGGATGACGAACTGTTTTCGAGGAGGAGAGGACATATTTGTCGCTGTACTAACTGCAAAAAGACTGCTGGCTGTGGTAAGTCTTATCTCTACTAAACTACAAAGGTAACTAATTAATCAGTGATTTAGCTATGGCCACCAATCTCACCATTGAGAACGAGAAGATTGAGATCGTTGGCGAGGAGAATTTGAAGAAATTCATTGATACGAAAACTTTGAGTGGAACGCCACTTGCGAGATATTTCTGCTCTACATGTGGAAAGTGAGTTGCTGCGCTTAGCTCCATTCTTCTCCTTCTTGGTTATTGACTTGATATAGTCCGATCAAATCTGTCACGCCGTTGTATGAAGGCAAAACTGTCTTGAAGACCGGCATATTCCCTCAGATACCTACACCCGAGTGGGAGTCATTTTCATTGAACAGGCAAAAATGGGAGTTACCTCTTGATGGTGCAGTGCAGTACAAGACGAAAAGCTTGGGCGAGAAAATGGAATGAGGCTTTTTTTCGCGATTGTGGAGCTGAAGGCTATTGGCTATGGACACAGTGGAACAAAATGCCCACTGTTAAGCCACAGAGGGCGTCTGCATTTTGAGGCTGCAAACTGTATATGAGGAGAGGACGCCACAAGCGCCTCTTCAATGCGATTTGACTGTATTTAAGCCTTTTTGCTCCCGTGTTGCACAACTGCTCAGCTGCCACGTAAGATACCGTTTACCTTGCAACATTAGTTTATTTCCTCGTCGCAATGACTCTGCTCCAAGGTCTGATAAGCAGCTTCGTTAAAGCTTTGCATTTCAGATCGCTTTTTCTAACCCAATATAACCAAGCACTTGTTGAGCCTCAAATATTGTTTCTCGGATATTACGATGTCAGAATCTACCTACCAACTCCAAACATTTGGGGAGGCAGGAGATGATGGTGCAGAACAATCGAAGGACGACAAGGCTTCCGTCCAAGTCTCCTTCAGAGACGACGAGGAAGCTCCCTATACAGATGGCCAGACTGTACCATTGAACGACGACGAAACTACACCACTTAGGGATGACGAGAATGCAAATTTGACTAAGGATGATACTCAGCCATCTATCTTCACCCGAATGGGAAGGGCTTTCAGTACAGCTTTGTTTTATATCCCAATGCCTTCGTTCAAGTTGCTTGCTCTCTGGGGAATTTGCGCCGGCCTGCTAAAATTACACCTGGATTTACTTCACAGATGGCCTCAGGGCGACTATGGAATCGGCGTGTTGAAGGAGAGCATGGATTGTGGCTCGCATGGAGCCGCCTACATGGCTTTCGCTGTCCAACTTCCTACGAATATTCTCGCCACATTCCTAGCTACTGCCCTCGGAAGTGCAAGGGCTAGCATGGCAATCGATGCTGCAAGGCTTGCAGATTCCGGTATGCTAGTTCTTGCTATACCTTTGTATATTCTCCAGATTGTTCCTCTATTAATGACCATACCTACGCATCTCCTGTAAGTAATGAACGTCGCTGTGTCATGGACTGGGGTACTAAGGTCAGCATAGTTACAACAGCTTGATATTCCGAAGCACCTCAGCGTATGATTCTTACGAAGTGCTTGTCTCGGACTCCTTCCTGCATCAGAACAGCACACCATTTGACTTATCCATATTGCCGTTGCATCCAACAAGTGGCCATGTTAATCCTCTTCGGAATGACTACAATATGATGCCCCCAGGACTGAACAGTCTGACGGATTCCATCATGCAGCTACGAACAGCTTTAGTTTCGAACCACAGTCATGCCGAATGGGAGAACTTGACCTTCTCAAGTTGTCAGAACAGATACAAAGACGGAACTTACGAATCATTCTCAAATGTCGTCCTGATATCGAATTACACCTCTCCTTCCACTGCTAATAACTCGGCTTTGGAACTCACAGTCCTTTCCGGCCAGGCAGGTCCACGGCACCAAACAGCACAAAAACTAGTCTCTCTGTGTCCCGAAAGCTTCTTGTCCACTCACAACTCAACCGAGCCCGAATGGAAATATGTTCCCAGTAAGGCAAGCGGTCTTTTCGATGCATATGCCCCCAAGAATTTCCCCGTCAAAGACCAGAACGTCTTCGTCAAATCGTGTTTCAGCCAGGATGTTCCACAGAAGTGCAGACTGCTCTACAGTCCTTTGGTCCTCAGAGTCGCCACCGTATGCCTTATGGTCACTGTGGGCTGCATGACGTTTGCCGCTCTCTTCTGTGGGTGGACCCTGCGAAAGAGCGCAGACTTGGAGAAGTTCGAGGAGATGGTGAGCATGTCGTCCGAGACCCAAACGGGAGTATTCTTCGGCGGAGCTATCTTGGCCTTTACAGCTTTTGTGATTCAGCTCTTTGTCATGGCATTTTCCGCCGCTGCCCAGCGAGAACCAAGTGGGAAAAGGTTAGTTTTGGGCAACTTGACCTCCCTCCATGCACTGAACTCTGAGGCTAACAAATTGAATAGTGATCAACGTTGGCTTCTCAATGTAAGTCCAGATACTAATATTCCCAGACGGCCGATGAAGTATCCTTTTCACAGGATTGAGGACCATCAACACTGACACATTGACAGGCCTTTTGTGTCATCAACGTTGTCCAGCTCATCGAAACCATTTGCGAGACCTTTGTTTTAATGAAGATGAAGCAGTCGATATTAAACACTCCGACGAGCATACTCTGGCATTGGTTCTTGTCAGGGGTGTTTTCGATGCAACTGAGTGATCGATTTATGCTTACTTCTTCATTGCCGAGCACCACTATTCTTCCAGTCGCGAATCTAACATCGCTTTGGTTCAAACCCTTCTTCAAGTGGCTCCTGATAATTGGCCTCTCAATCCCTTTCTTTCCAGAAGTAGCTCTTGTCCTTGTTGTTGTCTTTTGCTGCTTTCCGTTCGCCGTTCGTTTAGGCTTGGTATCGTTGGTGATGAACCTGGACGATTAGAGGATATGTTGGACAGAATGATTATGTTTCTGTGTGTAGGATGATACGGTATATGAAGAGGATTTCACTGAAAAGAGACTGAATTCAAGTAGTAACGTGGTGTAGCCACTGATAATCATAATACCAACGCAAGGAGGATATCCTGCAAAGATGGGCGCAAATAGATCATGTAAATGGCACGAAATGCAAATTGAACTCTTTTTTAAAAATGCACAAACAAAAGCTCACTTGACCTTTCAGATCGTGATTCCGAAACAAATTATACCGTGAGGTTAAAAGTGTTCTGAACTCAAGCTCAAAAAGTTCGTCGCAACCTCGGCCGAGTCCAGAACTTTTCACCCACATCTTTTCGCGACGTGCCTCCACAAGGAGACTCGACACAATGGGACGCAACAAACGCCAACGCCTGACCTCTGCTCCGAAAAGCAATCGCAAACAACCCAAGCCTCTCTCCCGCCAATCCTCCATCTCCAAAGCCGCGTCAAAACCAAGGGCGCATACCCAGGCCCGACACAAAGAACCCACAATTCCCTTCCACCCCACCGAGCACATCCTCCTGATCGGCGAAGGCGACCTCTCCTTCGCACGCTCCCTCATCGGACACCATGCTTGCACGAACGTAACCGCGACTGTGTACGAAAGCTCGCGGAACGAATTGGAAGAGAAATACCCGCATGTGGTGGAGAATATAGATGTTATCGAGGATGGAGGCGCAGTGGTGAAATATGGGGTGGATGCTATGAAGATGAAAGCTTTTACTGTTGGTGGGAAGAGGGGAGAGGGTGCTATGGATAGGATTTTCTTCAATTTTCCGCATGTGGGAGGCAAGAGTACGGATGTTAATCGGCAGGTTAGGTATAATCAAGGTATATCTTCCTCTTTTCTCCGGGATTGGGTTTTAGAATACTGATGGGTGATAGCTTTATTGGTAGAATTCTTCAAACATGCTATTCCTTCGTTGTCGCCGAAGCTAGGGAGCTCGATTGTGGTTACGTTGTTCGAGGGAGAGCCGTATACGCTGTGGAATATTAGGGATTTGGGACGGCATTCGGGGTTGGAGGTTAAGGAGAGCTTTAAGTTTCAGGCGAAGGCATATCCGGGGTATAGACATGCGAGGACTTTGGGTGTGGTGAAGGGGAAGAATGGAGAGGTTGGTGGGGGGTGGAAGGGAGAGGAGAGACCGGCTAGGAGTTATGTTTTTGTGAGGAAGGGAGAGGGTGCTGTGGTGGGGAATGGAAAGCGGCATAGGGAAGAGAGCAGTGATGAGGATGAAGAGTTGGAAGATTCGGAAGAATGGGAGGGCATCGAGGATAGATCAGATGAGGATCACGAGAGCGAGGTCACCGATGAATGTGGTGATTGAAGGATGCATTATCACGGCTAAGGTCTGGCAACCGTCTGAACTCCTATCCATGAACGCCAATGTCGGTTTACACCAAGCCATATCCGGCTATTAAACTCCATTTTTGGGCTCCTACCATCTGCAACCATCCACCATAGCACAAGCTGCCATTTAGCTCTATGTTTGGATCATATCAGGCAGAAAGCCATTCATGGCTCCATTCGCTGGCAAGATACCATCAATCATTACTGGCTGAGCTCCAGTTGAGAGCGGTAGCAATGCCTCTCCCAATGGACCTTCAGGATGTATGGCATACATTGGCGCTTCCATGGCATCTCCATCAAAGATTACCATATTCTGGATCGGTTGTTGACGAGCACCAAGAACATTGATGACGTCTTGTGCTAATTGACCACCGAGGACAGCAGTTACTGGAGCAATTGAAGAGCCCAAATTCCCCAGGAAGCTTCTCAGAACCTCGGACTTCATCGTTTCGATAGGCAATCCCAAGAGCTTGTGTTTCTCTTGGACGATTTTGGTATAGTCTATGAAGTCGTCCGTCGCGTTGTTTGGCATCCGTCCATGGATCTGGATATATTCCCACAGAGCACGAAGACATGACAAAATAGGTGTGACAGCCTTCAGTCGTCGTCTGCTCTTCAGGAACTCGGTCGGCAGGGTCGCAGCATCGCTCGCTAAGAACCAGGTAGAATAGAGCTCGCGCTTTGTGACCAACTCAACATTCTTGCCATTTTCTTTCTTTTCCTTCACGTCAATCACACTTCGAGTTCGAGTCTCTGGTCCAATGGTTGTAGCCCTATTGCTTGTGTCTCGCTCCACGACATAATCGTGCTGAATCAGATCCGAGAATATGAAGCCATAGAAACCATGAACGCCAGCAGCATAGAATGGTCGGTGGTTGATTCTCGTAGCTGTGTTGATGATGTTCAGTGAGTCGGGCTGAAGATCTGTCGCAATCACAACATCAAACGCTCCAAAGAAATCCGGTCCCTTGCTCTTGATATCGGTTGGGTCCACAATCACATTGACTCTCGGGTTCAGCTTTCTGATCTGCGGGGCAGCCGCTTCTGCTCTGTTTGTACCAACATCTGCTTCTGTAATGAAGAACTCGGCGCCCAAATCGTTTTTTGTAACCAGTTCGTGATCAACGATTGTGATGGAGTTGATACCTGCAAGGACGAGGTTCTTGGCGATTTCGTTTGCAAGGGCTTTCATGGTTATGAGGAGGATATTGGCATTGCGGATCTTCTCTTGAGCTTGAACTCCCCATAGTCGAATTTGGCGGTCGTAGAGCGCAATTTCATCTAGCAATAGTTAGCTGGTTCTTGAAGTTAAAGGACTCGCAGATCGTACCAGCACTGATGCCTTCTGGGGCCGGAATCGGCGCGTCCGTGGTAATTGGAAGTTGATCTGGGGGAGGCATCATTGAGGCATCTGTGATTTGGTCCATGTTGACGAGTTGCGCCTCGATCGAGCTGCTCAGGATGTTGCCTTGGACTTTAGACTTGCAAAAAAACTTCCTTTGGTGAGCTTCGATGTCATATCAAGCTCTGAAAAGTCAAAGACCCTTGAACAAGTGAATGTTTGGGAATGAAAGTTCGAGAAGTTAAATGTGAAAACAAGTTGGAACAAACGAGGGCAGAAAGATCATCGGCCGCGGTGAGCCGCATTTCTTTATCGCATTCTGATAGGCTTCATTCCAGCACCCCACAAAGAGGGTTTAGGCGAGAAACATCAAGTCATTCGTCCCGATCCAAACGACGACATCAATTCTTTGAAAGAGAATCTGTCGCCGTACATACACATTTCAACATCGACTGCACATCTTACTACCGCATACTTACAATAGCTGTTGTTTGCTGTCTCATCTCGAACCCGTCCTCGACCTACAGACAAGCAGCCCCTGGCTTCGCTGCTAAACTTCTATGCCGAGGCCGCTGTCATTAATGGTGTGTAAGCCTTGATTACGATCAGCCTGTCCACAACGACGCAATATACTCATGGATTCACGACAATCTGGTAACTTTGATGACCCTCCTGCCTCCGAATCCTACCGCGAGACGGCAGACCGAATCGTGCGAGAGATCCTCAACAATACTACGCAGTCCTCCGATGATATCAGTCCTTCAGGGGAATTATACAGAGCAATAGAGAGATTTCATCGAAGGAGAGGACATCCACCTGGTCAAACTTCAAATTCGAGTACCATGTCGTCCGATCCAGATTCCGAGAGACGACAAAGGTGGCTTCGAAGAGAAGGCCATGAAGCCTCGCCTTTGTTCGTCTTGCCATCACAACCTACAGCCGCAGAACCAACTCCTCGCGAGAGAGCTGCGTCGAGACTCGCTGGTATGAGTGCTAGGAGAGGCAGACCTCGTATGTCAGTGAGTGATAGATACATGGAGAGACATCGGGCGATAATGGGAGAGAATGCTTCGAGCAACGGCCTTGCGGATCTTCAACATGCGGGTCGGCAGCTCGAGCAGGCTAGCTCCAACCTTCGAGCTCTTTTGGATGATCCGGTACCAAACATATCGTCACCAACTCTTGAACCAGAATACGGCACCGAATCAGAGCGCAGAGTGAAGCGCAGGAAGATCGATTCCGACAGGTTGGACTCGGGGTTCAAGGGCTTCAGCTATGGACGATATGGTCAAGTCGAGCCTGGAAAGCTCACCATGGAAATTGTTAGTTGTGATGGAGGAATATTTCAGGAACAAGCTGGTCACTATTCTGCTGAGAATGTCTTGAGAAATGATTCGACGGTATATTGCACGAAAAGCAATCGATGTAATCTGGTTCTACGACATCAAGGAGCTACGGTGTTTTCTCTGAAAGAGTTGGTTATCAAGGCTCCACATTCTGGATATACTGCTCCGTAAGTTGGACAACCTGGATTGAGGATTAAGCTAACAGATGTAGCGTCCAAGAAGGAATGGTGTTCATTTCAATGTCATCTGATGATCTATTGACTCGAACTGCCCAATACCAAATTCAATATTCACCACCGCGACCCCGACGATCAGGATCTCGAGATCTTCCTCCGATCATGTCAATCAGACATAACGATGACGGTACTATGACAACAGCACAAGCTCGTGCGCGACGATTATACAACATTGGTCTGGAAGATGAGGAATGCGACTATCGTACTGCTCAGATTCCACCTGAGTTTACAGAAAATGCTCCTGCATTCCAGGTCACGACAGAATGCAGCGATTCCGAAGGAGATGGACCAACTCATCCTTCTCGATCTCGATTACATAGAGTCATGGGTTTGCGATTTGAGGACTCGGATAGTAGTGACGAGGAACCTACTCCTGAGCAAACCAGTGCATGGCATGAAGATTACATACTCAATATGGGACGATCACCACGGTTGAGACGACGAGAAACAGCGAGCAATATCACACTAGCTGAAGCGGAGGAGGCATCCCAAATTGCTACACAAGAAGCTGTCAGAGCTGTTGGTGGAGAACTCATGGCACCTCACGCAAAGTTCTTCATTGAGAGAGATAAAAGCAAGTGTACAGTGCGATTCGACCCACCAGTAACTGGGAGATTTATTCTTCTGAAGATGTGGAGTCCTCACCACAGTGCATCCAGCAACATCGACATTCAGAGTGTGGTAGCAAAGGGCTTTGCAGGACCTAGATTCTTTCCAGCGATAGAGATGAGGTGAAGGAATGCTCTGTCGGAAATACTATGACAGCGGGTTTTTGCATGCGCAATATGCGGCGGATAGCATGTTAATGTCTTTGTCAAATACCACGAGTCTCGAACTTATCGAGCACTCAATGCAGGGATTTCCAAAACACGCATTTTGTGTTCACAATATTCCCAGAGATTCTCTAAATCATTGCTTTGCCTCAAACATCCTTGATACTAAATGCCCGCTTAAGATTTCTTTCTAAATCAATCCTTAGTGGGACCTGTCCTCAATAACATCGTATTCCTCGGGGTCCCTATAGTCTGGTACTCTCAAAGGGACAGTAATTCCCTGCCACAAACACTGAGGCTCAGTCGTTGAAGAACAATTCTTGGTTGGTTGCCATACAAATATCGCATAAATTTTGCCAGTTACAAACTGAGAGAGCATGCTGTGGTCCAGGAAAAACATGCGGGAAGCGGTGATTGTGGTACAGAATAAGAGACACAGACGAGTAAGAGCTTAATAAATGAGGCTTAGTCTTCCTCGTGCATCTACTCCGTCCTTGTAACAACAAAACTAATAAACCCATGCTCCTTCTTCCTATGCCAATTGGCAGGCTTGTCCTCCCCTCCAGTATGAATTCCAAACCTCCAAAACCACGCCTTACAGTCCCATCTCGTCCCGGTCTCCTCCCCCACTTCCCCCCAAAGCTTCTTGAAACTCTCCACATTATGTTCAAAAATCTCCGCTCTCCCTCCTTTCACAGTCGCTTTCGCATTCGCCAGCTCATGATACCCCGCATTCAGATTCCCGGTCAGACGACCGGTAACCATAACGCCTCTCTCGGGCTTAAGCAATGCTATGAATCGTTTCAGTAGCAGCTTTTGATCTTCGAGAGAGAAAACATGGATTAGATGCACAGCATTCAACACATCGATCCTCCCCTCCAATTCCTTTAATCCAGCAGCATTCTCGTCCAGAATATCAGCAGCTATGAAATGATCCCTCAGAAGAATGTTCTTGTCTCGGAATAATTCATAACCGAAGTCGAAATACTCGCCATGGAGATCTGTGCCGTAGACGCCGGTAGAAGGCGCACCGTCATGCACCAGTTTCCGGATATCTTGCGCGAACATACAACCTGTATCGAGGAATTTACCGCCGTCTTTGAGGATCTGAAGAATAGTGCTGTAGGTACTGGTTATCTCCTGCGGGGTGTTGGGGAGGTCGTCGCCGGATAGCCCGAGGTCGGTAAAAATGAAGAGACCAATGGATGGGTAAGGGTGATGGGTCCAAGCTGAGTCTCGCTGCGCTGTTAATGGATGAGGATGTGATGTGTGGAAGAGTTTCTTACGATGGCTTCGAGATGGGTTTCTACATCTTTTGGTAGGATCTTGCTGTAGTTTTCGAGAAGGTCGCGGAAGGCCGGGGTAGGAGGGTGTTGGGAGAGTGAGAGGTAGAAAGGTTGATTTTTGGATCTGATGTCTGTGTCTGAAGACATGGCTTTTGGATAACTTCTGAAACAGAACAGTGGGATGTTCGGAAGACTACAAACCTGGAAATAAACTGAGAAGCCTCAATTGATGTTCGTCATAGGCGGTTCTAGTGAAGTGACCTACTGAGACGGTCCCGCTTTAGCGGATCCTCCCTTATGCCGGCAGTATTCTAGCTTCCGGAGTTAGGCACTTGCTTTCCCTACGAATACGTCCAACTAGCTGTTGCTTCTCATTTCTGAATCTTCTGCTGTTTACTGTTTAGACCTATATCTGTATGTATTCTGCACACTTCAGCTTTTTTGATACACCGAGCATTTTAGCGAATCGCCACCCTTTTCGCTCCTCGCTAAGATCTACTTTCACAATCAACGGGAGAAGCACAAGCTTGAGACACTGGAATTTTTATCAAGTGATAAATGCATTTATTCACAACATCCCATCATCAATGATGGTAGAGATCTGCATCAATACTTTTATGGTGAAATTCAAGCTGTTGAAGCGAGAATATCATGACTGGATACAAAAGAAGCTCACGAGCACTCAGAGTCGAATGCTCGGTCTCGATGTCCGTCCGTATCATCAAAGACCACAAGTTGGGCTGATCACTCGTTGCCTGAATGGCATCCCACGAGGCTGGATCTGATCCTTCTGAGCATCACGTCTCCACAATTCCTCTTGCCACTCTTAATGAACTCTTCTCGCAAAATCCTTATCCAAGAATAAGGCTGAAGCCACCATGCCCATTCCAGCAGCACACTGTAGGGTCTTTGTCTCGGCCTCTGGACTGTCGGCCACACTGGTGAATTTTTTGGTGTGGTTCGAGATCACCGAATCGGTAATAAAGTACCCTGCGTGGATGCCAGGACATCTGTAGGTAACCTTGCCCTGCGTTCCATTAGTTTGAGGTACAATATCTATGATGAGCTAATGCATTTACTTGATCTGTGCTGCCCATATCGAGTGCTCCAGGTGGGCATTCAGCTTCGAAGTTCACTAGTCCCATCTTGTGCATTGCATCAGCCAAGTTGTGGCACACATTCAGATTAGCGATGACATCCAAATTCATGGGTGGTCTGATGTTGTGTCAGTGTTGTGCATTGGGGAAATGATCACATATACTTACTCATATATCGGGTCTTCCCACTCCTCGACCGGTTCATCCCTGTCGGAGTTGTTAGCTTTTCGCCACGGAAGTACCTAACGAACATGGGGACAAAAGTCCGTGCGTTCAGGCTGTAGAACCTCGAAATTAAAACTCTT